GRCCRCCGAGMTCTACACCGGATGGGATGCGGATGGCACACCGACCGTCCAGCGGAGGGTCATGCTGGGCTCTCCGGCTTCCACCGACGACCCGATGACCCTCGATGCCACCCACACCGTCCTTGAACGGGCGCTGAGTGTGTCTTCCGAGTCTCAGGAAAGCGTAAATTCCTGCTACTGGGCTGCACGCATCGATAGTACCCGCACAATCCAAGAAGCATGGGCGTGTTATCTCGCCTGGGAAGACGCCAAGCTACCACCAGACCAGAACGTGTACCTCACAATCATGCAGAAGCTGGACGAGGCCACAAACACCCAACACGACCAGGAAGAATGGAGTCGAGATCCAGCGTGGGATCTCCTACCAGGCGACACTCCACGACTGTCACCGCTGCCTCCCTCCACCCACCTCTACACATACACGCGTACCGCACCTCCCAGTCTGGATGACTTCTATCACACGCTACGCAAGCAAGGTATCCGCTTCACAGGCCATGCTTTGGYCTATGTCCTCCGCAAATCTTCCCTGCGGACAGGCTTGAAGATGATGAAGGGCAGCGTACTGCAATATCCCGATCTGTGGGGTGTGCTCGTCATGGATGACACCCGCAATCTCGACAACCTTCCTCCCGAGATCTTCACAGCAGCGGTGCAGCTGTTGGCCCGATCGGGGGGCTACTTTCTGCACGACCGTCGATGGAGACTTCACGATCATCCCCCCAACGCCCTCAAATCTTCCTCCATCAACCAAGATGGGGATCGCGAGCTTGCATCCGTATATCAGAACAAAAACAGCGTCATCGTCCGTGCGATTGACCTCCTCCGTCGACGGCCGAATTGTGGTCGTCAGACTTGGGTGGCCGTGTTCGTCGGGCTGACTCGTGAAAGCAATTACCAGGGTCTCGGCCAAGCTCTCGATCTCAACTGCAAGAGAATTGACATGAATCCACCTCCAGAAGTCGGCCATCTCGGCGCGCTGCTGACATATTCCATGACGAGGGATCTGATCAAGTTGTATCGAGAGCAATTCTCGGATTTGGATCCCATGGCTTTTCATAGATTTTGTCTTGCGACGGAGTCGATGGTGCGGGCTGTCTGGACCATCACGACATCACCGGATGAGAATGAAGGAATGAAACGCGTCAAATCCAAGCTGGAAAAGTGGGAGTTTGATGGAAAGTACATTATCAATGGAGCCGCGAGTCGCAAATTGCGAGAAGAATTCAAGCAACTGGTTGGTTTTCAACAAGATGATGAAGCCGTCTTGGGAGGAGCGAAACTCCCCCGATTGTTATTCATCCCCAATCCCGCACTGCTGCACGTCTACATCCGAGCTCTGGGATGGGCGGGTAATTTCCCAGGGTTGTTGGAGGTCGTCACGAGTATGCGAGCTTTTCGCCAGGAAATCGAGGAGAGGAAGGAAAGGGATCGGTTGGGGAGGGATATGATGCGCAAGGTTATGGTCGCGCTGCGAGTCTTTCTGGAGAGAAGTTGGAGGGATGGGGCAAGTAGTGAGGGGTTCGATGCTCGATTGGCGATGACTGCGGATCGGAGGCTCGTCGAGGAGGTCCGGAGGATTGTGGAGAGTGTGGAGGAGTGGGAGGGATGGGCTACCGATGATGAGGTTGGGGCGTATGTTGCTCATAGGAGATTTGATGGGTTGAGGGGGGGTGATGTTTGTACATGAACTGTGAAGAAGTCCTGTAAAGATACGAAGAAGACTTTAAGAGGTCTGGTAATAAATAAATCCACGCCACAAAGCAAGCTCAACTTACTTTCTCACTACATGGTACTTGGGGAGACCTCTGGGAAGTCGATGATGAACGCCAACTATTGGAGGACATTYGAACCTCGCAGATTGAATGAGCCAGATKGGTACAACGATCCAAATGTACGTCTGCAACGAAAGAAAGCAGATGGCTTCGAGTGGGCGCAGTGCCAACTTCCACCATGTAGAGCGTCGGGAGTAGAAGTGTCGTCCTCTCACACTGTCCGTGAGATGAAATGAGATGTTCGTATTGGTGGTGGTGATTAGGTGTACAGGTTAATGTAATGTACAGAGTAAGGTACACAATGAAGTAGGAGCCTCTTGAATACACCACCTTCGCGTAGCTTCGACATACATTGGAGTCATTCGTGCCACGCCGCCGTATATATGGACAGAGCTTGAGCTTCTGGGTACAACACGAGTCGCACCTTTGAGGAACTACCCGCACCCCAAACTTCAACGGCAAGCGCTCGTGGATGGTTAGCTAGAGATAGGTTCGAGTGGCGAGTGGTCTGGTTGTTTGGACTGACATAAAAGGAGAGAGCATGGGAAGTATCACGACAGGAACCATTCGCAACTACTGAGCATTGCAAGGTTGAGGCAACGTGTGTAGACGGCGAAATGAAGGATTCCATTGCAACATACAGAAGGGGAAACATGCTGTCTCCTTTACATGCCCTCCTTCGACTTTTTGACGAGGGTTAGGGTTTATGTAGTAGAATTTTTCCTGATTTTTATGTAACGTGAAAAGCTTTCTAGGGAAGAGACACTGCACACATACCTTGGCTAAGACCAGAGTTGCCATACGGCTGGTCGCGCAGCATATCGGTGAAAACGATCAGCGGGCAAGGCCAGCWGGGCTGCAGCTTAGCGAGGTCTCGCCTTCGAATGTACCTTTGATCCTTCAATACTGTCTCCAGCCGAATATGATCCAGTGCATGCAAGGAGCGTAGGCTGAAGCCCGGATGGACTGGCACAAGGGATTTCGCCACAGACGCCTGCTCTAGCGTTGAGAAGACACAAAGTGTGGTGTCGTGGCAGCACCACGATATCTACTGGCCATCAGTGCTTAACAAATAGCACAGCAGCACACACCCGGACCTATTCATGCATCGCCAAGAGACATTGGAATGGCGAATCGCACCAGACGGACCCTGGCAAGCGGCTAGATCGAGCAACTGAGACATGCGATATCGATGCTTTGTGATCAACCATGGCCGCGCTGAAAAGGTGAAGATTCACGGTCGCTGCATGCGCAGGACTCCGGAAGACTTCCCACATGTCCGTTGTCATCGGCAGAGCAGTGAAGAGTRAAGATGTGAAGAGAAAAGAGGACGTTGAGATCCAAGATTGATGGACATGTGTAAGCGCTTGTCCTACTCAGGAGAGGCCACCGCGGGTCTGGGGTGTAGTTCATGCATCTTCGGCGGTGCGATTACACAAGCATGAACAAAGTCATGCATTATGCAACCCTTTTGGGATATTAGCCAGGCTCGACTGAGTCGAACCTCCGCAAATATCTGGCAGGGATTCAAGGAATTTCCTTTGAACGTATCTCGATTCTCGACTGGCATGGCCGGACGCTGCGCCAAGCTCGGGCTATCCAGGCCGTGCATATCGCTCTGATACGTGGAGGTGTAGGAAGTGCAGTCAGTACAAGCGATGTTCAGCCAGCGAAGCGCCAGAGCTGCAGGCAGCGATGATGATGATGATGATGATGATGGATGGCTGATGATAAGGTGAAGTTGTGCCGAAAGTATCGCGCGCGACATCGCATCCGCACCGAACATCCGTCGGCGCCACAGAGCACTCCGCGCGCGGCCTCGGGTGACCTTGCCTAGTCATCAGTAGGGGTGTTGGCAACGTTGATAACCTCGCTGAGTCCGTGCAGAAACGCCAGACGGTTGTAACGCTAATCGTTATCGACTGATATTACTGTATTAGTGTCAAGATTCCGCACGTAATGTAGCTATCCGATTGGTCAAAGGATTCGGACCGCCCCGGACCAGTATTCGGAGTCTGCAACGCAGGCAACATTATCAGATGCTGGCAGTATCGTGTTATCTACGTTGTTAACGATACCCCTGGTCATCAGCGGTCTTGCGACAGTGACGGTGTGAGTCCGTGACACTCTTGACCAGCCCGCCCTTGACCAGCCCTTGACCCTACCAACGGCATCAGACATTACTCATCGCCGCTTTTATAACCAACTCTGCAACGTCTTCTCGTCACTTCCATCCTCGAATACCTGACTTTACCTTCAACCTCTCTTACATCATCCGCCGCTTTCATCGGGACCTCCGTGTTCGACATTCACCACCGCTGCACCGACAACACCTCGAACTCCCAAACCTCACGTGCCCGTTTCATCCTCCTCCTCATCAGCGAGTAGAGCAGCAAAACAGCCGCTCGTTCTTGAGGATTTCAACATCGCACATTTCCACAGCCGAGACACCCGCCGCCAATATGCGATCCAACAGCATCTCCTCCATCTCCTCCATCTCCTCCATCTCCTCCATCGCTTCCCGCGCATCCTCCGCGGAGCCCGAGTCTACGATGCAGATCTTCGTCAAGAATGTGGCCGGAGACAGTAAGTATCAATCCAACAGGGCATTCAATGCGGAAGACCGCATCCGGAGATAGCGAGCTAACCGCCGCGCAGCCTTTCCCATCACCATCCCCGAGTCGACTTCGGTCGGCAATCTGCGCTCCCTCCTCGCTCTGCGAACCAACATGTCTGAATCCGAGCTCCGCCTCGTGTTTGCCGGAAAGCACCTTCCATCGTCCGCCGAGCCTCTCTCGGCATACAACGTCACCCGTGAGAGCACCATCCACATGGCTCTACCGATCCGTGGCGGTGCACCCAAGCGCATCCGCTGCAACTTCAAGGAGTGCAAAGATCAAGCGCAACGCATCGTGGGCGACTGTGGCTTCTGCCAGGGTCACTTCTGTGGAAAGCACCGCATGTTGGAGTCACATGCATGCACGGGGCTGGAGGACTGCAAGCAGGAGGAAAAGGACCGCAACAGGCAGAAGTTGGAGAGTGAGCGGACCGTCGCCATCAAGGGAATCTAGATGTGCAGAGCGCGTGAGACAGGCACGACGCTTATGGGAGGATCACTAGCATCATCAGTCCCCGAGGCACTTGATCAGTGCTAGAAGTGCTCATCGGGTGGGACCACCGACTGGGGAGACGGAGTCATTGCTTTCTTGTGGGTTTGCGTCTTTCAACAGCGAGGCGCTTAATGGTTGCACATGCGCAGGTAGGCTGTAAATRCCAAATACAATTCCACATATTCAACGAGGCCAACATGTTCATGTTCAATGTTTAGATATCAATGTTCGGATCTCCAGCCGCATCATTCACGACCGATCTCACGAGCAAGCTCCTGATCACAAGCAAGCACAGGCGCTGCGGATACTTCCGGTACATTCACTCGGCGACTTGACACTACTCAAGACCGCGACCACCCTTGCCACCTCGACAACAACCATTCCAAGCATTGATCCACCATCGTGTCTCTCTCGAACAGACCTCTCAAGCATTGGAAGCAACTGTCGCTGAGAGAACGCGTCAAGACGTTCGAATGCGCATGCAAGAAGTCGAGTCGGCCCATTCACTCCAACATCCACGTCTCGATACGGACGCTTCTGCGGACCCTCCGCRCGCAACCCCGCCGACAATCAGAACGATTTCGACTTTTTCCACAATAAGAATCAAATCTCTCTGCTCACTTTCCTTCACAATAAGAAAGAATTCAGTATCCTCTACAAAACTTCTGCAGCTCGAGTCCGGCCTTCCTTTCTTCAATCCACACCACTTCCTTCGATCACTCACTCACTCCCTTGACTTCATACCCTGAACCGGCTTCAGTACCTTGCACTCCCACTCCTTTCATTGTCAACTCTGAACCGGCTTCAGTACCAACCCTTCTTCCCAACACTCCACCTCACACACACACAAGATGGACAACTTCAACCTCAACGCAACTTTCGCGCCCGAAATCGACCCTGCCATAATGGCAGACATGTTCGGCGAAGATGGCCTTTCCCCTGCTGGCCAGCCAGGGCTGTACGAACAGGGCTACGGCCAGGAGTATCCAGACCCTCCGGCTCAGGGGGAGTCGCGGTACCCGCCGCCGCCCCAGGCCGGCGATTCGCAGTACGCTCAGCTTGCGTACGACCCGGCCCTCTACGACCAGCAGTACGRGAACACCTTCGCCACAGGAAACGAGCAATACACGCAGGGCGTGTACCCGGCTTTCTCGGACGCCCCATCCGAGTTCTATGGTCAGCAGTTCGGTCTCTCCGCCGAACAGACAGGACCATACCAGCAGCAGGGCTTCCAGCCGTATGGAACCCCGGGCTTCAACGGAGACGTCCAAACTCCCATGAAGGCGCCAAAGAAAGCTCCGAAGAAGCGTGCTTCCAAGAAAGCACCCAAGGGTGAGGAGGATGACTTCAAAATCACCAAGAAGTCCAAGAAAGCCTCCAAGAAGCGTGTCCGAGAGCCAACTCCTTCCGACGATGACGACGACGTGGTTCCAACCAGCACCAGAACCTCCAGAAAGGCATCGAAGAAGTCCTTCCGAGAGCCCACTCCCTTCTCCGAGGACGAGATTGTCCCAGTCAGCTACAGAGCCTTCAAGAACGCATCACCCAAGAACGCCGTCAAGAAGGAAGAAGKGATCGACGAGAAGCCCATCCAGACCCGTCCGACAACATCCCGAAAGGAGCCAGCCAAGGCACCAGCTCCTGCAGTTGAGGACTACACCGACTACACACGCATCACGAAGCTCCTTCCTTCCGCAACCGCCGCTTCTGCCACTCCCGATGATGCCTACATCGAGTTTCTGGATGCTCACCTCCCATTCGTCATCCTCCGATTGGCGACCGTGTGTGTTGGCCTCTGCCGTGAGGAGAACGACCTCGACAAGTACGCCGCAGCCGAGATGCTGGCTCAATTCGCAGTCGATTTCTTCGGCAAGGAGATGTGGGACACGGCCACCCACCACTACATCACCATCTCCCAGGACGGCGACGAATTCGAGCTCATGAAGGCATGCATGGCTGATTGCATCGGCACCTTCAACGGATTCTACAGCAAGGAGGTCGCTGCGTCGCTGCAGGAACAAGTCATCGAGTGTGGATTGTGGTACCAACAGCCGGCGGCAAAGTGAAGTGTTCAGTGGGAAGGCAAAGGTTTTGAGCACTCTCCGCTCACCAGCGAATTTGATTGACAGGAAGGGCTGCTGCCATCAACAACAGCAGAAGACAGGTGCGAGGTGCGAGATGCGGTTGCGAGTCAAAATGGCAGAGATTTCAGGGCGGGAAGATGGTGCATGTAGGTTGCCACCATGAGCAGCATCCTCCTCGAAGGAAACAAAGCCAGATCGCGGTGGGTGAGAAGCTGGAGGTCACATCGATGGCCTTGGAAAGATGCACATGAGCGCGGTAGCAGCTGCATGATTTGAGCTGTGGTTTCTTGGCTGTACACACCTACGTAACTTGAACAATGAATGATGAATGAAGGCTTGGAAGTGCCCGTGATCTTTCAATTCCGTGGACCATCATCTGCCATGTCTTGGCACAACTGCTTGGGCTCCTCTCGATCGACACGGCAGCGCGGGAGCCCGTCACCGCTCCGACTCTCTTGCAGGCCGGTCTAGATTGTGCTCCGGCATATGTCAGTGATTTCATCTAGAGTCTTCTTCAAAATGCAAAGATGACGAACGAAAGATGACGTTAGATCGATGAAAGATGCAGAAGTTCGAGATTCGGCCTCACAGAGGGATGACAGGATGCCACGTCCCAAGCTGTCATGTGATGGTCGTGCACTTCGAAAAGAAATGATAAGGAAGGCGGAAAGTCCGGACGAGTTGGAGGCTGCGTTACATTGCCTGCATAGGCGTTCCGCTGAAATTTGTTTGCTTGGTCATTGTAGTGTTTCGTTGAGGTCCTACGAGGCTTGGGCCAAGAGTTTTCCAAGATGCAGGAACATGTTACATGTCCTCCTAGAAGACTACTCTTCTTGTGTTGGGGAAGGGTAAGCTGCTTGTAGTTGAGCAGGGACATTATTGATGCTACCGCATTGCGTGAAAGTAGTGACCATTGAGACGAGGCGTATGAGTAATCACCTTCTAGACTTGGCTCGAATGCATGACCAAGCAGCCATGTAAAAATGCCAGGCGGGATGGTGGAACCTGTTGGTTCTGCCGTGGAACACAACGTTTTGGTACCCACCTACGTGATGTACGCGTTCGTTGTCGGCAGGATACAATCCGACGCGCTTCACGGAAAGGAGTGAATGAGGAGGAGGACAGATAAGCCGAATGAGGCGTCGCATTGGCTACAAGGCGCACCGAATTGTGAACCTGAGCGCGGCGCCCAGGCTGGGCGGAGGAGGCTGAGACTTGGGTGCACCCCGGAGAGGATAAGCACCTGCAAGATCAGAGGCGCCACGGGAGATCTTCAGGGCGCTAGTGAGCGTACCGATCACGTCCAAAGTCGACGACAGTTGAGGCCGAGGCGGGCGAGGATCGCGCGATTCGAGGACATTTTCGACGCCCTTTACATATCGGGGTGGAGGATCTCGAGGAGTGGGACGAATCTGGGCACATGCGCTGTCGCTGTTTCGGATGCACACCTACTGTCAACAGTGCATAGGTCGCATAGCAGTGCACGCGCGGCGAGGTCGCCATGATGATGATGTGAGCGACGGTCAATGGTTGTGCTTGTGGAAGGAACCCTGCGACACGCCTGTTGCACGTTACATGCTGGAGAGTCGCACKTTACAGGCCGCCCGGGCAGCCAAGAGCATTCACAGTGCTAAGGCGCAATTCCCACATGCCCTGGCGGAGGGACAAGAGGCCGAGGCCGCGCGAAATGGGGGCGGTTTCTGCAGGATGAGATCTTTGAGTTTAAATTTCGCCAAGCATACTGAAGGTTTGAACCTCCCCACGGACTCGGACGGGGCTGGCCTTGGACCCAGGAAACTTGACCAGAAATGCCATCGACCGCTTCAGGATCATCCCTGGCCACATGCTTATCGCGACGATGATGCTGATCACGATGATGTCTTGTCAGGAATGGATGCAGAACTTACAGACGAGAATATCACCAGCCGTTCTCCACCAAGTACGAACGAACGAACCCGCAATGCTCCGACGACGGTGACCCRGCATACCGATTGCGATTGCACTGCCTCGTCGCTCCCTCTCTCGCACGATMATCATGCGTGCAAGTGAATCATCATGCACGCAATTGCAATGTGCCTTTTGGCTGCACACGCAATCACGTCCTCCAAGCCTTGGCACATTACCTATCGGAACGTGTTCAACGCTTCGCCCGTTATCACTGGCCGTTGGTCCGCTGGGCCAAGAGGATCATCGTCCTCTTTTGCGCCTCTTCGGGTTCTTTATGACATAGCGTTGGCTGCAAACTACGTCTCACGTCCATCGCTTGGCGACCCACCGCAAGTTGGGCAAGCAAAGCCAGGGAGACCTGCTGTGGGGAATTTTTGGAAAACCCAAAGCTGTCTACCGACGGACTGGTGCAACATCCTGTATCTTGGCTTGTATAGCGCGCCGGGTGCGTAGTTGCCCCGAGGATTCATGTCCATGGTCGTCCCTGCCTGACCCCATACATCCCCGTCAATGCTCAAACTATATCAAACCTGCCGTTCCCTTCCCTATCTTATCGTTGCCTAATCTAAGAAACTTCTTTATCCATCATCCTCGTCCTTTTGCTGCACCTGTTCCTCTCCACGGTCATTCCAACCATGTCACGCAACTTCGACGAAAGAGGTCGGAGCGCATCGACAACAGCATCCACCAGGGCATCATCGACCAAGTCTCAATCGCGATCGACCAGTAATGCACGACACCTCGAGGCTTCCGAGAGCCCACAAAGGAAGATAAGCATTTCATCCAATTCAGAGGAGAAGATTGGTGAGAGCCCACCGAGAAGATCGCCGGAGATCGAGCTTCCACATGGACCAATCCCGCGACCGGAGACACTAGAGGCACTTGGAACACTGTCGGCGCAATCATACAGGCACGATGTTGCGGGAGAGCCCAAGTGGCCAAGAGAATGGCGAGCATATCTGTGCTTGTTCGGCGGCTTCCTGCTCATGTTCAACTCCTGGTTCGTATCCGATGACGCCCGCAGGTCGATTGATACATGCTGACTTGCTCTCAACAGGGGACTGGTAAACACATATGGAACCTACTCATCATTCTACATGCAGCACCTGCTGCCCGGCCAGGATCTTCTATACCTCAATCTCGTTGGATCGACTCAATCGGGGATTGTCTTGAWGCTCTCAGCCATCATTGGTCGCTTCCTCGATGCAGGATACATCCGGCATCTGTTAGTCATTGGGACGATTTTCATCACGGCTGGCTCTTTTGGTCTGAGTGGTGTCAACGGGGAAGGCAGATATGATGAAGGGAACTACGTACTGATCTGGCTCACCCAAGGACTGATCTCAGGGCTGGGCATGGCGTGCTTTTTCGTCAGCTCATCGCAGGGTATGTTGTGAAGCAGTCCCCGTGTAATGCAATGCACCACTAACACTCCAAAACAGTCGTCGCAACATGGTTCCAGGCGAGGAAGAGCTTCGCCATTGGCATCGTCGCCTCCGGCGCCAGCATTGCTGGCCTTCTCTACCCGATGATGACCAAGTTCCTCATCCAAGACGTGGGCTTCAACATCGCAACTCGCTATGTGGCTGCCGTTATCACCGCCACATGTGCTCTGACAGTCTTCATCGCCCGGCCAAACCCAAAGACGAAATTCCGTCACGTGGAAAACTGGTTCGATGTATCGATCTTCTGGGACGCGGAGGCTTTCACGGAACCTGCATACGTCTTCCTCGTCGCGGCCATTGCCTTCCTTTTCTTTGGATTCTACGCCATCTTTTTCAACCTCGAGGAATGGGCCATCAGTGAAGGATTCGGATTCCGCAAACCTCAGGGAAATGTCGGTCTGAACGAAGACATTCCCCAACCGCCACCCGACAAGTCTATTGAGACGTTCTGGTTGCTCGCCATCATGAACGCATCCTCTACCATTGGCCGTCTGGGATCCGCATACCTATGCGATCACTTTGGTGCGCTAAACGTCCACGCTGTTGTCACAACAATCGCTTCAATCCTGGTCCTTGCTCTCTGGACAACATCTCATGCTCTTGCCTCCGCAATCGCCTTCGTGGTCATCTTTGGAGCCTTTTCCGGAGCTGTTATCGGTCTCCCACCTGCTTCTGTCGCCTACGTCCTCGGCCCAGAACGCCAATCCAAGCTTGGACAATGGACGGGAATGATGTACACTTGCGCCGCGGCCTTTGCATTGGTTGGGCCTCTGATCGCGGGCCATCTCATCACTGAGTATTCAACATATCTCACGGTACAATTCTGGTCGGGCGCCAACATGGCCATGTCGGCATTTTGCATGTGCTGTGCGGTGCTATGCCGACGTCGTCATGACAAGAAGCACAACATGCAACGGTTATTCTCCACCGCAACCACTGTCGCTGTTGCCGACGAGGCTGAGAATGAGAAAGTTTGAGATTGTTTACGTTTGATTTTGGATTGAGAGGGTACGAGGCGTTTCAGGGTGACCACAGTCACAATACTGTTGGATGGATGGATTTGATACCAATACGGGGTTCTGGCATGGACATAGGTTGCATATTGGGATAGATGGGACGACTTTGACGAAGGTTACGAAAAAATGGACCTGTATCTAGTTCTTCTTGTCCAAAAATTGATAGTAAATAATTCTTCCAAAAGCATGAAACGACATCAAGCCGATGGGGATCAACACTACCGGTACAGCTGCAACAAATTTGACCGTTCTTATCGGACTTGCAGACAAAGTCGTCGCGTCGCCAAACCAAGCCTTCAAGGCGTTACAGGGAAGCGGCAGATCTTCTCTCATTCAAGACCTGCCAAGAGACGATGAGACAATGTTTGCGCTATCGTGTACCGGGGTTTGTTGAACCCGAGTTATCTGTCTGCTGCAGGTCAAATCCTGGGCATCACACTTGGCAAGCAGGTGAGGTTCACCATCGKTCTGACGAAGGAGGCGGAGCAGACAAGCGCGGGACCCGGGAAGGAAGCAGGGATGGGGGCGTGGGATGGATGCAGGATGATCTGCGTTGATCTTGGCAGTTTACTGTTTGAGTAACTTTGGAATGGGCCCGTCAATTGCCGGTACTGCTTTGGGGACGATGGACTTCCCCTTTGTTGGACTTGTAGTAGGGGCAGACGTGTGWGACAGTGCCCACTATGAGCGTTCCTGCATGTTTCTCCCCATCTCTCTGACGGGACGGCGGCGAAGACAATCGATCATACCTACTAGCTTTGGATCCTGCGATACACGCAGCTCATCGACCTCGGAGCTCTTCGTATGCAACGCGTTCGCATCGATGATTCTCGTCATCAAGCTTGTTGCGAATGTCGCTGATCGAGCTGTTCCTGTCTTTTCTCGTGAAAGCCAATGCCGTTAACAAGGAGCAGGCTCCGACCCCTCCYATGCAAATTAACCACGGGAAAGGAAATCCGCCGCGCGTTGTCAACAAGACAAAGCAAGCAACATGACGCGAGGAGATATTCTAGTTGCGATTCGAAGCTTCTCAATGCTCATCATCCTCAAGGGTATGTGCACACACAAGGGTGTTCGCCATGATCCTTGCAACGAGGCGAAGCGCACCAAAACAGCAGCAAAGCTCCCTCGATCCTGGTCTCTCGGCACTTGGAAAGACACGATCAAAGAGCTTCTTTTGACAGAGTGCTTGTTCAGACATACAAGGGGCGTCAAAACGTGTTCGCCGGAGTTGTTGTCCGAAATGTGAATGATATCCACGTGCTGTGCGAAAGAAGAACAACACATCACATCCTTCCGCCCCCAGACATCCCGGCTAAAAAGGCAGCAAAGAAGATCCCTCCTCGCCAAGATTTCGAGTGGATCAGAAATGAAACGCTTCGCGTGAAGTACGGCAGTTCTTGACATTGTGCGCGGTTTATTCCGGATCTGACAGGGCAAGCTTAGGGCAGGCATCTGTATCATCAGCCGGCAGCCGTGTGCACGTATGCCCTGTGCACAGTGAGACCAGGAGGATGGAACGCATCCACATCGGCATGCCGCTCTGAAAGTAAAGGCCACACCATCCACACGGGGGAGACTCGAGACGGGGGTGGTCTTGGCGAAGACCAGGAGGAATGTGGGCTGAGTGTCACGGCAGCCACTCAATCTGCTTGATGTGTTCTTGGTAAGGATCGGACTGGAGRCTTGCTTGGACATGGTGGCTTAGCAAGACGGCGCGTGTCCTGGAGTTTCGGCTGGACGTGTTACTGGAGAGAGGGAGGTGAGGCTGTGTTCCGTCATCTTTGCTTCGGTCGGCGAGGGTGGAGGAAGTTGGGAAGTGGCAGGATCTGGGATTGGGGGAGAGTTTTGCATCATGTGTTCTCGGGGTGAGATTATTTTGGGACGGAAGATGTGGATGAGCCTGGTCCTCCTCTTGCCGTATGCTGACTGTGTCGACGTAGAGAACGGCCGACGGATCAAGATGCATCCGATGTGGAAAAGAGGAGCAAGAGTAGGGATACACCTACCGCAGACCTCTCGTATACTGAGAGAGACGTGCCAAGGTGTCGGAGTATCATCGCGAGATCGCCTGAACAGTGGACGGCTGCTCTTTGCATCTTCTCCTCGTCCCTGATGCCTGGTAACCTTGCCCATCCCGGTGCAGCGAGACAATGTGCCTTTACATTTCATCCACGCGATCGTTGACGAATCCCGCCCATCACCTTCAGTCCCATCTGTCAGCCCCGTCCCCTGTGCATCGAATTCTCTTCGGGGGAATGGTCTAGGGTTTATGACGCTCATCACTCGCTGGCCTAGCTGTTGAGAGCGGTGGGAGACGAAGGTTCGAGTATTCTTTCCTCAACACATTTTGACTCTTCCTGCCACATTGATTGAACCTGACAACTCTATATTGTCTCGTCCCCTTTGGCACGGTGCTTGCAAGTGAGTTGCGCGTTGTGCATGTGGACTTCTGTCGGTCTCCTGTTTGAAGTCATTCCATAGCTATACATACCCTCTTCTTATACACAGGCGCCTCAAACTCCACTTCATATGCCTTCAGAACAGCCTCTCCTTCAGATATTTCTCCACCAAGGGCTTCACGTGTCCCTTGATCATAATGTGTCCCGTAATACCATTGACCACAACCTCCTTCTTCTTCAGAACCTGCTTCAACTCATCCCTCAGCACAAACCTATCCCCGTCCACTTTTTTGATCCTCGTCATCAACAGATTCCCTCCTCGTTTCCGTAGTGTATACACGGGTAATTCATGATTCGCACTCCTCGTGACAAAATACGGCAAGTTGGGCGCGCATTGCTCGGCGGGGAGTGCTTCGACAGGTTTTGGGATCAAAGTGGGAGGTTCAGGCTGATGATGAGAAGGCCGTCGCGTTGGGTAGTGGCGGAGTTTTGTGGGATGAGCTGTCCTGCGCGACGCCTTGGAGATCTTGGGTCGTGGGTTGGAGCGCATGTTTGATGGAGGGTATGATTCTTCGGCGGTCCGCGAGGCGCGGAGATTGCGATCTAGATTGGACATGTATTTAGATGGAGAAGATTGAACGGCATTGGCAATGGACATACCCTCTGCAGGCGCTGCTGCTTCGTGGCATTGTGAGGTGGTGGAGAAGCGGAGGAAGCGAGCGAGGGTTGCTGGCCGCGGCGGACCTAATGGACGGAGGAAGGGCAGCATGGTGTTGAAAATGCAGTGGCGGTGGTCTGGATTGGATATGGCTTTCACGTCCAACAAGATCTACCTCATTCTGGTAATGTCTGTAGATGGAAGTCGGGGGTCGGACATGGTCCGCCGATCTTCGCGCCAAGAGCAATAAAATCGTCGCGAAGTCACCAACACCACCATCCAAGGACCCCACCTCGTCGAACATCTCCCACTCCCACTCCCTTTCCTCCCTCCCTCCACCGTACAACGACCGCGAACATGGCCACCGTGGATGTCTCGGAGCACAGCCTCCTCTCACAATTGATTCCCCATCTCGACCGCCATCTCGTCTTCCCGCTGCTCAACTTTGAGGAGGAACAGACGCCCGAAGAGCAGGACACGACCCACATCACCAAGCTGAAATATGCGCTGCTCAAGGAGACCAACATGCACGATTTCGTCGGAGATCTTTACGCGGATTTGAATYCGCTCGATGAGCGCCCAGCAGAATACGYGGCCAAGCGCGAGGAAGTGCTGGAGAGACGGCGCATCTTCGAGGAGGAGACGGAGAAGATCCAGGGTCTGCTGGCCAGCGAGGATGTCATCACCAACCTGCGTAGTGACAAGAACAGCAACATGAACTACTTGAAGGAGAACCACGGAGTCACCCCACAAATGGTCGACCAGCTGTACGACTTCGGCCAGTTCCAGTACGCATGTGGTGACTATGGCTCAGCCGCCGAGCTTCTCTACCAGTTCCGTATCCTTTCCACCGACAACGACAAGGTCAACGCCGCGACGTGGGGAAAGCTGGCCTGTGACATCTTGACCGTTAACTGGGAGAGCGCAATGGAGGAGGTGATGAAGATCAAGGAAAGCATCGACACACGTCTCTTCAACAACCCACTCGCCCAGCTGCAGCACCGCACTTGGTTGGTCACCTGGTCACTCTTCCCCTTCTTCAACCATGAGCCGGCGCGCGAGGCTCTCACCGAACTCTTCTTCTCCCCCGCATACATCAACACCATCCAGACTTCATGCCCGTGGATCCTGCGCTACCTCTGCGCAGCCGTCATCACCAACCGTAACCGGCCCGGCAGCAAGAGCAACTTCATCTATGGCAACTACCAGAAGCAGCTGAAGGATCTCGTTCGTATCGTCAGGCAGGAGCAGTACGAGTACAACGACCCCGTAACCTCATTCGTCAAGGCGCTCTATGTCGATTTCGACTTTGAGGAGTCGCAGAAGCGTCTGTTGGAGTCAGAGGAGATCTTAAAGGCCGACTTCTTTTTGGCCGCTGCTTCAGAGACCTTCACCGATGCTGCGAGACATTTGATTTCGGAGAGCTACTGCAAGATTCACCAACGGATTGATATCAAGTAAGTCCTTGGCATCCACATCGTCTTATGGTTCTTTATTAATGTTGATGTAGGGACCTCTCCACCCGCCTCGGCCTCTCGCACGATGAGGGTGAGAAGTGGATTGTCAACCTTATCCGTGACACACGCGTCGACGCCAAGATTGACTACAAGGCCGGTACTGTGGTCATGAACCACCCGCCCGTCAGCGTTTATCAGCAGGTCATTGAGCGCACCAAGGGCGGCTTCTTCCGGACACAGGTGTTGAGTGCTGCTGTTGCTCGATAAAGAAGAAGATACGTGTGAAGTACAGGGCTTCCGAATGAAAAGTGCCGAGTCTGGGGATGGTGATTAGCGAGGATGTGCAAATGTCAAAATGGACAACGACACGAGTGGTGTGGTGCATGGCAATTGGCGTTGAATGTCCAACGCGGCGTCGGAGTAATGGTTGTCGGAGGGAAGCAAGGTGCAATCGAGCGAGGCTCGAATACCATTGGCGGCGCCGTGAGCGAGCTCAAAAATGTAACGGGAAGATGAATAGATGGTGATTCGTACTGCTATCACGACCATATCGCACGAGCCCGCCGACGAAATGAAAAGAATGAGAGAATCCAAACATGATCTGCAGGTTCACCCAAAAAGTGCCATTGCTATTCCAACAGCAAAGCAGATCCCATTGTAGCTTGTAGAAATGGCCAAACCGTTCGTTTCTCAGCAAATATCCTGCTAGTCAGTTAGTTCCTTCTTTCAAACGCGTCACGCTACATGCTCCTGGAAAAGCCTCTTGAAACCTTCACGATSGCACCGTTACATGGGTTCACGAGCGTACGGGATGCTGCAGGAGCGGCTTGGCATGACCAGCGGCTCCTTAAAAATCCTTCCAAAAAGGAAAAAGGCAAGACAAGAAGCAAGAGCAAAAAAGAATGTTGCTGGAGAAGGCCGGAGTCGAACAGGCATTACTATCACAAGCGGCCCTGAGATCAGATCTCCTCGTACAAGGCACAAATACCAAAGACCCACGGGGGATGAAACCCGTGAGTCTGAGGTTCGGTTCTGGATTACGAGCAGATCTGGGACGTCGGATAAGCGTCTTACCGTTGGACTACATCCCCTTATTCTTTATTGGAAGAAGAGGAATTGTGGATGATGATATATGTCAAGGTAGTGGTGGTCGGCAGAAAGGCGGCCGGGAGGTATGTTTGTTTGTTTGTGTGCGGAGGGATAGCTGCATGAGTGAGCGTATCTCGCAAAGGTGTCTGTCCGACGGAGACTTTCCCAAAAAGTGGAAGCAAAAGTAAAAGCAAAACGAAAAAAAAAAAACGATTGGAGACAGCCGGAGTCGAACAGGCATTTCTCTCCCTCTGGTGAGGCAGAAGCTTTTGTGTAAGATACATTCAAACTTGTTCGTTTTAGGTACGAACGTCGTTTCCATTACTTGCACAGCCGAGAGTGTATTAACTAAGAGTGTCTTACCGCTAGACTACATCCCCTATAGTTGTTTTGGTGTGTTGAATGAAGAAGGTGGAGTGGTTTCTATTCAAGTAGTTAGGGTTTGCAAACACGCTCGTGAATGCCAAGACTGTTACTTGCCGGTGGTTGATCCGCTTGCGATTCATCCCATCTCCGACGAGCTGACTCTTAGTTTAGAAGACCTCGTGACAAGTGGCCAAGAGGGGTCGGAAGGTCTATAAATTGATCTACAGTCTGACGTATAAATCTACCGTATCGTTGTATCGAATCGTCAAGGCTTGTTTCCATCAGCAAGCCCCTATTGCGACTTTCGAATGGATCAATGAGAACTACTGTTGCGAAACTACCTGCTGGACGAATGTGCTTTCAGCGACGCAGTCTAAACAACACTATCTTCTTGAGACGTGGATCTCATGCATCGAGGGATATGTCAAGACGTCGTCAGTTTGTGCTAGACAAGCACACGTTGATACTACCACAAATTGGACCATTTCTCTGATTCCACGGACTATCATATCAAGACCAACTACCAACACCATTGGGGTATAATCCTACACATGGAACAGCAGCCTTCATGCTCTCCCATGCCATCGCATGGATGCATGCATCCTCTCCTCGGAGTTTCACTCTTCTCAATCATTGATCCCCGATCCCATCAAAACGCCAACGCTAACCACAGAATTACACCACACCTCCGAAGCCTACCCTCATCATCGTCACCCATCTTTCCGTGAATCGGGGGATTTTCGTCCTGCTTTTAGTCCAGCTCAATTATTTCTTGCCGAGGATCCTTCTTCCCCGCAGACTTGAAAGTTGTGGCATCTTGCCCTCCATTCTCAGAGGCATCAAGAGCATTTCCCTTGTCAGCCTCTGCACCTCCAAACTCCCTCATGATCCCATCAACCCGCATCAGAACCTCCACGATCCCCGGCATCTCAACCACACAGGCTGCCTTCCCATCCCCAAACCAGCCCTCCCCTCGATCTTGACAAAGCTTCAAAAACGCGAATCGCACAGGATCTGGTAAGCCCCTACCATCATTCTCCCCAAGCGGCGTACCGACTTTCCAGTGGAAACCTTTGGCTCGGCTCCTCAAATGAAGTATGATCTTGCATGCGGGTAGTGGAGCCTTGTACTCCACCACAAACGCCAGCGGGCTGTGAATGTGTATTGCTACTGAGCCCACAGGCCGCGAAATTTCAATCTTGTCGAAAGTTTGAAAGGCTGGGATCGTGCTTGTCAATATCCTTAGCATGGTATGGAAAGCAGCCGGAGGAGCCTTCTTGCTCAAAGAGTTGAGGGCCAGTTCCATCTGGACGCGGCCACGGTGATGCGGATTGGTATTGGCAGGGCCTAATTTGAGGCTCACAGGCAAGCCGCCGTCGTTGCCGTCGAAGTTGAGCGTTGCTGTTAATCTCGGTTCTTCGGAGTAAACAAACTCGAAGCGTCTGAGATTGAGTTTCAGAACTCTATGCTTGTACATGTTCAATATGGTGAGGTACTCGTTGAATCGTCCACATGCCTCTAATCTCGCTCTGATTCGTTGCGTGTATCGCTGACCAAAGGGCGTCATCAGCTGTAAAGCCAAGGCACCAGACTTGTTCATAGCAATGTCTGAATCTCGGTTCTTCGTGGCGAGATAGGTCTGCAGGTGGCCCAGCGACCCCGGTTTGACAGTCAATCGAATGGAATGTCTCATTCCTGACTGCTCGCCGTCTGCAGACTCAATTACTGATACTCCAGTGTGTATCAGGCGAATGACATCTGTTTTGAGAGTCCGTGGGGTTGCATCGGGTCCAGACTTGACCAGAGGAGCTGCATCGAAGACAACAGCAGTGGATGACGTGGATGGCCTCTCAGGGCCTGCATCGGCGGATCGAGCATCCAGGGGAGTGGTGGTCTCGACTTTGAAACGTATGCTCTGCTCGCGGAGCTCCTGTGTAAGCACCGCCATGGAGATCTCAGCAGCAGCAGATTTCTCAACTCGGAGGAGTTGCGCCCTTGAAACGCTGCAATCCGTGAAGAGATTGGCAGAAATCCGCCTGGCCTCAGCAATAACTCTCAGCTTTGAATCACTGGTTGACTGCTCGAGCCGCGACGCCCACCATTTCTCGCCAGCCAGGCCAAAGGTCACGACCAATGCCCAAGAATCGCCCCAGCCAACACTGCAGCGGTAAATGCTCCTCGCGATCACWCCGGTGCCGAATAGTGCGACAACGCTAGCTGATGTAAGAGGGACTAGGGCTTGTCTGGGAATACTCTTCCACCCAGCGAGTTCCGCTGCCTTCCCAACGCGTTCTTGTACCAATTGAGCAAGAAGCTGAACCAAAGACGTTGCAATATCGCTGGTATGGTCGGCGTTGATGGCATGCTCTACGCGCGCTGTTGAAGAAGTCGCGGGAGAGATGGACCATCTCCCAGTGACACCCGACAGTTTTACGGTCAGCGGAATGCGAAGTCCAGGTAGTGACAACGCGAGCGAGCATGCCTCGGGGTTCGATGCAGACGTCGTGAGATTGATGGTGAGCTTGTTCGTGGCACTCGAGAGCTTGCGCAACCGATCCTTGATTGTACCAAGCATCCAAGACACATGCTTTGCGGTCGTGACAGCCAGTACAGCTTCCGCGCTGATRTCTTGCCAGTCCACGTGGATTGCATCCTCTTCTAGTGTAGCCTCCTTCCCGTTGCGGAACCATCGGACGGCAAGCTGAGGTGTGGCAGCTTGCGCTCGCTTGGCCTGCCGTCTGCCAGTAGATACACCAATCTCCAGCCAGCTTTTGGGACCCGGCATGATGCTCCAATATTGGATAATCAACACCCTCTTCTTCAGCTCGACAACTAAGCAGTCGAACCACTTCTCCCGCAAGAGATTGAAAGTCTGATCACGAAGCACGTTGATCTTGTGGGTGAGAACAAAGTTGTGGATGAGGTCGTAACAGCCCTTGGTACCATCCTTGGCCAGCGCAATGTTTGCATGATTTTCCAATACCCCTCGTAGTCCTTCGTCGGAAAGAGTAGGCGCTGGATTGAACAGAAATCTTATGTCGATGAAGTAGAATGGGGTGGAGGTATCCTCATCCGCGACAGAGAGATCAACCTCAAATTCCTGTGGCACTTGAAACGTTGCCCGACCATTGGCAATGGAGAAGTCATTGAAATGAAACGGCAATTCTTCATGCAGATTCAGYCGAGTCGCCAGTGCAACATTCATATCCTGCAAAGTTCTGAGCAATTGCTTTGCTGTAAGACGCTTCGGGGGAAGATAGCCCAGATCTGGTATGTGCGACGCCTTGCCCGTGGCCAGCAGCTCCAGCGCACCCTCAATGTTCGGGTTGGGCATCTTCGCACCGGCCATGTTGGTCTTCATAGTACCTATGAAACGCATCGCAGCGTGCTGGGCAGCGACCTGCTTCTCCTGCCATACTTTGATATCGACCAACCGTGCCATGTCGTCAGCGTTCCGTGCCCAGTCCGACAGAACCAGAGTCTTGATGAAGCGGTCACGCTGATTGTGAGCAAATTCGATCAGAGCACGTTTCCTCGATAGGCTGGCCTCGGATGTGTCGGTGGCATGAGGAACAATGCCATTGGCCTGGGCCGGCGCTTGAGGAGCTTCTGCCATTTTGGTGAGGGTGTCGTTCAAATCTGCCATACACTGCTGTGCCAGACGTTCCATCATCACGCCCATGGGCTTGTTCGCGTCCGACTGCCGCCATGACTGATCAATCTCTGGGGGTGTGGGGAGTCCTTTTGTCATGTCGGTGGTAAGTGAGTGTGCAAAGTTTTGTACGTGTGCTCCATTCGGTAGCGGGGCTCCATTTGGCAAAGCTCCAGGCTGACCAAACTTGTGTATGCCTTCCTGCTTCACGTCGTTCTGCTTCCCTTCATCATGCATGCGGTCTCTTTTCGAGTCCTGAGACCCGAATGCTGTCTGCTGCTCCATGACCAATCTCCCGGGCATCGCACCACTCCCGCCACCCTCAGTCCACTCCGCACCTCCTCCACCCGGTTCCTGCCCGTCCTGTGGCTCGGCCTGGTGCTGTATTGTGACTRGCCAGCACGTTCTTGCTTTAGATCATGTCGCGCTGGGTGTACCGCGCGCTTCCAGGAGGAAAAGTGCGCTATCGGTGGTGGATGGAATTGGTTCGAGCAAGGATCGTTCGGTGGTTGTTGTAGCGATGCGCGCTTTAGTGCAAGATGACCTCAGATTAGATGAGGTCCAGATGCGGGCGCGCGATGATGCCGCATTCGGTGTCGCATGCGCACGCCAAGCTCAGCGTGCAAATCGGCTCCGTGTGAGGTGTTTGGTCGGTGAACAGTGGTGAAGATCGAGTAGAGTGGTGTTCGAGCGCCCAAAGGGTTTGTGGATTGGCGGAGATGTTGGGCAATGGATGGAGGCCGTCAATCAATCAACGTTGAATTAGAATTGGACGGCCGGGCGTCGCTCCGTCCCAGAAGATCATCCCTGCCTACTTTGCATGATACAAGACGAACATTTCTCCTCACTCAACCACGGCGACATTCACGCGTCAAACTACGCGTCAGTGCTTCATGGCTCAAAGATCCAAACAAGCTTGAAGCCGTGCTGAGATACAGGAGATACAGAGGAGGCTGTCATCACCTATGTAGGCCGTCACATATCTCTTTCATCTCTCCCTGGGCGGGATGGACCGAAATGGCGTGTATAGAGGAGAGGATGCCCTCAAGGGCCTCAACAGCCGCTACATGATGCCGGCTTGAGCCATTCAGTGCGCTGTTTCCAACACCCGGGACTCCAGGCTCTACTTTCGGTGCACTGCGAGTTGATGGCGACTATGCACGTTCATACGTACTGGAAGATGCTCCCAAAATGATCGGCTGCAGGTAGTCCTTCAGGCGGCGCATTCCACTCCGATGCGTCGGGCAGATGTGCACTGCTTGCAAAGTGAAGCGTTGGACCTGGTCACTTGCGCAGAGGGCGGAGACACGTGCATGATGCATCCCGTCATCTCGCCTATTCTAAGGTAGGGCGATCAACTGACCAGGTTGATGGGCTCGACGCACACCCTCCTCAACGCACGCATGTCTTATCGCGATACCCGCCAGGCAAGTGGAGCAGACGCTACATCTACAGAGGCAGGCCGGGTGCGTGCGAAAATCTTCCAATCCACTCGTCTGCAGCTTGCACCTCTCTCCTTTCTCCCTTCCTTCCCATACGGCACCTAGCTCAAACACGCAACGGAAAGTGTAACCGATGGGCTTAGATTAGGTTTCGGCTGCGATGGTTCCGAGAGATCAACCTCCTCCGCTGATCTCACCCTCTCGTGTTCACTTCCATCATCAAACAAACGTCGACACTACTCCCCAGCTTTCTCCTACAACATATCGTCTTCTACACTCGCACTCGCCATCCTCTGGGCTGGGAAACGAAGCCGATGACGAACGCTCCTCGCTGTCCTTGTCTTCCACAAGGTCCTCGCTCTACCGTCTGACGAGATCAATGTCTCTGGACAACCWCAATTCCGACCCTTCGTATCTTGGCGAAGATACAAGACCAACTTCCAAAAAAGAACTACTCGGATTCTACGCCTATTCCTTCGCTGCAGAAGTGTTCGTCGTTTGCGGACTGGGAGCGTTTATTCCTATAACTTTGGAGGATCTCGCCAGAGCTTCACCATCAGCTGTTCTCGCCCACGACCATAGCAGATCATGTAAAGCCCACGGGATCGAGCGGTCCATTTCCGCTGCTTCGTCGCCACTCTCTCTTCGCGGCGACATTCACGATCCAACTTCACGCAAGGGAGCGCAATGTGTCATCAACGTGCTGGGTTGGGAAATGAACACTGCTTCTTTCGCCATGTACACATTCTCTCTGAGTGTGCTTGTCCAGGCTTTACTCGTTGTGACAATGTCGGGGGCAGCGGATCACGGCCAGTATCGGAAGAAGTTGCTGATAGGATTCGCCATTGTCGGAGCTCTTGCCACGATGCTATACCTGCCTGTGACGCCGAATTACTATCTCCTGGGGAGCTTGTGGGCTATTGTTGGTAACGTGTGTGTCGGAGCCAGCTTTGTTCTGTTGAACTCATTCTTGCCACTGCTTGTAAGGTGGCATCCTTCGACACCATCGGCTGAATCCATCAGCGATAGCGATGATGACGGCAGAGATTGGCAACACACTGACGAGGTTAGTCCGAGATACGGTTCTGTCGCTCCTCTCATTCACGAAGCCTCCCGCCACTCTTGAACGTACCTTGGCGTAATGCGAGACTTGATACGTCTGGACTTGGCATGGTCACAGTACTCATACGAGGATCATTGTCACAAGTTCACAATGTCTCCCTGGTATTCACAAATACTGTGCCTCGTCTTTTGCTGCAAATCAAACATTGCATTCCTGTGCGATATGGAATACCCACGGGTTGTTGAACGACAGTCTTTTCATACCATGTCATCAATCTGGTCGTCCCTTTTATACTGACACAGATGATGTAGGCTACGTCCGCTGAGCACCACCAAACTAGGATGTTGGACTCTACAGCTGGTCTACTGTCAGCTCATGACGGGTCCACACCTCGCCCATCAAATTCACCACCCTCACTGGAGATGCAACTCTCAACCAAAATATCCTCCTACGGCGTCGGCATTGGCTACATCGCCGCCGTGGTTGTTCAAATCATCYCAATTGTCATACTCAAATCGACCGGCGCCGACCTGTTCTCCCTACGTCTGGTGCTCTTTACCATAGGCCTCTGGTGGCTGGTCTTCACGATCCCAGCAGCTTATCTCCTTCGACCTCGTCCTGGACCGCCCATGGCAGCTTCCAAATACACCGGCACGTCGCAAACTCGTCAGTGGCTTGCATACATTACATTTTCCTGGACCAATCTCTACCGCACCATGCTCCGTGCTCGCCGCTTAAAAGACATCCTCCTATTTCTCGCCGCGTGGTTCATGATCTCCGATGCGGTAGCAACCGTAAGCGGTACCGCCATCCTCTTCGCCAAGACCACTCTAGGAATGAACAGCTCCGCGCTCGCGTTGATCAATGTCATCGTCACTATATCCGGAATCTGCGGCGCTTTCACATGGAGTAAAGTCAGCCGAATGATGAATCTATCGCCCTCCCATACCATCCTGACTTGCATTTGTATCTTTGAGTTGATACCTCTCTATGGTCTTCTGGGTTACATTCCCTTCATCCAGCGTCTCGGAACAGGAGGTCTGCAACAACCCTGGGAAATGTATCCCGTCGGCGCAGTCTATGGACTCGTTCTCGGCGGTCTATCCAGCTACTGTCGAAGTTTATACGGAGAATTGATTCCTCCGGGAAACGAGGCGGCATTCTATGCTTTGTACGCCATCACCGATAAAGGCAGTTCTGTCTTCGGGCCTGCGATTGTGGGCGCCATCACAGATGCTACGGGAGATATCCGACCCGCATTCTTCTTCTTGGCGGTATTGATAGGCGCTCCTATACCTTTGATGTTTCTCGTGGATGTGGAGAGGGGGAAGAGGGAAGGGTTGCGGTTAATGCGGGAGGGTGTGTTGCTTGCTGATGGAGGAGAGCAGGATGTGGCGTATGATGTGGTACCGGGAGCTGATATTGATCAACACGATGAGCGCGATGCCGAGCGGCGATAGAAGCTCAAATAGTTGTACATATCTTCYGCTACCCGCTCAATAGAAAGAAGGTCTTCGCTAGGTATTCTCGCTCATAATGTTGTTTTCGGTAACTACTGTAGCCTTCAGACGGTATGGTAAGGTAGAATGGCCGACAATGTCTACCCTTGCACGTCAGACCACGTGCGAACCCTGGGATGCTGTCGTGCTGGAGTCTCTGTTAACAATGACAGTAGCTCACCGTACCAAGACTCTCTGTCTGGTAGCGGAACCCCCCCATTGGCAGAATCACTCGCCTCACTATCAAGAGACATTATTAAAGTGCTAATCTCGTCACAGAAACCTCACATCGATAGCTCTAGATTCGACAAACATTATTGATCATTCTATCTGGTGTAGCTCTCACTGCTCTATATCATTCAACCAACACCGCGCTTGTAATCAAAAAACCACGTCCCAACAACCCCTTTATTATATGATGTGTGCGTTTCGTTCGTTGGTCTTCGTACGTCCCATATTATAAGTGAGGTAATTGGAGCCGTAACTCTGAGCTGATGAGTAGCCTCTCTGCATCATACCTCCCTGAGGACGTGTACTTGTGGTGGTGGACTGCGCACGCTGAGTAGTTTCCGCTCCCTCTTGCGGCTGGGTCGTCGCTTCCGGCTTCTTCTCTTCATCACTCTTGGAGTCATTGTTTTTCTTGGACTTGCTCTTTGATACCTTGGTCTTCTTGGAGCTCTTCCGGACCCGGAAGAAGTAGTAGAGGAAAACCGTGACGAAGATGTTGAAGATGATGTAGACCCAGAAAATTCCGACATTTCTCCATCGGTCAGACCATTTGATGCCGACTCCCTCGAGGAATGTGTCGGCGACTCGAATGGAACAGTAGGCGCAGTCGCTCGTGGCATCGGGGTTTTGAAGCTGACCGGGCGCGGCCGCGAGATAGGGGGCCATGTATTCGCCACATGTAGAACCTGATGGCGGCTGGAAGACGCTGATCTCACTTTCGGAGCAAGTCACCTGGCGATCATGCAACATGGCAGCAGCCATGGATCCAACCTGGGAGAAGAAGTTAGCATATCTCTTTGACATTGGGGGGTGATGAAGGCTTGGGGTCACGCCCTTGGCCTTCTGAATTRAGCTCACCCAGTATGTGAAGGGGCTAGTCCTGTACATGAATATCCAGAATCCAGGTAGAGCGGACGGAGGCTGCATGACACCATTGAAGATCAGAGACATGAAGAAGAGGAATGTGACGATCGCTCCGGCCGTTTGGGCATCCGGCATCACGACGATGCACATGTGAGCAAAAGTCGAGGCGTAGATGAACAGAATCACGCAGAGTACAAGCACCAAGCCTTGCCGCTCTGAGCTCTGGATTCCGACGACGGGGTAGTAGAAAGTGGCATATGCGAGCAGACCGGCACAAATCTGGTACGGGAGCTCGACGACAATGTTGGCGATGAGGAATGCGATCCATGAGTACGCTTTCGAGGGACGTTCGCGGACTTCATATAAGCTCCTTTGGGTCACAAAAAGTGGCTGGATCTGCTGGACAAGAGTACTGAAGATGGTCGTAAGCATGAAGAGCGAGTAGAGGACATTCTGCATTCCCTGGAGGGTGGCATCGGCCTGATAGAAGGAGAATCCGATGAACAAGCCGGATGCCTAAGTATGTCAGTCAGTGTCTGTAGTGAATGTCGAGAGGCCAAGAGGGAGGGCTTACCGTGGATAGAGCGAATTTCGCCATCACGTAGGATGGCATGCGCCAATACTGCTGGAAGACACGCCCGGTAACAGCTCCGATCTGGGCCGTGAGAGGCATGGCAAATTCAGCATGGGCGGTCTCGTCGTCGTCGTCCGAAGTCGCTCCCTTGCGCTCTTTGTGGATATTGTCGATTTCCTGCTGGACGCCAGATGCCTCCTTGCTGTTGTTCCAGGTTCCCACCCAATCGGCCTTTTCGTCTCCAACAATCTCAAGCATGTACTCGGCAGGATTCTCTTCTTTGCCACATTCGCGAGCGCCGTTGCCCTCGAAGTAATCCAGAAGTGTTCGTGAGTTCTTTCCAATGTCACCAAAGTAGACCGTTTTTCCTCCCTTGCGGAGGAAGAGAAGTCTATCGAACTCCTGGAAGAGGATGGCAGAAGGCTGGTGAATAGTACAGAGAACGGCCTGTCCGGCGTCTGCGAGTTTGCGGRGGAAAGCGCAAATGGCCCAAGCAGATTGCGAGTCGAGACCACTGGTTGGCTCATCCAAAAAGAGAAGCAACTTCGGTTTGGCTGCAAGCTCCACTCCGATAGTAAGCAGTTTACGTTGCTCGACGTTAAGTCCTTCTCCTGGCACACCAACAACAGCCTCGGCAAAGTCCTCCATGTTGAGCATCTTGATAACGTCTTCAACGTAAGCGTACTTTTCTTCTTTACTGACCGTCTTGGGCTGGCGAAGCATAGCAGAGAATCGGAGGGACTCGCGGACGGTGGCGGTGTCCAAGTGTAGATCTTGTTGCTGTACGTATCCAGTTTTACGCTGGAAACTGGCATCGAGGGGAGCACCGTTAACGAACATATTTCCGGTGACCACACCCATGGTCGTTCGTTGAGCCAGGACCTGTTCATACTATTAGCCACCCCTCTCTTGGTATTGACGGTGCACACTTACATCAAGAAGAGTTGTCTTTCCGGCTCCWCTTGTACCTAGTGAACAAAAGCGTTAGCGATGCCTGAAATAACGTGGTGGTGTAGCGAAGCTTGCGCAGCATGAGACACCCCTGTATCATGCTGCGGGCCTTTTGCTTGGGAACTTGCTTACCCATCAAAGCAGTCAATGTCCCAGGTTTCACGAAACCGCTCACGTTGTCAAGCAATCTTCGTGGCTCGCCCTTGATCTCAATGTCGTATACCACATCGCGCCAGGTGAACATGTCAGTCTGTGGCGGGATAACGTTGACGTCGTCGTCGTTTGCACTACTCGAGTCGGTCGCGGTGGCTTTGTCATTGCCACCATTTTCTTCGTCGTTGGCGTCTGGCTTGTCCAGATTTTGCATGTATGCAGGAACATGGCCACGCCGGAAGACAAGGACCTCRGCCGTGCTTGACGTCGAGCTATTGAGCTCAACAGCCACAAAGTAGATGATCATGAATCCGAACAAGAAGGCCAACAAGATGCCGAAGTTTCTCCAGACGTGGGAGTAGTAATAGCCGTAAGCCTCTGCGATATAGGCATCACCATTGACCGTGAGCTGGCCAGCGACCGAGCCTTGTGTCGAACAGATGAATGTTTCACCACCCTGCGTCAAGTCGAAAGCCGGGACGAACTCTGAGCATGCAAAATCGCGTCCGTGAAACTCGTTTGCAACTAGAATCTCGAAGCMGTAGAAGATTGGGTTGATCCAGCGAATCCAGCCAAACCAGTCCTTCATGTATCGCGTCGGAACGACGAATCCAGTGTATACGACGAGAGCGAGCACCATGACACCGGAGAGCGCCATGGCTTGGGAGATGGTCTTTGTTAAGGCGGCCAACGTCCTAAATACCGCACTCATCACGAATGTCGAGATGAAGGCAATCAGGAAGAAGAGAAAGAATTGATCGGGGGTCCGTCGGAGGCCAGCCATGAAGTAGAGCACCAAGTTGAAACAAACCGCAACCGCAAACTTCAGCGGAATATCGATCACAATACCAGCTAGAGCTTCAGTAAAGGGATGATAAAAGGCGTAGGACTTGTGCTTCTCGACGATTGGCCGCTGGTCGTAAAGACTGTTGATCTCGCTGATCGCCGACAAGGCGTTGATCAGGATGGCGAAGAACAACACGGCACCTCTAGCTTGGAAAGCAGAAGTTGCAGCAGGACTGTCGAAGAAGATGGAACCWATGATGAGAGCGATGATGATGTTGAAGATCATGGGAGTGAAGGTGGACGCCTTGTCGCCCCAGATACGTTGCCAAGATCGCTTGGTGTTCAGCTTTACCTGCATTGGGATGCTGACAACGTATGGAGATTTGGGACGAGCGTGCTTCGCTTGGTTGTCGTTCTTGTACTCGCGGAATGCTTGTAGCTCGGCTTTATCTCCTATCGGGAATTCGTTTTCGTACTCCTGGATCTCTTCCTGAAGCTCCTTGTACTCGGGGCTGTTGCGCCAGTACTTTTCGAAGTCGTCGGGGGTTCGGGGCACTCTGTCTTCGTACCCTTCACGGGTCTGACGCTCAGCGGGGTTGGTCACACTGGTGAGGAAGTCTCCAGTGGTCTGACGAGTGGGACAGTAGAATCCCATGTTCTCAAAGTACGCTTTGCCTTTCTCCGCCTTGCCGAAGAAGATTTGTCGGCCCTCGTACAGCACAATCGCCTTGTCGAAGAGGTCGTAGATGGCCTGACTAGCTTGATAAATGGCAACGGCGTGAGTCGAACCAGAAAGGTCTGCGTTGAGGCGAAGGGCCTTGATGAACGTCAGGGCGGTTGCAGAATCCAGTCCTCGCGTACTGTTATCCCAAGCACAGACGGCGCTGCCCGCAAGCGCCATCTCAGCAATACTGACACGTTTGCGCTCTCCTCCACTGACACCGCGTACAAAGTCGTTGCCTACTTTGGTGTTGTAGGTGTGCGAAAGTCCGTACACGGCCATGATGACCTGTGTAACGTGCTTGACGGCATCCTCGCGCGAGATGCCCAAAGGCCGGCGTTGCGGCATCCTCAATGCAGCGGCGTGCTCCAGAGTCTGGCCGACTGTGAGATGGGGAAAGTGCTTGTCCACTTCCTGGTTGTAGATCACTTCTCCCTGGAATTCCTTGATCATTCGCTTTTGATCGATTCCATTGTAGTGCACCACAGACTTGTCGTCCATGTTCAAGCCATGCCACTGACCCGTTAGACTCTTCAAGAGAGTGCTGCATCCAGAACCAGGACGACCCAGGACGACCAATAGTTCACCGCTCCTCATGATTCCGTCGAAATTTCTGAGAATCTGTTTGTGTGACTTTCCCGAGCTGAGCATCTCTCCCATGCGCAAAGGCGACATGAGGATGCTTCCAAGAGTGCCTTGCAAGTTCAATGCGTTGCCTGTTCCACTGACGTTGAGATCCTTGAAAGCGATTCCGGCACGCTTGACTTTGATGTCTTCCTCATCCACGAGGCGGAGGGTCATTTTGATCCATTTGCGTAGATCAAAGTTTGGGGACTTTGGATCGAGCTCTTCCGAAGAGAGGTCAATTCCGTCCAAGGTTGCTTTTCTTTCCAGAGCTTCGGGGTCCTGGTCTCCTGCCACTGAGCCGCTTCTTCGTGATGCAGCGTAGGCCGAGTTGGTTGCGAGTCTGGTCAAGATTTGCCGTGACTCCGAGGTGATTTCCCCGTAGGCTTCATCGTCGGACGAAGACGGTCGTCTGTCCGCTGGGGTCTCGGCGACTTCCTTGCCGTCGCTGGTGATGTAGTCGGCATCGTTTGTCCTGGATACATTGTTCTCAATGGTGGAGCCCGAGTTCTGGCTGGCGCGAGCATCAAAGGGCATCCTGTCACTCTCCACGAAGACCTGGCCTTGATGTTCGATTGGGATTTCGAAAAGCTGTTCTACTCTCTCGGCAGAGTAATCGCCCACGACAGGCGAGGTTATATGGACATTGGAGGCCATGATTGTGATGATGCAACAATCGGAACGTCGGGCAAGCAAGGGACAACGACTTGCCGGACCAAAGGCCGCGAGAAGAGGATGAGTGGGATTGTGAAGCGACAGGATAGACGATTGCGCCGGGGGCCGTTCTGCCTATACATACTTACATAACTTTGACATGTCCCGATTTGTGAGCGGTGGTCCAAACGGCATCATCTCGTTTCCCGACTGTCCGACTACCGACTGATCAGTGATGACTATGACTGCTTTGGGGGCATGGAAGATTGGTCCACGATGCACGAGGGAAGGTTTTGGCTGTCGGGCTTGAACCTGGTTCAGATCAATGAACCAGACGCGGCGTGCGAGCAACAAAGCCCTCCGCGGCGCCTGGTCTCGCCAATCTGCCTCTCACATCATCAAGCGTCTCTGCCGTGCTTGCGCCGCCTGTAGTTACTCCAAGAACGCCATCATCTCACCGCGGCCCGCACCTTGCCACGTTGCTTGAGACTTCCCTCGCAGCTCAACTCGTTGAATTATCATTGTTGACGTCTGCCCAGCTCCAGGCCGAGTGGAACAATTTTCAGCCATCTCGGAAAGACCGAGAACGCCATGCTCGTATGGCTATCCGAAGGAAGATGTGCTCCCAATTGGGCTACATCCGGGGGATTCTCCGCAAGTTAGGGTTCGGACCCACATGCGTCGCCTTGCACAAAGGCAGAACACAACACAACCCGGAATGGAAGTTCATTGAGGACCCTTGTGCACCCAAGTTGCTGGATTTCAAGCGACTAAGGTAGCTACGATGCGGGAGCGAAGGGTATCCGGATCCGAGAGGCTTCGGTGTCTATGCTTGCCGCGCTTGCAAGGATTACACATGCATAAGGTACCTATGTACATGTACAAGCATAAAAGCTGGGTGTTGGTGTCAACGAAATTGCCGTCGTATTCTTCGTACAAATGTCCACCATGCGCCGTTCTGTTCTGTTTTGTTCTTGAGTCCGAAGCAATTCCCACTCCCATCAAATGACGACGCGTGGACCCTTTGTGACAACATGAGGTACCTATTCGACGGCGAGTACTGAGTCTGCCTGCACATCTGCCACGCCACGCCGATGGTCCGATTGTCTCCTGTCTGTCGAACGACTTCGCATATCCTGATGACTCAAATAAAAGCGAGGTGGGAGCGTCGAGTCATGAGCCATGCGACTGGATACCGGCGCCGCAGCGTGTTTCTGCCCGTTTCGCCGTCCGAACCGATGAAGATCCTTCGAAACACTTTGAGCGTGGCACAGGCATAGACACCTCAGGCATCCACCTCATCGTTGCGGAAGAACGAGGGATGCAACGACTCTGCCGTCCCGCACCAGACACATTGGCAACGCTTCATGTTCAAAAAGCATGGACTTGCTCACTGAAAGGCTCCTTTCACATCTTTCTCGGACAGCAGGAAGGTCTCATCCCTTGCGCCTCTGCGACGCTTGCGACCYGACCCATTCATGACATGACATGACGGCAGGTCATTCAACGAGTATTCCTGACCAGCGCTCACGTCCCGGACATATTAATGGCTGTATGCGCACAGCCCGTAAAACATCAACGCCCTTCGCATCTCGCTCGCAGGTTTTTTGCACAGAGTCAGGAGATAGTCCAGGTCAACTTCACATTCCACGGCTGGCATGCGAGATTGCCAGTATGGCGGGCAGGTATGTTTGTTTTCCATTCCAGCATCTCATTCCCACATAGCGCGAGGCAGGCTGCCTGGATTTCGTTATACGATCCCATTGCTTCGCTGCTCTGGCACTTGACATCAGTCACTCATTKAAGTTTCACACTCTCTACAAACGAAATTACACTCCCCAACACTCGCCATTCGCGAATTGGCAACATGCATTTCTTTCGCGCGGCGCTCACGCTTGCCATTACCATCGCGCCGCTCGAGGTCCTCTCACAGGTCATCACAATCACGCAACGTCCAAGTTCGTGCAGCGCGATATACACGACCGGAACCAGCTCCGTTACCGTCGTGCAGTCGACTGTCACCGTTGCCCCAATTCCATTTTCCGATGCTTTGGTCAACGCAGGGACGCCCTTCGTGATAGAAATTCAGCCTGGCGCGGCTGCTCGTCGGCGACAGGCAACAAATGCTACCTACATCAATGCCAATGGCCGTACCACGACGAATGCTAGCGAGGCCGTGGCATACAGGATTCTGAACGGGACTTTGCAAAGCGTCGACGGTCAATACATATCCGCCGATCCGAACACAGACAGTGCCTTATTTGCCCTCTCTGCCGTCGCAAAGGCTATTACCACCACCTTCTTCTCTCGGAATCTCGAGATTGGATGGAACAATAGCGCATTTGCCGGCGGTGCCTGCGACTTCTACACGGCTGCGGCTGAGGATGGAGCCATCGATGTTATTACGTATTTCAGAGGGATCGTGGACTCCAGCTGGCAGGCAATCACGTTTGCTGTCAGATCCACAGGCCAGCTAGTACTGGAGCCTACGACTTCCACCATCGTCTCCACGGTCATTTCKATGGGCGGCGGAGTTACGGCTACTCCTTCGACAACGGAGGTAAATGTGCCGACTCCTACTGGCGTACCAACTGAAAATGGTTACTGTGGTGCATCTGCGGGCATCTGTGACGGCATTATCTTTGGGAGGTGCTGCAGCCAGTACAATGCTTGCGGCAACACAGATGAATACTGTGGATTTGGCTGCCAATCAGCGTTTGGAGCCTGCGACCCTCCACTTCCCGCAAGCTCTTCCATCGCAGCAGGCATATCGAGCGCTGGGCCCACTCCCCCTGAGTACTCCGCGACAGCCCCTCAACCCGCGACTTCCTTTCCAGCTGGTTCATCAATCGCTCCTATTATGTCGACGTCGATGTACACCTCTACCAGCGTGTTCCTATCCACCAGTGGTAGTGTGACTATGACCATGACCACTGAGATACCTGTGACCACTTCATTGCCGATCTACAGTGATCCAGGGACGCCCATAGGACCCATCAACCCGCCAGTGTTTGGTTCTTCGACTATCGCTATATCCAGCGAGGTGGATATCAGTACTCCAGGTCTACCGCCATCCTACGCAGCAACACCATCTTCTTCGGCTGTGTCCACCCTTGCAGGCATCTCTTCTATCCCCTTTTCTTCAATCCCCTCCAGCGTTGGAATTTCGATCAGCATTCCCAGCGCTCCACTCTCTAGTGCTGCAACAACGGCGATCATCACTTCCGCCGGGCCTATCGCTCCTTCATACAGCGCTCCCGATGATACATCCAGTACCCCGGTGGCTGGTAGCAGTATCATCAGCTCTGTACCGGTTGACATCCCGAGTAGCAGCTTTGTGATTCCTCTCCCCAGCTTCTATTCATCACCCCCGGCTCCGATCAGTTCAGTTCTCAGCTCTGTGATTGYTCCACCCATCGTCTCGACGGCCACATCAAGCTCGAGCTCGAGCACTGCAGTCGCCACTCTCACGGCCTCTTCATGCCCAGGAACTGCGGATGGTACTGTTTTGGCTGACAGCAATGGGGAGCCCTACCAGATCTATTGCGACAGTGACTACGTTGGCGATCTTACTCCCCTTCCCGACACTCCTAGCTTCGACGCCTGTCTTCGAGCTTGCGACAGGACCGCAGGTTGCGCCGCCGCTACATGGATAGCTGCCAACACGTACTGCTATCTGAAGCCTGCCGGCGGCTTCCTTTTCGGTAGTGGAGGTTATGTCGGTGTGCGTGTCAGGGGCGTCGTTGTTGGAACTACTTCCGCCCAGACTGGTACTCCAAGCACGTCCATCCCTAATCCCGACACTTATCCCACCACATTTTCAGTGCCGAGTCTGCCGACTGAAGAGTCTTTCCCGGCCATCTTCAGCACTACTTTCACTCCAGAGGTCGCGAGCTCAACTGCGGTCCCGACAGATGTGCCGCCAATCTACTCGGAATCATCCAGCATAGCTCCCGCGTTCTCCACCACGCCTGTTCCAGAAACATACCCAACCACTACATCCATTCCGGAAGTATTCTCGTCCACGCCCCTCCCTGATCCCGTGTTCACTAGCACACCTGTCCCCGATACATACCCCACGGCATCCACAACGGRGATCTCGCCTTCCAGCAGCAGCACCGTCCTCGTTCTCTCCTCGCCAATTCGTTGCGATTTTGGAGAAGAAGATGTCGCAACCGAGCAAGACGATGCCTTCTGCGATATTGTCCTTCCGCAGCCCATGGTCTTGTACGGCAAATCGAGTGTCAACACCTTCGCGTCCACCAATGGATTCATATCCATCATCGACGGCGCAACGCAATATCAGAACGCCGAAACACTGCCTACCACCCAAGTGACCGAGGCAGACAACGAGACGCCTCTCTCAGCATTGTTCCCCTTCTGGGATGACCTCAACAAGCCAACGGGCGAAGACGATTACGGCATTTACTATCAACTCTCCGAGACTGGAGTCACGTACGAGTTTTATCTCACGAGAATTGGACAAGCAGTCGTGTTCCATTGGACCGTCGGCTACACCTACGCCAACCCTGGTGTGGCTACTTTTAMTTACTATGAAATGGATGATCCCGGTGATACTGCCACCGTGGGCGCGCAAGGCTGTAAGTCCTCCTCTTCTACCATTCCTCGWGTCACGACGCTAATCTTTGACAGTTGYCGCGAATGGGGAAGCTGTTGGGGTGGTGTACTCCTACCAGAGTGGGGAGATCACGAATGGGTTGGTTGTCATCTGCGATACGCTTGCGAACACTTGCGTGAGATCTCCTTCATCGGCGTGAACTGGGGAGGGGAGCGGGTGGAGGATTAGGAGTTTAATTTCATGATGATGGAGGAATAGTCTCTGTAGTTTAGGACGTGCGTTAGACGGATGAAATACCAATGTATGTCATGCATTTCTGCAAGTTCAATCATTCGGACATTTTATTACCGGCCAGGGTGAGTGAACATAAGTGATTCAAATCATCAGGCCGTTCCCTATTCATGTTTGCTTGAATGACTTGGATGAAGTACCGTAAGCTTGACTCCCATTTTGTGGCATCAAATCCTACATGGTAGGTACTTTCGAGGCACAAGCGCAACTCCGCCAGCATAATGACCGCCAGCATGCAGAAGTTGTAGCATAAAGCAGAATGTCACTCGTCACCAAAGGGTGTGCCGAAATACTACAGGAAGTAATAATTCTACATTTACTGATTTAATGGTGAATTTTGTGTAGAATCTGCATACCCCAACCCTAACCCTCCACGCATCCCAAGAACTTGATTAGGCTCATGCAGCATCCCTGTGAACCATTTCTCGGCGAAAGCACAAGAGCCAAGGAACCAGGAGAGATCAATGAACCGCTCCAAAAGAAAAATCCGGTCGGGCGTGCAGAACAGGAAACACAACGGGGCTTCTTTGCGGCTGTCTTCCTGAGAGATCAATTTTGGAGACAGGAGGCAAGCTGCGATTTGGTTACATCCGTCGCCGCCGGTGCAAGTTGGATGCAGTTGTGACCTCGCGTTTTCAATAATCAATCTGAGACATTTTCCAATGTAGTTCCAGCCCAAACCAGTGTTGTTGCAAGGGTGGTATTGATTGGAGCTAACCATGGAAGGTAGGCGAGACGTTACCTAGACCCTGTCGGAAGACGGAAGAAGGGACGATCCCGTCGTCGTGGAAGTGGAGACGAATTGTCCGCGACCACCTCGTTGCGCCGGACAGCATGGACCGTTGACCGCACGTCCTCGTAACGAATCGTGTTGGCCTATACAGAGCTATCCAGCTATAGCTTTTCCAGCAACCAGTCTCGAACAGGACAGCGCAGGGATCGAGAGAAGATTGGATTTGGGACCAAAAGAGGTGGGAAATCGTGCTGGCGCTTAGAGGCGTGGAAGAACACGGGAATATTTCTTCACTACACACGAGGGAGTGGGGACTACCTACGTGTGGGTTGAGGGGTAGAATACAGTGAGGATGCTGTTGTGAGGTATATCGATCAACACCTGCAAGAATATCCGAAAGAGAGGACAAACCACCACCACCCAAACCACCATATTCATACCACCACTCTCCCTCATGCCATACGACAATGCAAGTCCCTGATGGCTATCGACGGGGCACACCAGGGAATATCACGCCCGCGGGACAACAGCAAAACCCATGGCAGATTCCACGCCATGCGGCCGACTCGCAGCGCGCAGGCGCCGGTTACCTGCCTCCGCCGCCTCCAATGCAGGCACAGCAGTCGCAGAACCTGCAGTTCCCGCCGCCGCCGCCGCGGATGCCCATGAGTGCCACGCAGACGCATGCACCGTTCGTCCCGCCTCCACCTGGTCAGCCCAATAGCTACTGGAATCGGCAGCCTAGCTATCCGCCACCACCACCGCAAAGCCAGCCGCGAGAGCCACGAGCATACGATCCCAGCGTCTATTTCGAGTACAACAACCTTCCACCGCTGAATGACAATGCGCCCTTGACATCCGCTACGTACATTCCAGATGGGTTGAGCTTTGGACCAGGCGTGGGGATACCAGGTCTACATACCCAGAACAATGCTCCGCATGCGCCAGTGCGGCCGGGCCATGCTCCTCAACCGAGCTACTACCGCGGCGCATCGGAAGACTTCAGTCACGACGCCAGCTATCTGCAGAGATTTGAGGGAGTCTACAACCAAGACGCCAACGGAACTTGGTTTTCCAACCAGTATCAGCAAATACCCCTCCCAACACAATCCGCGCCGCCACATCCGCACACCAATTTTCCGCCCCCGACGCCCACGGGAAGGAAGAACATGATCCTGCCGGCCAAGGAGATTGAGCAACACACATCGCCTGCAGTCGAGCAGAACCGACCGACTTACGTGACCTCCGGACCAAGTGCCGAGAGCAATGGGAATCGTGATCTTGCCTCCTCCAGCGATATGCCAAGCTCACCCAAAGGCTCAAAGTGGACCCCAGACCGAATTCAGGGATTTCTGGCATCACACGCATTTTCGAGGGAGTGGCAGGCTGCTTTCCAGCATTTGAATGTCTCGGGCACGCAATTTTTGGACATTGGAAGAAGCGGTGGGCAACGTAACATCGCGTTCTTGCCTCACTCTGTGCTTCCACAAGTCGCGAGGGAATGCACCGCGAATRGCATGGTCTGGGATCAGGCAAAGGAGCGTGAGGAAGGACGCAGATTACGCAGACTGGTCAGGGATGTTATCAAATATGGTTGGACTGGTACACCCCAGACTGCGACATCTACCGGCACTGCTGGACTTCCCCTCCGTGCTCATGGAAGTGTCGGAATCGACGACACGTCACCGAGCCTTGTGAGAGATACCAACGCCTTTGGATCAACACCCACCACAGCAGGTGGCGGAGATGACTCTCCTGGTAGAGCGATGCCAGTGCAGCCAGCGCAGGGCAGAGTACCAGGTGGCTATCGATCCATCACGTTGGACTCTTCCGACCATCGAAACCACCTTGCCTCGATGAATGACCCCAAAAGACACCAGTCTCCTAGCGGTGCAGGAGACTTGAGTGCTAACAGCAAGTATCAAGTCAGTCCTCAGCAAAGCCCCGGATTGGTCAATGTGAGGCCATTGTCAAACGGGACCGGTCATAATCGCTTCCCAAGCGGCGGCCACTTCCGAGGACCGAGCACTGACACACAGGGTGGACGTTCGAGTGCTGGATTGAACTCTGGTAATGACAGCCCGCATAGCAAACCGCCGGCGGACGACTATGTCGGGCGCACAGCGCAAGATGGATCGCGCCCTCCGCCAACGGACAGCAGCGCCCGACGGCAGTCAAGCCGCGATCCTCAGAGCGCCAAGGAGCCTCGGGGACTTTGGGCGAAGCTGAGACGTGGGAAACGGGATGATGCACACCCATCTCCTGAAGATGAACATCCATCCAGCCCACATGCCAACCGCTACCCCTACGCAGACTCGCACAAAGCCGCCTCCTCCGACATCTCGCTCAATGATGCAACAGCTGCACAGTCTAAGAAGAATGTCAGCATCGACTCTACTGACAGCGTTCCCGCTGATATCAGGGGACGGCAAAAGGCCCGTGAAGGCGATAAGAAATACATCTTTGTCACTCCCGACGGATGGAATTACCGCTTGATGGACATAACCGACGTTGAATCAGCGGATCAGCTTCGGACTGTTATTTGTTACAACCTAGGGATATCTGCCGAGGAGCCAGGAATGGCCGTCTACATGACAGCCCCTGGCAGGGAGGAGCACGAAGCAGAGCTCACAGACGAAATGCTAATGGCCGCGCGAACACAGATGGCCGATCCCACGGGCAGTTTGAAACTGTATGTGCGCTCACCGGGTAACACGCCCGATCCTCTGGAGAGTGCCGATATGGGACTTTCCCCGTCGCAGGTGCAGCAGACATCAGTGTCCGGAAAATCGTACGATGACGCAACGATTGAGGCGCTAAGGCACGCTGGCTTGTTGGATTCTGCTCGTTCTCGTGCGCAGCAGGGTGTCAACCAAAGCGAAGAAGCCGCAAAGATGCAGGAAAGTATGTTGCAGCAAGACTTCCAGAGTCTGCCGTATGACCAGCAACAGGTCTTGTTGGAAGCCAGGGCAGAACAACATCGAAAGGACACTGAACGCAAGCGACTGGACTACCAAGCACATCGTAGATCGCAGCTTGTAGATAACGGCAAGKGTGGGAAGATTTACGACTTCGACACTCCCCGGACAGCAGCACTTGTGCATGATTTCGACAGGCAAGCTTCTTTCCACAGACCTGCATCTTCAGGCTCGGTGGATTACGAAAGGCGGACCGACGTCAATTTCCAACCCATGCGTAAAGCACCGCCCGTCCCCGAGCCGACCAACACTCTCGTCAAGGCCAACAGTCTCACCAAGAAGGCCATTGGAACTCGCACGAGCTGGCCAAAGAAGGATGAGCCTCGCAATCGTAGCTCYGGGGACTCTATCCCCGAAGAAAATGTCAGAAGGCCTTCCAGCAGAGGTATTGGTGCTGCGCTCGCTGGTGCTGGCAAAACTGCTGGCATCTTTGGTCAACCGAACAGTGCCCCGGCTACATCATCTAATCTGCAAAGGTCTTTCACCGTGCAAGAGTCGCCGAATGATGATGAATTTCATCCTGATCAAGGAAGCCCCAACGCACCGCGTAGTCCATTTACCATGTCCAAAGGCGGGCAGTCATTCAAGGTGCCAGCGTACGATGAAGACGAGGACGAAGAGGATGATGAGGACACTCTCAAAGCAAGTCAAAGACCGAACCTCACTCTGCGCACCCCATCTAATCCCATGATTGCGAAGCTACAAGCCCAGGGCCGTTCGCAAAGCCCTGAGCTTAGCCCGTCATCCAGTCGACCTTTGGGAGGGTCTCTCGGAAGGATCATGAGCAAGCGCGGACCTAGCTTCAATGTACCAGAGCATCAAGCTGCATTCGCGCCGTCCCCGAACATCGGAGCCGACGATTCTGATGAAGACTCTGACGATGGTTTGTTCGCCATTCCGTTGGCGAAACAAATGGAGAAGAGATCCGCTGCTGCGACTCCTGTGAGGAATAAGAGCCACAGAGTACTCGGCATTGGTAGCTCACCTGGTCGCTCGCCGAATAGGCCGGAGCTCAAGMTCAAGACTTCTCGCCCAAACGTGCACTTCGACTCACCAAAACTCGCTCCGCAAAACGAGCTTCCTGATATGGATGTCAACGAAGCTGACAACATGCTCCATGGCCCGCATTCCACGTCATCTGGAGGTCCATGGTCGACCGATTCGCCAGACTCGTCGGCCCGCTTCGGCAGAAGGGAGAGCTTTATGAGCGATGTGTGGGCAAACCGTCCTCCTGTGGAAGATATTGCAGAGCGACTTGACAACTTCTTCCCAAACGTTGATCTTGATCAGCCCATGGGTGAAGGAGCAGAAGGTTCAGATGCCAGTCCAGTTTCTACTGACAAATCCACCGGAGCATCGACAGCTTCTACTGGGGACCTGCACTCCACCCGTAGTGTCACTCCAATATCGAGTGCCGACGAGTCCGAAGAGACATTCGATGATGAGGAACATACCCTGCGAGGCGGTGCTGGTACCCGATCCTCTGTGGCTCATCGCAGTATCCGCAAGTCCGGGGGTCTTGGGAGGACGAAGAGTATCCGTGATGTGGTGAAGAACAACTACTCCCACCTTGCTGGTTTGTCCCGTGTACCATCGACATCCTCGCTCGCGTCCAGTCGCCACCCCAGTACCATCGGAATGCCGCCACCCCCAAATCCGCTGGCGAACAGAGTCAGCACGTTGAGAAATGACGTGTCAAGTAGCATCAGCAGGAGAAAGAGCACCAAGATGTTCGGTGCCAAGATCGAGCAGGTCAAACCCCAGCGCGGCAGTCGACTGATCAACAATCTTGAGACCATTCCTCAAGACAACATTCCGGCTGGCAACGTTCAACACGTCAAACCAGAACGTCAACCCACATTCAAATGGATGCGTGGTCAGCTGATTGGCAAGGGCACATTTGGTCGTGTATACCTTGGTATGAATACCACCACGGGTGAATTGCTTGCTGTAAAGCAGGTCGAAGTCAACCACAAGATTCAAAACGCCGACCCGGCGAAGATCCGCGAGATGGTCAAGGCGCTAGACCAGGAGATTGACACGATGCAGCACCTCGATCACGTCAACATTGTGCAGTATCTCGGTTGCGAGAAGAAGGAATACAGCATCTCCATCTTCCTGGAGTACATCTCTGGTGGTTCCGTCGGTTCATGTCTGCGGAAGCACGGCAAGTTCGAGGAAGCAGTCGTCTCCTCCCTGACAAGACAGACATTGGGCGGATTGGCATACCTCCACTCTGAAGGAATTCTTCATCGAGATCTCAAGGCAGACAACATTCTTCTCGATCTCGACGGTACCTGCAAGATCTCCGATTTCGGCATCTCAAAGCGAAGTGCGAACCCCTATCATAACGACATCACGAATAGCATGCAAGGCAGCGTCTTCTGGATGGCGCCCGAAGTCATTCGTGCCCAGAGCCAGGCGCTTACTTCTGATGACGGACTCATGAGTACCCAAGGATACAGCGCCAAAGTAGACATCTGGTCTCTGGGGTGTGTTGTGCTGGAAATGTTTGCTGGGCGTAGACCTTGGAGCAAAGAAGAAGCCATAGGAGCTATCTACAAGCTCGGAAGTTTGAACCAGGCACCCCCGATCCCAGACGACGTTAGCACGGTCGTGGGGCCTGCGGCGTTGAGTTTCATGTATGATTGTTTTACAATGTGAGTATCCATCCGGTGTCGAGTTGTGGGAGTTATCGGACAAGACTGACTGACCCGTGTGTAGTGATCCTGGCGAGAGGCCGACGGCTGATACACTGCTGAGAGCACCCTTTTGTATTTTTGACCCGCATTACAACTTCCTGGACACGGAGTTGTATGCGAAGATTCGGGGTGCCTTTTGAGGAAGGATGGAAGTAGGGAGGTTGAAGATGGAAGATCTATCATGGCATGTGCTCACTGTGGAGATACCTTATCCACTTATGAGTGAGAAAAAATGGACATATCCTTTAGTTGTTGGTAAAGCGAGCGAGCGAGCGTTGGAATATCTTAACGAATCACGATCGATAGAGATCTTACAAATGCACGAAGAATGAGATTGGGATAGGAAGAAGCTCATTGCAGGATTGAAAAGAGTTGTGAAATGTCATGTCGCATTTAATCGTTCAAACGTTCAGCTGCCTGTTCATGCAACGCCGTGCATGCTGAGCTGAGTCAAAGAAAGTGCTGGTCTCATCGAGGGGACATACCATCACCCGCTACTTAGGAAACCTGAAGCCCTGGTTCAGCTGCCCTGTTGCGTTGTTCTTCTCCCTGCCATCGCTCGAGAAATGGGTGGGAGTCGACGGAACCATCAACGCCACTGGTGCCTGTTGCTGCTGGGTGCTTGGCGTCCCGTCGAGTACCGACGATCTTTTTGCGCTTCCTCCCGAGGCCTGCAACGGCATTGCCACTCCTCCCGAGGCATGCGATCGTGTTGATGATCCCCCCGAGGCGTGCGGTCGTGTTACCACCCCTCTCGAGGCATCTGATTGTGTTGTTGTTCCCCCCGATGCCTGAGATCGCAGTCCCGTGTCCCCCGATCCTGGCAGCCTCCCCGCAGACTCCCTCCGCTTGTCCTTGTGCTTAACAGCAACAATACGTTGAGCCACTATTCGTACCGGATGGCCTATACACGTTTCGGTGTCGTTCATTCCCACAAGAGGCGCTTCCACGCTCTTCGCCACAATTCCATGTTCATCAAGTAGTGCTCTGCTCGGTGTGCCAGGAATACACGACAGGTGAGATTCTCCGTTCAGATGATGCAATGGAACATTCACGACTCCTGTACAGCCCGCGCATAATCGCAGAACCTCGCGGACAAGTAGCGGCGATGACGACGCACCATACGATGTTCCCATGGGAGCTTTCCGGCATTCGCAACGGAGGTACGACACAGATTTGCCAGGATCCGGGCCAAGCTTGATCGTATTGACGGACATGTAGTCTCGACAGCGTTTTATCAGCTCCTCGACGGCGCACCACTGGCATACGTCGTTGTCGAAGACGAATGCGGCGCAGTGACAGCTATCGAGTGATCCACGAAAATCAACCTCAAATTTCAAATCGAGCTCACTCTGCTCTTTGCTGGCGCATCGGACACACATCGGCATCAGTGCACGATGTTGCAGAATCCAGCCCAGATCGCGTGTCAGCTGGCTATGATCAAACTGAGCGTGTTTCGAGCAGCAAGGCGCATTCTTGGGCACCCCATTCTTGAGAACGGCCCGCGCGAAGGGTTCGAGGCTGTGGAGACGGAGCTCCCTGTCCGCGCAGGTGGTCCGAGGGCAGGTGACGGTGTAGTGTGACGACGATCTGCAATGGCCACAGAATCGCGGCTTGTTTGTGGAAGCGGCGTTTGCGATGGTCTCCTCCGCCATAGGGCTATCATCGGTGTCGCGGGTGACTTTGTCGCAGGGATTGCATGGCGCCGCCGGTGCAGCCTGGGGACGGTCTACTGCCGGCCGTGGGGAAGGCGACATGGATGGGTCCGAGTCGGGTGATGACATTGTGGTGGTGGTTGTTGTGTGGGAGGCTGGATGCGGCAGCTAGAAATTTTGGTCGTGATGTCCGGGTAAGTTCGCCGCGCAGTGAATGGGATAAGTTCGAAATTAAGCTTTCTTTTAGTGGTGGGTGAATGAAAATTCATTAATGCAGCTTCAAGATGGCATGCCTGAGGTACTTCTCGTTTACTTGGTCGCGAATGTCATGGCAAAGATAGAGAAATATGAAATCTGTAGCGCTTGCCTAGGTTGCACTTGAACTCGAACTTTCCAAGATGTGCCTTCCTTCTCACATCGCTGGAGTGGAGCCTACCTCAATATGACAGGCGCAACGAGGAACCTTCCGAGAAATTTTCACTTGCCCGACCTCATCACAAGGCTCGTCACAAGACTCGCCATAAGACATGTCACCACGCTGTCGACGGTCGGCCGAAGAGCATCAAATACTCCCCCCCATCGATGACCCCTCGCCCCATCGACATGGCGTTGAGCTTAGCGCTTCGACGAGATGCTTCACAGGGAACATAGGGTAGGTGCATCCTATCGGAACGACCCCAGACCCGCCATGGTCAAGCTGTAAATGCTTCGGCAGCGGAGGATCTGCACAGGACTCATTGGACGACAGTCTGAGCAAACAACAAAGCTTCCGCCGTCCATGACCTATTACTCCACTCGTAACCATGATGTCTCTGAGGTTTGGGAAAACTCTTCGGGTGCAGTCGGCGGCTCGGCCTTCAGACGGCATGAAGATAGAGCATCGCATCGCATTGACCAGACCACAGTTCACCGTCCGGAAAGCGGGTTCTGTACCATCGGAGCCCCAGCSCATTAGCAAATCTGTATTAGATTGGCACTACATAGTTCGCGACTCATTTTACCACCTTTGACGGAACTCTAGCACGTGTGAGTGTTGACGAGAATAGTATAGTATCCCGCGAAACGTTTCCGCGGGATTACCACCCGCGAGCTTAAGTATGCTTGTTCCAAAAATCATGGAACCATTGCTTGACTGGAGGCATCGACCGGTCGTTCCAGACCCCGCGAGACTCAGATTTCAGGAGTGAGGTCACTGGCACGGCCCTGAACCCCGAAAGTCTTCTCCAACGAGACGTGTCTTACGCAGAATTCTCCGCCTTGCTGCAGACTGTGCATTTCATCCATCCCGTGAGCTCAGCAGGTGCCGAGAGTCTGTGCGGCCGATCCATAGACACGTTTCAGAATCTGGTCCATCGCGGCGGCCACCGACACCTGTCTCGAGAATTGGGTCCGGCAAGTTGAGTCAGTCGGGTTGAAATAGACTTTCTCTGGTCCAGCACAGCAGAAACAGGGCGGGATCACACATCACCACCCAGCTGAACATGTGCCTCGCGATACCAGAAGTGGTGGAGGATCGCGAGGGTCAAAGAGCAAGACATGTTCACAGACAGCTGGAGCGCTGCGGTTCGTTTGCGGGTCCGACTCCACAATGCACCTCTTCTCCATTCCATTCCGGGCGTGCAGTAGCGAAGCTGAGCTCGTGGTCAAACAGCATGGCTTCGGGGGCCCGGTGATCCTGAAATAACGGAGCCAGGTAGCAGGCAGGCTGTGTCAACTTGTGTCATCTGAGGCTGGCGGAGGCTGTACGCGAGTCCCGACGCGGTCTCTTGTGCAAGATAAAGCTGAGGGAGTGCGTCCGGCACTGATCATCATTGCGCCTCTCGTCCATCGAGCAGTCCAGGTTGGTGCGCACTTCAACGACCAGCAATAACACATATATGCACTTTCGCGAGGGAAGCGGGACGTTGCGATAGATGCAAGTTTGAAGTGCTGGTTCAAATCAGGTACGTCGTCGTCATTCCGGTCCGAGCGCCTCAAACCAAGAGCTTGGGGGAGACGCATGCGCGGGCGTGTGTCCCTGTCAATAGTACCAAGTCGTCTCAGACAACGACCGGCCTCTATGCCCAAGCACTCCCTGCGCCGACGAGCTCTGCCAGGTCTTCCCCCGCTGGACTACGGCTGAGAATTGGTGGCACAGATTGGCTCGCATTGAACAATTTCACGCGGCTCCATCATTATCTACCTAACTTACACCCTACCGAGCTCGCTCCGTCCCTCCCACCTCGACATACGCCCACCTACGCCATGTCGTGGCATACCAGTGCCACCTTCTCCCCGGGCGAGCTGCACGAGGAGTACTACATGCCACAAGTCGCGCCGCCGCTGATGGCCCCCGAGCCGCAGAGGGTCGACCCGGGCATGGCCTCGCACCTGGCAGACGGCATCCAGAACATGTCTCTCGAAGGCAGGTACTCCACCGCCTCGTTGACCCTGCCGTATGAGCCGCCACATCTGTCGCCCTTTCCCAAACTCGTCAATCCACCACCCAACTGTCCGCCGTCGGATGACGAGCTCGAAGCTCGTCTGGAGAATGCGCGGCAGCCTGTCCTCAACTCCAATGACCCGGAGATGCAGCTCGCCTGGGCCCAGGACGCCCTGACCTACTGCGGTGTGTCTTCCGACGAGGCGGAGCGGTTGGCAGCTGCGAAACCGCATCTGGCACGACCGGCCACTCCTCGAGTGGAGCACCAGCTCAAGCAGGACGCCATGAATATCGTCACCTTCCTCGCAGATCAGCACCATCCGCGTGCGGAATTTCTGCGAGGCATGTGGCTGGAGTGGGGTCGGTTCGGTCAGCGCGAGGACAAGAAGGAGGCGTTCAGATGCTATTCTCGGGCAGCAGACAGAGGCTACGTGCGTGCTGAGTACCGCATCGGTATGCTATACGAATCCTACAACGATCCGGCAAAGGCCCTGCGGCACTACCATCGTGGTGTGGACGCGGGAGATGCAGCAAGCTGCTATCGACTCGGAATGATGACCCTGCGTGGACAGCACGGACAGCAGCAAGACTTCAGACGGGGCCTGGAGCTGATCAAGCAATCTGCGGCAGGCTGCGACGAAAACGCTGCGCAAGGTGCCTACGTCTATGGCATGCTGCTCGCGAAACAGCTCCCACAGGTGGAAGTCCCGGACAGCTTGCTGCAGTATGACGAGCAGATGGCGAGGGAGAACATTCAGAAGGCCGCCTTTATGAAATTCGCAAAGGCGCAAGCCAAGATGGGGTCCATGTACGAGCTTGGGGCGTTGGGTTGTGAATTCAACCCGGCACTGTCAATGCACTACAATGCCCTGGCGAGCAAGCAAGGCGAAGCAGATGCAGACATGGCGTTGAGCAAATGGTTTCTCGTGGGAGCGGACAAGATCTTTCCAAAAAATGAGGAGCTGGCCTACATCTATGCTGAGAGGGCTGCACAGACCGGACTCCCCACTGCTGAATTCGCCATGGGATACTTTCACGAGATTGGCATGTATGTGCCGGTCAACCTCAGCAGCGCGCAGGACTGGTACGAGAAAGCTGCAAGGCATGGGAATGTCGACGCAAAGGGCAGGCTRGACGGCTTGGCCAAGAAACAGGTGTTATCCAGAACAGATCACGAGAATGTCGCCATAACGAGGATAAAGTCTCAGTATGGCTCTCAGCGAGGTCAGAGACCAGATCGACTACGACAGAAGCAGCAGCCAGGGCTGGTCAATGTCGATGAAGCGCCTGCAGGAGGATATAATGCTGTGCAGCCTCCTCTCCGGGGAACGACACCATATCCCGAAGACGACGGACCACCTCGCGTCGCGCATCTTGAGCAACGTTCGGCATCAGTAGCCCCTTATCCAATGGAAGACCATCCTCCGCGGATATCCGGTGGTCCCGCCGGTGGATTCTTCAATGTCCAGCCGCAGCCTCCTAGGCCCGCCACGACCGTGTACAATGGAGGCAGCATTAGCGGACCTGATCGCCCGAGCTCTGCTTTCTCTTTCCAGACCCACACCGATTCTCGATCGCAATCTGTCGCGCCCCAAGGTGCAAGACCATTCCCTGCCAGTGGCCCGGGCATGCGTCCGCAGACAAGTCAGCCTTATGACCAACGACACGTCTCTGCTCCCGCCAATGGCTTTGATCAGCAACGTMCCTTGCACCCCAATGATCCTCGTGCTCATCCGAACATGGCTGGCCGTATTGTCTCTGGACCTCCAGGGAATGGAGGCGTTGGAAGAGGCATGCAACATGCTCCGCTCCGTCCAGCACCAGGACCCGGCTCGTTGGCCCATACTTCCACCGCACCACCGTCCAGTCACGGCAATGGTCTCGGATTCATTGCACCTGCGGAGGACCGTCCGCCTGTCGTTGACCCCACATGGAATGCAGAGAAGCCTTCCAGACGTGCCCGTGATGGCCGTGGAAATGTGATTTCTGCACAGAAATTCGATGGGCATTCCAGACCCAGCGAAGGGTCAGTAGTATCGAGTGGAAGTAACACAAGCAGTGCTACGCAAGTGTCGAGCATTACGTCGGCGGGTACCTCTACAGGAAGCAGACCTGGGAGCACAAAGCCGCCAGGCACGCCGGGCACGCCTGCATTTCCCCCTCCAGCTGCTGGTAAGAAGCCTGGTCCTGGGAAGGGCCCAAAAACATTTGAGGAGATGGGCGTACCGGCGCACAATCAGGATAAGGAATGCGTGAGTATTGTGCAGTGTCGTGTTTCCAGCCTCTGGCTAACGTTGTCATTCAGGTTATTATGTGATGTCCAGTGTACGGTACGGTTTTGTGTGTGGTGCTGTTGTAACGAGTACGCATAACACTTTGGGATCTTCTTCACTTCTACCAAATTCTCGGAACAGGAAATCGAGTGAGCGAATGAGCGGCTTTACCTTGTACGCATGGATCAAATTGGATGCTCTGCACGGCGTTTTTGGATGGGCATTACCTCGCTGCTAATCGTAGTGTTGATGGAATATAGTAGTACGCAATGCAAGAGCTCGCACTAGAGCCTACAACGCATGGACCAACTTTCGTAGCGACATACCGTCATTGTACCCTCCAGCTCGTGACAGTTGCTCTTCATTATGCATGCTACATGCTGGACTCTCGACATTTCTACCAGAGCTGTCGATATGACCCTCCACTGCTCTCTCCATAAAATTACAGGCCACTCTACTAGTAGTAAAGGTTCCAGCAGCTCTAGACCTCTCGATTCTGCAGAAAGCAAGTCCTTGAGACTGTACAAAAGATGTCTTATCTCGCTGAATCATCCTTCTATCAACAGCCTTGGTTCCCGCATTGCTAGACGCACGTGGTGCAACGCAAACAAGGCATCGTGCTCACTGTGCCATGACTCTGAAGATTGGGTATTCGTCATTCACGGCCAATGGAATGAAGTTGAAAGTCCTAGAAGGTGAAAAGAAAAGTTAGCATGTTGATACTACCACAAAATGGCGACAAGTGCTCCTCAAGTGTCTGATTGTCTCGGCCATGAAATAAGACCACGTCGAGGAAGGGTATGCACGACACCCTGAAGCTCGTGCAGTGTTCACTTACACATAAGAATCGAGACTTTCAGGCTCCAACACTGCAAACGCAAGAGCCGCATTCTTCTGTCTCGTGCTGACCAAAAAGCTACCTGCGGGCAAATGAATCTCTTTCTGGGCAGCAGTCGTCGTGACGGTATTCAGAACATGGCCCTCATACAATTCCGTAGCAAGCTCGCTGGTAGCGACTGACAAGACTTCAACGGTGCCATGGAACTCATGCTCCAAAGTCTCGACTTCCAGGCCGAAAATCTCAAGACGTTCCACAATGTCGCTCCAGGTTCGTGGGATAAGATATGCCTCTGGCCGGGWACGGGTGAAGTTCGCTAGAGTTGGAGTCCGAATGAAAGTCACTGGTACGTCGACTACGGTTCCGTTCGATGCGAGGACTAGAGGATAAGTCGTGTTGATCGTCTCAGAGGCATCTTTGACGACAATATCCTCTGTGCTGCTGATGAACTCCTGTCTGGCATTCTCGATGATGTCKAGTAGATCCGGGCTGTCTCTAGCAGTCTCGAGGACAGCTTCTAGCTTCAAAAGCTGTGTTGCGACACGACGATGGAAGTTCTGTGCCGCTAGTCTGATACCCCGTGTCTCGAACAAAAAGGTTACGGCTTGGGTTAGAGCTACGTTGCTCTCGGCGTACCTGGCTCCCGTGCCTGACTCGGTGAAAACGGGAGGAGTGACATTGGCAGGACCGGTGACATATGGTGCAGACCGCAGGCCCTTGGCTTCTAGCTTACGATCAATAGCTGGGATGAAAACATTCAGGCCTTGATCAAGAATATCTTTGTGGACGTTCAGGTCCCATCCAACTCCGTGCATAGCATCAACGGCGTGTTGATATTCGCCATCTTCGCCAAAGGTTGTGGAAGCGGTATACTCGTGCATGTCGATCATCAAATGTGCACCGTACTCGTGGGTACGACGCCAGATGTCGCGAGTCTGCTGTCGATCAAGCTTGACTGCGTCACGGTTTGGATCCAGATTGCTGGACATCCGCCGTTGGAAGTAGGCGACACCATCCGGGTTCCAACGTGGCTATTCGGTTTACTCATCAGCTCTCCGATCTGTCCTGCACTGTTCGCAATATGGACCGCCACTTACGAGCATAAGAATGTCCATCTTCTCGAGAAGAGACGCAGCCCAAGTTTGGTTGGCATCCATCTTTCCAAGAAGTGCAAGAGCACCCTCATCAGCCGCTGGCTCATTACCATGGATTGCAGCTTCAATATAGACCTTCAATTTGGAGCTGTTAGTCGTYGCGGCCAGGCCTGAGGGTGACGGCTCCGAAAGGTAGACATAAGGGAATCCTCTTCCTTCCTCGGAGACAAACTCTGCTGGACGATATGTGAGCCAGTCATTGCGGTTCGCAAGCGTCCGAATAAAGTACTCCAGCTCAGTGTCACTGGTAGGTCCTTCTGTGCCATTGGCAAAGCCTGGATTCCTCCGTTCAGGATTCAGGAAGTATGGAGATTTTAGTTCTATGTTCAACTCAGGAAATGCTTGAGATACAGCTTCGCTGTCCGGTACAACCGCAAGAAAGTTGCCTCCGTAGGTGTAGCCTGGAGGAGCTGCAGTGTCCGATTGTGCCAGAGCAACGCTGGCCAGGGAGATCCCGATGGGGAGGGCTTGAAGAAACATTGTGGGCTGCTTGATAGTGAAATAACATCCGAGTCTCTGCCCTCGATGCGGGCGCTACTGCCTTTTAACCTCACATCCGGGAAGTTCGTCTACGGCGAAATCGGATAGTCGCAGAGATTGTCACGTACGCCCAGGTAATCGGCCACAGTGATGGAGCTCAAGTAGGAAGGAGGACAGCCAATGCTATACTACCGTGCAACGCTAGGCCCATGGTCAGTATGACCGTCTCTTGGCCGCAGCTCGGCATTTCCTGGGCAAGCGTGCTTGGTTGCCATGTGGCATGATGGCGCGAGGCGGGCCAATGAGCACTCGATCTTGTGGCAGACCAGCACTTAGCAGATGCCTGAGGTAAGGAACAGTGTCGCTAAGTCGCTGCTACGATTAGCACAGAAGATGATGTCGAACATGACCGGACAGGAGATGACAGCCATATGTGATGTTGGATTCGCCAAGACCATTGCCAAGGAATCCCCAATCTCATCATCATTCGCCGATGGATGCCCCATGAAATGACTGCTCATCAAGGCTTTGCCTCGTTTGTTATGTCCGACATTTCTACTCCCGATGAGGACACTGATCATCATACTTGTCAACACGAACAACTCGTCACGATAGTCAGCCTCTTCAAAACGCTGTCCATCTAGACCTACATGCCTTCATTGCCATTGCCAACCTCTCAGGAGATTCCAACGAGCGCTTGAATTGTGGTTTGAAACACCAAACTATCAAGGCATATAGGACTGGACCTCCGTTGTTTGTATTCAAGGCCGGGCTTGTGACTAGACTCTGTGTACCTCTCTCAAGACCAAATCTAGCCAAGGACTTGAAGCGAGAGTTCGATGACATTGGAGAACTTCATTCGCCATTGCTGGGCCCCGGTGGCTCCCAAGTTGAACCTGTTGGGCCCAACATCTGTGCTGTCGCTATCATGAATGCTATCCGTACAGATGAGATCCGGAGGGTACTTGACGTGGCTCGAACTGAGACCTGGATCAACGCCGCTAAAGATGGAACTTCTATTCTATACCTGACAGGTGAATCGAGAGACTATGGCTGGGAAGCAGCCAAAGAAGCGAATATGCCAGCTTTCTGCGCGGGGCATCGAGTATACGTAGACTGGGGCATTCGCTTTCTGGTAAGCCAGCTCAGGGTAGAGTAGATGTGATTGGAGTGCTCGAAAAGGAGAAAGCTCCAGAGAAGATGACAGACACCCCTAAATCTAACCTGCCGCATGGAAAAGTGGATGTATGGCCTGTGAGCAGACGTACAGAACCGCCTTTGCTCCGGGATGTGTGCGAGTGTAACCTTGCATCCATCCCTGGAGGGTGGCTCGATGCGTCTCACAATGATCTTCTAGGTGAGGCTCACGAAGTCCTCAGCCTGATGTACATGMAGACCTGCATAGATGAGTCAGAAAAGCATCAAGCAACTACTTATTTTCAGCTTCGAATCCTCCAGCCTTCCCTAACTACATCTCCCTCACCATGGCCTCCTTCACCGGAAACCCGAATCAGCAAGAAGCTTCACAATTCACCACCGGCATGACAGGATCATGTTTATGCGGCAGCATAACCATACGTCTCGACCAAGAGAACCTCTTCACGAAACGCAACGGCCATACTTGCTGCTGCATGAATTGTCGTAAGCTCAGTGGTGGTTTAGGCGTCCATGCAATTTCTACAGTCGTGCAGAATGTCACCCTTAGTGATCCTAGCGGCTTGGAGAGAGTTTACGTCGATACCAATACCGGTAGTGGAGGTCATATCAGTAGACACTTTTGCTCTGTTTGTAGCAGGTGAGCTATCCCGTTTATCACTCCGCTTCGCCTTTGGAAGATACTGACCGGAATTTTCTAGTCCATTGTTTTTCTCCACGGCTTCTCATCCAACCATGATCACTGTAGCCCTGGGCCTATTTCCAAAGGCTCCTGTGCCAGAGTATGAGTTTTTCGCTGGTCATAGACATGAATGGCAGCCGGGAGTTGAAGGTGTTGTTGCGTTTGAAACGATGCCGTAGTGATTGCTTTTGGACGAAGCAGGTTCGAAAATCTCAGTGGCCAGCCATGAATCAAGTTTGATCTTCGATGAGCTAGTTGTAAAAATGATATCAACACACTGCGAACTACAGTAGTCCAAAGAAGGACAACATTGTGATGTATCTTTGTTTCATTCTCCATCATCATCGGCGTACTTGCAGTGGGCGTTTTGACGCTCTCTCGATTGCTCGATATTAAGGATACGCATACATCAGTGAACATAACTTCATGTCCCGCGCTTCTGTCGGAATCTTCTCTTTCTCTATCTGCTCTGCCGTGTCACCAGCTCAACGGCCTACCAGCAGCAGCCCTCTCTCTCCGTATTGCCCAGCCCCTGACAGCAAACACGACAATCTGCCACGTCATAACGACGCCCGTCAACCCCATAGTAAGCGTGAAAATAGTCATGGCATCCAACCCATTCTCTTCGATAGCAGCAACAGTATCCGAAGCGCTGTTCATAAAAATGATGCCCCCACTTGTCAGACAGAATGCAGCTACAAGCTCACTAGGAGGTCTACCAGCGAAATGCGATGTCGGCGGTTTGATATACATCAGCACGTATGTTGTAGCCCGCGCGATGCCAAATGCTGTGAAAAGACCACCCCACTGCGCATGCATCATCGTACTGACCATGCTGGACTGATGATGCGCTCCCATCATCATGCCCAACAGCATTATGACTGTAGCTGGCATTGGGTTCATAGGAGCTCGATATGTCTGAGGTTCTGACCATTCATCTGTGTCCGTTCGAAGAGGCCCGCTCGCCTGGTATTCCTCCTCCTTGTCGCACTTTTGTACGATGATGGGCGTGTTGATGAGCTTCCGCAGCCAGTCAGATTCGACGAGCATACCCAGTAGACCGCCTCCGAAGAACAGTATCGTGATACTAACGTGTTCGAGGTCTTGCGCGCTCCAGTCCTTGCCCCAATTGTTGAGATGTTCCAGAAATACATTCGAGGCTCCATACAACCATATGACAAATGACTCCGTAAATTCTGCGGAGGGAATTCTCCACTTCCACTTCGCCACCAAAGGAGGCTGCGGGCGGATGTTCCACGCCCAGCCAAATTCCGTGAATGCTCCCATCCAGCGTCCGAGGGTCAACAGTCCATACCAGAAGAATATGCCACCTTTGATGAAGTGTGCGAGACCAGAGAAGATTTCCCTATCGCGGAAAAGCCCTCCTGATACGATGAGGCCGGAGAGTAGTGCCACAAAGCCTAGCAATAGCAAGATCTTCTCGAGCAAGGTCTGCGCAAAACGAGCGCCTTGCAACGTATTTTCGGTCCGTAGACGTCCAATGGTTCTGGAGATAAACCCAATCGAGTGTCCTGTGAATTTCTTGCTTTCGATGTCATTCTCTTCACTCAACGACAGATCGTCGGTTGTCGCTTTGAATTGTGGATGGCTTGAGTCGGACGAGTTCTGTCGCGATGCAAGCAATGATTCTGAGTGGCGCTCGGTGCCATGGCCAGAGTCTCTCGATAACCTTCCTTCATACTGGTTCAGCAACCCGTACTCCTCCAAGTTCTGGGCACGGGAAGGCTTTTCTGGAGCGCGCACAGTAGCTCTGCGCTTCCCGCAAGTGACACATATCGAGAGTAGCGTCCACACTATTGTAGACGCTACCACAACCCAGCCAAGCGAATGGTGTGCATTACCCACATACAAGTCCGGCGTGGAGTGGTTATAGACCATCCCAGTAAAGAAGCCAACACCGTTAATAATGTGGAACATAACCTGGGCCGGTATCTGGAACCTGGATCCTGCCGTACTGAGCATCACTGCAAGAGGCATGGCTATTGTCCATGCCACGATCATGAATGTTGCATGCGCCAGATTCCAACCACCATGCTGTCCGTGTCGAAAGTAGCTTTCCGCACTGACGGCCATCGCCATAGTGTTATCATGTTCTTCTATTGTTGCTTTTCCTGCAGTATTTGACCCGACATTCGTAGCTCCGTGATCGTGAGCGCCAGCAAGGGGCAGCACCGCAAGAATCACGGGTATAAGGAGAATCGAGTCGAGCCTTATCCGCATGGCCGAGTCCTATCGTTTCTAGTGTAATTCTTGTCGGTGGCTGGGATGGTTCTGTTCTTTCGAAGGTTCTGAAAAAGGGGGGACTGAGAGGAAAGGAGCAGCGTTCGATCTATACTCGCGGTTGAGTCAAATCGCTCTTAATATGAAGGATGGAAGAAATGAGCATGACTGAATGGAGAACAGCAGGATGTTTCAGCGGGATACAAAAGATGAATACTAATAGATCGTCGCGCTCCCTCACATCGGCTTTCCGTAAATCTCGCTGTCCACCGTTCGGGAGAACTTTCCACGAGCGGAGATAGCACATGATCGTGCGCGATACCGACCATTGATGACAGGTRATGTTGTGACGTGCTGTCAGATTTGCACAAGCTGCATAGAGCATAAGCTGCGTGCTGATCTACCCGAGGATTAGCTGCATGAGCCGGATGTCTTGAAGCGAGTTTCTGCAGTGATCGGCTCTTTGAAGACGCTTTCAATAACGAATCACGAGAGCATACATGCTTCGTTGCGGTGATGCTGCGATAGCAATGGTGCCCAAAGTATGCGCAATCGAAATCTTGAACATGACCTCCCGGTGATGTAGCTGACAAACCGATCATATCCAATGGTATGAACAGTCGGCGACGATGTTGCAATGTGGCAGCCGATCTGCAGCATCTCCATTCACCTGCCTTGTGACGATCACCTTCGGGTTTTGGATGCAGCCCGATCTGCCGTCATCTTATCAAGCCAAATGCTGACTGCAGCTGGAACCTCCGCGGGGTGTCAGACAAGTTTGTTGTGTCGTTGGCTGCCGCCAAGTTCCGTCGACACGACCAAGAGAGCGTCCAACCCACCCCACCATGATGAATGATGAATGATGAATGGTCCTGCCAATCTTTCACTCGTTCTGCCTTGATGAAAGTTGTCGATATGCTGATAAATCAACAACGCATATCGGTCAGCGGCCCAGCACCGAGGATTTGCGACTCATCCCAGCGACTGCAAGCATCTCTCGATGACGTTAGGTTGAAGAGCGTTCTTCATACCTTACATGCAAATGTCGATGTAACAGGCTTCAACTACGCGGGATCGATTTCCGACTTTTGGCACATTGCACCGCCAAGCCGGATGCGGAAGTGCACTCGTTTCGGGTTGTGCGAAGCAGACCAGCGCTGACACAGCATAGTCTATAAGAGGACTTCGACGCACACATCGACAGCACAATATGCAGAGTACCAAAATGGCGTATAGAAAGGATATTGAAGGTGAGGTGAGGTCGGGATTGGATTTCAACACGCTAGGTGACCTTGGCGCAAGAGCAGAAAACAGTAAAGGCACGAGGTACTTCCTAAGAAAGAGTATGCTGCACTCAGATCCACCATCGTTGTGGGTCTCCTTAGGTGGTTGTCTAGATGGCCGTGTACGGGAGTCTGCCCATTAGTCTAGCTCGTCCTGGGCGGCATCACCATCGCCGACGGCTCTCTTCTTATCCCCAGGATAAAAGTCCAATTCTCCGTTCTTTCCCAGCACGCCTTGACGGTCATACAACGATTTGGCGCGAATGTATGGATCCAGCTTCCAGTAGTTCTCCGCCAACCTCTGCGCCAGTCGCATGCGTCCCTCGCCTAGGTCCTCGCCTTGCATCCACTTTACCGTCTCGCTTTCATAAGACTTCACCAGCTCAGTACGCTCTGCCAGAATACTGTCACGCTCCGAAGTCTTTGCCAGGTCCGCATCCTCATTGCTGCCCTCCGCGGGCTCCTGGTAGGAATACACAAAGTCTTCGTCTCCGCCAAGTTCCTTCATAATCTTATCCCGGGGAATGAATTGCTGCAAGTCATCGACATTCGAGACAAAGTGAACTTTTGACGCGACAACGGGATCGAGCCAACCCTTGATGATTTTCCAGATTCCCTGGAAGAGCCATGGGGACTTGTAGACGAGAACAGAGCCTAGCGATTCTGGATAGTTGGCCTCGAAGCACTTGATCATGAACTTTACAGGTGTATAGTCCATGTTGGCCATGCTGAAGTCGGTCATGTCGAAGACGATGGTCTGTTGYCYGGGTCAGTACTCATTCGCCAATCCGCATCGGTGAGGCAGTAAAGCTTACAGCGGTGTCAACGGGAGCACGAAGCAGCATGCGTGCAGTCTCAATGGTAAAGACAGTGAATCGCTCCAGGCTCTTCTCGCTTTGCTCTCCCTGCCGATGCAATCTCACGCGAACGTAACAGCAAGGCCGCCCATCCTTGTCCGCACCATGCAGGAACGACTTGCCCATCCTCAACTGTGCCATGAAGTCCTCGCCCTCCTTCTTCTCCGCCGCATTTCCGGACCGTGTCTCCTGTATCGCGTGACCTTCGCCATGAATCATGATATCGTCATCCACGTGCATCTCCTCACTACGCCAGTGCATTGTCGAGATCAACATAACCAGTGCGGCCTGCACGTCCCATTTTCGCGCGCGAAGGAAACGAAGTAGCAGTGCATCCGGGTGATCGTGCTTGCTCATGCTCCAAAAGGCCTCTCGCAATGCTTCCGGGGTTTGCGAAGCTAGCGCCTGTTCAAACTCCTTTGTCTGGCCATGTTTATCGTTGTTTACACCACCACCAGCATCGGCTTGGTCATCGTCTTTGCCCTTTTTGCTGAATAGCCCTAGTCTGCCCTTTTTCTTCTTCTTGTCGGGCGTGTCGACTGGGGCAGCAGTGGTAGATGCCGTGGCTGCATGCTCGTGTGCGACACCAAAGACGTCTAGAGTCGCCGCCCACATCTCCTTTAACTTGTCCTCCTGCTCGGGGGTCAGATTTCCGGGCCTGCCAGGCGGCATTTGAGGTGCCATGACGAGATTGAACTCTTGCGCACTGAGCGCGACTGTTGCCTTTGGTTCGCTGTCTTCTATCTGTATCGGCGACTTCGCGGGTCGACTGTATCTGATCCCAATGTATGCAACTCCGAACGAAAGTGCTGCGGCGAGCAGAAAAGTGGTGGTGTCAAGGCCGCTTCTCTGTACCTGAGGTTTGCGGTGACGAGTTGCAAGTGAAACTGGGGAATGAAGTCGACGACCGCCGCTGGCAAAGGCACTCCTCGGTAACACTCGGCAGGGCGCAGAAAGGTCGGCAAAAAGAATAGGACGGTGGTGAAGGATGCTGCGGTTTACAGCGGACATGAAGGAGTTTCACCGAAGGGGAAAGGTCGTCGATGTCGCACCGAGGAAGAAGGAGGCTCGTATGTCCTTGCTCCTCTTCACAGCTGCACCTCACAATATTATGACGCACGCACGCGCGCTAAGTACTTACACATGTAAAGTACCCAGCATTGAGCGAGCTGGCCATTTGTACTGACGGAAGCAAGGTACATATACCATGAAGAAAATTGAACCAACGCCATGTTTCGTAACGTTACTAGAAATACATGCACACGCAGTCATGACATGTTACCCCTGCGCAAGTACCAACAAGCTTTTCATTCTAACATTCGTTGAAAGCATCATCTAAAGCTCATCGTGCTCATCAAGATCCTCATCACCGGTGAGCGCCTCCTTCACGACCTCAGCTGCCTCCTTGACGGCATCCTTGATGCCTTCAGTGGCAGCGGCGGCCTGCTTGGGCATKCCCTCGGTCTCGACAGTCTCGGTCTCCTCAGGAGCAACGTATGCGTCAATGCCGTGGGAGCCGTTCTCCTTAATGAACTTGGCAAGGTCCTTGATAGAGCGGTCACCAGAGTACTCAATTGGCGCGTCCTTGGAGCCGGCCTTGAAGAGCTTGATGGTGGGGAAGCCCTGGATCTCATCTGGAACGTCGTTGAGGGTGGCATCGACCTTGGAGATGACGACCTTGTCGGCGTGGTCCTTGTACATGCCAGCGAGCTCATCGTACTTTGGTGCAAGAGCCTTGCAGTGTCCGCACCATGGCGCGTAGAACTCGAGGAGGACATCCTGCTTGCTGTCGATGACGACTTCCTGATAGTTCTTGGCCACAACAACCGTGACTGGGCCCTCCTGCTTCTCTGGGATGGGCTCGCTCTTGATGCTTGGCTCAATCTTACCAGCAACGAAATCCTTGACAAAGTTTCCAATCTTCTTCTCGCTGAGAGCCTTGGCGGAGCCGGCCTCGGTGTAAGGGAACTTCTGGTTCTTGGTGGTGTCCTGAATAGCGAAAGCTGGCCATGTGCCGACCTCGAGGTTGAGGTTGCCTGCGTGCTGGCCGAAAGCGCCGGCATCGATGGTTGCGAAGTTGACCTTGCCCTTGTACTGCTCAGCCACTGGCTTGAGTGACTTGGCGAGGGATTCACGCTCCTCTGGGGTTTCAGCGAAGATGTAAGCGAGAGGAATGCCGGCCTGCAGAAGAATTAGTACATAGACGAGCAAAGCGACGCAGGTCATCCCAAACTCACGGCCATGTAGTCAGCGTAGGTCTCTGGTCCAACCTCGCCGATCAAAGGAGTAGCAGCGGTCTTTGCGAATGCCAGAATGTCTTCCTTGACAAACTTCTCCGTGAAAGTGTTCTTGCCCTCATCGAACGTCTTGTAGAGGACGATCGATGGCTGCACGACACCCTCGGCCTCCGCGAGGCCGGCGTCAGATGTGGCGCCAAAGAGGTAGTTGTCGCGGAGCTCCTCGCCAACCTCAGTGAAGGTGGCGTTGGAAGCCTTGTCATCAGCACCGAAGAAACCAACGACGACAATCTTGTCGGCGGTCTTGAACTCGTCCAATCCCGTAGATGTGGTGAGCTCGGAGACGGCGGGCAATGACTGCTTGGTCATGTATGAGACGATTGCAGGTGCCTTGCGCTGGCCAGAGTATGGTGTCACATTCTCTGTGCCTCTGAAAACCTTGAGGGTTGGGTATCCTTCCACACCGTACTCTTTGCATAGATCCGCCTGCTCGGTGCAGTCAATCTTGGCGAGCGCAATGTTCTTCTCCTTCAGTGTCGTAGCAGCATCCTCGTACTCGGGCGCGAGCGCCTTGCAGTGGCCGCACCATGGGGCGAAGACTGCGTGTCACGGTCAGCAGACATTGGAGGAAGCTGGAACGGGTGGTGATGGCAACGTACACTCTGCAAGGACAAGGCTGTTCTCCTTGATGAAAGGTGCAAAGGTCTCCTCAGTCAAGTCGTGCACATCGCTGGCAGCTGCCAGGGCAGCAAGGCCCATCAATCCGAGTGAGTAGCGCATGATGTGTGATTGCAGCTGATCTGTGATGGGAATTGATCAAGATCGGTACCAATGTTGGATGTGTACCGGGCAGTGGTGGCAGAGATGAAAGATTGTGAGAGAGAGACGTGAGTGTTATGTACCCGCTTGAGCTTTCAGATGATAGCTGTCCTCAATGTCCAACATCCGCCTCGATCCTCCAATTAATGTCATGRTGGACCCCTACTTTGACTCGAATGCCACGGATCCATCCAGCCTATGGAACCTTGTTAAAAGATGGGGCCACCTATTTACTTCTCCCCGAAATGATCTCTTTGTCTTCAATGCTATCTACTCCTCGTACGGCGATAGCATACCCTCGATTCTCCTCCCTGTTTGCGCTCGATCCTTGGCTTGCGAGGACACATTGCAAACTTGTTTTGACTCGAGGTAACACAGTCAAACTCAAAGATGCCACGGAGCACTTCCTTTGGCCCCCACTATATATACTAGCGTATCTTCCTTCGCGCGCGTTTGCCAACTGCAGGATTGTCGCTGGGAGCCAAAACTAACAAGACAGAGAGCAACGATGGATACTCCTGGTCCGCCACTGACTCCTTCCTCGGCGGCGACACATCGGAGCAGGTCGCGACGTATGCACGGCAGCTTGTACCTAAGGTAGCCTTTGGCCGATGGAGATTTCGAGAGGCTTGCGTGATTATGTACAGTGTACGGAGGTCCGAATCCAGAGTCCTTGCCAGTCAGACTCAGCTTCTGCCATATCAAAGCTTAATCAAGTTGAATCAATTGACCGGCAAGGACTTCTGATTTGGACCTCCGTACAGCATCTTACCCCGCTGGAATGGCACTCCGGTGACTCAACTCATACGAACCTCTCGCCACCTCGCTGTGGGAGGAGAGGACTCCTGCGTCCAAGACGAAGTCGACATCCAGTAGAGAGAGGTTCATGCGAGTCAAAACCAACGGGCGGCATACTGCAGTGGTTCCATGATGTACAGTGGTCCGAGTCGAAAGTCCTTGCCCGTCAACCACAGCTTCTGCCATATCGACGTCTAATCAAGTAGTATCAACGACCGGCAAAGTCTTTTGACTCGGAACTCCAGCAGTGAGTTTCACTTCGCCAACTGAGTCAAAGCAGCCGTCAGATTCCGTCGAGCTGTCAGATCATCCCCATCGTCCGAAGGTCGATAGCACTGCCGTACGACAGCCAGCAGAGAGTGGTAGAGGATATATCTGCAAATCTTGTCAGCAAAGCACTATCAGCGGGCTTTCAAATGCATACAAGTATTGTCGGATTCGTTGATCCTCTGTTCTATTGGGAAGCTTTCCAAACCCTTCCGCAAAACTGACAGACGGTTTATAGAAGCAATCCGACATGTACGGATCTCCCCAGGTCGCAGTGGAAAGGTCGAGCAAGCCAGACACCATCATGCTGTGAGTGTCCACGACGATATTCCTGTCCGATACCATTTCTAGGAGAAAGAGTTTCGGTTGCGTGATTTGGTCCAATTGTGACCTATAGCGATGGGCCTGCTGGCGGATGAATTCATACGGCAGACTGACCAAGGCGTCTTCTGCGTCTCGCAAGAGTAATTCCAGCAGACTGGCGAAGTACTTCGACCAGGACGAATATCCAGGCAGAGCAACTTCTTTGACACCTCCAAAGGAAGAATTTGTGACACGGGCTAGACAGCGCACGTGCTTTCCCAAGCTTTTGTCGATGCTGGCGAGAGCTTTGGAGGATAATGAGGGCYCCACGTCTGCTAGGATGGATCCTTTGAACGGCCCACTGATGAGGTAGAAGCTTCCAAGGGGTATCGTTGTGGTGTGGTACTCGATCAGTCTCGGTACAAGTAGGTCAGATCTGCCTCGAAGGACCTGTAAGATGGTGGCTTCCTTCCTCAACCCGTCCTCCTCTTGCCGCAAAAGTCTCACGTGGATGGATGGTCGGCATCGMAGCACATAAAAGAAGTCGGAGGTGGATCGCAAACGAAATGTGCGGAAGATTACTCCGCCGAAACGCTCCACGGTGACGGACTTGGTCTGGAGAGCTTTACTAGCAACTCGTTGGATCGAGCATGGATCGGGCGACTTTGATGATGAGGAAGACATTTTTAATTCGAGTACTTCATCGATGGGCAGGTTGACCGTCATTTGTATGTCGGCCTCTCAGCGCCCTTGGAACCAACGATAATGCTCTGAAACGGATGGTGTGGACACTGTGTGAGATGGCTTTACACAAGACATCTCAAGGGGCACATATGCTTGTCGAAGATGCGGGATCTTTGCTTTAGGGCAGCGAGCTTCTGGGGGTGGACCGAAGTAGACCGAAGATTGTCGGCGAATGTAGAGGATGCATCACTCCAGAAACAGTAGCCATCCGAGCGAGCCCATTGCAAGCCAGGTCGCTTAGTTCGAGCCATGTATGGTCCGCTCCATCGTGATGGCATCAGCGGGCTTGCTGCGGATCGATCTTGCGCGGCCCGTAAGCCCACGGCGAAAAGACGGTAAAGACTGCAACATGGGGCGAACTGTACACGCGTTTGGAAACTCCCAAATGAGAATGATGCATCGATTACCTCGCGAGTTGATGGTATGCGGATGCTAAGGCTTGCGCCGCGGAAATGTAAGCTCGTGGAGAGGCGGATAGGCAAGTCGTCAGCTCGTCTATCTGAGCTGCGAGAAGTTAGCGGCGATCCTGCTCGGCCAATGGCGCCTGCTGGGTCCAAGGTGGATGCAGTGGGACTCGGTTCTCAAAGCGCCACGAGAAAATACGGTTGGTGGAGTTCTGTGTATGGAAGAAAATTGGCGAGGGCYCATTCAAGGCGAATGTTGCGCCAGGCTGACTGAGGCACCGCCGCTCGATCTGGTGCAACTCCCCGTTAGCCAGATCGATGCCACGCGACTCCTAGATGTGATATCCACAATCGCAGCCCGGGTGCGACGTCCGACGCCCAAATGCTCCACAATTCGACAGTTTCACGTGTACAATCCTTGTGCCGTGGCTGATCGTGAGACTGGGTCTCCACGTGTTGACAATAGCGATACGCGGTGTTACACGACGATTTGGCTTGACCACATTGATGCAGCCCTTCTCGATAACCCAATCGGATTGCATTGTGGGTCAATTGTACTKCCTGTGCAAATGCGTGGTTCCATGTCAACGTATGACGAGCAGACCAGTTGTTCATCGAACAGCGTCGGTCTTGGTCCCGCGAAGGCATCGGTTAGGTAAGGCACTCGTCTCGCCTTGTGCCTCATTCCGATTCATCCGTTAAGTGTTCTCCTTTCTACCGGACAGCGTTCGGGCTTGATGCCGTGAATGTACGGCATTCAAATTGTAACTCGCTTGACGCCTCATCCCATCAGAGCGGTTTGCATCCCCACTCGCCAGCACGCTCGGACTGAGATCTCCTCTGCACCTTCCATCGCAGGCACTTTATAGATCGAAGAACATGGTGTGTGGGGGCGCTGTTGAGTCAGCACAGTATGTCATTCTTTAGCACCGGCGTCTTCTTTCTTGCTGGCGATTTCGGCCTTGGGCGTTGGGTCGAATATTTCAGAAATGTTGTAGCGCTTCAGCCTTTCGAAGTCGCTATCGACAACGCTCACACCACATACGTGCTGAATATCAATTAGCAACTGAGATGCTGTAACCGATGGCGAGACAGGCTCTGCTATAGCACCACCCACCTGATACACCTCGACCATGATCAACAGCTCGTAGTTCTTCAGATCGACCTCATGACCCGGCCCGACGAGAGAGGCGACCTGTTTGATGATGCTATCCCTGCTCAAGATATTGTGGTTGCGCAGTGTGGGTCGAATCGCGAACTATCCCGACCATGTCAGCTGGGATTCGACCACAAAGATGGTGGAGTACGAGATCTTGGTACGTTGGGCATCAATCGCATACCTTACGCTTTTCGAAGGGCTCCTTGTGAAAGTGTGGTTTCAGAACCTCGAGTGCCACCTTCTCCAGGCCTTCCTCCGAAGCACGTCCAATCAGCGTCATCGGAGTCAATCTCTTTGAGAACCGCGTGCGTTTGAGTTGGGGATTCTGCATGGCATCTTCGCAAATCGCCTTGACGAACGCTACGGGCTCGATAGGAGCTATTGTTTTGAAAAATACGACTTACACACCATCAGCATACGACCAGCGAGATTCAGCCTTCGACCCGTGCTCACCGCATTGGAGATTCACTCTGACGTGAGTGAACAACGGAGCACTCGTGGGCTTCCGGATGGCATCGACCTCAGCCTGTATTTCCTTCTCAATGTCGATCTCTGTATCGTCGTCATCGTCTTCATCTGCATCTGTGGATCCCATGGCTTGAGGATAGAGGCGCTCTGCAAACTCGGTGAACAAATCGCGCATCTCCCCAACGCAAGCAGATTCCTTGTTCTTGTTGCATGTCACCCAGATACCGCTGTCGCCATACTGGATATCCCGGACCTGATGTTTGCCAGTATTGCCATTTCGAGGCACAAGCCACGACTTCTTGGTCTGAGAGCATGTGAGCGACACAGTACATGGCGCGGATCGTGGAAGCTCACCTTGGGTCTTTTCTCATCACGGCCCGCAGAATCCTGGGCTTTTCTTTTACCTCCGGCCTCCATGATTGAWTGATGCCTTGTTCGATGTCGGTGTTCTGATGATCTTGCCGCTGAAGCGAGTGGGGGATGCTTGGCGCGGTCTTCACGCGAGGAAAGAATGTGCTCCGATCATGAAGCCGAATCTGTGAATGATGCTGATGGTTCTGCCAGATTGTTCTTCTACATTGAAAACCTTAAGATAGACCGTGTCAAACTGGAAGTCACTTTAACATCATTGGCYGTTAGCTACCTCTACCAACCGTGTCAGGAAGGGCGGCCAAGCCTATCGGTTTCTACGGGCAAGCACTGATCTTCATACCACACGGAGCTTGACTCATTGCTGGTAAAACATTCTACATTCATTATTCTTATATACACCACTTTGCACGGTATTGGAAGTCCTCGGGAGCAGCAAAAGCAGATATGTCATCCTCTGTGAACTTCACCGCACCTTCATTATATCCGAGCGTCGCAGCGACATCTCTTCGTCAGTATTACATTGGGAAGCAGATCTCAGACGTGCCGGCCCCCGCCGCCATCATCGATGCAGCCGTTGTGAGGAGAAACTGCGAATTGATGCTTGAGACCGCAGAGAAGCTTGGCGTTGGATTCAGAGCGCATGTCAAGACTCATAAAGTAACTCGAGATAACTGCGTTGCTCGAGCTTTGCACAGGCTGACGATTCGACCCTAGACTACGGAACTGACGGAGCTCCAAGTGGGCAAAGATTCCAAATCTGTCAAGCTTGTCGCTTCCACTGTATCGGAGGTCGAACATCTCGCACCATGGCTACAGGAATGCAAATCTCAAGGCAAAGCGATCAGCATTCTATACGGAATACCAGTCGCGCCATCGTTCATCCCACGACTGGCAGCCATTGCTCGATCTCTAGGCGAAGGCTCTGTCGGACTTTTCGTTGATCATCCATCCCACGTCAAACTTCTGGAGGATATTGATGAAGCGACCTGGCCAGGCAAGATTCCCGTCCACGTAAACATCGATGTTGGTTATCATCGCGAGGGTGTAGCAGCCAATTCGGCGCAGCTCGCYGACATTGCCTACAGCTTATCGGCCGCAAAGCGAACGATCCTCGGCGGATTGTATACTCACATGGGCCACTCGTATGCGGTCAGCAGTCCCGGCGAAGCTCTAAAGCACATGTCCCTAGAGCTAGAAGGCCTCGTAGAAGGCGCCCTGTCCTTTTTGAAGTGCACAGGCGCTGAGGGGAGCCAGGATCCGAACGCTGCCAAGGTCGTGCTATCACTGGGAGCGACGCCAACCGCAACCTCGATACAGAATCTGGTGGAAGACACGGACGGCGCCAAGCAATAGTAAGTCTCGAAGAGCACAAAGGGCCATGATCTAGAGCTCGTACTCATCAAGTCTCTAGCCGAGCAACTATCGACAAGATCAAACAGTCCTTCGCCGTGGAGTTCCATGCGGGCGTGTATCCAGTGATGGACATGCAGCAGCTTGCTACCCGTGCAAGGCCTCAGCAATCTGCCGCGGACCCAAAAAAAAGTCTTCTCTCATATGCCGACCTTGCGTTCCGTGTGCTAGTCGAAGTCGCGAGTATCTACCCAGACCGCGGTGACAAGCCCGAAGCTCTAATAGCCGCAGGCAGTATCGTCTTGGGACGAGATGTATGTAAGAGCTATCCTGGRTGGGGTGTCATCTCCGACTGGCCTGTGAAATCTGGCGTGCACTACGATCCTGAAGGAAGCAAGACCGGTTGGATCGTGGGGAGAGTAAGCCAGGAGCACGGCGTCTTGACATGGGAGGGACCTCAAGACAATGTAAGAAAGCTGGAGATCGGTGACAAGCTGCTTGTATGGCCAAATCACGCTTGCATCGCCGGTGCCAACTTTGGATGGTACCTGGTTGTGGATTCAGAAAAGTCCGACGGAGAGAAGATCGAAGATGTCTGGGTCCGCTGGCGAGGATGGTAAGCGTGGGACTTGTATCTGCGTCGTCTTGTCTCACACGTAGATGCACAGCTGGTGGTCAGGCCTTTCGTGGTGAAGAGAAAGCTTTGTAACATGGTCTGGGCTCTTTCCCCACTTTGGTGGTATCAGGTCTCTTGTATACAGACTTCGAGTGCTGTTCTAATCGTCGATTTGTGAGCGTGAGTTTTTCCGCGAGTCGTCATGACGGGATGCCTCGAGATTCAGCTCCGATCTCAACTGAGCACCTAGWCTCGCCTCGCTGAGTTTCTCTTCCTCGTCGACATCAATACCATTCGCCTCTGCAATCTTGATTAGCAGGCTCCGTTGAGACTCCAGTTGCTCTTTGATCTGTTTCTCGGCGGTTTCCCTGTCTCGTCGATTCTGATCATGAAACGTCGCACTGCTGGACCTCCACTTTTCCTCTCTCGCTTGAACCTTGTCAGCATTTGTCTTGCGACAATGCTCGAGCCATGGTATTAACTTCGTGATGTTGGCCAGTTCAGACATGGTCGATGCGCTCGCTGCGTTCAAACTCTGCCCAATGACATCTTGAACAGCGTCGAGCTTTTTGTCGATGGCGAGCTGCGTTCCCGTATGGGCTTTGCTGGCTGAGTTGAGCGTATCAAAGAGCCAACCTCCTTGCCTGGTCCACTCGCCGTGCCAATCCTTGACAAAGGAGAGAACTTCAGATACACGCTGAATGGTAGTATCTTCAGAGACACTGCCTGCGTTACGACTTCGTGAATAGGGCGCAGTATGCTCTGCATTGCCATTCCCTGTACGCGGACGTTTGGCTSGACGGTCTTCCAGGATCACGACATCATCATCCTCCGAACTTCTTCGAGAGGGCATACCATCGACAGCGCACGCGCTTGGCGATCTCGCCACGCTGGTACCTGTGGGCGCCCGAGCTGATATTTTGGTACGCGCAAAGGAAGCCGCATCGAAATCTGCACCAGTGGCTGTGACAGTGTACACATGTTCTCGCGGGTTGGCGGGTGTGAAGATGTTGAACGTGATTTCCGCATGGACCTGGGTTGGACAGCCACTGATGGTTTGGAGCTCCCGCTGCAACACTTCCAATGCTTTTCGAACCTCTGTTCGGCGAAGTGCAGTACCGTGAAGTAACTTAGTGTCTCCATGCCAGCAGTGAGAAACGTCCGGCTCGGCCATTGTGTAGAATCCGCGGGGAGGGCGCAAACTGGTTCCTATGTCAAGGATATTTGCGACACGCGATCTGGAAGACGCGCTACGAAACGAAGCCGGCTCCGCGGCGATATCGGGTGCTCTTGCTGTTGTTGGACTGGGAGGCTGTTGTTTCGGCGCAGATGGCGACAATCGGGAGTACCTAGGTATGTTTCTGGAGCTCAGCCAATGCCTCCAATGTGCTGTGTCAGGCCCTGCAAGGGCAATTAATCAGTGCATGGTATTAGTTGAAGGAGAAGAGCGAGTTAGTTGTGGGAGGCGCACCAATCACGAGCAGGTTCTGGCGAGAGGTCAAGCCTAGCGCGAAAAGGCGAGACGACCCCTCCGACACGAAGCTCACTCCGCTCACTCCTGTACCACCAAATGACCTCCATGGCCTGGCCTGGCGAGACGAGACGAGACGAGGAGGATTGCTGGTCTGGTACCCAGTTTTGCCTCGCCACGGATACCGTAAGCACAATCTGCCCGTTTTCCTCTCTTTCCTCCCCTCCCGCAAATTGTTTCCTCCTCCGCGATCATCATGTAGCAAGCACGGAGCCGCGCACCTTCCTCCCCGACCAATCGCCGCATTCACTCGACCTGCATGTAGGTCCATGCGAGCGCAACGTTGCGGCGAGTCATCATCTGCCCGTGTCTCAGGTGGGCCAGTGCCGGAGGGCTGGCTGGTATAGGCATGGCAGCCCTGCAGGCTGTCTGTTGTGATATCGTTGATGATGATGGGCACGATGAGTTTCACGCATTGTCTGGTCCAGGGGCGTCTGCTGCTTCCGACGATGCGAACACTGATATTGAGACTCTTCCTCCCGTTCATCCAGTGTGCTYATTGCAAGGTGCCTTTGAAGAGAGTTACTACGACAGCACGCGGGACAGTGTACAGCTTGGCGCCGCCTTCGAACACGACGCCGAAATGCGCCGACGACAGCTCCTCGAGGCCGAGAGCTACGAAGACAAATGGGTGACCCGGTGGAGGCCCAGGCGAGGCGCCAAATACCACCCATATCTCAAGCTCATCGCTCAGATCGTCTTTGGAATGCACTTGCTGGAGAAGGAGCAGGCGAAATCCAACGCCGAGGTGGTCAAGATCCTCCAGCACCACGTCGACGATGTCGATGCATTCCTGGAGCGGACATGGGAGGACTTTGACATTGCGAACAAGGACATTGAAGAGCGCATTCGCTTTCTCCGCATGCCCATGAACCACACCGATGTCTTTGAGGTGATGCTGGACGAGAAGAAGTGAGTTGGTACAACCCATGCGTGATCTTGTGTCATTCCACGTGCTGATCTGCTTCCTCGCTCCGGCAGATTTCGAACAGAACTGCTCCGAGGCAATGAGAAGCTCGAGAAGATCGTCGACCGCACAACCAAAGCCATGAACTCCGCACTCTCCGACATTCAGGCTGGCATCAAATCCACGGAAGAGCTGAGCGTATATCTCTCCGGCGTGAAGCGCAGGTGGCCGATGCACAATGTCGAAATCGCCGATGTACTGGCAGCAATGAAAGACAACGAGCAAGGCTGGATGGCATATCTGCAAGATCTCCAGCGAAAAGGCGCCGCACTGGGAAAGAATTTGACGGTCCTCAACGCAATCGTGGTGGAGATAGCGAAGAGAGCCGCTGCCGCCAGCCGGCGTAACAAACCACAAAGGACCATTTCACCAACAAAAGCCTCACCTGGCGTTCGTTCAAAGTTCGTCAGGGACTCTCCCAAGAAAGGCGCCTGGACGAACAAACCGCTCCCTCAGGAACCTAAGCCGAGGCTCACCATCTCGAAGCCAATACTACCAGTGTCAATTGTTGGCGAGAGCAAACGGATAAAGCAAGACAAGGGCAGTCCACCGCGCCCAAATATTGCTGGGCACGCCCGTGGAAGTAATAGCGTTCCCAGACCGACTCAAACTGAGGACATGAGAGAATTAGCAGCTTTCCTGCGGCAGTCAGGGCCTCTTCGCAGCCATCCTCCGGATCCCCCTTCGAAGGCAGCTCTGCCTGCTCGAATTGCAAGTATGTCTAAACTCCGACGTGAAACTGAGGCTATGGTCAAGAGAAAGCCCAACYGGACCCAGAGTCATGGAGGCGAACTCCTGAACTTCACGCCTCTCATGATGGCAAATCCTCAATACAGACGATCTGTGAGTCAGGGAGCCATCCCAGCATTCGCATCTTCGCCGGGAAAAACAATCAGCAAAAGCAACATCACAGCATCACCCAAGGAGTGCCAGGCCGAGGCCGAGCCTCGGACTTCAATAGGGTGAGCACCATGTACCACCAATGATTTGATCCTCATCTGACAACCTCACAGCAGCGGATTCTCTCAACGTGTGTCCAAACGACTCAAGTCTCTGCCTCAACCACCCATATTCTCGCCGAAGCCAGACATGTCTCCCCGGACTATTGATTCCGCTTTCTCCCACATAGTCGAGAAGGACTTCGCATCAGACGTCGTGAAACCCTCTCTCGAGCTGGAGAAACCGTCCAGTCCCGTCACTCCCATCGAGAAGCCTGCTGGCTCCCGTCTAGCGCTTTTCCCCAAGAATACGGGTCCAATGACCCCGTCGCAGGCAAGCTCGAGGAGCAACGCGCAAAGCCCAAGTCCTGTGAGTAATGAAGCCTTCACGAAGGGTTCCGGAGGTACTCCTCAACAGCCTACGCACCACGCCTCAAAATCGTCCGTGTCGATGAGTCTGAAAAACTTCTTCCACCGCAAAATGCCGAGCCAGAGTGTGTTTTGAGAAACGCCTGTTCGGGGAATGACGWCAGATCGCTTGAGTCTAGCGATATCAGAACTCGTAATRGACTCGGTTGACATTAATGTGACCCGGGCATTGGAGGAATGGAGTTGTACATATATACCCACGGCCGATACCCACGGCCGTTGTCGAAGATACCGGAAATGAATTGTGTTAATTTTGACGAGAACGATATGTGAATTTTCTTGTTGCAAGGTTTCCTGCTACAGCACGGGTTCCTCAAGCGTCTTTCTCGAGATTGTGCCACATCTGGCAGTACCGATCAGATAGTGGCAAGGCACGTATATATGCTGCGCACAGTGGAGTATGATATGCAGATCTAGACTGACCTTTACTGCTCCATGCATATTGATAGTGAAACGTTTTATGAAATTCGTCGCCCAACATGCTACCCCAACCCTAACCCTACTTTCACTTTTCACGAATGTGCAACATTTCCAAACGAACCCAAACAAATCCAAGCTCATCTACTCATAACTACAAAGGGAGTTCCGACTACGTTTCAGCGCAAAGCTTTCTCGCTACTCAAGATGTGCGTGACCTTCGGAGCGTGCACTCTCGTCGCCCAGGTTGTTTCCCAGCCCCATGAAAGCCTCCGGAGTGGCAAAGTCGCTTCTGGGGTGATATAAAGACTGTTTAGTAATAACATCCTCACATCAACGACACCAACCACGACAAACAAAGTAAAAGACATGGATCATTGGCTCAACCAATTTAGATTGCTCTCCTATTCTTGCGTCGCTTATATGTTTGTACAGCACAGCCCTAAGGCGATGCGAGTCCAATTTTTCCCACAATCATCGCAGTCTACTCTATAACGCCCAATCTCAACTTCACTCAAACAGCTTGTTCATCTTGAGATGCACACGTTCATCATGTCGTTCAGGAGCTAAAAGCCCTGCCCCCAGGTCCGTAAAAATGATCATTCATGTTTCGCTGCCCGGAATCCGTTCCAAAAATGCAAACTGCAAAGCATCAGGGTATCGAGTTCATCAAGAGAATCAAAGATGGCCTCCGTGGTATGTAGACGATGACGAAGGGGAGCATAAGAATGGAGCGTAGCGCCGAGGATGTCTTATTTCCCGCCACGCGGATTTGGCCTCGATGTACTGAAGGTGCGCCAGTCAACTCTTAGCCCGAGACTCGTCTCGTCACACTCGCACAGAGCATGAATCATTTGCAGAGACCTTGTGTCTTGACAGAGGTCAAGATTTTGCGGATCCCCCAGGCCGCGGCTGCACGCGTGCAGCATGTTTCTGCACAGACATGAGTAYCGTCTCAGCACGGAGCGATCATTCTGGTTCCACTCCTTCATCGATCTTGGCTGGAACCCCCTGCGCACCCTCCATGCTGGCGCCATGGCCATCCACCGTGGTGGGTTTCTGCGCTGAGCTTCCTGTATGGCCTTCCGTGCGAGCGGCCGATTCGCTGGAGTCGACCTTCTGCGTAGCAGGAAGCGACAGGTGCCTTGGGCTGGCGCTAGCCTTGCTTGCCTTGTCCGAAGCCACGGAATGCTGGCTAGACGTGCGAGGCGAGACCTTGCCGTTCTGCGAGAACACTATGAGTATATCACTTGATGGGTAGGGGCTTATTCTAGACTTACCAGTTTCGCCCAGCGTAAACCGCAGCTGTTGCACAAATCTCTCTGTCCACTAGGTCCTCTCCGCCACTCGGGGGTGACTCTCGTATGACAGTTGGCGCAATCCTTTTGTGCGTTGCCTGCGCCCTTTCGTCGTTTGCGCTTCTTCTTCGCCGCAATTAGACTTTGTACTTCCTCAGCAAGAAGTCGATTGCGTTTCTCTAGCTGACGAATCTCGTATTGCCATGACGATGACTTTGTGGTCTTCAATTCGTCAAAAAGGTTGTCGTCGGAAGCAAGCGACTGATCTTGACGACCCAACACGAGACCATTCTGCCCTGCATATGTAGCAGCAGATCCATCGGTATTGAGGTAGCTTGCGTTATTTCCTCCAGAGCTCGGTGTCTGCTCGCCGTCGCGCAGAGGAAGGAGGCCGGTGCCAGTGGTGGCTGACTGGATAGATTCCGAGGAATTACGTTCACTTTTGTTGTAGATGCCAGGGCGTTGCTGAGATTGGTTGCCACGAGAAAACTTGACCAAACGGGTCTGGGCGACAATGAAGGTTGGTTTTTGACCCTCGGTGGCATCGCCTGGGTAGAGGGTGGTAAATGCCGAGAGCACCTGTCCTCGTCGGTTGATCATCTCGTGCTTTACGGATGCTTTCTTTCCTGTGCGAGCATGCTCCAGTATTCGTCCGAATTCTGATCGAGATTCGATGCGCATGAGCGACTGGATGCTAATGCCAACCAGCTCGTCCGGCTGGCGGTCAAGAAGTTGCCTGACGTTGGACGAGACGAACAGGAACATGCCCGATGTTGACATCTTCGTCCACAACTCATTTTCGCCAATGCCGCCGCCAGCAAGTATTGCATTTTTGCTCAATGTGTAGACGGGCCGTTCGCRGCCCACCATGATGATCGACTTGCGGCCTTTCCCTTGTTCAGTATGCAGGGACCCGTGGCCTTCGAACCACATGTAACCGTTATTCTTCCGGCGAATGCGGAAAACGACATTTACAGAAGCACCAGTTGATGTGTCCTTGAGTTCTCGGGTAACGGGAACAATGTCGCTAGGATGGCACACAGAACTGAGTGCGGTACCAATAATCTCACCCGGCTCATACTCCAGCACGCGTAGAGCGGAAGGAGACACCCATTGGAAGAGGCCCTTGAGAGACAGGACATGCACCACATCGTCTGTGTTCTCCAGCAGAACCTTGTCCCACATGCGCTTAGCATACTCAGACTCGCCGCTGCCAATCGTGCTGAGAATAGCAGAGACATCGTCACGTGGCACAGTCTGACCGTAGTCGTTTTTGACCGCCGCCTCGGGTGCGTTCATCACATACCGCGGCATCGTCATACCCCGTTGGTAATTGATCGAGTAAGAGCCATCTACGCGAATAGTTAGCAGGGGGACCAATCGATTGTGCAACATTAACTCTGCCGATCGRAGATCATCGGCAGTTCGATCGGGCGATTTCTACACATACCAGGATTTTTGTTCGTGACGGCGTTTGGCTGCTCCACCAAATCTACTTGGAATCCGACATAGAACTTGACGCTGTCTCCGTCCCACGTGATGGGAATGATCGTCAGCAGGTTCATAAACGGCTGGCCGCCACGCCTGTAGTTGATAAGTGATATTTGCGCTTCCCGCCGGGAAGTGATCATGTTCTTCAGATATACCACCGAATCGTCATCCACATACTTACGTCGAATCCCGGAGACGACGTTGCCATCTGGTGACTGCAGGAAGCGACAATTTCGACCAAGGATCATATGTTTCGTATAGCCTGTCAATCGCTCAAAGTTGTCTGAGCAGTACACAATTGGCATGTCGTCCTTCTCAGCATCGCAGACTACGAATGCACAAGAGAGGTCCACCGAACCAATGTTGATCTGAGGATTAGGCCGTGTGGCAATCCGCATCTACACGGTCACGGTCAGCAGTGAAAGTCGATTCGCAATTGATTGCAACTCCATCGACCATGAAGATGTGGAACTTACCAAGACGCCAAGCATGTCAAAGCCGGTAGAAGAGTAAGCATTCTTGTATACGGAACTCATATGCGGTTTGCCAGTCATTGTCGTCGGCCAGCCTCCCTCCGGAGCATCCCAGGCAAAGCCCTGATTATTCGGATTGTATGGGGTACCGCTGGTGGGCACATGCTCGGACGTGCCTCGATCGAATCCAGCGTGTTGGACTGACCCAGCTTCCGGATTCCCGGTATTTGAAGGCTGTGTTGTAGGTGTGAAGGAGGCGGGAGAGGTCTGATGCTGGTGTTGGACAAGTTGAGGCCGTTGTAAGCGACCCTGTTGCGGTTGTTGATGAGAGGTTCGTGGCGGAGATTGCTGAGTTTGAGGGTGTTGAGGAGACGACTGGGAGCGCATTTGAGATTGAACAGACATTGGCGGTTGGCTCAGCGGCGAGGCACCGTGACCTGGACTGTTCAGGTCGGGCACATGCAAGCCCGGAGCCCGAGGATGATGGCGCACAGTGTTGGGCGTGGCACTGCCAACGGATCCACTATACGAGTGATGAACACTTTGACCACCGTGATCAGGCGTCATCGTCTTTCCGGAATGCGGAGTGCCCTGAGATGTGTTCGGAGGAGCATGCATAGGTGTTAGGGATTGTGACGGATTATAGGACTGCTGGCTGTAGACACCGGCCATCATTGCATCGCCAGACATGGGTGTGCCGAGGCCTTCAAAGTCCATGTTCATGGACATGCTGTTGTCAATGTAGGGGCTGCCCATGGACATGTCAAGTGCGTTCGTTGCWTGCGCGGGCGACTGAGAATAGGCAGAATTGGGTGGCATCATAGAGCCGTAGGCCTGCGAATTATTGCCATAGCCAGTATCCAGTGATAGATCCGCAACAGAGCCCGGCCGACTCAATGAAGGTCGTGACTGATTGTTGGCAGTGGGTGTCATTCCTCCACCTCCGTAACCACTCGGATCCATACCAGAGCTGGTGTCGAATTGATAATTGTTCGAGTGATTTCCAGGTGAGCCCGAGCCGTAGTCCATCATGGATATGCGCCGCATGTCTGGGTGCTGCGCGTTATTACCAAAAGTTTGAGGCATGCTTTGACGGCGGATGAGCTTAGCATTCTGGTTGACGATGTCGTCCAAAGATTGGCCAGACCCTCCCAACATGCCTTCCTGATCCATCATCATCATGCCGGACCCCTGCTGGCTGTCAAGGCCGTTGCCATCACCATGGCCGCTGCCGTTGCCATTGGCATTGTAGTTCCCGCCATATCCGTACCCGTTGTTCATCGCGGTCAGCCCGGGCGGTGCCCACACCTCTGCTGTCCGCTCGGGCGTGACTCGTGGCTACTGTGTTGGTGTGCTGCTGCCCGCGGCAGGCGGTGGACGCGGAGTTGACGTGAATATTGCATACGGCCCGCATGCGGGTTCGTAGCTGGGCGGCCGGCCAAGAGCGCGCTCCTCGTTTATACCACCAGCGCCGGCTATTCGCAGATCGGATGCAGGGCGCGATAAGATGGAGGTGGATTGAAGGTCGCAACTGTCACCGCTGCGAGATCTATGCGGCGTCCGCTCCGCACAGCCAATTGACTCGACGCTGCGCCGTGGGGATGCGAATGATCGCCACTGGGTTTGCGCCGGAGAGAGACGGCGAATGGGACGCTGGACAGCGGAGTCCAGTGCAGTGCGGTGCAATGCACGGCCAACTGGTCGAGGAACGTCGGTGGAGCGAGTGGAAGCTGGAGTCGAGAACGTCACGTATTGCGCGTGCAGGTCTCCAGTGGCAGACCCGCGGTGATGGYCGTGGTGGGTCCCGTGCAGCAGGGGTGGATTATCCCGGTAGGCAGTGTGGCTCCGCTCAGCTGATCCGTCCGGTGGTATAGGTCCACTTTCTTCAAAGCAAACTGCCCGGACTTGCGTTCGCTGTCACCAGTCGGTCGTGTGAAGGTGGCTTCGTCCTCTGCGACATGCAAAAGCTTCATGAGTAATGCAAGTCTCCAATCTTGGACCGAAACAGCGGGACCGCCGGGAGGAGGGTGCTGGAAACTCTATCTTTCGGATAGGATGTGTATTCTGGAACGCCTCATGTCCAAAACTCCCTATAGCCATGCATGATTCGTCACTATGCGCCTGGAGATGGCATTCGCGGCAATACCGTTTTGGTCCGCGTTGATTCCACGTCTCCCGGCAGCCGGACACTCTCGGTATGCCGTATCGGTCCGGACAAACTGCCAATGAACATCTACCACTCGAAGAACGCATGTTCATGGATCTCCTGACGTACTCCCCAGCGCCTGCGAGCCTCCGACCACACCGACACGTGTTGATCAAACAGCCACGAGGTCGACGCGTCCGACCCCCTTCGAGATTGGGTCGCACAAGATGAGAGCCACGGGAAAAACGTTTGACAGAGTGCAGCGAACCCCACGGAGGCTGACTTTGTGCGTTGCACATGAGTATTTAACTTAACGGGAGAGATGGGTTCACGTTCCACAGGGTCTTCACGGAGACTGCGTGAAGATTTCTTTTGCAAGTGAGTGCAGTCAAGGCATCGAGGCGCGTTGATATTGAAGGTTGCCGCTCTGCCTGTAGCATTTCAAGGTGTTGTACTTTCTGCACCTAAGGCAACATCATTAAGAGGACATCATTCGACGAGACGTTCGACTCTCCGCAAGGTTGCTTCTTGTTATGCGTGTAGCTACCTGTTTGCGAGCGCTGTCGTCGACTACTAAGGTACAAGGAGAGCCGGCTTTTCCTCTTCACGTCCAAGACTGCATCGTTACCTACTGCTTCGACGCAACCTTCAGGAGTTGCACATGATGCACCTCGGCTTTCTGTACGCCAGCACGCAAGGCTCCCGCATTCTGCTTAAACACCTCCAGCTCGCGGAACTCCATGTGCTTTTCGACGCTGTCCCATCCAATCAACAGAACCGCGCCCTTTCCCTTCACACCCTCTCTCTCAATATCATCATGCGTGAGTCCAATTGCACTGGCGTGCATGGCATCAAAGGGCTCCTTGTCGGCAGCGTCGCGAAACTTCTGCACACCGGCAAGATATCCCTCTGGAGCTTCAGAACCAAAGTAGAAAGTGGCGATTTCTGTGATCGGAGCACTGAGGGCCTTCAAGATTTCGCCTGCGGGCTCAACAYCTGCAAGGTAGATGGTTGGAGCTCCTGCGAAAACGCTTCTGAACTTTTGCAGGAAAGGCTGAGCGGCTTCGCTGCTCACAAACGTCTTGTAGGAGTCGAGATTGTCCCAGGCTAGACGATGTCCATCAATAGGGTGATCATGGTACTCTGTTGTATGTATAACTTACTGACGACCAGTTGGAATACTTCAGGCTCTAGGGAGCAACGATGCACCAGTCAGTTCATGTCGAATATTCGCCTTTCGGGACTGCGTACTCTCTACTTGCATTCCAAAGTGCATGTGCTGCACACCGGGGGCGTCATGGAGGCCATCAGAGACTTCTTTGAGAACCACTGCTGCTTCATTGTTGGGATCTCCGATGTTGCTGCCCGGCTTCAGGGGGACTTCGAGAATCTCAACCGTAGGCATAGTGATGTTTTCTGCAAGAATTCTTTCCTCTATTTCAGTTCTGTTCGACAACGACGACAGATCCAGTGTGATTGAGAAATGTGATAAGAAGCGACTACAATTCAAATACCCAACATAATACCTACACATAAGCGCGGCACCGTGCCTCCCTAGTTCGTCATCGCGGGGAGTAGTACCTATGCCCCGCCATGGATTCAAGCAAGGTCGCCCAGATCGCACCTCGTTCCCGACCTTGATGGAACACTAACTTGGATAGTGATATTTCCAAAAATGCCGTCAGAAGAAGAAACCAAGGCGACTCGACAAGCTCTCCAGACCGCTTCAACGCCACCATCAGCCTCCTTGTTCAGCACTCTCATCACCGCGAACCACATTTTGCACCATCATGAAGTCGTAGACGCATACGGTCACGTATCAGTCCGCAATCCCCAAAATCCCAAGACTTTCTTCCTCAGTAGATCTCTTGCACCAGCTCTCGTCTCAGAACGCGAAGATTTGGAAGAATATTACGTCGAGGATGCCAGTCCCGTGCAAGAAGGCGAGGGCCCAAAAGGCTATGCCGAGAGGTTTATACACAGTGAAGTGTACAAGAAGTATAAGGGAGTGAATAGCGTGGTGCATAGTCACTCTGAGGCTGTCATTCCATTTGGAATCAGCAGTGTTCCACTAAGACCGGTGTTCCACATGGGAGGAGTTATGGGTGAGTTTCTGCCTTGTGTGGATGTGTGGAAGCGAGTGCTCTTGATGCATCTTTTGTCATCGCGGCATTTCTCACAGTCCTCGGATTCCACAACATCTTCACCTCTGACACACTCTCTCTACAGGCCACCAAGTCCCAGTCTATGACATTGCCAACCACTACACCACGTCCGACTCTCTGCACTCGCTCCTCGTAACAAACCAGCACCTGGGCGCAGGCCTCGCTGCCGGATTCAATCCCTCGTCATCACTGGCCAAAGGYGTTACAGCCATCAAAAACTACCTGACATCCTCCTCATCCACCGAGGTTGACTTCCCTCCTAGCCCAACGGTCCTGATGCGCGGCCATGGAATGACAGTCGTAGGAACGAGCATCGAAGAAGCAGTTTATCGCTCAATCTACGCTTGCACCAATGCCCGTGTCCAGACAACTGCCATGCTCATGCAAGGCGGCTATAATCTGGGGCTAATCGCGGGACGCTTCGGCCAGGGTGGCGGGGAGAAAGGAGCGAATCCTGGACCAGCGAAGCAAGAGGGTATTCACTTCCTTAACGAGCGAGAGAGCAGAGATGCCTGGACGCAAAATCAGAGACATGCGGAGCGGCCTTGGAAGCTTTGGTGTCGAGAAGTGAAGGAACTGGGGTTGTATTCCAACAAACTCGGAGATCCGCCTGGTTCGTAGAGAGATTCTCTAGCTTGAGTTTAACGGGGACTCAGCCGAACTGGGCAGGGAAACGCTGGTACGAGACTGGTGCGTTCTTCCACGACCGATCAGGAAACAGTGTCGGCGTGAGCTGTACGTCTGCGAGTTGATCCGGGTAAGCGTTCATGCCACCAATACCTGCAGCGAGGGAAGGGTTAAAGATCGACGCGTCTAGGGGAGGCGCGTTTGAGGTTCCGTGCCAGTCATTCATGTTATAATTCGGAACATTGAGCTCTCCAGTATAACTTGGAAAGACAGAATCCCACTCATTCTGCAAGTCACGTTAGCGCAAGTAATGCACGGCGACGTGTGGCACACTCACCCAATCGATATCATCCATTGTCGACATGTGAACATCTGCAGATTCGGCATTGCTCTGCACGAAATTAACTGATGGCGGACTGGTCTCAGCCGGCGCCTGGGGATTACTTTGCACCATTCTTCCGAGCGAGTCCACAACCGACCACTGCGGACCAAGTCAGCGAATCGCATCTCTCTCGTGAGCAACATATTTCACTTACGATAGGAGCCTTATTCTGACTGGCGCCATTTCCAACCAACTTCTCCACTTGGTTGCTCACCCGCAGCTTTCGAATGTGATGATACTGCTCCATGCGATCCCGCAAATCGGTCAATACAAGCTCCGCTTTCTGCTTGGGAGTAAGGTGAGAGGGGATGTCAAAGACAAAGTCCAGACACTTCCAGATTCTCGCCGCCTCTTTTCGCATGGGATATGCGTAAACTTCAATCAACAACAACAAAGCACCGTGATATTGATTGATAGCTCCACGATACCAGACCCAATCTTGCAGTTTTGGGTTCTGCTCCCACGCGACGCAAACTTCCATCTGGTCAAGGGCCGCTCCGWTTAGAAGCTGTCTCAGTCGATCTGGCATCCTTTGAGTCGTACTGAAGAGGTAGCGGTGGAGTATCTGCTGATGCATTCCATTACAGCCGATGTCAAGGATCATTTTGGCGAGCAGCTGCATTGGTTCGCCGGAGTTGATCATCGGATGCCATTTCTCTTCTTGGGAGACTATGAAGCGTTGAACCTTGACGACGACTGAGGTGAGAGATATCTTCTTTTTGTCGATCGCTTGTATGTCGAACCAGTTCTGGCTGCGCAATTCTTGATATTCGAAGCGCATCAATGAGAATGTCATATCTGTCCAGACTTTCTTGTCTTCGGTTGGAGGATTTGACGAAAGGAGATCCACATCGTCCACGTTCAGGGGTAGTTTCGTGTCGTAATCGCCTGGGCGAATCTGTGGTCTGGGTCCTGTAGCTTCGGATGTTCTCATGTCTAGGAAGCAAAGCTGATACCATAGCATCCTTCGGACGTGAACTTCCACTGGCTTCATGTTGTAGAGCGTACCGTCCCGATGCAGTGCCATGCATTCTGCGAGCCGGATTGCAGTCCCAACCAGTGCGGAGTGGCCTCTTGATACCTCGGATCGCGCAAGAGGGATGAGGTACATGATGAAGGCCTGCATGGTGTCCACCTTGGTGGTACGAAGAAAATTAGCTTTGGCAAGGCTACTCTCGGTACCCATCCTCAAGCTGTCCACGAGCATGTCTTTTGATGTTCCGAACCGGCTCATGACTTGCTCGTTCGTCATGCTGACAGCAGCAGAGAACATTGCGGCGAAAATAATGGCTTGCAATGGAGGGACAGGCTCATTCCCGGTCGATATCTGACTCCAGAAAAGCGAATATTGTGCCTCGAACGTGGGCCGATGGACGCAGCGACACATGTAATGCACAGCGCGAAAGTAGTGAGTAATGAGCTGGTCAGCCGAGGTCTTGCTGGGAAGATAGTCAATCAGGTTAACACTCGGATTTGTGCCAGTGAAGAAGAAGCTCGAGGCTGGCGCAATATACTCGGGTCCTGGTCCAATATAGCTCTTAGGAATGGCTTGTAATCTTGGCTGCCTGGCCCCAGACTGCGAGTTTGCCTCGCTGTGAGATACATGCAGACCCGGCTGTCGAGCCTGGTCAGCGGTAACGTCTTCGAGCGTGTCTGTGAGTTCGTCCACCAATTTCGGCCTGATCCAACCGCCAACACGCTCGGAGATGCGCATCTTGCCCATCTGCACGCCGAGATCCATCATGTCATCGTCAGCATCTTCACCGTAAACACTGTCCATTGCTGCCAGCGGTGAAGGCTCCAGATGGTTTTCTTCATAATTTTCGTCATCACCTTCAGCGGCTTGCGGGAGTTTCACCTCGGGAATGTTTGATCTGAACGAATCATTGCCTGCTGCTGGAGTAGAGGGGGAAGCGGTCCTCCCGGCGATTTCACGCTCCAGTCCTTCCTCCAGCGCTCCCATCTTGTCCTTGATCTCTGCAATTTTCTGCTGGGCCTGAGGATCAAGGGATGGTGCGAGATACAAGCAATCTCGCCGAAAGCGAGTGCAATTGGTACATGGGTGGGTCTTGTCACACTTCAGCTTGCGTCTACGACACTCAAGGCATGAGGTGATGATGCGATTCCGCCGCCTAATCCTCGTCTTGTGAGCTTCGTTGGCAGCGTTCGGTGAATCATGGTATTGCACAGCCTGTWAAGCCGACAGGCTTTGGTTGCTCCCTCTCGCTGGACTCGATTCGTTATCAGGGCCATGGTTTGACGCGGAAGAGTACATCCAGGCGTCCATCGTGAGTGAGGGCCACAGGGCTGGGATCTAATCGGGGATCACCTTACGGCCGAAGCGAGCAAGTCCAACACAGTCGGAACTGTGCCTGATAGAGTCGTGTTTTGTGAGAGCAGTCAGATCGGTAGGAGCGGGGTGCATTGGCGTGTTACTCCAACTATGAACAAGCCTTCCATCGACTTGCAAGAAGAAAAACAAAAAAGCCATGGTCATCAGTTCCCTTTTCACATGTGAGGTCCAACCCGGTTAGCGGACGCCACGGCCTCGGCACTAACGGCCTCCCTGATGCCGATGTTCCGGTATCCTTCCAAGTATAGACAACATCCCGTCTTTCTTCGAGTCTTCAATACCTACGGTAAGAACGATCCCGCGAGTCTTTCGCTATGCAAGAGAGTACTCACCGTGGACCGTCTCGCACGGTGCAGACGTATACCCCACAGGAGTTTGCTTGTGGAGCATTCCGGCAATCGTACACAATCCTGTTCACCGCGACACTGTTCCTTGCATGTGATCTTTTGCAATGAGCTTTCCGGGGCCTGCTGGCTGATGGATCCTTCTTGGACTGGCGGTGGCGACAGCTCGCTATGGGCGTGGTCCGTTGGCTTGTTTGACATAGATCAAATGCCGGCCTACATGTCCCTCCAGGAGTGTCAAAGCATACTCACCAAGACCAGACGATTGCAGAGATCTCCCTTCTCCTGAACTGTGGCATTTGTTTTATCTATACAATTAGAAAATCCTTCCATCCTCGGTAGTAGGTGCCCACTTCTCACACCCTCTCACCACCCTTTGCGTACAAAGTCCAGGACGCTCTCCTTTGCCTCTACAACTTTCTCTTCGGCCTTGTAGTATCCCATCTGACTATGTGCCTTGCCCGTTTCGATGAAGTKCCTCACACCCTCGCTGATTCTTAGGTGGTTGTCCCTCACAACGGGAAACTTCTCCTCGTAACTCCAGACCAAATTGCCCACATTCTGCGTCGTGCGTGGGACGACGTAATGTGCAGCCGTCACACCTGTGGCGAGTGGAGTCGCGAAACGTAGTAGGATGTTGCGATTCCGGCTGATGATGCTGCCAGCCATGGCCGCTACTAGGACGTATATGCCGCCTGGCAAGAGTTTCTCATTGGATTCTTTGGGTGGTGCAAGCGAGGCAATGGTCGAAGTGAAGCTGTGCTCGGCGGCCATGAAGCGTGACATGCCGTTGTTGACGGCATCTTCAGCTGCGACCGCTTTTGAGTGAAGGAATAGGCGGCTCTCTTTAATCTGCGCTGCGAGCCGAGTGGTGGGAGAGTTGCGCCGGGTTGGCTTCGAGTCGGAGTCGGAGGGCTGTTCCTGTTCTTGGGGCTTGTCGGTTATGCCACTGGCGGGTGCAGGAGTTGTAGCGCTGATGTCGCGTGTGCTGGGTTCGCTGGAGGAGACATCGTAGATTGGTTTCCGGCGCTGAGAAAGATGGTTAGACACAGATTGCACACACATTCATAGCATTTCACTCACGATCAGCTGCACAGGGTCGGCGGACGCCATTGTGAGTGAAGTTAGGTGGTCAATGGCTGGTGCAAGTCTCGCGATATGAGTTGCCGAAGTGATGCTGGGGATCAAGCTTTCGCGATGTCCTTCCTCCGACATGTCCGAGCTGTAGCCGAAGTCGACGTCAATGTTGGCCAAGGAATGTTTTGGCTCGTGTCTCTCACGACCTCCCAACCCAGCATGCTCAAAAAAGTCGTGCGGGAGGCGTGGACATGCCCCCGATGTCTACAAAACAGCCGGCGGAGTCTGGTCACGTCCAGCAGAACAAGAGGTGCTGCTGCAGCGGCGGCCGCCGTGTCCAGAGGCGACGATTCACCCCAGCCAGTCTCCAAGACATCGCCAGAAATTGCAGCAGACGATCGAACGCTCCGTAAAATCTTCGACAGCCCGGGCTTTTGGGCGGAGTTCTCCTCCAAGAATCAGTATCATTACGGCGGAAAGAGTGCTGGCTTGCTCCAAAATCGCTACCTCACTCGGCCCGAGGGCTTTGCGATCTTTGCTGATGTCACGCTGCAAAAGAGTAGACGCATTGTTGCTCAAGTACTGGCATACGACACGATTGAGGGCTATAAAAGGATTGCGCGGGACATGGACAGACTAAGTGATCTTCTATGCCGAGTGATAGATCTCAGTGATTTCATTCGGTCCGTCCATCCGGATAGGAAGATCCAGGCGGCGGCGACACAGGCTTATGCCATGATGTTTCAATATATGAATGTATTGAACACAACAACAGGGTTGGATTCACAACTCAAAAAAGCCGTTGCCATTCCAGAAGTTGTTCAGTCATGGAGCGAGGAGGAGAAGACCGTCGCTGATATTCTGATTCGAGACTTTGCCAAATCAGCAATAGACTTGCCACAGAAAGAACGTGAGGCGTTTGTGAGTCTGTCCGACGAATTGGCACAGGTGGGCAACGACTTTGTGGAGAACATGGCTGCAGAAAGGCCGTCGCTCACCTTCGAGAGCAGCAAGATGAAGGGCATGGATCCAGTATTCGTCAAGCAGTTGACGAGATGGGGCAAGGTCACCCTGCCAGTCGAAGGCATGCCCGCGAATCTGGCTCTGCGATCGGTCGAGAATGCAGATGTACGACACGAAATCTACATGGCTCATCGCACCTCTTCAAAAGATAACATACATCGTCTGGAGCGTCTCCTAAAACTCCGCGCGGAATCTGCAAAGCTGTCAGGCCATGAAAGCTATGCGCATCTGGCCCTTTCCGACAAGATGGCCAAGACGCCCGAAGCTGTGACTTCCTTCCTCGACGGTCTGGCTCAAGTCAACGCACCTCACGTGCAAGAGGAGATGCAACAGCTGCTGGCGCTCAAACAAGCAGACGCGCATGTAGCCTCGGATTCTTCAATCCTCAACGCCTGGGACAGAGAATACTACACGCAAAAACTTCTCAATGCCAACCGCTCTCGCGCACGAACTCCTGATGTTCTCAGCGCATACTTCTCCCTCGGTACCGTCTTTCAAGGCCTCTCTCGTCTCTTTCACCGCATCTATGGGATTCGTTTGGTACCCCGCGAAACGCACCCCGGCGAAACTTGGAATTCTTCTGTCCGTCGTCTAGACGTGGTGGACGATCAAGAAGGCCACATAGCCGTAATCTATGCCGACCTCTTCGAACGCGCAGGTAAAAGTCCCAACCCGGCGCATTTCACGCTACGCTGCTCCCGCCGCATCAGTGACGAGGAAATGCATGAAGCAGCGGAAATCAGCTCCCAATCTGCATCCCCCTTCAACACAGCCACAGAAGCAGTCAATGATGGACTGGCTGTCAGTCATAACCCACGAGACGGCAATGCTCTATATCAACTCCCCACCATTGCCTTGATCTGCGACTTCGCCTTGCCGCCCGCGGGGAGCACCCGTCCTTCACTCCTCACATTCCGAGAGCTCACCACACTCTTCCACGAGATGGGTCATGCGCTGCACTCCATCTGCGGTCGTACCGCATTGCAGAATGTCAGCGGGACGCGCTGCGCCACAGATTTTGCTGAGCTGCCATCTGTCCTGCACGAGAACTTTGCCTCGGCACCAGAGGTTCTGGCGCTGTATGCTCGGCACTGGGAGACGGACGCTCCACTCGATCCGGGAAGAATCGCAGAGAGGGTGGAGATTGACAAGAGAATGCAAGGTGCGGAGACGGAAAGCCAGATTCTACTCGCGATGTTGGATCAGCGCTACCACTCATCTTCATTTAGCGGTGACAGTACTGCAGTATATCACGATGTTTGGAGACAGTATGCCGCCCTTCGCGAGCCTGCGGGTACGAGCTGGCAGGGATTTTTTGGACATTTGTTCGGGTATGGAGCTACGTATTACAGCTATCTGTTCGATCGGGCGATTGCAGGAAAGATCTGGAAGGACGTGTTTCAGGGCAGGGCCGTGAGTCCGGAAGCTGGAGAGAGATATAGAGAGGAGGTTTTGAGATGGGGAGGCGGGAGAGACGGATGGAGATGTGTGGCTGGTGTTTTGCAGGAGAAGAACGGTGTGCTCGCCGAAGGCGGCAAGGGTGCTATGGAGATGGTGGGCAAATGGGGTGTACATAATTAAGGCGATGTGTCACGATATGTGTAAGAGTAAAGATTCTAAGAGCCATCGTCGAGCAATACGATACTGTAGAGGCATTGCGACGACTCGAGTTCTCAATTCTTCTCAGCCAGATCCTCTGTCCTCGACTTGCTGTTGGGGTCCAAATATGGCGCCTCGCCAATGCCAACAACACGATTGCCAAATCTGTCACCAAGGCCATCATAGTCAAAAGTAGCAGAATGGAAAGCACTTCTGTTATCCCAGATCTATCCTCGTAAGCCACGTCAGCCAGTTCTATTCACGCGCTTACGGGGAAGAAGACTTACCGCAATGTCATCTTCATTCCTCCACTTGAATCTTACAGTCAAATCATGATTCTCCAGAATCACCTTTCTAAACCTCTCCAGTAGCAAGTCACTCTCATCTCTGTGCAACTCATTGATGTATTTCGGAAAAGGTCCAAGAGCGAAAATGCTCTTCCATCCCGTCACAGGGTTCGTTCGAACGACGGGATGTACAGCTATAAGGTCCCCGCCAACATTTTGGGGCGACCCGCGTGGCTCCGTATAAATCTTGACTTTCTCAGGATTCGCAGCTGCGGCTTTGTGGAAGCCATCTCCAATGAATGTTGCCGTCAAAGTTTCGAAGAACTTCTGATAGGGGCGGGAGAAGCGATCGTAGATTTCGTAACCGGATGCCCAACTATGATTTGAGAAGGTTAGCCTGTTTGTAAGATTGCTGGGAGCGGATAGACCAACAGGGTATCGCCACCGTTGGATGGAAGTTGGGTTAGGCGGAGAGAAGTGTAGTCTGCTGGGACAGGCTCGAATTGAATGTCGCTGTGCCATTGAGCGGAATCATAGCGACGAGATTTGTTCCCGTTTTTGAAGAGAGCTTTGATAGCTACGGAGCTGATATGGGAGACTTGAGCATCCCCGACACCAAATTCGGAAGTATTGTTCAGGACTGGGTGAATGTGGAGGGAGGAATCCTCGGGTTTTCCGGTAAGCTGACCGAGGCGGTGGTTGAGCTGCTTTTGCAGGTCATTGGTGAGATTTTGTTGATTGCGGAAGAAGACCACTCCACGCTGGGAGACTGGAGTTGATTTAGGAGAAGTGCGGCGTCAGAGGGAGCAAGGAGATCTTACTTGTAATCGCAAGGTCGCGCAAGAGTTCGTCTGCATTTGGGGCGTTCAGCAAGTCATCAACGATGTTCACGTTCGGGAACTCGGTTCCAATGACCTGAGAATGTCAGGAAAGGTGCGCTTTACTGCTTCGTGGATGTGTTACCGGAGTCGTATCCTCACGGGGAAAGCACTCTAAAGCACCTGATAGCTTTAAAGGCTGTGGATACGAGTTCTTGCCCTCGCGAACGGGAAGTTCGTCTGAAAGGATACCAGGGACCATTTTTGATTGATTGAGTTTTCGTATGATGAGACTAAGTGAGACAATATAAAGTAACAGGAACAGGTGCGATGAGGACCACAAGATCTACCTACTTATTCTCGGCTCATGGTCTTGGTCTTTTGCAAGGTGAGGTGAGAGCACGCAAGACTCACGAGCTGAGCACGCAATAGCTGAGAGGCTCGCCACGGGGAATCAGCTCGCAGTAGCCCATACCGCATACATGGGATATGAAGCAAGTAGGTGGAGCTGCTCGGTGTGTACACTACTACTGTACACGTTCCATAAGGTAGTCGCTTCGACTGTGGGATGGACGATTTGTTTGGTGTGAAAGTTCAGATGATGTCGGAGTTGTTCATGACGGGGTTTTTGCAAGGTCCTTTTCATCGTCGTTCGTCTCGCCAGATCCATAGACAAAGTACCAGCGACCGCTATGGTGAGGGCCCCTTCACTCAAGGTGTGTGTTGGGAACAGGTCCACGGTCTCTTGCCGATGTCGTAGGGAAGATTGAGGTTTGTCGGCAGCGGGCCGGGGCCGGCCTGTATCGTATCGGCATGTTTTCGAGGGACGTTGACTCTTGTCTTCACCATCACAGCACTTTGGATACTCGAGCATTGCCCTCATCAGCGTGAGCTCCAGCGAATATTGAGATGTGAAATCTGCAGATACTACCGATGACCATCCCGAAGGGCGATAGCCGCAAGAATTCACTCTAAAGCGAGGGAAGCTCCAATCAAGAGTTTTATCATGATTTCCTTGAAACATACATGGAGTTAATTGCCTATTCGATCTATGGGGAGAAGGTAGCGATCGCCTCATCAAAGGCATCCGAGATCTCCTTATTGATGGCAGGTGCCAGGTCCGTGAACGGCTCTGACAATTTCTGAACGACAGTAGCTCCAAATGCCGCACTCAGCTGCTTCTGACGCTGCAGAGACTTGTACACCGAATTCTCCCCGCTGATGAGCTCCAAGCCGAGGGAAGGCAAGACTAAATCTTGGAACACCGGCTTGCGACGCTGAATGTTGTCTAAGAGCGAGAAGATCTTGGGCTCAAAGTCGAGCACGGCCTCGGCAACAGTGAAGGAGTCTTCGGCGTCAAGAACGTCGGAGTTTGCAACATCCTTGGTAGCTTCGATCAGAGAGTTGCCAATGGTGTCTGTTTGCTCCTGGATTTTGGGCAGCTGAAAAATGAGGAGAAGGCTGGGCTCAAAGTTGTTGAGGGTGTTGTTGAGGGTYTCGACCTGATTAGTGGTGAGTACTTGCATCGTGGACTGTCTTTGCGGTCATGCATTGGTGAAGACGTACATTGCTCGTTATCTTAGCGATCGCGGCTGTGATGCTGTTGACATCGCGTTTGACAATTGGCGATGCGATGACCGAGACAAGAAGAGATGTGAGGACGAAAGCGAAACGCATGATGAATCGTGCTGCAAGGCGAGTCTGATATGGAAGGACGACGATAACAAGAATGAAAATGGCACTGGACCGCTCTACATATAGGGCAATTTTGAGACAGGTACGCTAAGTGAATGCGGAGATCTCTGAGCGTGTAAGTGAATGTCTTAGGGGAGGGGAAGGTTACTTCGCCATGACTTTCTTTGATATTGGTCTCAGAAGTCGAGCATCGGCGCCACTTGGAGAGCCTCGAGAAGACTTCGATGTGTGGTGAAGCTGAACTTATTTCTCGTACATGTCTAGGAATGTCTTGGAACAAGAGACGATCTTTGGATTAATATTGTTGACCCTAGGCGGCCAAGCTGCTGATCGTTGCTCAAGAATGGCAAGACCAGGAATTTGATGATTTCAGCGAGGCAACTCCTCCATTAATCTCAGGTGATGGCTGAGCCCGGGGTGGCGTCTTGGTGATGTGTCGAGGAAGGAAGGAAGGAGGTTGCGCCTTGAAGACKATCTCGCAAACCTTCAGCTGCTTCCGGCGCACAAGCCACCCGTTGAACTACCTGACTCGTCTCGATCAGCCACATTTCATCGGAACCTCACTCTTGTCACAGGTAGTACCCTGGCAATGTTAAGGAAGAAACCACTCTCCATCATCTGGCAAATGGGGTTGCGAACCGAATTTGCATTCTGCATGCTGCAAACGGAGAGAAGCTTTGTCATGACTCCGTAATTGACATGGAACCGTGCCCCATTCCAGAGACCCTCCGAGATGCCACGGACCACACGACGACAAGAGCCGTCACTGCAATATTTGTTCCACGAACTCGAAAGACATGACAAAGATTGGCTTGTCGACACTCTCCAGCAGAGATGGATACAGCTGGAGGCAAGAACGAAAGCGTCTGCAATCTCGACGAGAGGCACCAAACGGGGACGATCCCGAAGTCTTGACATGGACTTCGCAGACTATCCTCATGATCTGACGGCTTACATCTTGCCGGCCCATCAGTCTGTCTCGGAGCATGTCGCTCATCTACGTGCCTTTGACTGGTCGTCAACGCCGTTGGGAGATATGCAATACTGGAGCGAAATGCTTCGTCGCGACGTTAATTTCCTGCTCGTCGACCCTCGAGCAGCGGTGCTCTACTGGGGCAAAGACAGAGTCATGATTTACAACGAGCACTACCGAGAAATTCTTGCGGAGAAGCATCCGTGGGCGTTGGGCAGGCCATGCAAAGATGTCTGGCCTACCACCGAAGCCTTGGAGAAGGCTTTTGCAAAAGGTGATGCTACTGGAACTTCGTCAAAAGGTGACCAAGAAGAATTTGCCATCGATCGCAGAGGCTTTCTGGAGGAGATTTACGCAGACTGGTCAATCGTCCCGATCGCAGACGGACAGGGCTCCTTCGCATTCTACAATACGGTATCTGAGGTCACAGCGCAGGTTCAATACCAACGGCRGATGCAGACGCTACTTACGCTCGAACGACATACTCTCGAGTCGAAGAATCAGGCAGCTTTCTGGAAACACCTTTTGGAAGGCCTGGAGGGAAATAAACATGAGGTGCCTTTTGCGCTCTTGTACTCGAGTCAGTCTTCCAGGCGTCATTCCGTGGCATCTTCAGCCGACAGTATCATTCTATCGGACGAATTTCGATCAACTGCGGAGTCTTGGAGTCTTGAAGGTGTGATTGGCGTACCAGCGGGTGCAGTGCCAATAGATATCGACAGCGAATGGGCCACAGAGAACATTTCATCCGAGTTCCTGCTCGCTATTAACAGTGGTACTGTGCAAAGCATAGACCTCAACAATGGTCCAACACCTTCAGGGTTGAATCGAATAGCAAATTCTCGAGCACACGGTGATGCATGTAGAATGGCCGTTCTGATTCCAATTGGATTAGCGAAGAGCAACCATGACTCTGGATTTCTGTTGCTCGGAATAAACAGCAGAAGAATGTATGATGCCTCCTATGAATCATTCATCAGACTCCTGCATCGACAATTGGTATCCACGCTCGTATCGGTGAAGATGGCCGAGGATGAGGATCATCGCGCGAAGGTTCTGGCCGAGAAAGCTGCCCTGGACAGGACTCTACTTTCGAATCAGCTCGAGATGACTGCACAAGAAGCCAGAGATAACGAAAAGAGGTTCATGACAACAGCCGGCACGCTCCCGATTGCCATGTACGAGGTTTCGACGAAGGGAGAGATTCTGTTTGCTAACAATGCCTACTACGAGTTGACTGGTGTTGACCCAAACAACCTATACCCATTCTGTTGGGAAAACGCAATAGAAGAATCTGAGCGGGCTGTTTACGAGGCAAACTTCAAAATGCAAATGGCTGGCGAGACCATACGTTTCGAGGCCAGAATGAAAAGGCCATGGATTGCGGAGGATCTCCTCCGGGGAGAACGCGTCCAAGGCGAAACCTGGGTGCTATCTGTGGGATACGCTCTGAAGAACCCGGACGGCACAATTCGTTCATTACAAGGCGCTTTGATCGATATCTCAAGACAGAAGTGGATGGAGGGCTTTCAAGAGCGCAGGCTCAAGGAAGCCATTGAGCTCAAGAGACAACAAGAGACCTTTATGGACATGGTGGGGCATGAGGTATGTATGCCTCGCAAGAAGAGTAGACTGATCGCTAATCTCTTCATCCCACTTCTAAGATTCGAAATCCCCTCTCTGCAATCACTCTTTGCGCTAGCGGAATACTTGATCCATTGAAGGCGGCTCTCAAGGCCTCTCACAACAACGAAGTGGTGCTCAAGCGAGAAGATGTGGCGTCCCATATCGAGAACTGCGACATCATCACCACCTGTATTGCCCACCAGCGTCGAATTATAGACGATGTGCTGTGTCTCAGCAAATTAGACAGTGGGCTCCTCGTCGTGGCTCCATGCGAGGTCCAGCCGGCTGTCCTTATCGAACAGAGTCTTAGGATGTTTGCTGCCGAAATCGAGCAGTCTGAAATCAATCTACAATCCACGATTGACGAATCATATAGAAAGGAGGAGATTGATTGGGTAATGCTTGATCCGAGTCGAGTCTTGCAGGTCTTTCTGAACTTGGTTGGTTATACTTCTATCCCAATGGACGACATGCACTGACCGTGGAGCCTCCCCATCTAGGTGACCAACGCCATCAAGTTCACACGAAACGAAGCGACGCGCAACATCGATGTGGTACTAGCAGCAAGCTCTCGGCGTCCCGACCGTTCCCTGAACGGAACAGTGTATCTGGATATGCCCAGCTCAGAGGTAACAGACTTGACCACCGTGTCTCCTGATGATGACGATGATGTGGTATACATCATAATCTCGGTCAAAGACACAGGATGTGGTATCAAAGCGAATGAGTTGGAGAACATCTTTTTACGCTTCCAGCAATCCTCCCCAAAGACTTACGGTAAGAAAGCTCTTTGTCCGCTGTTGCAAGATGACCTGTCTCATTGCTTCCCTCTGACATCCTTGTAGTGACCTACGGTGGAAGTGGCCTCGGCCTATTCATCTCGCGAGAACTCGCACGACTGCAAGGTGGACGAATTGGCGTCGTTTCAGAGTACGGCAAGGGTTCCAGTTTCGTTTTCTATGTTAAAGCGACTCGCTGCGGGCCTCCGAGAACTTTGCCGGCCAATCAAGTGAGTGCATCGTCTAGCAGAATTAGTATACGACGGAAGAACACAGCATTCCGAAACGGCATTCCGCATGCTGAAGGGACGATGTCCTATTCCATACTGCTCGTGGAAGACAACTTGGTGAGTGGCTGACAGCAGAACCATCCAGGCGATGCGGCCTTCTCCCACGCCATCGCAAGATTCTTCGGACCAGCGCTAATCTCTCATTGTTCTCAGGTCAATCAGAGAGTAATGAGCAAACAGTTAGAGAGCGCTGGCCACCATGTCTATCTAGCAAACCATGGCCTGGAAGGCCTGGAATTCATCAAAGGGAGCAAATTCTGCAAGCCAGATGGATTGCCCCTGGACGTGATATTGTTGGATCTAGAGATGCCAGTAAGTTCTTCCCTGCCCTCTGCTCGAGATGCAGCCAGCTCATCAATGTATCATGATATAGGTCATGGGAGGACTGGAAACAACTCGCCGCATTCGAGAATCCGAGGCGGCGGGCGAAATATCTCCCAGCATTCCAATCATCGCGGTCACCGCGAATGCAAGAGGAGAACAGCAACTCACTGCAAAGGAAGCTGGTGTGAATGCTGTAGTGACGAAGCCTTTCCAAATGCAAGAGCTGCTACGGGAAGTGGAATCGGTTCTGCCGCAAGTCGAAGGAGATTCGGACCACATGAGAGAGGAAACGTAGCCAATAACRATTAATGGCATCAAAACCAACGAGAAAAGAAGGCGTATGTCGTAAAGGGTGTGATAATGTGTACAGGTGGATGTAATGTACAGAACCCTCACTGAAGTAAGAACAGCTGTAATACACGCAGTTGCTCCACCACTCCTTCCTCTCAACGAGTGATGACATGTCGTAGATCTGAGATCTGAGCGTTGTTGTTTGTATAAAGTACATCAAGACGTGAGAGGTGTGGCTCGGTGACGATTCAGATGTGGCYGAAACTGTGATGAACTGCAGATCTTGCGACGATTCGATTCGACGTTCACAGATCTGAACATGTGGGGCACATGCTCTACCCCTCAATTATGATGTCATGGCAACAGAGCAGGACAACAAGACAAAACAAAGGAAACTGTCAAGGCGAGTTGGTCTGATGCAATAATTTCATTAAGCAGACTACTAAGCTCAGCTGAGAGCTGTTCCCTGTTTCCCTAGCATCCGTGACTATCGTGATATGACTGCCGTGATTCGTGCTGGTGGAATCTGTGAAGCTCATTAGTTTCCCATACCCCTCGCCACAGTGAAGGACGTTTCGACATACATATTGAGGTTCAGTATCCCTCGGGGTATCATCGACCTGGAGTGATCTAGATCGACTCCTTGTTGGCCTTGCCGGCAGCWTCGTGCTTGGTCTCCTCCATCTTGTTGGAGGCGGCACCGAGAGCGCCGGAGATGCGGTCACCGACACCGTCCTGGCCGGGGACGTTGCCCTTGGCCTTCTCCTTGTCGGCCTCCTTCTGAGCCTCAGCGGACTTGCCCTGGATGGTCTCGGAGACGTAGTTGACGGCGTTGGTGGCAGAGTTGACGACCTGGCCGACGATGCCCTCGTTTGGCTTGTTGGCGTTAGGAGCAGACTGGGTTGACGTTAGCAGGGGTTGAGCGGCGGGGTTTTGTCGGCAAGCCAGGAGAGTAATGTGATCCTCCTAGAGCGTCCAGGGATAAACTTACCATGATGTTGGATGAAGTTGGGTAGTTGGAATTGGTTGATGAAGTGTTGATTGTGTGTGAGAAGGAGTTGTTGTTTTGCAGAGGTTCAAGAGCTGCAGTTGATTGCTCTTTTGTAGTAAAGAAAACCCAAGAGCCCGAAACAGCAAGCGCGGAAATGACGACAATTGCACGTCACCAAGCGAGACAGAAGCGAGAGAATTGAAGAAGTGACATGTGATCGGACAGAACGCCACACCGATCCAGTCCGGCAAAAGGTTTTCACTTGCGCCGCATGCGGCTGAGTCTCACCAAAACTTGGTTGTTCCCATACCAGTGACGTTGCTCGTCGCCCCGCCGACGTCACCCAATATGTTTCTCAAGATGAACACGTGGAGAAAGACGTGCTTGCGTCGCCATCGAAGCCCGTGGAACCTGTGGAAGGGACCGGAACAGGCTGTAAATGACCCAGGTCATGATCACAAGCAGCAAAGCAAAAGAAAGACCGTCATATGCATCAGCATAAGCAAAATTCAAGCAGATGACGGGACCTCACATGCAGAAAAAAGAGCACACTTGTGAACGTGGGACGTGAAGGGAACAGGTTGACCTTATATAGACATCTGCCATTCAGAAACCCTGCTTTTGACCTGCAAATGGGGAGYGATAGCCGGCTTGCCATTGAGCGCTCGGTTGGAGTCAGGGCCATGGACCAGACACCTCTCCTGCACGATGATGCTACAGAGACGGTGAGCCACACTGAGAGCATTCGCGAGCTTCCTGGCACCTCCAGTTGGCAGTGCGATCGGTGGAGACACGTGGATGAGAGGGAGCTGGAAACTGCGTAACAACGCTCTCTGCAGCGTCTCTTTGCATCGAAAGATTCCAGACCCGTAGAGTCCTCTCGAGTGTCATGGCACTCGTGCATCAATGGTGGAGCAATTTTCGCAAGAATAATGGCGGGAATGGGCCTCCGCTCGTTAACAAGAATGACCGACGATGCAAATAGGCGATGTAGATGCCCCTATCCACATCTTATCATGGCTATGCTCAACACCGAGATATCTTTGCAAGCCTCTTCATGGCTTTTGGTGCTTGCTGACTACACTCGTGCTTCCATTTGGACTACTCGGTTCGTCCTCAGTCAGGATTCCGAGAACCCATGGCCGATGTCAAGCGAGCTTCTGTGATCACCTGGGGTGGACCATCGATTCGAGGTGCAGCACCCATTGACTAGGATCCCGCCTAGTATGATGCAGGTATTGGTGGCTCTCGCAGAACCCTCGACGCCTGCTCGCTTGGAAGAGCTGTTACTTTGAGAGCCACGACATCCACCGCACCGCAAGACTCGTCCGCCGCTTGGTGGAAAGAATGGAGAATCAAGCTAATACGAGCGATGGTGGCTCATCTTCATGGCTCTCTGCAACATGATTCGCCGTCTTGACTAGAGAGCTCCATGTCATCGTGATGCACGAGCTTGAGGATTTCGTCCTCCAGTGAAAGATCGCTATCTCCGCCACCGAGCTGTCGATTTGCCAGTGTGGATTCTGAGCTCATACAGGGAGCCGCTACTGCACGAGAGATGGGGATCGTGTATGGCGCAAAGAAGCAACTCGTAAGGGAGAGCTATACTGACATGTTCTTACTCCCATTTCGCCCTCCAAGACCCTACGAGCTCTCGGCGTTCATATGGCAGGAGTCGATAATGGCGAATGGAGGCTAGATGCAGCATGCAGAGAGCAACCGAGAAAAGCCGAAAAGGATACTGGTGGTATTCGCGGAGCTGGAGGCCTTTACCTGGCCGTCGAAGATTGTGAGACGCTTCCGTTGTGCTCCTTGCTACGAGGAATTGCACTCGCCCTGTCGTTCCGGCTGTATCCTACTATGCAGCCCAGTCTACCTCGGCTACGTAGGAGGTTGGACATGTCAAGATCAAGAGAGCACGTATTGCATGCGGAGCAAGGAGAAGTCGCAAAATTACCCCGGTCCATCGAACGATACGCTGCGGGCCATCGTCCAAACTTGATAACTACAAAATCCACCGCCAAACTCGAGCAGACGGCAGAGATAGTTCCAGAGTAAAGGCCGGCCAGAATAGATACTGATACGCACCACTCCACCGGCCTTACCTACAGCCATTTCTGATGACATCGAGAAGGATGACTACTTTGGAACCTCCCATTACGAAGCAAGGTGTTCCTAGTGCGGAAAATTGGGCAGGCCTAGTCTCTAACAACTCGATGAAAGAACGGTCATGTCGAGGATAATGCGGTGAAAATGAAGGTGAGTCCTTTGAACAGATTGTGGAATGGCCTTAGCAGCCTTTGAGTTCTATACATACTAGCCTCCTCGACTTTATAATAAGTAACCTGATGAGATTATAGCTTTTCCTCATCTTAATTAACATGGCGAGGGTGAGATGTGACAGGTACGATCAGTCAAGATGGGWCCTCATGCTCACATCTTTGCTATCCCGTCGTGGATGACCGACCACTGCTACCAGCAAAATCCGCCAAACCGAGAATAAAACACGACTGCCGAGAACTACGATCTTAGCCTTGATGAGATATTGCCGTTAGGTCATAGTGATCATCCGTCGTGACAAATTTCGTCATGCTCTCTCGCTCCGAATACAACAAAGAACCCATAGAACCCGTGGTCTGGATGAGAAAATAAGGTTTGCAAGCATCTTTTTAGCGTTGCTACATGAATGACCTATGTCCAGAGGCTGCAGCACAACTCTCTAGCGAAAGCAAACAGGCCGTCTTTTCGACTTACATGTGCAGAAGTTTCTTGTCTCGTGCCTGAGGAGAATGTACACTTTTGACGATATGACCATATTGATCATGTTATGATGGTCTCTAAGCGGGAGTCCGCAGATTGTAGGGACGTAGGTTCGCGTACGGCATTTGCATGCTCATCTCTCTCGTGTTTCGCATACGCTGCCCTTTATTTAATAGCAGAGCGAGTCGAATGTGTTGTGAGGGTGTGCATTTCGATCGGATCGGATCGGAAACGGATTCGGTGGCAATATCCTTATCACTCGACATCAGCCTTATCCTAGCTGGTGGAGCTTGGCTGCTGCTGGCACAAATACATACTTCGGGTTGCTCCTCGAAGCTATAGTCTCGGTTGGCTCTGTCTGTCAACACTGCAAGGCTTCGCAGGTGAGAAAGGAGGGTTCCTAGGTCGTGAGGGCAAGAGTGGATTTTACATGGTCGCCGGCAAATACTGTCGCTTGCCCCAGGAAGACCAGGCTCGCAGTAGCGTGGCACCACTCTATTTCTCGAGCAGGAGTATATGAGAGTGCGGAGACGTTGACGAGACGCATCTTCTCATCACATCACCGCCCGTCCTTCTTATTCTCCCGTACCTGCTCCCTCAAAGCGTCCATGTACTTGCCCATGAACCCTCTGCTCGCTTCACTCTGGCCAAGATTCTTACTTGTGCTTCTCCATGCCGCATCGGCATCTTCCTCCACAACATCCACTTGCTGTGCCTTGCCCTTGGCTTCCAGCCGCCTACTGGCCCGCCTCCATGCCGCCTCTGCATCCATTGCCTCGATGTTCTCCTCTTCCTCAACTGCTGGCCCACCCTCAGCTTTACCCTTCCTCAGCTGCTCATAATAGCTCCTCGGCCGCATCTTTTCAGCCTCTGCTTGCTCAGCAGCACCCAACTGCCCTTTCACAGCGCCCATGAAATGTTTCGTGAACCCACTTTCCTCCTGTCCTTCCAGTTTCGTCCCACCCTCCTCTTCTCGCGGGAGGCCATGGCGAACACGATGCACATTCTTGGCCACTTTCTCCACTGCGCGGTGGAAAGCGGGCGTCCGTAGCAACGCCTGTACAGCCCAGGCTTCGAGGAGCGCCATCCAGGGCGCCATGATAATTTAAATAAAGTCGTGGTGGTGTGTCGCTGTGCGCGAACCGCATTCCAAAGCTGCCGACACTCTAGTGCATGATCAATCGCCACCTGCCGTCTTGCACCACGCGATCTGCCGTGCAGACGGACGCTGCGGCCGGAAATAGCTTGAACCCTTGATTGCTTACCTGACGATATGATTGGCTAGGAAGCCGCGAGCTGTGCCAGATCTATCCACGCCACGGTTCGCGGTGGCGGCAGGTGTTTCATGTCCAGTCGCATTCGGAAAGGTCTGGTCGAGTGTGGGATCTAGGATCCTCCACTTCGCACGCGCGACCTGATGCTGGCGTTGGTAGAACTAAAAGAAGTGAAGTACCGTCGCCCGATTTCTTTCCCTCGCTTCTCACGATCACCTGCGACTTCCATCCTTCCAGCAGGCTTGCTGCGTCGTCGAGACAAAGGGTGTCCCGCCAGCGGACAATTACACAAGACACTGCAGCCAGCCGTGCAGTCTCACATTCCTCATGGCGCGCCCCGCAACCACTCTCCCGGCGTTCCTCAAGCAGTCCAAGACCGACCTCCACAGCAAATTCGTCGACTTAGAATGGCAGCAACGCAATCGACTACTGCTTGGCACGCAACCGACATCTCCTTCTCYACCTTCGCCTTGGGCTCGCCTTTCCGGACCTACAATCGCCCCGCGCAATCGGTACCTCAATGTAGAGCCCTTCGCCGCTAACCGCATCCATTTGCAAGTCGCCGAGGGCGAGAATGACTATATCAACGCGAGTCCGATCACACTGGGAAAGCGGAATTACATCGCTACACAGGGCCCAAAGGACACCGGAGTTGGACATTTCTGGCGGATGGTGGAGGAGCAGAATGTGGGTGTTGTGGTTATGCTGACGCAGACACATGAGGCGGGAAAGGAAAAATGCTGGGCATACTATCCTGTTGGAGAGGGAGACGAGGAGAGGGTGGTGAAGGCTGAGGAGGAGGGACGAAAGACCGAGGTAGAGTTGGAGGCTTTGAGGGAGGATCCTAAGGCGAGAAGTCAGGTTCGGCAGTTGAAGTTGCGGACGAGTCAGGAGGAGTCTGCGAAGTCTGAGGAGAGGGAAGTGCACCATCTTCTCTTTGCTGGGTGGCCAGATTTCTTGGTTCCCGAAGGAGAGGACCGCGCAGCGCTGGTAGAGCTGGTGAGGTTGAGTGCTGCGCTGTCTTCGCCTTCCTCTGCAGCGAACCTGGAGAGCAGCCTCCCGCAGGCACTTGAGAGTGTGGACCCCGCTCGGCCACGGATTGTTCATTGTTCAGCCGGTGTGGGACGCAGTGGAACGTTCATTGCGTTGGACTATCTCCTGCATCTTCTGSACACGGGAGAGCTGGACAACCTCCCCAACGATCAAGACCCGATCGTTGAGATCGTTGACTCACTACGACAACAGCGGATGATGATGGTGCAAGGAGAGGGCCAATTTATGTTTTTATACGAAGTCCTCCGGGAACTCTGGCTTGAACGGGCGAATGGCCAAGCGAATGGTGGTGCGGCTAACGGCAACGAGACTGGGAACTGAACACTACATCGGCATGAGGGATGATCACGAGGCATATGCATCTTGAACTAGCTTGGACATGGCGCGATGGTGGCAGAAGCTGGGAGGTCTTTTGATAGTATTGGGGTTGACTGCGATGCGATTAGCGTTTAATTTGCGCTTGCCGGTAGCGCAGATGAACGTGAACGGGATATGTATTGCGCAAGCTCATTAGGGCGGAGAGTCTTGACAACACGGCATGCTTGTAACGTCCATAATGGAACAGATAGTGTACGAACAACGAACCTCCTTCCTCGTGCGTTATAGAAATGCATCTAGCTTGATTGCAAGTTTGTAGCAGACTCATGGGGGCGAATAGAAAGGATTGCCATTTTAGGAAGGAGCTCAAACGTACCAGGACTAAAAGGAACGACTGCACGTTGTGAAGCCAAAAAAGTCATCTTCCACTTCACGTCTAACGTCCTACAATCACATTTATTCAAAATGGCTCCCGAAAAGAAAAGAAGAAATAAACGCAAGAGCAGGACCGCAGAAGGTAAACAACTTTTCAAGTCCAGCAAAAGCACCTCATTGACCAGATTTAGTTTCTTCCGCCTCTTCCTCATCCGAAAATGAAAGTGACAGCGTTGTCTCAGACGTCGCTCCAGAGCCAGAACCCAAGAAGCAAAAACAAAGCAAGCCAAAGACCAAGAGCATGCCAACAGAAGACTCGGCTGCTGCAAACGAACACGTCTCGGTCCCGGAACGCAAAGTAAACAAAAGCTCCGATCAGGCTTTTGAGGAATTCTATCTCCGACAAGCAGCGCAGGAATTCGCCAATGATCTTGATAAGCTACGCTCAGCTGGAGATTTCAGTGCGAAGAGTGTGCCGATGTTGATTGCGGCACTCAAGCAGGGCTCTGCCTGTTTTGGTGCGGAGGAGAAGGCGAGAGTTGCCGGCGCTGTTAAGGGATGAAAGGTGCTGTGTTGTTGGGATTACTGATGCTACATGAGGTCCTTGTTGAGCAACTTGCTACGGGTTCATGTCCAAATGTGCCTAGATGCTGCTCGGTGGAAATGAGGGCACGAGATGGAGATCCGGAAGCGGGAACGGCCAGAGCTTGCAAACGTCTGAAGGAGATAGACGCGAGTCACACCAGCTGCCAAGAATGGGAGTATATGGTGTCTGAGTGCGTCATACCCCCCGGGTTCCAAATGAGGGTTAATGATTAGATATTGGGAAAGTCYTCCTCCGAGGTGCAGTGTTCATATGGCAAGCGAAGCAGAGGGCGTGCACTCAAACCCGAGAAATGAGATGATGGTCTTGGTAAACACCCAGTTCACTGCGATTTGACTCTTCTCTCCGTCATCTGCCTCGACTGAAGTTTGAGAAACACGACTTAAGGTGGCAAAATACCACGCTATGTAATCTGCTATATAGAACCCCGTCTTGCCTACCGGGCGCCTTTTCGACCAATCCTTAGGCGGCATTGCTAGCTTATTCTCCTTTCGAGATGTAGAGCGAGCTACACCCTATAAGAACCGAGGATCTTCCACGAACAAAGCTTGATAGGKCGGAATGTTAAACTCTCCATCACGCGTTGAATCTTGCACTCTGAAAGGCAAGAGAATTGAAGCTTGCCGGCTCTCGTCGTGCTTATCCTGGAGAAAGACACGGGCGAGGGATTTGCACTGGTGTCATTATGGAGGGGAGCGACAAGTGATGTGGTGTCGCTAGCTCCCTGCAGGTCGCAGAATCGGTGAGATATTCTGGTTTCGCGGCCATAGCATTTCCCACAAGGGTTGACGCAAGTGGGCTGATCGAGCCAGAAGGATGAGGTCCGGGTAGGGGTCGTGATACCGCTGCGGTTTCCAGCTACCAGATAACGGCACAAGATGCTTCGACGCATATGCCCGTTTGTCTTCCTCTTCCAGTGGAATCGCTTCGCGGGCAGTAGACCAGCTTCATGCATCCATTCCTCACTTCGTGCTCCTCCCTCTAGGAATTCCTCTCCCAATTCCACTTCCGGCTCTCCCTCTATCCGTCCCACGACCTCTAGTGCTGGTCCCCCTCGCAATACCACTCCCCGCTCTTCCCCTGCCAGCAGTCCCCCTTCCAACCCCACCAACACTCTTCGCCGCGCTCCCCGGAACACTTGAATACTTCCCTGCACTCTTTTTGACACTCGTAGGCGGCGGATCATTGACAAAACTCGTATCACTCGTCAAGAAAGTCGCGTCCATCTGCTGTTGCTGTTGGTGTTGCAGAAACGGACTCTCCGACATCTGATCATACCCTCCACTGCCACCATGATTCGCCGCGAAACTCTGCGGCACGGGCGCCTCACTGAAATCCACACAAAAAGCACTCATRTTCATGCCGTAGAGAAACGCTGCGAAGTTCTCATTGAATCTCCCTAGACTTTCATTAAGGAGTTGGAGGTGCATGAAATTTGCTTCCAGATCGGCCATTGCGTCGCTGAGTTCGCCGAATGCGGGTTCTAAAGCTGTGAGGGGAAAGTCCGAGGATGTGTCGATGGAGGTTGTGGGTGTTGTTTGTGAGGCGCGAAGACTGGTGCGTGAGGCAGAACGCAGCGGGGTGGTGGGACGGGAGGGAAGGGTGTTGGAGCGGGAAGATGTGCTGCGTTTATGTGCTGAATTGGACTCGGGGAGGGGAGTCACGACTGTTGTTGCCATTTCGTTCAGCGGGCTCGTGCTGTTCTTGTGGTTGTTAAAGTCAAAGTCGAGAACGAGATTGAGGTTGAAGTTCAAGCTGGACGACGCGTTTGTTTTCTTGGCGAAATGTGGTGACATGAAGATCAATCAAGTTCCGCTTCAACGATAATAATAATAATAATAATGGAATGATTAATGCAACTACGCTACAATAAATAACCCTAGGTAAACCGCGTCCTCCTCTTTCATGTATCAAAACAAACGCAGTCAACAAAGCAAAACAATCCTTTCCGCGCGCCACTGTACTATTGACCAGCCCAAGATCTGTCGTTGTATCCTATCCAGCTCATGGCTGCACTCCCCTAACGTGTGGGAAATTCGCCGGGAACGTGCAGAGCACTCACGCTCAGGCTCGTGTCATGTCTGATGACCCGCGGGAACAGCACGCCAGTCTCATGAGCGCCCACTCTCTCGTTGCCACCCAGCTCCTCTTCTGCGCTTCTACTTGCAATCGCAGTAGTCGTTGGGGATGCGGCAAGAGGATCAGTCGTAGGTACGATTGGTGTATTGAGCACATCGGTGTCAATCGTTGGGGTCGAAGCTGCGCTCAAGATGTCGTCAATGTTATTACGATCACCGAAGCTTGGCTTGGACGGCAGAGATGTGATAGGTGTTGCACTGTCGCTCAATGCTACAACGCCGGGACTACCGCGTCTAGCCTCGGTGACCTCCTCATCAGCGGTCGGATTCACGGGCACGGCTGCGTACGCGGAGGCGGCGGAAGCATTCGCGCGTGTACTGTCCGTTGGGGCAGCTGCAGCACTAAAAGGTAGTTCTTCGGCCTCGATGGGCGAAACCGGGGAAAAATCGCCTTCCAGCTCTGGTACAACGGCGTCGTGTTGCTGACGCTTGTAAGCCTCGGTGCCGATAATACCAGCTCCGGCTCCTGCTGCAACGCCTCCTGCAGCGGGCGCCAGCCATTCATTCCGTGTGCTGTCCTGAACGATTGGCTGCTGTGGAGCCGCAATGGCCTGTGGCTGCGTCTGCTGCGGCTGCTGCTGCTGCGGGGCTGACTGCTGTACAAATGGCTTCTGCTGTTGCAATTGCGGCTGCTGTTGCTGGTGCTGAACGATTGGTTGCTGCTGGTGAACTATTGGCTGTTGCTGGACGGGAATAGCGACAGGCTGAGTGTCAAGTGCACGATCAGCACTTTGCTTGAGTGGCTGTTCCTGTGCAAGCGCAGCATGCCGTTCTCCATCGTACGAGCCTCGGACGCCGKCGAGGCGGTAGGGATTTTCTCCGCCATACTCGTGCTGAGCAGAGCCGGCAGGAACGCTGGCGGCCCCAGTAACTCCACGATCAGAATCAGAAGAGTTCGTTTCACTCGCCATGGTACCCGTCTTTCGAAGAAGCAGATCAGACGGGAATCGGCCCCCTACGTATTGTCATGCTGGTTAGTCTCCGCTATAACAGAAGGGACGCAAGAAAAGGGCAAGCACTCACTCACCTGGCTGCGGCCGCACTGGTCGCTGCTCTGCAGGATGCTTCTCTGCAAGACCGGCGGCATCGGCCGAGTATGGAGCCTGATCGGCTTCGTCATCTTCCATGCCATCACTGCTAACAGTGGCGGAACGACTACGTTCGCTAGTGCCACTAACGCTGCGAGCATGCTTTCGAACAAAGGCACTGCGTTCCTCGCCAGTCTTCTCTGTCAAGATCCTGATGTCCTCAAACCATGCCATCATTGTCTCGTAACTCTCGGCGCGGAACACCCAATTGTGACCCTTGTGCATGCCACCCGACTGCTTTCCCTTGAGCATGAACTTATGGCTGGAAGAGCCGCGGTCTGAATGCGACCCGAGCTTCTGGTCTAACAAGTACAACGACATGACCGGTGGCTGCGAGTAGATCTTGTCCGCAGACTTGAACTCGTGCAGGTGAGTTGCCGAGAGCACATACCAGCCAGGGGTATACGATTTGAGATACTWGCTCTTACGCTCAAGCATGCCCGCACGGATCTCAGTAGCCTGTGGGTGGTTCTTGCCCGGGTACGAGATATCCTCGATCCTGCGAAGGGGAAGGCCTGGATCGACGAAGTGCGGGTCAGTGGTAACGAATTGGTACCACTCCTGATCCTTTGGCAGAGCAATAGGCCCAGTGCGGAGGGCTTCGACCGCGTTGTAGGCGTCATCGCCCTCGCGCTTAAGAATGCCGGCGAGCGCATTGTATGCTTTCTGAATCTCGCCAACCACAATAGCTTCGAGCTCACGCCCAGAGCTTTCGAGGTTGAGGTATGCCTGATGTCGGTTAGCTCGTTCTGCTCAAACTGCCTTGGAAGACCCACCCTGTGCAAATAGTTCTCCTCGTCAATCTGCTTCTCAACTGCCCGATCAACACCGAGACGAACAACATATGGATCATTCTTGCCCATGGCGTCCTCGTGGTCGGCGTGCTGCAGAGCCTCCCTAAGCTTCTCAATCTCTTTGCGTGTGGCATCCTTCTCCTTCTCGACCGAGTTCTTGAAATCACCACTCAGACCCTTTATCTCCTTGATCTTCTGGCCAAGATCACTTCTCAATCCGGACAAGGCATTGATGACATCATTCTCAATGTCGCGCGACTTGTGTGCCTCGACGATGGAGTGTTGGTGGAAGTCGGTGAGGATCCGAGTGGCATCTCCGAGACCACCATTCGTCATGAAGACTGAGGGGTGCACGACGTTGGAGATGGTGTTCTGTACCTTGTGAATCGCCTTGGCGCGTGCATCGTAGGAGTTTTGAATCTCGCGGAAGTAGGTGATCAAGCTCTTGAGCAGCTGTCGCCAGGCCTGGAAACGGTTGGCCAACACCTCGGTCGGTGCACCTGTCGTAGGCACAGGGGTGGAGAAGACGCTGTGGAAGTCGGCCGAGTCGGCATCGTAGCTGCGCGATACGCTGCGCAAACTGCCCGCCGACAGGCTCTTCTTGCTGCCGCTGCGCTTGATGCTGCTGCTGCGCTTGAAGCTGGATTTCTTCTTGAGCGTGTTATTGCGCGATACGCCGCCGACTGCTGTGGAGGCAGTTGAGGCAGATCGGTTGATCCCGCCGTCCGTTATGGATGCGAAGTCTTCGGTGAAGGCGCTCTGCTGACCGACCTGAGGAGCCACCATCGCCGGGCCGCCAACAGTCGCAGACGTCACAAAGTCCGTCTCCTGTACGCCATATCCGCGATTGCTGAACGATTCGCCGGGGTTTGGCACAGACCCGTGTGGTGCAGCCATGGCGGAGGGTAGATGCCTGCTCCCGTCGGAGATGCTGTCCCTGAATGGAGATCTTCGGTGGGCGACAACAAACAGGATGTTGTCTACTGGACGATGCTGGTAGGGATGGTGTTTCGCAACGGCTCTGACTTATGTTGTGGTGATAGGCGACGGGTAAACGAAGCGGACAAGACGAGAGTTGCGCAGACAACCGCAGGAGAAGGAGGAAGAGGAGGCACTGCCCGTAGGAATGGATGTGCGAAGCCACAAGACGATGTCACCGCGCGGACCTTGTCGTTCTCCTCATCGTCTCCTCGGGCGCTGGTGCTAAGTTAACTAGTTGGCACGCCGCACTGGGCAGCCAATTGTAAAACCTTGCCGAGTATGAGATCATCTTGTCGCGCCGAGAGAGGAGCACAAAGGAGATTGGCATGTGGCCCCGGTCCGACGCGACTTACGATCGGAGACATCTCCTATAAGTATGCCAAGCACTTCAACCATTCATGTGCTACTCGAGATCAGTGCTGTTGAATGGACTGGACCATGTAGTTTGCGTACACTGCATGATGATTGGAATGCTCGACGAGAAGTGCGCGTGTCATGGGCATGACATCAATCTCTCATTCATCGTTGCTTGCATGACTTCGTACACCCCGTAACCTTATTCGTGCTATGCCGGGTTTCCGGCACCGATAAAACTGATTACGCAGGCGCTACCAATTTTAATTTAACCTCGCCGTTCGCCCTGCCAGCGTGATGGTGCCTGTGTTCAGGACCCTTCCTTGGCCTATATCATTGTTGGCCTTCAAGGAGTGATAAACGATCTCTCCTCCGTCGACGATGTTGAACGAAATATCGGCCCCTCCAGGTCCAAATTGCCCGTCGCCCTGCTGCAGTAGAACCTGCCGGTCACCATATGGTCCTTTCACACCGGTCGTGCTGGTAGCGTACGAGGTGGTATAGGAATTATCGTCGAAGCAACCCGTGCTGAAGAATAGGAAATAAGTGCCGTCGCTGCCTTTGAGAATGCTAGGTGCTTCGGTCTGGTATCTATCCGCTTCGCCGTTGTTGTCCAGCAAGACTATCGGACTGCCAACCTTGGCATACCCGTCGCTCTCCGTCTGCTGAAGGAGGATAGGCGTACTGGGCTTATTGTTCGTATTAGCGCAATATCCCCCGCCATTTGCAGCAGGGCCGTCGACTTTGTAGACGGCATAACGAGTCCCATCATCGTCAAGAAAGGCCGCGGCATCGATGGCGCCTCCCTCTGCTTCAGGGCAGATCCACGGCTGAGAGGAGGAATCATTATAAGGACCGGCAACATTTGCGCTGCGCGCTACGCCAAGGCAGTGAACCGCTGGGTTGCTCTTTAGCGCGGCAGCATAGTACATGGCGAAGCTATTGTCGAAATCTGTCTGGACGGGCTGTTAGCACACAAATCTAAACTTTGCGATGATAAACGAACCAGACGAGTGACATCTGGTGCCCATATAGTATTTACAGCAGCCCAACCATTGTCTCCAAAGGCAGGAACATTATCGCTAGGGAATGAATCTCGGACTTCGGACCAGCCTGAAGGATTGCTAAAATCGGCATTGCTGGTGACTGGCAGTGCATTACCAGCCCCATCGCCTGTGCCAAACGCATAGGCTAGGCCATCAACGTTGATAATCGAGGGGTCTGGAAAATTGGCCCCTCCTAGAACATCGTAGCTTGGGGCTCGTTTAGACAGTCTGTCCTTCAGTATGGGCTTCGCGATGATGAGAGAAGGCAGAAGCAATCCCAGTGGTAGTATCGATCGTGCTGACATGATCTCTCAATAGAAGTGCAAGCGGAAGTATCCTATCGGGTAGCAAGATATACCATTGACAAGATCAGTTGGAGAAGTTGGTTTCTTCTCCCTCCCAGACTTACAGCATCAGGCATCCCCCTAAGATATATACATCATCGGCGAGTGTTCATTGCGGCACAGCAAAGAGCAATCTTGGTACGTGGAGGACAGAACCGAGCCTAACGCGCAACGCATCATCATAACCTGACCACGCGATCCCACCAGCACAGCGCCGATGTGACGGTGGAGCCGGAAGCTATGCCCAGCTATATACCAAAATTGCTGATCCTAACATCAGATGATGGGCTTGCCGAACGCGCGGGGCCGGCACACCACACGAACAGTGTCAATCCCCCGGATGTGAGGCTGGGCATACCGGTCTTCTGACTTGGCTGCATAGGTATATTGGCCAGGCAGCGAATTGCTGGCATCATTGCGGAAGTTCCCCATCGCTGTGAGCGCAGACCCGATGTCAGCTGCGGCATGGGCGAGGAGCGAAATGACGGATGTGGCGGTCAAATGACATGACATTCGCCTACTGCGATACATATTCTGTTCGTATTGCATGCGTACACGCTGTGTTTGAGATGGTGGTCTCGCGTGGGATGGCTGAGCAAGCTTGAGACTCCACGATGAGGGTTATGTCATACATGCAAAGACGTTGGAAGACGAGGTCGAAGGTCAGATAAAACACAAGGGCGAGGAAGACGATGGTTCTTGGCGTTCTGCCATCTTCCGGACGGCCTTCCCGCATCCCGATGTGGTTTTCTCCACTTTGCTGTGCAGAGATCTGAACAAGGATGCTCGATGTACCTCCGCCTCGCTCCTTGACGACACTCTTCAACCTTGTTCAAGAGACGATAACCATCCGCTCGATGAAAGCAACCCTCATCACTAAGTAGCGATTTCGTTTGCTTGCATGCAGACTGTTGTACGCTCAGGCGTGATCCGCAGCTCATATGTCCACGAACCGAGACGCCGTCCAATCACGCTGGCCTAAAAAGTCAACAGCAGCTTCTGCAATGATGCATCCAAGGGCCAATTGGATCGAAGGTCGCCGCCCTACCTGCTCTACCTGCTGCAAGCAACTTTATCCTTTCCATAAGAACGACAGCAAGAACGTATACCAAGAAGACATGTTCGACAAGGAATTTGGCTCTCCGCAGCACTGCTTATTTTGGTGGTTATAGCTACCTGTCGGAGAGCATGGTCGTCGTCAAGTACGAGGAAAGCCGTTGGGCTCCATTTTCCTTTGCCCTTGTTCTGGAGCACTACCTAACTATACTGGCCAATTGCGCAATCTCCATTCTCCTTGGGAACTACGATCTGCATCGTCCCGAACATTTTCTCGAGTCACTTTGAACTTGCCCGTTCCTGGTCTTTCGATCTTTAATTCATGCGCGCCAAAACAAAACCTCTCCTAATTGACTGGACATGTTTCGCTCCATACATTCCACTACCCACCAAAACACTCTACAAATTCTGGATGCGCAAACTCTCTTGCAACTTGCCATACTACGAAACCCAATAGACTCATCACGACATGGAAGACATGGAAGAAATGACAACACACTCAACATTCGGAATCGAGATCGAGTGCATCTACCTACTCAGCAGAAATCAGGAGGCTTACAACATGCAAGTTAGCCTTGGCAGCGCATCACCTACAGCATCGAGTGAGGAAGATGACTTGGAGCAGCTACAATCGGCTGGTGTACGCGCCGTCCAAGAAGCATTAGAGGGCAGCTTCCGCGCGTAATGCTCGGTCTGCAATCAGGAGCACTCGTGGACATTGCCCCTTCACCCTCTTCGGAGAGATGTCTTGCAGCAAGAATATGACCGCTGGACTGTCAAATAAGACACATCGGTGATTTTGAGTCATTCTGAAGAGGACATCGCTGAGCACATGCCGAACATCGAGGCTTACTCTATATAGATCATCAGCAGGGTCCTCTCCTTCCATGGCCACATTGACACCTCTCCTGGAAGCGGACGTATGCACCGGGCCACTGCCAGAGATAAAGTCGGAGCAGTGTACGCCTGGCTACACGGCGCTTCAAAGACATTCCGGGACTGCAAGCATGCGTAAGCCGATGCGAGATACCTTCTTGGCTGGATATTGTGCATCACGTGCCCACGGTGGAGGATCTGCAAAACATTCAAGATCAAGATGGCCACGGGTCTGTCGTGAACCTTTCAAATCTCAATGGACCCACGAACACGGTAGAGTTTAGGCAGCACGCTGGATCACTGCTCGTCTCCGAAGTACTTCCTTGGATCGATTGCTGTGTAAGTCTGTTGGAGTTCGCCGCATCGCACAGCGAGGAGGCCATCTCCGACCTCTGCGTAGGTGAGTGGTCCTTGGCCAGCCACACCGCTAACGATCTACTGCGCACTATTGGCTTATCAGATTCGACCTAGGGGCACTACGCACAAGTCGTTTTCTTCTTCCCCCACAGGACGAAGGCTACACCGCGGAAGTCTTGGGGCAGGAGCTTGCGATGGCGGCCTCGTGGCCCGAAGGCCTTATACTGGGTCCACTCGTCAAGCAGCATATCCGAACTTGCTGTGCATAGATCAGATCGGACGTTGTAGCTGATCGTGTTCATCTCAACTTCGTGAATGGTTGCTATGGTCGATTCTCGGAGGAGCAGCTCCTCGCTTTCAGAATCCAGACCTGTACCCAACCCCTGACGGATGAGCAGCAAGGATAGCCCACGATGGATCCTCGATCTGGCGACTCATTATCTCGCACATTGATGACCTCTTTGGAAGCTCTCTCATGGAAAGACGCTGTGAAAGACATGTACTGCAGGCAAGTGCAAAAATTCGAGCATGATGACTCGTGGTAGGCACTCTCCTATTTCGCGTCAAGTCAATACACACTTCATCTCCTTCCCCTCACGATCTCAAAGGTTCCAAATCACTCCTCGTCCCGAAAGTAGCTCTCTTGACAATCTTCTTCGACTTCGATCGTAGCAGCACACACACCATGATGACTCCCGTCAGGATTCCCAAACTAGCATTCGCAATACCAGCATAGTACGAAGACGTCTGCAAACACCGTCAGCATCAAGTCTCATTGACAGGTCTTCGATCTTTCGCACCTGTACTTTGCAGTATTTGGCAAAATTTACACTCGTCAGGACTTGTTGCAGCTCAGCAGCCGAATGACTGCACGTCCAATCCCAGAGATCCTTGGACTTCCCATCAACAGGTTCTCTACCATATCGGTAAAGGCCCGCCGCCACAGCCCAAATCACAACATGACTGACGATAGTTGCCCAAGACCAATAGGTAGCGATCTGATCAGCCTTGTTGGCGCTCCTGACACTACGGAGGTAGGATACCATGACGACAAAGTTCAGCAGGAAAGATACCGCCGCCACGGCCGTGTACATATAAGTATACCTATATCAAGAAATCAGCAATCGACACACCACCTCATTTCTCCCTCCCTTTGCGAAATCTCACCACGTAACAGTCTCAGCAGCCCAAGCCGTCCGAATCGCCCCATTGACATTGTACTGTATATTCCTCGTCTGCAAAAACTTGACAACAGTCATGATCAGGGGTATCAAAGTCGCCACCGAGCAAAGTGTCGCAAGAGCTCGAGCGAGGACTCGAAGCCATCTGATGCGACTTTTCAACAGCAAGTCGCGACGTTCGAGCAATCTCAATTCCATGTCTTGAGACGACTCTGGACGCAGTTGAGCGTAGTTGCCATCGCCATGTCGTGAGTTGAGGGATATTGTGGAGGTCAGGTACATTGGCTTCAGGTTTCCTGATTGAGACGCCGCTCCTGGGGTGTAATAACGTGTGGCCATCGTCGGCGTAGTCGTGAAGGGGGATGTGTATCACTTAGATGGAGTGAATGTCCATATGGATTTTGGATTTTGTTGCTTTTTACTACTGCAGTCTGTGTTGGACAACAAGGCTGTGTTTAGATGAGACAATAAACATTATGACCGACGAACTGCGCATCATCTCAGATCGGCTGATAGTCTGTCAAACCATTGGCAGCTGCATGTCAGCGTGGAGACTCGCCTAGACCTTGGAGGCGTTTCGCTGGCTGCATGGAGAGCTATTCTGGTCAGCGAAGGATCGCTGATCCACTATTCTGGTCACGTCAGGAGGATGGGTTCATGAGGCTGAAGACGAAGGTGAAGATGGAGTGATTCGGGGCTACCATGTCTATTCAGGTATCATACAGCGTGGTCTGCGATATAAGAACGTAACTCCTGTCAATTCGCCAAACAACATGCCTGCTATCGCTCAACGCCCAATAATGCGACACAAACCAACCGCTATTGACAGGAGAGAAAGTCGACCACCAGGAGCTAAGGTCCCCGGCGGCGAAACTATGCCAAACGAAGTATAACAAGCAGAGACAGGATATAAGAGTCAATACCAGACTCATCCAGCGAACAAAAATTTGCCAAGTTCCAGCCTCGGGCGGTCCTCGTCCTCTTCCGGGCTGTTAGGAATAATCAGATCCTCGCTGCCCTGTAATACAACCCTAGTCTGAGCGGGAAGCTTCTCGATAGCATGCCATTCTTCATCGTTAATCACACTGTCGTCTGGCTCGGCAATGTCTGACCTGAACGTGCTTTCAGTTGCGATAGGAGGCGACGAATTAGGTACGAATTCACGTTCGATCCGCGGAGGCGAACGTATCGGGTTAAATTTGCCGTTGCGCTGCGGAATCCTGGAGAGCGGTGCCGACTTCGTCCGTAGAGATGAGGGAGCCGATGGCGAGGCAGTTCCCTGATATCGAAGCGCAGACAACCCCGCACGAACTCCGTTGCTAAAGATGCTGGGAAGTCGCGGTGGAGGGGACTCAATGCTGTTAAAAGATGTGTCCGGGGTATCTTGATTGACGGTAGCTTGCGAAATGGGTGTAGCGGCTGTGGAGATACTGTCCTGTGACACATCTCCTAGGCTGTCGTCGATCAGAGAGGCGTCGGGGTCCATCAAAACACTAATCTTCTTGCGTTTCCGAGGAGAGGACACACTGGAACTCTGTGTGAGCTCTGGTGTTGCTGTCGCGGTAGCGACTGCTTCTGCAATAGAATCGTCAGACCAAAGATCAAACTCCTCGGACTTCCGATCAGACTTCTTCCGCAGACTTGGGCTTGCTTGCGCTGCTGTTTTGGCAAAGAAGCGGCTCGTTGTAGGCGGCGCAGTCATGGCAGCAGCTACGGCAGGATCAGTCGATAGTCGCGTCAACGACYTGCTCAACGGACGTGCAGCAGACACATCAGAGMACAACCGCTGCCTTTTAGGAGATGCAGCGTGTCGGACAGGGGCGGATGAGACACGTCTTGTAGCTGGCGGAGCGGAAGACGGTATAGCAGGCCAGGAGGTGTTCTGTTGCGACCTCCTAAGTTCAACCTGGCTCGGTGAGGGCATGAACGTTTGCAAAGAATTTGGATCCAACTCAGTAAGAGGCACTCGTCTCGGCTTGAAAAACTCCGTAATGGATTTGCCCTGCTTCTCAATTGGCGTCTGCATGATCCTGCTCCGACTCGAATAGTGATTAATCCTGCTCGGGAGGACGATTGCTTGTTTGGTATTTGGATCAAGATCTCCTGATGCGACGCCAACGGCCAGCGCAGGCTCGACATGCTTGCCAATGTAAGGCATGCYCTCGGCTAGTACCCCTTTCGGTAGAGGGGTGAGATTTTGGAGGCTTTTGGTGTCTGGGCAGAACGCCCACGGATGCACGAATGTTCGCTCAGCATTGGCAAAGGCCTCAAGATAGCCCACCGGTATCCTCATTTTGCCTTCGAACTGTAAAGATCGAACAACCTTGTCCACTGTTTTATGCTTCCGCACGAGTCGGTAGGCGGTCTTTAGGCCCATGTTGTTAATGCCAGGCAGGTAGTCACAACCCGTAAGCATTGCCATGATTCGGAACTCCTTGTCCGTCCAGTCGACCAAGCTAATGTCCTTGCACGCCGTGAAATCTTCGCGGTTGATCATGACGCATTCGCCGTACTGGTCCAACTTGGTGAGCAGGCACTTCACACCAAAGACCAGCAGATCAGAATCCTCGCTGAGCACACCGTCGATAACACCCTTCTTCTCGAGATATGCAAGCTGACTGTCTGCTTCGTACGGAGCAACGACATATTGAACGTTGAGTTTCTTCAACTCCTCTATCAGTTCGCGAGCCATCAATGGCGTGACATCGACAGCTTTCTGTAGCTCCAGATGGGCCTGCGAAGGACGTCCCATGCGGAGGAGCTCCAGGCCCTGCCGCTTGCTCTCCTTTCTACGCGTCGCCCGCTCCTTCTCTGTATGTGCTTTGCTGGGCAGGTAGTCGCCATCGAAGACAATGTATGGTGTTACGCCAAAGTGGATTAGCATGCGGACGCGGTGCACGGCGAAGTCGATGTGTTTTCGCGTGGGCTTTCCCTCCGCCAGCTCAACGGCACACGAGACGGTGCCGCGGTGCAGCCATCCATAGGCATCGACGCCCAGCGTCTGGCCAGCAAAGTTGCGAAGATGGGTGGGTTTGTGGATGCTCTTAAGCAGAGGTAGCAGTCCTGTGAAGTGTCAATGTCTGGCGATATCGTCTATGAAGGTCTGTCACACCCACCCTGGATTCCCATAGCTCATGGGATCGTGGAATGGCTAGACGTGGACTGGAGGTCAACCTAGACTCGACCGGACCTGACTGATGATGAGATGCGATGCTTCGGCCACTTCCCACACGCGTAAAGCGTGAAGCGCGACTGGGTTCTTCGCGGGTCGGGACTCGGAATTTCGGGAGCGATCGTCGCCTCCCACATTTTTTCCGCCGACCTCCCAAAATATCCACATCAACATTGAACGACCAGATCGAACTCTTCTCAAAATGGTGTCGAAATTGAGCAAGGTGCAGAAGTCAGTCAACAAGAAGCAGGGCGGCAACAAAGTCAACAAGCTCCACGAAAACTCTAGAGATGCGCAAAGACTTCGCAATGCCGGTGCTAGAGACGACAAGGTCCTCAGGGTCGCTTCACACCGCCGCAAGGAAAACAAAATCTGGATTGATCGCATCGCATTCTTGAAGGAGAGATTGCCGGAAACTCTTCATCCTTTGGAGTTGGAGGACGTCAAGGAACTTATCCGCCAGTATCTGGCCCGCTACGACGACGAGATTGCACAGCTTAAAGCGGAGCGGAGACCGGGTCGACCTGCGAGCACAAGACAGGTACTCCTTGAGCAACAGGTTACGACGGAGTCGCAGGAGTATGCGGGCGGTTTCTGGCTTCCTAATTTGCAGGATGCGGAGACGCTGATCAAACTGGATGCGTGGGATGGTCGGTGGTTGGGATTGGGCAACCTGCGGTTCATTCGGGTGGTGAAGGACGCGGGTGTGAAGGAGAGCCAGTTCCCGCCGGGAGGTGCTATCTGAGATGGTCATGAGAGAGCTCTTCTGACGAAGCTTGCTCGGGCCTACGATGTTGCTTATGTTGGGCGCAAGCGCTTCGTCCATCACGAACCACTACTTTAAGCCGCCCTCGTGCCAGCAGTTCACTGGTATCTGATATTAGGGGCGGTGTCATCGTCACGCTTTCCCACCCCTGCCCCAACAACATGGTGGGAAAATTGGCCATATTCTACCTTCGGACGATACACGACGGTCGTTGAGAGATTTCCACGGCTACGGATATCAGTGCAGGAGGCACTTCAATCAAGAAAGCCGCCATAAGGCTGCGTCAGAGCGATCGCTCTGACGCATGAGTAACGGAGGCAGAGTATAGCGCGAGTTGGTGGTCGGAGAACGAAGGAGAATGAGAGGATTGTGCAGAAAAAACGGTTTACCAAGCAGTCGCTGTTAATCTTGAAGCGTTTTGTATTTCGCTCTCAATGTTCCCCCCAACCTAGCCCGTCCCGCCTTTTATATTGCAGTGTACGACATCTTTGGCATACGACCGAAGTGTGAATGTCGGATAGAGCATGAACGCATCTCAAATTCAGCGCTTCACTTGGAACACTGAGTGAAATGAATAGCACACACACACACACACACACACACCATCCACATGTCTCCCGCGGTTCTAACTCCAGCCAACAGAGGGTTATGACGGATACAGAAGACATTCGTATCCTCGAACAGGACCGTTTCCAGTTAGTAAACAAGGAAGCAAATCATCCGTAACTAAACATGAGCTAACATGACCACAGTATCGACGGCGACATCGTGATTGTGAAGGCCGGAACCAGAAACCAAAACTTCCCCATCCACGTGTGCCTACTCAACCGATCTGAGTTCTTTCGCCACAAGCTCGCTGTCCTAGCGGCTGGCGAGATCCTACAGCTGGCCATCTTCGAGGGAGACAAAGACGCCGCGGTCACGTTCGCCCTATACGTTCATCTCATATACTATGAAACACTGCCATACAAAGTTGCCGGGCCCTCGACTGTTCCTTCATTGAAGCAAGTTCACCTTGAGCAGATGGCTATCATGAAACTTTACATCATGGCACAGAAGTTAGGAGATGGTGGAGCAATGGATGCTGCCGTCAGTACTCTACTAGCCACCTCTCAAGAGCCATGCAGTGTAGGCAAGAGATGCAATTTTACCCTTCCCTCGACTGAAGTCGTACAAAAGGCATACGCACACACTTCGACTGCTTCGCCGATACGACGGCTCATGGTCGACATGTACCTGTGGTGGGCTGCTGCTGAGCACATTGACGAAAGATACCCAACTCAATTCGTTGTCAGCGTTGCGAAGGCTGGATTGGATTCGGCTCGAGGGGCCAGGCACACGGGYTATGGCTCCTTTGCGCAAGCTAGTTGTTGCGATTATCATCAGCATGAGCCTCATGTGGTGTGCTCGAGTCGGAAGATGGAGGAAGACTTAAGCTCGGGGGAAGGGACCGATGAGGATTATGTAGGGGATGGATGAACGACGGTCAGGGTGATGATACTGCTCGTGATAGCGCTTACGAGATTGGAGGTGGCAGCTCATAGGGGAGAGTGAGGCCGATATCACTTCACATTCTAGCTGCAAATGAGCGAGAGAGAGACAAAAGTAAGTCGGCTTTTCTCTCTAAGGTCGATGTGACGGCTCTGCTTGGGTGTATGCATATGCTTCGATGTCGCAGGGCCTTCGTTCGGGTTCTCTGTACTTCATCAATTCCCTCCAATTGGAACCCAAGCATTGAAGGGCAGGGAACCTGGAAGACGTCGGATTTGAGCCCCTGGACCCGGCCGCCCACCCCGCAATCCTGGCTTCGCGCCGAGACGGAAAGTCGGTTGCCAAGAGCAAGCCATCATCCCTCGACTTGGGTGCGGTGCAACATGGACATGTAAAGTTGTCCTCGTGCATGCAGGAGCACTCGCTCTTGCTCGCGACATCTTCCTAAACAGCATCCATCCTCTTCTGCCTGGCGCGCGGTTTCCGTCATCATGCCGGGTCCACGACGCGTTCGCTCGTTGGCGATTGTCGTCTGCATCGCCGTCGTCTTCCTCCTGTATCAGCGAAGCGGRGCTGTGCAACGATACGCCGAGCAGATTCAGGTGGGCGGAGGCGCGGTGCTGCGAGGCCCGCAGGCAGATCAGAAGCCAGCAGCACCTCCCGGGCCGCCTCAGAATCCACTGATGCCCGAGGTGGAGCCAGAGGCAGAGCCAGCAGCGGCAACTACGGAGCAACGGATTGCAGGTCTACCAGCTCCAGAGGAGACGACGACCTCGCTACGAGCGATACCCACCACTACCTCCAAAACACAAACGAAGACTGAGAAGGACACCGACAGGTCCGGGTACGAGATAACGGACGAGGGCTTCGTCAATATTGCGGAACCTTACTCCTACACTACTCCAGCACCGCAGCACTGGAGCAAGCAGCCGGAGCACTATCCAATCACATCAACCATACAGCTTCCAAAGGGACCTTCAAAGTCAATACCGATCATTCAGCATGCTGCAAGAGGGGCGGACGAGCAGAAGTTGGCCGCCGTCAAAGAGGCAGCACAGCATGCTTGGAAGGGATATCGAAATTACGGATGGGGTTTTGACGAGGTCGCCCCTGTGACGGGTAAAGGGAAAGCGAGCTTTTGCAACTGGGGAGCGACGTTGGTGGACAGTCTGGACACACTTTGGATCATGGGCATGAAGGACGAGTTCGAGGATGCTGTCAATCAGACGAGTCATATTGATTTTACGACATCTTCCAGAAACGACATCCCGCTGTTCGAAGTGACCATTCGTTATTTGGGCGGACTCCTCGCGGCCTACGATGTATCAGGCAAGACCTACAGAGTCCTCCTCGATAAGGCCGTGGAGCTTGCGGAGATCCTGTACAGCGCGTTTGACACGCCGAACCGTATGCCAGAGACCTACTACCACTGGAAACCGGCTTTTGCATCGAACAAACATCGCGCCAGCGGCAGACTGGTCCTCGCCGAGCTTGGAACGTTGAACCTTGAATTCACGCGGCTGGCACAACTCACAGGGGAACCAAAATACTACGATGCAATTGCTCGCATCACTGATGCGTTTGAGGAGTGGCAAAATAGCACTCGTCTCCCTGGAATGTGGCCCATCGCTGTCGATGCTAGTGGGTGTAATAAGACTGCGACTCAGATGCAACCAAGCCGGACAAATTATCCACACCAGATGCCGGTTCCGGGCGGCGATACTTATATGATGACGAGTGAGCCGGTGAAGATCGATAGAGAGACCTTGGCCAAAGCAGAGCAGACGCTTGCGGAATCGATGGACCCTCATGCTGTTGGTGATGCTCAACTGGAAGCAATGAACAAGAACGTCCACAATCCCCGCCCGGATGCCACAAAAGGTAGCGATCTTCGTTTCGAGGCCATGCACACGCCTGATGACCCAAACGTGAAGCAGAAGCGACAGCTTGACACTGGTCTTGAGAGCAATCACAGCAATACCACCTCGGTCGATGCGTCTGTTCCGCATCGTCCGGCGGACCACGTGGCCCATCGCAATGAATATGCCTCAAGGCTGGACGAAGAAGAGGAGATCTGCGTCCCCCAAGGTCTCGCGTCTCCCAGCAAGTATTCAACGGAGACCTACACTCTTGGAGGGCAGAGTGACAGCGTGTACGAATACCTACCCAAAGAGTACGTTTTGCTCGGTGGTCAGGTCGACCAATACAGGACCATGTACCTTGACAGCATGGAGCCGGTGATCGAGAAGCTCTTGTACCGCCCGATGACACCTGAGAACTTGGATATTCTAATATCTGGAGATGTGCGCGTATCGATCAATTCATCGACCAACGAGTTGATGGAGACATTGGTCCCCAAAGGCGAGCATTTGACGTGCTTTGCTGGCGGTATGTTTGCAATGGGTGGGAAGCTCTTTGACAAGCCGGAGCACGTTGAGATTGGCAGGAAGCTTACAGATGGATGTATTTGGTCGTACAATTCCATGACTAGCGGCATCATGCCAGAGTCATTCACTGCGTCTGCCTGCGAGAGCAAGACAGATTGCAAGTGGAACCAGACGAAGTACTGGGAAGAACTGGATCCGTACGTGGGGTATAGAGAGGAGCAACGGGCCAAGTTCTGGGAGAAATATCCTGACTACAAGCCTGGCGACGAGACTGACTTTGAGGGAAAGGCGCCCTCTGTTCCAAGACCACAAACGCTTCCCGCACATCGTATGCCGGAGAAGCTTGTCTATACCGACGAGGAGGAAAGGTCGATGTTTGTCAATGCGCACGACAAGCGACAACTAGATCAGGACGAAGTCACTCCTCCTTCGCCGCCAAAGCCAGCGCCTGCTCCCGTCATCGAATCTCCTCACGTCACATATGACGACGGGGATGACGATGTATACGACTATGCTGCACCGCCAGTCTACACTCCCAAACCTCCCGCCACGCACACCGAGTACGTCGAGCAGAAGATCCTTGACGAACGCCTCCCTCCCGGATTCGTACGATTGGACTCGAAACAATACATCCTACGACCCGAAGCCATTGAGAGTGTCTTCTACATGTATCGCATCACAGGAGAACAGTACTGGCGCGACATGGGCTGGAAGATGTTTCAAAGCGTAGATCTTGCGGCTCGAGCAGAATTTGGGCACTCGGCGATCGATGATGTTACGAAGGACGTTCCTAAGCACATCAACAACATGGAGAGTTTCTGGTTGGCGGAGACGCTCAAGTACTTTTATCTGTTATTTGACGAGCCGGATCGTTGGAGTTTGGATGACTGGGTGTTGAATACGGAGGCGCATTTTTTTGAGAGGCCGGGGAGGAAGTGAGAGAGATTTGTGTAACTGTTCTTGGAAACTGTTCTTGGAAATGACAAGGTTGCGACGGGAAGGGTGYAGGCTCGAAAATATGTATGGCATTGGGATGGTGAGGTTATGATACCCCTGAAAGGCGTGTGGGCGAGAAAGCATAATGAGGCGCATTGTGGTATGTGGAAACCGCTGTTTTGTCTTGGAGACGCGACAGATCGTGTGCCGTTGAGAATTGAACGTACGTTAAGTTGAGGATGAATTCGTCTCAATGCTGACACGATCTGAACCGCTTTTCCTGGCTTCGTTGATTACTTCTCCAGCCTGGCCGGCATCAATTCCGATGCGGCGAGACTTATAGCACGGAGTTGCACAACAGTAGGGAGTTGACATGATTCTGCTCCACTCCATCTGAATGTCATGAGGAGTCGACGGCGCTGAAAAGCAGAGTCAGCAATTGACGTGATGAACCGCCCCTCTTGTTTCCCACCAACAGCTCACTCGTTCTGTTCACAGCTCTCGACGAAGTTCTCAATCACGCAATTACCGCAAGCATGGCTGCAAATCACCCGCAACGCAAGGTTGCCAAAGACTCTGTGTCCGTCCATGGCCTTGGATGCATGGGCATGTCTTTCGCTCACACACCCAATGGTGGCCACAGTGATGAAGAGAGCTTGAGGATTCTTACTCGAGCAGCAGATCTGCGTAGCACTGTCTAAGATGCCAGTGATGTCTATGGTCAATCACTTAWTGGGGAAAGCCAAGAGTGCGGGTCGATGTTATCACGCAATAAACACCGCACACGAACGAAAACCTCCTTGACACGTAGTTCAGAAGAGCAGATCATCGTAACGAGATCTTTCTTTGCTCCAAGTTCGGCATTATGCGTTCCGGATGGTTCTTTTCAGGCTCGAGGTGACGGAGAACGGTTTCGACAAACCTGTGAGGAGTCCCGCAGGAGATTAGGCGATGGCATCGATCTCTGTAACAGCACCGGATGACGACAGAGTCCCGATTGAGGAGACGGTGCACGCTATAGTAGAGATGAAGAACGAAGGCAAGCTCCGATGTCTAGTTTTGGGCAAATGTTCCGCGACGCTGAGGAGAGCTCATGCTGGCCATGCTATTGCGGCGGCATAGGTGAAGTTCTCCCCGTTCGCGCTCGAGATCGAGAACGACCAGACCGCCGAGTCCTTGAAGGCAGCAAGAGATCTTGGTGAAGGAGACAACAGAAAGAGTCAACCTAGATTCTCGGAGGATAAATTTTGCGATAAACTCAAGCTTGTGGAGCAATGAGCGAGATGGCTCAGGAGAAGGATATGAGGCCAGGTCAAGTCGACACTCGTTGGCATGGACACTGGCCCAGGGCGAAGACTTCATAGCGGTCCCCGGAACGAAACGAGTGTAGTGTCTGGAGAACAATGCCAAGGCGGTGGACGCGAAGCTCGCACGGGAAGAGGACGGGGAGTTCAGCAAGGCGATGGACGGCGTAGGTGGCTGAAATGGAGCTCGATCCCCGACGGTGATGATGGCCGAGTGCTTTGGCGAATTCACCCGGGCTTGAACGCGTAAGGTAGTCTAGCCTCTCATCACTTGTTATTATTCCCTGTTGCATGAGCAATGCATACGAGGCTCACTTGGCTCCGGCGGCGCAGCATCTCAACTGCAGATTTGGGGGGATGCGCTCCAGACGTTGAGTTCTTCGCTTGTCTGCTGAGCATGCAGTGATGTCGGTGGTTTCAAACTCACGCACTCTCGTTTGGTGGATGGGACGAGACTGATGTGATCAACAGAGCAACAAAAACTGCCGGGTTAACGTTACGGGAAGCGCTCGTATTTGGCGGTTGACCATGCTTTTGCTAGGCATTCCCTGGACAAAGTGCGTCCGCCAATAATCGATTGTTTTGCGTCGCCCCCCGTTTGCAAGGTCAGCCTGGCGACCCAAACGCCTCGAAACGTCTTGGTTTCTCGGCCGACCCGGGGGCGATTGGTTGTGCATGTACTGTGCATTATTATTGACAGGTGTCAGCTTGGGAGTTCATGATCGATCGGAAAAGGAAGGTGTCGGTGTCAGCAAAGGCGTCCCGCTCCTGCTGGTGAACTCCAAGCATCGCCTCCTGTCCCGCTGGTCCGGGGCTGCGCTTTCCCAAACGCGCGTTGAGATGTTGATCTCTTTGGCCTCGTGCGGACGCCCGCCGCGGATCTCGGAGGTCTTCGCACGTGCATGCGAACGCTGGTGCAATCTCGAAGATCGTGTCGAATCAGAGCCGGTCGTTCCTGGCAATTTTACTTTTGCCCATGGCTAAATCGGGAATGGTCTCAGGAACGGACAGAAACAAGCTCTACCGGCCTACCAACTAACCGCAATTTCAACTCCTGGACGAGCGAGAGGGGGAATGTCTACTTGCGATTGACTCTGGACTTTCTTGTACCCTCACGCTCTCTTTCTCTCCCACAAACCGCTCTGGAAGCATCAATATCCATCAGTGTCGCCGGCAGGTTCCTCCACCACTTTCGTTAAACAACAAGCTCCCAACGAGTCCACATTCCTTGCAACGCAGGAGAACCAACCGACGCATCGATCCCGCATTCCACACGTTCAAGGCAGCAACACACATCTACCTCTGCATCATTTGACGTCGTCTCTTGAGCAGCACCTCGTAAGTTGGGAATTCTCCATCATCTTCATCAACAAGCCTCCAGCAGAGTGCTCTGCCAAACGACGACTAGGGCCAATGGCGGGTCTTCTCTGAAAAAACTCATCACATCGAAACAACGCTMAACAGTCCCTTGCGTCATACAACACGGACTGCCTCCTCACTCACATTCACTCAACACACTCGTTCGGCAACACATAACTGATTCGGCTGGCCGACAGTGAATATCATCTCATACCCATAGTCAGCATCATCCGTCGATCGAAATCAACATGAAGGCTGGTCTTTTCACCATTGCGGCGCTCGCTGCGTCCGCCACTGCCCAGGTCCACCGTGCCCACCGTAACTTGCACAAGAAGCGCGATGTTGTTACCGCATACGAATACGCCACCGTAACCGCACCTCAGGTCGTCGTCTACGTCGATGGCAATGGCAACCCGGTCTCTACAGGCACTCCCGGCGGCGCTGCACCAACCGCCTATCAGGCACCCGCACCCGCTAAGAGTGAGAGCCCGATCCCTGCCGCATACTCTGCGCCACCAAAGTACAACCCTTCCCCGGCCAAGAACAGCCCTGCTCCGCCGGCATACAGCCCAGCGAAGTCCTCCGCTGCGCCAAGGCCTGCTCCTTATGCCTCTGGTCTCGGTATGGTGTACACTCCATACACCGATGCAGGTGGATGCAAGGACGCCTCCCAGGTGAACGCCGATTTCGAAAAGCTCGACGGCTACAACCTTTTCCGCATCTACGGCACCGACTGCAACCAGGTGGAGAACGTGCTGTCCGCTGCCAAGGCCAAGAAGGCAAAGGTTTTCGCCGGAGTCTTCAACATCGCTGAGGTTGAGAAGGAGATTGCCATCATTGTCGAGGCTGCAAAGAACGACTGGTCTTCCATCGACACTGTGTCTATCGGCAACGAGCTTGTCAACCAGGGCACTCCAGCTGACAAGGTCGTCGCCGCCATTGGTACCGCTCGCACTCTTTTGAAGGCTGCCGGCTACACTGGAAACGTTGTGACTGTTGACACTTTCGTCGCTATGATCGCCAACCCATCAATCTGCGAGGCATCCGACTACGCCGCTGCCAACTGCCACGCCTTCTTCGATGGCGGCCGCACCGCTGAGCAAGCCGGTGACTTTGTCCTTGAGCAGTCCAAGCGCGTCGCGGATGCTTGCGGTGGCAAGCGTGTAGTCATCACCGAGAGCGGCTGGCCATGGCAGGGAAATGCCAACGGCGCTGCTGTTCCCAGCAAGGAGAACCAACAGGCCGCCATCGCATCCCTCAAGAGCTCATTCAGCAAGGATCTTATCCTTTTCACTGCCTTCGACGACCTTTGGAAGAAGGACACCGCCGACACCCATGGATGCGAGAAGTACTACGGTATTCTCGGCCACTAGACGAATCTCTTACCCTTGACTTTTGGGTCCAGCAACTCCGGCATGCTGCTGTACAAACGCGGACTTTGTTTCAATCGTCGCTGCATTTGAACAGGTGGAATGGGAATGAAAGGCGTTCTGGATTTAGACCTGGGTAGCAGCAAAAACGGTATGCTTCTTTCGGATGAACGGTGCAAGCAAATGAATCTTGCCACGCTTTCTCGACGTAGTTGCCTGTACGGCCAAATATCATTGTTCCATACCAATGTATGATCGTGATCCTGGAATCATCGCATTGTTGGGCCCGGTCCCTAGTTCCAACGCCGTGACGACAGACTTTATCCGTGAGTTGCTTACGTCAATATTCTGTAGTCACCAATCCGCAGAGGCGGACTCGTAGGTTCGGATCGAAGAGTCCATGCCATGAGATGTTGAACCATGTTCGACGATTATTCCTTCGTCGTTGGGCACTCGTGGTCAAACGTCACAATTCCAGTACCATGATTGCAATGCAGCGTCACGTTCATGCTCTTAGCTGCTGCATTCATATCATCGACGTGTTGGGTTTCCGCTTTGGACCAGTGCTGGCCATTATCATTCCCGACATGGTTCGTGGTGGATCCGTAGAACATTAGGGGCAATGGCGAAGTCTTCCAGGTTCGAACGTCCTTTGGCAAACCCCCACAGGTGATGGTCACGCCGACGAAGAAGACCAGCGTCAGGAGAGCTAGAGCAGCGGGCAATGCTAGCCAAGGCCATTGAACGCGTACACAGGTCCTCGTCGTCCAGGATTGACCGGGTATAGATCTCATGAGCGTGCCAGCTTCGAGGGAGACACTGGACGAATTTCCATTCGGAGAGGGATCGTAGTTGAATGTATAAGATTTTCGCACCATGTCAGGGCTTCCGGGGTTCCTCCGCATGTAGTTGGAGAGTGATGTTGTGATGTTGTCAAATAGTGAACTGGTATGCTCCAGGGAATAATCGCCGTAGTTGAAGATGGATTGCATGACCGGAGATCCATTGAGACTGCGAAGTATTTTGGTGGCGTCACCAACCATGCCCGTAAGATTGCCACCAAAGGCTCCTATGAAGGACTGAAGGCTGTCATTGAAGTCGCCGTCTACCACATAGAGACACCCACGATCCACAAACCCTTGCTCCAGGGTCGTCGATGCTTTACCAATGTCATAACCTTTGCGCTGCTTTTGATCGGCCGCACTCGTTATGTTGTATGACAAGAACGAYGCAGATGCATCCCATGTGTAATTGCGGCCGCGCAGTGTGTCGCGCTCTTCGTCGGTCAGACATGAAAGATCCAGCGCTCCATAGACCTCGGAGAACCTGTCGAACCAGGTTCCTGACGATGAGCTTAGAGCAGTCTGATCTGTGTTTATGATTTCCTCATGCAAAACTCCGTTCGTGACATTGGCGCTGTAAGTCCTGATACATGGAAATGCCGCGCAGCTCGCGGCCGCATAGCCTTGACAACGCCATGTCTGATTTGCGGCCTGACTATCGCAGCCTGTCGGGGCCAGCCCAGTGGATGGRTCTGTGGGCGTCCCGGGAAGTCCGATCAGCACTGTAAATATGTCGCCTTGTTGCCCAACGAAGTTGTGTTCCGCGGTAGCATACGTCTGTTCTACGGGCGCACTGCCATGCGCTGACACCTGTTTGGTGGGTACATAATCCATGCTCGGAATGTTGACGAGGTCCGGTATAGAGCTGGTAAGCGTGTTATTGACCTTCACAAAACGCACACTCGAGGAGACGTCTTCGCAGCTACTACAATAACCGACTGAGGAATAGGGGGCAAACGTGCAGWTTCCAGACTCGCACGTAAAGCTTCCCGAGCCTGGTGTGTATATTCCTGTGTTAATTGCCGATTGTTCCGGCATGCTTAGTGTTATAAATGCGGCAGAAGGATCCCTTCGGTCCCCAACGCCTTGCCCTATGAACACTGATGTTCGAGGAATGAAGGCGCTAGATTCTGCTGCTGGCACTGAGCACTCCTCGTACTGAATGACCTGTTGCGTGAACGGGCCGACCAACAGTGCAATAACAGCAAGTACGCAACCCATCCATTGCCAGGTCGTGGGTAGAGGGAGTCGCCAGAGGAGGCCAAAAGCACCGATAGGACCACGGGAGGCGTTGTCGTGTAGCACTATATCGTACAGCGGCCTCGCGCTCTTAAACCAACGCCATTTGGCTTGAGACAATCCTTCCGAAAGCAAGAATGTAGCAGCCAGTCTCAACACCACCGAATATGCCGAAAGAAGAGCACCGATAGTAATGGCGTATGGCCATTCAGGCAAAGGCTTTCCCTGGTATGGATACAGTGTCGCAAAAGAAGCAACTGTCGATCCAATGAGTAAGATCATAGCTGTACATTCTTGCCACCAATTTGCGATTGACATCCAGTGCCGCTTTCGCCTGGCTGGTGCATCCCGAATATTGGTTTCGATCTCGGTCTCGGTATGTGCAGCGTGACCTTTGGGTTGTTGGTGCTCGTAGCCTGTGGAACTTTGAGGACGTACTGGAAGACTTTTGTAGAGTGGTGAAGGTCCGCGATTGAGGTTTCCAGGATTGATAGCATGTATCGAAGACATGGCTGTGGTTAGTGTAGGCGGCCAGAGAGATATCTTGACTGCAAAGAGCTGGAGGGAGAAAGAGACCGAGCAGCAACTTACATCCTTTAGAGCCATCTTCGTATAGTTCTACGGACCACAGACCGTGTTGGTGTGGGGCGTTCATCCAGCGTCTATGCAGTCTCCACGTCGAATCCTGGTGGTGATGTTGGGTTCATGCAGGTGTCGGCCAATTGAAGCCATCTTTAGGCGCCACTGGCCGTGGCTATGTCGGAAGTACATTATTGAGATGCCGATGTGTTGAGATGTTCTGCGTGGATGCGGCACGAGCATGCCAATCGGTGTCTTCTCTAGCCGCCAATGTTTGTTTCAGAAAGAGCAGACGTCCAAATCCAAGGCAGACGCTTCCAAGCACGCACAGACCCCTGCTTCTGCGCTAGCATTTGCGTAAGGTATCTTGGTACCTATCACTACATTTTTCTCAATTTCATCATAAAACACGTTCTATCAATTTGGAGWCATGTCTGTTGGCTTCCTCCGTCTCACCTCAGCGTGAGATCTATCTCTACAACGGTGGGTGCGTGAAGATTGTATGAAACGTGATGACTCGATTCTTGCTGGCCAGGATCCGATGATCCTAGAGCTCCCCAAAACTGATAACCTTCGGGCGCGTCACATTAACTCACTCCTATCCATCACGAAACAGTCTTCGCCAACATACAGTGCCAATACTGTAGTCAATACCGCTCAGAATGGCAATCATTCTTCCTATAGTGGGTGCCCGCGAACGTCCGTCTCCACTCACATGAGCTGATTCATGKACAGCTTACAGTCCTTTGGGCTTCATTCATGTACTACAGGGCGAATCTACTGCTCACTCTCTACTACAATGCACCCGCGCGGCTCGAGAGCATCAATAGAATCGGCAATTTCGAAATTCGCTTCACAGATTTAATCCGTAATTGCGAAGACATTTATCTAGATGAGAAAGATGGCTTTGCTTTGCTCAGCTGCGATCCAGGAAGAGACGAATGGAACACGGTCATGTATGTATACGACAAGACGCCCATTGATATATTCATTGATTGACCGCATTTCAGGGGAACATTTGTAAACTCGGTTTCACCTCCGGAGACTGGAATTTACATATACAAATACGCCGAGGATGGAGCCAGTCCCCAGCAGCTGACATTCTCTCCGCCCAAGGATGCGCCTTTCCATCCTCTCGGAATAGAGTACCACCCCGAAAGTCAGACTCTCTTCGTGATCAACCATGCTCCTCCTCAATCCACTATTGAGAGCTACCACGTAGACATCCAAAGCAATACCGCGGAGTTCCAAAAGGTCATCCATGACGCCCAGCTTCTCAACACGCCCAACTCCATCGCGGCGGTGAGCAACACTGAACTTTTCGTCACCAACGACCATTACTTCCGCGCAGTAGCCAACCCGCTACTCGCAAAGATCGAATCATACGCCGGCATACCGGGTGGCGGCGTGGCATGGGTCAAATACGACCGCGATCAAGTTCGATCCGAATCTCTGTTGCATCTGCCCTTTGCAAACGGAATCGCTCTCCTCAATGCCACAACACTTGCAGTATCCAGCTCTACCACTGCTTCTGTTCGCCTGTACAGCATCGACCGCTCAGAAGACGTTCCCAAGCTCAGTTCCCTTACATCTTTCACTGTTCCATTTTTACCAGACAACCTCAGTGTTGATGGAAATGGGAAGCTGCTCGTCGCCGGTCATCCGCATGCTCCCAGTCTTGAGATAGTCGCTCGTAATAATGGAGCTTGTTTGAAGGGTGGACAGGAGAGCGAGGAGGTTTGCAAGGCTCATCGTCTGAGTCGATTCGCGGAATGGACCGAGGAGGATGGTGTCAAGACGTTATATTCCGGCTCAGAGTTCGGCTCCTCGACGACAGCCGTGAGGGATGTTACCAGAGGCGTTGGTTTTGTAACTGGCCTTTACCAACGCGGGCTGTTGGTGTGGAAGGAGTAGTTCTTCTGCCTTTCGCCAACATCTGCAGGCTCGAATCTACTGTGGACAGCATCGCGCGTGCGCTGCACCTTGCGTTGCAAGTATCAAGCTGAGGGTATCACTCATTAGACATTATTACACACCTCATGCTGTGCAGATCCGTTGACCTAGAGCAACATCGACATGCCAGGTCTCACTTTCTCCTCTCCGCCGCACTTTTCTCCCTCTGCTCTCTTCCGGATTCTTGCTAGATGATGGAGATGTGACACCAAGTACGTTCAGATCATCGTCGAAGCTGAGGCCCATGACGAACTTCAAGAGAATCCCAATGACTTCGTCTCCGAGAAGTTGGTTCCGGAAAGAAAGCCAGTCTTGTGAGCCTCTGGCTCTCAATCTGCGTTGGCAGTTGCGTGTCCTGCGAGATGTCAATTTCGTCTTCTTCCATTTTGTGAGACTGCCCGTACCTCAACTGTGTTATTGTAGCGCTCATGATATCGCCGACGAGTAGATAGTCATGACTCTGCATTTCCCCAAAGAGATCGCAAAGCATCCATGCATCAGGTCTTGAACGATCGCAATCCCAGTATCCCTTTGCGGTATCTTGCAGGTGATCTAGGTAGTCCTCGCCGTCATCAATATCCATTTCACCGAGATTTGCTGGCAGTGTGTCAGAGGTACAACTCTACAGTCCGCTTACTGGTCAAACATACCATCGATTAGGAAGACAACCGAGAACAGGACCGCCGCCATGTGTATCCTCTCGTCTAGCGCATATGGGAAGCATTGACAGGCCAGGCCACTAATATCTGCCGTCAGGAATACCTGCTTCGCCTCCTCGGTCGTAAAGTCCCATTGTGCAAGGATGTAGGATTCCACTTGTTCCGATATGGTGTCTCGGAGGGGATGACTTTGTGTGACTCTCATCCTGTTAGCGCTCCCGCAGCTTTTTTCCTTGAAAGTTCTGTTGGAAGGCTGCGTGTATGGTATGGTGGTGTAAGAAATAGGAATGAACGGCCTAAAATCTGAAGAGAATGAAACTCGTCTGACTTACTCGCGGGCGCGACGGGCACTGAGGGTACTTTTTATCAGTCACTTGGATGTAGACCTTCATACCATACAGCTATTGGCGGTAGGGTAAAGTCTAGATCTTGCAAGGCGCACGCTCATTGGCTCGTGGCAAGGAGTGCCGTGGTGGCAGCGCATGGTCGCACCCAGGGAAGCGTGAATGCCAGCTGAAAAGGGCGTGTGGTGAACGATTCGAGTCTAGGCCAGTCACTCCCGCAGGCGCTATCATATTTCAATGAATCCTTCGCTTCAAAAGTCTGCGGCGGCTTAGCACTCGCGTGTTTGTCCGGTGCCATGTGGCATGACCGGTGAACCAATTTGCTCGATGATCGGGTCTCCCTACCTTAGCCTGTGCCTCTTGACTGCTGAAGCAGCCAACGTCCAGGGCAAGACGCAATGACGCAGATATCTCGACACGCCGGGGCTGGAAATTGAAGAGTAGGTACCACTTCTGGACCAGTCCGTGGCTGGTAGGCATGATATTCTGGTTGTGCTGTATGATGTTCAGTTCGGCCTAACTTTGTCAACCGAGCCGACGAAGAAACACCTGGGGTTCACTCAGGCCGGAGATTTGTGATGTCTGACTCTGGGAAGAACCGACCCCAGCGACCCGGAACGAGCCAGCACAACGACCAGGCTTGGAGCATTATTATTGAGTCTTGACAATGTCTACGTCAGAGAAGATGTGAGCGATTAAGCCGGCGTCACACCACGTTGACGTCGCCTGAGCCCTACCCAAACCCTAACCCTAATTTCGAGTGAGTGAATGCTCCCAGGGCTCGTTAACTCAATGTTCCGAGAAGATAGTGCTAATTATTCGCATCATGGATGACCAGAATATGATGGAACGAAGCTCGAGTAATTCGCGCGCTCGATTGACTAGTTACATGTGAGCTGCGCTGCCATGCATTGAGAGCTGAGCGCCGTCTTGGCAGTGTGCTGTCCCGATATAGCCGTGTCCTCCTTCCTCATCGTCGCATCCACATCACCTCCACAACGACATCGATTATCATCACCAGAACCACAAGGGCAAGCACGTTAGTGCAGCGTGTTTGGTGCCCAGGGTTCCGGAGGCTTTCATACATCCTCGTGTTTCGCCTCGCGTCCTCGTACGCGTTGAATGGACACAATTACACGAGAAGCGAACACCCAAGCATCAAACTGACACGAGGRATGCCACCATGATGGTCCGGCATACATCTAATGCATAGGCAACATTCCAGATCCGGAGGCAGCCTCTCGAAATGCGATCAGAACATTCGGACACCTCAACAGCATTCGTTCTGCCAGAGTCTGTTGAGACCCATATCGAATCTGTGTACAAATCAAACACGACGAATGAAGGTTTGGCGTTGAGGTGAGCATCTGAAGATGCACACTTCGATTTGCCGGCGCGACGAAACAATTGAACCCATGTCTTCCATTGCAAGGCGAACATGAGGACTTCCAATTGCTGCAACAGAGGCATTCCTAAGCCTCTGATCCTCGTCTCACGCAACGGTCTTGACACACCGCCTATTACGTGTAAGAACAAATACGAACCTCGCATCCGGGGCTATGGAGCTTCCGAGGAAGACTCGCACGGTAGAGGCTGACTTATTATGCCGTGATAGCGTAAGTTGGACCGAACGCAAGCCAGGCGTGATGGATGTGCATATATCACCGCACGCAATAGACGCTGGCCTGGACGGCAGAACCATCATCCGGAAAGACTCCTCTCTCACGCCCGCTCCTCTTGCAAAAGGTCCTCGGCGCAGCGTCGAGTCTCGATCGTACTTGATCGATCGCGTTGAGGACTTCTTGGACTCCAAGTTGCTGTTGTGGCGCCAGCTCCAGAGCCGTCTCATAAACGCCTACTACGTTGGACCAGGGCTAATCGATAAGCCACATGGTAAGCACTCGCGCCAACCTTTGATCAACTGGCGCCATAAACGATACAGCCAATTGCGGTTCGTAAAGCTGTCTCGGCTGCGTGCTTAAATACAAGGTTCGCACGCTTCCGCAGCGGAACTCATGGCAATACCCGTCGCCGTTTGAACTCACAAAGAAATCTCACTCTCTCAAGGCATTGGAGAAGAACATCTTCGAGATCTCTGGAGAGCCTGCGAGTGCCGATATATCCTGCGCTGATATTATTTGCCCAACGTTTCTGCACATTCGACAAGGGCTTACTTTCGAACGGACTTGAAGACCGAATCCTGAAATACTCACCTACCTCAAGATCTGACCGAGGCCTTCCCCGCGTCGATATGTACGCTAACACAACCTTTCTCCACTTGGCCCTGCAGGTCCCTCGGGTCCATTGAAGACATGGTCAAGGAATCTGGTAGGATAACGACATGCCGCGGCATTGCCAACATCGCCTTTCCGTTTTGGTAGCATCGCCGTCGTCGATTGCGCAAATGGTGCCGCTTCTGTCGATGTACTGAACCACATGGCTCGTATACGACGGAGACTAAGGTAGCCGATGGTTGCGTCAGAATAGATATGCAAGCAAGTACCTTTTTCCCCAAGCTCTCGCAGCTCTCTTGAATTTATCCCGTGTTTGGGAAGAGAATAATAGAAGCTCGAGAGAGAACTTCGTTTGACAAGATGAAGAGCTCCGTCGCCTGTGTGTCGTTTCTCCTCTCTCAGGCATGCGCATGGGAATGGCCTTTTCTGTCAGCTCGATCACCGAAACCGGATCCAGGACCGAGTGTTATCTATGGAGCGTGTAGCAACAATGGAGCGCTCGTGTGCAATGGCCCGGGACTGGTCGGGACATGCAACTATGGAAGTGTCGTCTATCATTCCGTTGCAGACGGAACGGTCTGTGAAGAGGGAAAGATCGTTCGTGGGGAGGACGCAGCTGCATCATGTGSGAAGGATGGCGAGCTAGTATGCCATGGCTCTCGAATGTTTGCCCTCTGCAAATCTGGCAAGATGGTCTATCAGACAGTCGCAGAAGGGACTTGGTGTCAGGATGGTCAGATTGTTGGGCACAGCCAACCGCACGCGAGCTACTACTCCGGCGTACCTCATGCAGTCGTTCCCCACTCAATGGTTCCTCACAGCACAATCCCACATTCTACCATTCCAACTAGCTATATGCAGCACTCGACCATTCCCACCAGCACGATCCAGCACTCGTACATGCCCACCTCGCACCCAACCAAGGCAGCCATTCAGCAGATCCCTGATGGTCAGATCCAGAAGCCAACTGGCAGAGTGTACAAGAGAGGAGAGGGACAAGYCATTGCCAATCCGGTAGCGAAGCCAATGGTTGTTGGTAGAAGATCGGCCGAGTCTCCCTCTGCGTACCCCGGTGGTGGCCCAACCGCCACGATCGATGCTGGTGTTGTGCACGGCACTACGACCTCCCTTCCTGCAGCTACGGCGACAGTGAACAAGTACTTGGGAATTCCGTTCGCAGCCAGTCCACCAGTCCGATTCTCACCGCCACAGAAACCTAACAGCTGGAGTACGCCAATCAACGCCACTGCTTTCAAGCCAGCATGCATTCAGCAGTTCATGTGTAAGCTGCCTCTACCTCTGGCATTGGTGGTACAACAGCTAATAATCATGCAGACCCGGAAGTTGCTTATAACTTCGCAAGAGCTATATTCAACAGCCCGACTCCAGCAGAGAGCGAGGACTGCCTTTACCTGAACGTGTACGCTCCATCGACGCCAGCGTCGTCCGAGGGCAGGAGTGTCCTTTTCTGGATCTATGGCGGCGCACTCGAATTCGGCAATGCTGGAAACCCCAACTATGACGGAAGCTTGCTCGCCGCATACCAAGATGTGATTGTGGTGACGGTCAACTACAGGACGAACGTCTTCGGATTTGCATCTAGTCCTGAGCTACCGCTTGATAAACAGAACTTGGGTTTCCTGGACCAACGTATGGGACTTGACTGGGTGCAACGCAACATCCGTGCTTTCGGCGGAAACCCCGACAAAGTCACGCTGTTTGGCGAGTCGGCCGGTGGTTTCTCCATTGATGCGTTATTGACTTCGTACGGCAAGCACAGTAGCCCACCTTTCCGCGGCGCCATTCTGGAATCTGGACAGATCTCTTACAGCGCCCGACCTGCACCGAGCAGTGCTCCGGCTTGGCTTCAGCTCAGTAGTGCTTTCGGTTGTCCAGGAAGATTCGACAGTAACATTACATGCCTACGTAATGCGAGTGCTACCGACATCCAAAGCTACATCAACAAGAACAGCTTGAAGTTCAACTTCGCTCGAGATAACGTCACGGCAGTGAGTGATCCGGCTCAGCGGAGACTCAATGGCGAAATTGCGAAGATTCCAGTCTTGGTTGGCTCAAACTCGCAGGAAGGCCGGTAAGTGAAGCATACATTGTTTCGTTGTTCATCAAGCTTACTTTACGTCAGCGTCTTCGAGGTTGGCCAGAATAGTAAGGAAGCGACCCGCACTTTTGTCGATAGAATCTCAGGAGGTGTAACTGCATATGGCGACCTCATCGAAGCAGCCTTCCCCCTCGGATCTCCTGGCATCAACACCCACTACGATCAAGTCTCCCAGATCTTCACCGAATATGTGTTCCAATGTACCGCCGCCAAGTATACCAATGACAGCGCCTCGGTGGGCATTCCAGCTTGGAGATACTACTTCAATGCCTCTTTCCCGGACACGCAAGCCTTCCCTAACCTCGGAGTTTTCCACGGTAGTGAGATCCCTCTCGTGTTCGGTACCTACCCTCGTACCAATGTGACTGTTCAGGAGTACTCATTGTCTACCGCGATGATGGGAATCTGGGCCCGCTTTGCAAAGAATCCGTCTGGCGGACCCGGCTGGCCTCCTGTCTCTGCTGGCGCTGCTAGTACCGTGCTTGTGGGCGCAGAAGATGTTGGAATGGGAGGAACATATATTGATGAATACGGTATGAGCGTGGGGGGCTCTTACAACCTCGCCGTGCTCGGCAACAGGCACAATGAGCTGAGCTCTGGTGTGACGATCATCGACCAACAAGAGGTTGACCATCGGTGCGGGATATTCGAGCCAACTTACCAGGCTATAATCGCGATGGACAGGGGTTTCTGATAGAAAGACACGAGACATGATAATTTGGGCATGAGGCATGTCGAGGCGCAGGAAAAGGCGCTTTGGATGAAATTATGATAAAACGATATGCCATACAGCTATGAAAACAGTTGGTAACCAATCATTCCTTGCTTCATTGCCTGGGAGTAAACATTACATTGCGTCGCGTCGCGTCGAGGAGCCGCATCTCTCATGCTTCCTTCTTCTCACTTCTCACACCAACCCCAAACACGAAAAGCAATCTAATAAAGCCGACTGCACTGTTAATACCAATATTGCTCCACTCCTCGCTCCGCCAGGTGTCCGTGTCCATTCTGCCTGTATTACTCAGCGCCCTGGCAAAAGCTAGTACCATGKCCACGTCTACGACAAGCATCCCTGCTTGCAGGATCTTCCACACTCCCAAATCATGAGGGCGAGCACGTAGCAGAATGGCCTGCAAGAAGGCTAAGAACAAGAAGAATCCCACGAGAGCGTCAAGCAGTAGACGCGTCTCAGTTGAGGGAGGCATGATTGGAATGGTGGAATAGTTTGGCAGAATCGATGAGGGAGAAGTGTGCACTGTGCAAGGGAATCAGTATGGATTCTCCTCTCGTGTGAAGAATGGCATGGTTGAGACCTACTAATGGCTCCAAATATCGAAAGGATAGGATCGATGATAGTAAAGAAGACGCGATAGAAACCCGGGATTGTGTCGAAGGAGGCGATGGGAGTGGATTCGGTATATCGTGCAAACTTGACTCTTCGTTTCCGCCATGCCTTTCTCTTCGCACGACGACCGCTGGAGTCGGCAATGTAGATTCTGAGGCACATGGTTTGATGTGTGACTTGGATGTGTTGTTGTACTTACCTTGGACTACTGCTGTTGAAGCTGCTCTTTGGGAACGTGCTCTAGCGCGAGCATGTTACGCTTTTCGGGTTGCCGAGCTGTTCGGCCAGTGGAGAAGTGCGGAGGTTGCGTGAAAGGGGAAGTTTGTGCCTCAGGCGTCAAATCTTGAATTAGTCATCAGGGTTCACTCTTTTCCAATCTCTAAAAACGTCACTACCTGTACCTTAACAACATTGTCAAGTGCAGCTGCGTATGTACTTTGAACGGTGGAGGACGGAAGCCGATCCTTTATGCACTTCAACTCAGGCGTCTCGCGTCTGAGATTCTCGTTTTTGACAGTGGCGTTCTTGGGCTCGTTACCTTGTTGCCTAACCTTGTTCCTTGAAACTGTCGKAGGACTGCTGCCTTGATATATGTGAGTGAAGAGGTCTTGCTCATAATTTCGTTGCAAGAACAAACCATCTCAATCTAGCTACCCATATCGATGTCAATATCAGTTGTCATCGTCGAGACTCTGACAGCCGCGGTCTCCATCGTTGCCTGCAAAGCAATGCGACTTTTGGCCGGCGCCAAATTTGTCCAGGAGCATGGATTTTTCTAACTGCCTTGGTGGTGTGCACAACAAAACTCAACTTGGCTGAAGTTGTCTAATTGGAGAAAAATGAGGTCGTGTAAGTACAGCCCGCTCAATCGTCCACACCCTTGCCACATTATGCATACATGCATGCAAGCGAACAAAAGCCTCCCGCCAAGGAACGCCCTAAATACCACCTCGCCCTCGAGCAACCGGGGTTGTACGAGGTGACCCACTTCATCCTCTCAGCCTCAAAAGACATCCAGCAGAGCTGTTCTTCGCAACCACCATGACCGCTCATCATGGCCACGCTTTCCTCTACCGGGGCCGACTGGATCGGCCAACGCTTCGGTCACGCCATCAACGGCATACTCGGCGCAACAGCATTCCTTCTGATTGACTGGCTTCTTCCTCGCTGGATGAAATACATTTACAYCACGTATTACTATGTGAATCGTGCAAATTCCGTTGACCGTCAACTGGAAGCAAATTTCTGCTCTGCAAAGACACGACTGGCGTTCTACATACTGCCTTCAATAGGCCTCGCAGTGATTCGAATATGGCTGATGCCGCCGGGACGGGAAATCCTGTTCCATCATGGTATCGTTGGATATGCATATCATTCCGGAATCGCTACCATTCAGTATATGACCAGCGATGGTACGCCAGATGAAAAGAGACTCGACATGTTTGCACGTCGGGATGCTGCAATCTGTTTCTTCTTCACAGCTTACTCTTTGGTCAATCGCTGGTGGGTGTGGCATCTTGTTTGCGTAACTATTGTGCGAGTTTTCCTACCTATGATGTGTCTGTCAGGCGGAATGTGGATACTTTGGGACCGTCTACCGGAAGCTGTTCGTAGCACACCAGCATGGCTGGTTCCCAATGCTGTGTATCTCTTCTTCGATGCTTGGGACCTCTGTGACAAGATAGAGGCTCACCTTGTCGAGAGATATCCCAAATGGCTACAGTACAAACTTCATCGATTCCAGCAAAAGAGGCGGAAGAATGTCCCAGAATACGTCTATTCGCCTCTGCAACCAGGCGAGATCCGACTGTTGAGATTAAGGAGAACGTGTTGGTGGCTGCCCGGATCAATCGAAGCAGACCTGGTCCACGTGTCGATGTATCCATCACCAGAATACGAGGCCGTCTCTTACCGCTGGGGATCTTCGGAACGCACAGAGTCGATTGTTCTCAATGGAACCACCTTCCCCATCACGAGATCAGCATACGACTTGCTCATGGCTCGCAGAAGCGTATGGCGACCAAGAACCGTTTGGATCGATGCGATCTGTATCAACCAGTCAGACAACACAGAGAAAGCCGCCCAAGTGCAGCTCATGAGAGACATCTATCATCGCGCCTACAGAGTCGTGATCTTTACCGGAGGAGACTGGACTGCAAGACTAGCTGCTGTGCTTCTCTACGAGACACTTGCTGCCACATATCAATTCGATGAATCCGAGTTGAATCTGAACAAGCTTACGAACCGAGAGCGGTCAACGACGAAATGGAAAGCCTTGAAACAACTCATATTGAACGACTACTTCACCCGAGCCTGGGTTGTGCAAGAAGTCGCCGTTGGACAGAAAGTAGAGCTCTATTACGGCGGACTCTATATCGATTGGAGCGCCTTCTTACATCTTGCGATGCATCTCGCACATCCTCACCGCCGCGAGATGCTGACGTTGGGAGACGAAAAAGACCGTGCTTACTTGGGCACTGCTTGTTTGGAGAATATAGCGATCATGTCATTTCTACGACCGGATTCTGCTGAGTTCGGCGATGATCTCTCCAAGCGGAATGGCCTTGATGCGGTTCTGTTTTCTACTTTTACTTTCCGCGCAACGGATCCGCGAGACAAGGTCTTTGCCGTGCTTGGGATTGCGAGATATGACGATCCCGAAGATCTCTTAATGCCCAACTACTCGAAATCAATGGAACAGGTGCATCGCGATACGATAGAGCATCTTTTCTTTCATAGCGAACAGCCGTCCATCCACATGCTAGCGCTGGCAGGGACTGGAGTTTCCAGTAAACGTCTCGCAATGCCTTCCTGGGTGCCAGATCTGAACCAGGAGTACCTTTGGTTTCCATATGGCCACTTCATTGGTTTGGAGGGAAAGTTCCAAGCGTCTGGCGAAAGTCAACCGGAGTTCCAGAGAGGCGAGATTCCAGGTTCGCTGTCGATCAAAGGCATCATTTGTGATACTGTCGCATTCTTGGGTATTACCACTGTGAATGAGGGCGAAATTCAACCGCGTGGACAGCAAGATGCTCTCCATGTGACGCGCCGGAAATATACGATTGTTACAGACACCGTAGCGTCCATTCGGAAGCACAAGAATATGTGGCCCGATGAAGTCAATGTTGTCGAAACGGAGCTCTGGCTTGCACTGCTAGCAGGACGCATCAATCGGAAGCGGCCGTTGCAGCACCATGATTGGCAGAGAGTTTTCCGGCACTGGGTCGGCATCCTGGAGAAGCTTGAGAGAACAGAAGGCCGATCTCCCCAATCAATCTTCGACCAGATTGATCCAGAGGATGAGGGCTCAGATGTTGAAGAAGGCGATATAGTCACCTACGACTGCGCCCTGGAAGGTTGCTATGGCAGACGGTTCGCGATAACAAAGCACGGGAGGATTTGCTGGGTACCTCCGTACGCTGAGACTGGCGATGTCGTCTTCATTCCGCTCGGTGCTCAGACACCCTTCTTGGTGCGAGCCAAGAGCAAAACGGATGATCATGATGTGTATGAGCTCGTAGGAGAGTCATATATCCAGGGCATAATGTGGGGAGAGTTGATGGAAACCGAGCATCCAGAGTCTGTCATCACGCTCATTTGAGAGCTCTTCATCCCATAAAGTCGGTACCGACAAATCCCAACGACGTTCAGCCGCTCATGAGAGGGTCGGTCTCCGTTGGCGATCCCCGTTCACGGTCTGGTAGACGATCTTCAGTCGCATTCCGATAGAGCACAAAGTGCTGCAGCATGAATACAATATCTGCAAGTAGAGAAATGTTGGAGAGTCCAAGCTTCACTGGATTGCCATACAAGCCCGACCAGTCCGCTTGTAGAGAACAGTCGATGATTAGCTGGGCAAAGCTGAATATGCTTCCGCCCATATCTAAAAGGATTTGAATGATCGACCACCCCGCTGTGGACTCACGACGGTGATTTGAGATGATCTGGGGTATGTATTTGAACACAGTGACACCTAGCTTGACGTATGTCAGAGCGTAGATCTGTTGAGCTTTTAGTAGTGGCCGATTCCAAATACGCTGACGTGCCTTACGACATCGATCCATTCCCATTCGTGTCCACCGGTGTCCATACTTTCCTGGCTGACGAGAACCATGATGGCGGAACATGCGATGGTGAGAAAGCTTGCGCACACGATGCTCCAGGTGACGATATTTGCACGCCTGTTTGTCGAGTGCTTGAACCCCCAGAGTGGAGGCCAGAATTGCGAGACTGAAATGGCACAGAACACGACCGCATTGATTCCGAAGCAGAGATCGTTGAACTGAACTGTTGGTTCCGGACTGGCTGGATGCCGTGCTGCATACTGTTCTCTGATGGTAGGCGAGTACAGAAAAACAGCAGTCCCAATCGTCTAGGATACCGTCAGTAGGATGTAAAAGGTTCGAAAGAGCCTGCGTACGTAGCAGATAAATCCYAAGGTGTTGAGAAGGGGAAAATCGAAGGCGAGGCCGTTGGTCGATCGATTTTTGATGTTCAGTAGTGGCTGCGGATAGAACGAGAGAGACCATAAGACGAAGTAGACCCAGCCACACAGCTGAGAGAGCCCATGCCAAAGGTCACCCATACTGAGTAGAATGAGACTGACAGAAACTGGTGATGATGTTGCTACCAACTTACCTCACATGGAATATATACCAAGATTTCGGAGAGCATGTAGTGGTCGGAGTGAATGTTCGGAGTTGGTCAGTCCGTCCATTCCGGCGCTAGTGAGAACAGTCAGCGGCGCAGCTTTCGATTGAACCTCATCCTCAACATCATGCTCTCGTTCACACGATAAGAATAGCCGTGAAAACGAAGCACACGAATGTGAGGATCTCGGCCACATTGCATTGTCCACATGACGACACATTCGGAAGAACCGATAGGATGGAGATGAAGGTAGGCATTGCTGCTTCTCCTAGCAAGACGTCTCGTCCGGCCGATGTGAATCTATTCTGGAGAGAGAAATATCCTCAGCAGACTTGGTCCTTGCGCCGGATCTCCTGGCGMACGTCGTTCGACCTCAGGGCACGAATCTAAGGGCCATCTGCTTCGGACGCCCACGCAGCTATCCTTTACCAAACGGAATGCCTGTGGCAGATGGGACCAGTCTGCGCAACTCGGGGCGCGCCTTCTACGCGATCAAACGTTCAGAGGAGTCGTCGACTGCCAGAAGTGTAGAATCACTCTCGATAAGGTATGACGCACCGTTGCTGAACATGACATCTTGCGTCGACAGAAGAGACAAAGGCATGAGCATAGGGGGTTGCGAAAGTTTGCACACTTTCCAGGAGTCTTTGTATTGATTGATACAGATGACGGTCCATACAGAAACAGCCTACTTGGCAGAACGACGAAAAGCTCACTGACGACTATCGTGGTCGCGGGACAGTCAGCATGATCAGCGCAGAGCCGCGGGACTATAGCTGTATATTAGAATAGTTTTAGGCGGCATCACAGCGGCACACCAACCCACAGATGATGATTCAACGAAATTGCACAGCGTGTCCTTGCATCGAGAGTTGCGTGTATTCATAATGACCAAAGGCCTACTTTCTCCACTACAAAACAAGCGTCAAGATGCTCATGGGGACTCTGTGGGTTTGAGAGTCGCGAGAAGGAAAGAGACGCTATTGCAGTGAGGTAGGTCGCGCTCATGTTCGTCATACTAGCGGCGCAGCTAAATTCGTCTCCTCTTCCCACCAGCCCCTGAACTCTCTTAACCTCTTCGTTCGTTCCCTTGCCAGCAACCTCCCCGTTTCAGTCTTCATCATCCCCTCAATCTTCTCCAACTTCTCCTCAAAATGCTCAATACTTCCCGTCAATCCCCTTCCCTTGTCTTTGACGGCCCCAAAAGCAAATACCCTGCCAATCCCCACAGCGCCAATAGCATCCAATCGATCCGCGTCCTGCACAACAGCCAACTCCGGATGCGCTCCAATAATAGCCTTGACGAATTGCGGCCGTTTTGTCTCATTTGTATAACTCACATTCTCCACAATCAACGCCACTTTGGCCACAAATCGCGGCGGACAGCCATTTTTACTCAATAGATCCGAGACCATTTGCTCGGCGTTCTCGCCCGGGATGATGTATTTCTTGTCCCCGACGTCGTGAAGTAGCGCCGCAAGCAATATGGCTTGCTTGTGGAATTTCTTCGCAGGATAGAGTTTGAGTTCTTCAGAGAGGATGTGTTTTGCCAGGTTCAATACGCGGAGGATGTGGTTGAAATCATGGGAACAGTCGTAGCGGGACATGTAGTCTTCCACGAAAGCGTAGACATTTTTGAAGAGGGATGAGGTCTCGAAGTCGTGTTTGGGTGTGTCTGGGCTTGTGATGTCGATATTTCCTGATTGGGTTTCTTGCAGAGAGAAATCCACGATGTCGATGGGAGTTGTGGGTCCTTCGTTCATTGTGAGGGCTTGTGATGATTGAGGATGGATGAGAGTGACTGGTTCTTGCAGAGTTTCTCAAAAGAACCTCTACTTATGCCTCGATGATGCTTTCAACCAGATTACGGCGAAGTTTTGTAGCAAACGCCCTTTCCGCATTCCGTTGTTTTTTGATCAGGCCGCTTCCGAACGGTCTTACGCGCGGCAGAACTGCGGGTGCGGGAAGCGCGGGAAGCCCGGTCAGCGCGTGAGAGAGAGCTTCCGACGTCGTCGTGGATTCGCCAGGCATTTGAACATCCAAACAGCTCCATCATCACCAGACACTTCGCCACGACGCATCACCTCTATCGACCACCAATCAAACATCTCCTGGCTCCCACCCCCTCACACTAGAATTCCACGATGCCGGCGACAACGGCGGAGACGCTCAGCATCGTCAATCGGACGGTTTCCGTGGCGCCGCTTGTCCTCCTCGCCGCAGCAGATCACTACGGTCGCTCCGCCAAGGGAACGCGGAAACGAGTAGTCGGTATTGTCTTGGGACAGAATGATGGCAAGAGCGTGCGGGTGTCAAACTGCTTTGGAGGTATGCGATGGGTTGATGATGCGAGATGCAATGATGTTGGGTGAGGGAAGCTAATCTTCCAACAGTACCCTTCGAGGAGGATGAAAAGGATCCATCAGTATGGTTTCTGGATCACAACTATGTTGAGGCGATGAACGACATGTTCAAGAAGGTCAATGCAAAGGAGAAGCTGATTGGATGGTATCACTCGGGCCCCAAGCTGCGCGCAAGCGATCTGGAGATCAACGAGCTATTCAAGCGCTACATTCCCAACCCACTGCTCATCATTCTTGATGTGCAGCCAAAGGAGGTCGGCGTGCCCACGGATGCATACTTTGCGGTGGAGGAGATCAAGGATGTAAGCCATGAGCATGCGAGGGATGGATATAGACAGACCACTAATGACTTCCTCCCAGGATGGCACAACTACCTCAAGGACCTTTGTACACACACCCAGTCTGATCGAGGCAGAAGAGGCGGAAGAGATTGGTGTTGAGCACCTTCTCAGAGACATCCGCGACGTCGCCGTTGGCACACTCAGCTCACGCATCACAAACCAGCTCGAATCGCTGCAAGGCCTGCATATGCGCCTGCAGGATATTGGCAAGTACCTGCAGAAAGTCCTCGACGGCGATCTTCCTGTCAACCACGCCATCCTCGCAAATCTTCAAGACGTATTCAACCTTCTCCCCAACCTCACCACACCCGCACCCAATAGCAAGGACCTATCAACACTCAACGGAATCGTCAATGGTTCTGTAGGCCTTCTCGGTGGCAGCTCTGAGAACTCTGATCTTTCGAGAGGAATGAGTGTCAAGACCAACGWTGAGCTCATGTCCGTCTACCTCTCCAACTTAATACGATCTATCAACGCCTTCCACGAATTGATCGACAACAAAATCCAGAACAAGAGGCAGCAAGAGGAAGAGGATTCCAAGAAGGACGACGACAAGAAGGACAAAGACGTCAAGAAGGATGACAAGGCGCAAGTCAACGGCACATCAGAGAAGGAGAGCAAGGATGATGAGAAGAGCAAGAAGAAGTGACGAGGCGGATGGCATGTATCTGAAGAAAAGACATCGTGCATCGGCATGGGCAGGCGTCCGGAGCATTCGCCCGATGTGGGTTTGGCGTGGCGTTCTGGTTCGATCCAGCCAGAGGATGAATACCTGGCCGTTGTCAAGTATGTATATTACGAGCTCGCAGTCAGAAGAGTCGCCCAGTATGCGCGAATGGCTGTGAGGATAGAAAACGATTCATCCACCTCAACCTGCCAAACCTTTCAGGCAGCATATTGACGATCACGAGGACAAAGCGCAGATCTCCTGACTTGAGTCGCTAAGACGCAGAGTAACACGCCAGCCGGACATGTCTCGCGTATCGCTGACCTCGGCCCTGCTTTCGAATGCTGCAAATGGTCGCATACCCCGGTCACACGGCCCCTGATGGTGGCTGCATCTGATCTGTAGCTCATGTCAGCAGTGCAACCTCAATGGTCATGCAGATAAGACTGTACCGATGGGCATTGTTGTCTGCCATCTAACTTTAGATGGGCGTTGCTTTGGCAGCCTGATTACACCGCGCCACTGGCGGAACCACGCTGCAAGCTGCAATGCACTCTCGCAACCACCTTTATGAGTTGGGTGGCTGCATGATAGGCACCATTACCTTCAAACCATTGCCTTCAATCTCCCCATCCAGCAGCCCATCCCGCCAACTCCTCCCTTGAAATCTCCTTTTCTTCAGCAAAATGGCCAAATCCTTTACAGTGCTCGACCAGAATGCAAGCGAGAAGATGCTTGCAAACAGCCAAATCACTCCCTTTGGTTAGTCCACCAAATAACATTGGTTCCTTTGGGCATGCGCTGTTCTCTGTCTCAGTAGACGCCTGCGCAGGGAACGCGGAGAAGGTGAATGCCGGACATGAACAGCTCCATGCGACTAGTCTCACTTCATAATAATTGACCTTTTCGACCGTTCCGTGGCGGGTGTGATGTTGTTGAGCGGAGCGCACAAGATAGAGCGTTGATGTATTCCTGTCTGAGACTTTGAGCCGGGTGACGAGGCCGCGATCTAGACAGTCCAGCGCTGGGAGGAGTTCCTTCTCAAGTAGGGCGTAGAGGGTTAGGAAGAGGTTTTTATCTGAAAGTTGGAGGGATTTGAGGGGATTCTGGGTGTTGGCAGAGTTTGTGGAAGTTGAGATTGAAGTAATGAGTGATGCTATGAGATGGCGAGGGTTGCTCAGATTGGAGATGCTCTCTCGTATGTGGGTAGATTCCATGTTGATGGCGTTCTTAGCACTTGCATCGTTGTTGACGATGAAATAATAGAGAGAGATGAGCTTTGACGGTAACTTTGGAAGCGAAACTTTAAACCTTTAGGCCTGCATTATGATTCTTGAACAGGCGTGTGAAGGATGTCGGTCTGGTAACAGTTTGTCAACTATGTGAGGTCGAGTACGCACGAAGGGATCTGGTCAACATCAGGGCACTCAAATCGATGGCATCACCTCAGATGATCTCAAACGCACCTCGGTCCGTCGTCACCAGGTTGTGCAACATCCTGCAAAGGCCGCCGTATGACGCTGTCAGGTACCTACAAGTACCGTCCGTCCCTTTGCTCAGCCACAGCCTCTACAGCACACACCGCTCATTCACGATACAAAGTAGTAGACAGTAGTCAAGTACCGAAACGAGGACGTGATGTCGGCATTAGGGAGATGCGTCGACGCCAAACTACTGTGCTGTGTAGTGTGCTCGGGCTCGGGCGCCTAGAGGGGGGCGATAACGATAAGAAACTCTATCGCAATGCGTGGGATGGAATCATGCGAATGGATGGGATGGAATGATCGACTGGTAGCATGAAACGCATCACGATGCACACCTCGTGCGCTCGCAGTAGCTCGACCGCTCTTTGCGCTCGAACCTAAGACATCAATCACATGCAAATATCGGAGACGGCCGGGGCCACCACACACCGATCACCGGATGATGAAAGTGGATGATGTGGTCACGCACATGCCACAGCCAATGTCAATGCCAATGCGACGTCCCCAAGTGTGGGGGATGGCAGGTCAGGTAGCCGCCGCGAGATGTTCGGCTCCGTCAGACCGCCCACGGCTGGCCGCTGGCGACGATGAGGCGAGCAAGATACGGAGCTCGCATCAACCAACGCCCACACTATTGTCCTCGTCGTCTCAGAGGTGGAACTTCGGTTAGCGCGGGCTTAGGTCTCCTTTGTCCAATGCTGGCCCGAATGGGCGATGAGCACCGCTCACCGGCTGGAAGCTGGACGGGCGTGGGTCCAATGGTGGAGGAGCTGGCAGCTTGTTGTCTTGGGTGGCGCAGGATTGCTGATTTGCAACGCGGCACCACTCCAGGAAGGGCATTTGCGTGAGTGGAGATGTGTGCTGCTGGCTGACGCCCAGCAATTCAGATTGATCACCGTCCTTCCAGAATCGCGTGGACGACAATCTGCAGGTGTTGGATTCATAATACAATGCAGCTCGCGGCGTCGGGGATAAGGTAGCAGTCTTGTACATTGGGGAAAATGGGACGGGAAAGTGTAATTGGCGACGGGCACCAGGGTCTCCGATCGGCGCTAATGCCCGCGCGCTGGTGGCTAAAGTAGGTAATCGTCGTCGGTGGACAACATCGCGTGAGTCACGCTCCTCTCACAAACCACATCGCATCCCATCCAATGGCCGCCGGATTCCGAACAGCTGCTGCAATGGCGCAGGCCAATGGTAATGGTGTGCAGCTAGAGAGCTGTGCACGCGCTTCGGGCGGGCGACTACGAGCAGCACCAGCACACACCCCGTCTCGTCGCGTCTCGTCTCGTTCGCCCGCCCGCTCGCTCGCCCTGGTCATGCGCACTGCGACCGATGCCTGGCCGCTCTTTCTGGCTGCCCTGTTTGCCGCGCCCGGATGATCATTGATTGATGTGAGTGTGATGATTGATGGATGGAGGTGAGGTAATCAGGAATCTGAATCATCGAGCAGCTGCCGCCTGTCCAAAAGGCTGCATGTCTCGCTCCCGTAACATTCATTCTTTATGCGAGCAGGTACCGTGGTCTCAGCCGCCGACTTGTCCTCAAGATCCTCCGGATTCCACGGTCATCCGCCACTTTCTTGCACCTATATTATATGACTCGCTCTCTGCCACTCCTCTCTAGACCACTTTTTGCCAATACATACCTCGTCACAGCGCGGACTTAGTCGGCTTTGCTTGCGTTCACGCCCCCACTACTTTAGGCATACAACAATCCACCCCGGCTGAACAACAGGCTTCGCCACGTACGCGTGCGACGGCATACTTGGATTACTTGAGAGCATTTCCTCGCCACCTGCAACAACACTCTCGCCGGCCGGCTACATTGACGGACGCATTGCATATCAGACTACCAACTCAACTACAAGCCGACGAGACGATCATGGAGGCAGCAACAAAGCAAGAGAAAAGCAAACTAYACCAGCCACACATCAACCAGGCCCACCTCTTGACGCCTGAGTCTCCRCTGTTGGACAGTTTTTCGCAGACCGTCCCAATCTCACAACAAGCACAGGCATCCGTGCCATCGCCGCCAGCATCACCGCAGTTCGACCATCGATTCCAGAAAGACTACGACCAGCAACTTTACCCAGACAGCGGCAGTCAGAACGATACAACTCTTCCCCCTCTCTTCAACGAGAACGGACAGAACATATGGGCTGGTCGTCAGCAGACACCGCCAACGGAGAGGGCATTGTCGATTGCAACCCCCCCTTCTGCCCACACCAGCCCGATTGCCAACGACGTACAGACATCCCGTCCTACTGAGCAGAGTCCGGCTCCAAAGCGGTTTGTGAATCCCGTCGGAGCGGTACAACTATACAATCACTACGGCAATGAATACTACCAATTCATGCTCGCACAAATGGAAGACCACAGAGCACGACGGACATTGCCCGCCCCGAAAGCACCACAAGGCGTAGACCGGGACTCTTATGACAAGACGGTTCTTCGCTCGCTTGGTAGTCACCGAGTGGAGAAGCACAGACCAACCACTCGCACTGCTCCCAAGCCCAAAGCCGTCCGACCCACATCGTCCCGAGGAGTTGTTGCACCCAAGTCTCCCGTTATTGTTGAGCAAGTTCGGCCAGTCTCTGTCAAGAGGGAACGCACACCCGCCAGACGAAATATCAGAAGAACAACGACCCCGGACGCAACAGGCGGTGCAATGTCTGCAGCTTCCAAACGCACACGAGCGGCACCCACCAAGAAGCTAGACGGCAAAGTCCCTGCCCAATGGGCCGAGCTCGAGGACTTTAGCCCACCCATTTCCACTCTCGACAACGATGGGGTCGAGCTGTCCGTCGTCTGGAACAATGCCAGTGCGTTGAACCTTGACAACGATCCCGACAGAGCACATCTTCACCCACAAGAGCTGAAGATTGCTTCCAAGCTACGGCTTCACTGCAACGAATACCTYCTCAATAAACGACGAATCTTCGCCGCGAAGCTCCGGTCTCTGCAGACCAACACTCCGGTCTTCAACAAGACATCGGCACAAAACTCTACGAGTGTTGACGTCAACAAGGCGAGCCGTCTTTGGTCAGCATTTGAGGGAGCAGGCTGGTTCGATCCCGTCTGGTTTGAGAAGTGGATGTGAGCGTGACTCATCTATTCACTCATCGTGATGTCTCTTCTTTCTTTTTTTGATTACGATATTTCGACAACGACCCTTGGCCTCGGAGTCACCGGCACGCCATCCAACGCATCAAGAACGATCACTTAGCATGCGCGCCACTTTGCATATTTGATTTTGGAGTTGGGCTGGATTTAGCGACTGATCATTACGACATGAACGATGCATATCATCATCATGGCACAGGCATGTATGWCATGKATATGATTTTGATGAGGCTTGTGCGGAAGGACTGGACTGCATGCTTGATAATTGGGATAAGCACTGGCGCATTGGTTTTAGATACCCCCTCTCACAGACAGATGAATGCATGTTTGCATCAATGAATACTTGTTGACTTTCACATACTCTTCCACTTGCTGTATGTTGCATGTTGTGTGAGGTGTAGGTAGTCTGTAGCCACTCGCTTCCACCAAATCCTGACTTTTGAGCGTGTGGAACGTGCCCATTGGAATTCGTCGCAATCCCTGGAGCCCTGACTCTGGTTCGTAGCATGTGAAAGCTCCGTCGAGTGCCCAAGCACCTGCAGTTACATGTAGGTACGTGCAACGAGAGGATGTGTCGATGGACAGGCACATGAAGATCCGCCTGCAAGATGTGATATATTTGCCAACATGAAAACTCCATCGTGCAAGTTATACAACAATACATGCCTTCACATGTAAGGAAGACGTCGGATCGTTTGCGGTGGCACGGTCCTCCTCGCGTCGCTGCGGATCGCCAACTCCAACGTGTCCTCGTCCCTGAAAAATGTACCAAAACGGCAAGGCGCGCTCTTCTTCCAGCTGGAAATAGAGCTGGAGTACGCACCCGCTCTAGGTGGCCGAGATACCTTACTGCTCATTAATTCTCGTGCTGCAGAACGCTTCCTTTTCTTAGGGGCAGCAGCGTATTCACTCCTTCCGACTTTGGACGTGTCTATGCTTCTTCGGCTTCCATCATCTTCTTCTCCCCACACCTTTTAGATAGACTTTTGATTAATTGACTTTTGGACGAGGCCAGGGACCAGGCTGAGATCCCAGACAACCTTCACGACCACTCATCATGGCCGCTTCCAACGCGACGACGACGGGCGCGGATACCCAGGGCGATTTACGGAAGCGGAATGTGCAGCAAGGTCTGCAAGCGGGACGAGAGGCTGGCGAGCAGCTCGCAGAGAAGACGAAGCAAAAGGTGCGTGGCATTCTGGACGCGGCTGAAGATGGACATCGTACACCTGTCACAAAGTTGATTATAGACGGATGCTGACGGCGATCCAACCACAGTCTTCATCTTTCCTCCAGATCCTCGACGATTATGAATTCCTCATCGCACCCATCATCTTCACCGCGCTTGCCTTCTTCACGCGCATGTGGAAGATTGGCCTTTCCCCAATTGTCACCTGGGACGAGGCGCACTTCGGCAAATTCGGATCCCACTACCTCAAGCGCGAGTTCTACTTCGATGTTCACCCACCGCTCGGAAAGATGCTGGTCGGCCTCTCCGGATACCTCGCGGGATACAATGGCTCCTTTGAATTCAAGAGCGGAGAGACGTACCCCGAAGAGCTCGACTACACCTTCATGCGCGTTTTCAATGCTGCCTTTGGTGCTTTGTGCATTCCGCTGGCCTACTTCACCGCAAAGGAGCTGCACTTCAAGAAGCCCACCGTGTGGCTTGTTACGATGATGGTGCTCTTCGAGAACAGCTACACTACCATCAGCCGCTTCATCCTGCTGGACAGCATGCTTCTCTTCTTCACTTTTACCACCGTTTTCTGCTGGGCCAAGTTTCACAATCAGCGCCATGACCCGTTCTCTCCAGAGTGGGGCCTGTGGCTCTTCATGACTGGACTTTCCATTGGTTGCGTATGCAGTGTCAAGTGGGTGGGAATGTTCGGCACTGCATTGGTTGGTCTGTACACCATTGAGGACCTGTGGAACAAGTTTGGCGACCTCAAGATGCCCAAGACCGAACTCGCAGCACATGTCAGCTTCCGTGTCGTTGGGCTTATCGTCATCCCACTCATCGTCTACATGTTTTCCTTTTGGATGCACTTCCTCATCCTCGAGAATAGCGGCCCTGGCGATGCGCAGATGTCATCGCTCTTCCAGGCCAACCTCCGTGGAACCGAAGTCGGCAAGGACAGTCCGTTGGAGATCGCCATGGGGTCCCGTGCAACACTTAAGAACATGGGATACGGTGGCGGACTCCTCCATTCCCACGTTCAGACATATCCCGAAGGCTCCCAGCAGCAGCAAATCACTTGCTACCACCACAAGGATGCCAACAACGATTGGTTCTTCTACCCCAACAGACACGACGGGGAGTTCGACCCTGCCGCTGATCTCAAATACGTCGGAAACGGCGATGTCATTCGTTTAATTCACGCCCAGACCGGTCGCAACCTCCACTCTCACCAAGTCGCTGCTCCTGTCACCAAGTCTGACTGGGAAGTGTCTTGTTATGGCAACACTACAGTTGGCGATACCAAGGACCACTGGCAGGTCGAGGTCGTCAATGATGCAGCATCCAACGACTACTCCAAGCTCCGTACTTTGACTACGGCATTCCGTTTGAAGCACGTTGATCTTGGCTGCTACCTCCGCGCTGGCAACGTCAACTTGCCACAATGGGGTTTCAAGCAGATCGAGACTACCTGTGTGAAGGCTAACCGGCCTCGAGACGTTTACACCCACTGGAACGTCGAGTCGCACACGAACGAGAGACGTGAGTCGATCCAAATGTCACCCCTGTTGAATAATACTGACATTTTCCAGTTCCACCAAGCGCTCCGGGCGCATATAAATCTCCATTCCTCCGTGACTTTGTTCACCTCAACGTGGCCATGATGACTTCCAACAACGCACTCGTTCCAGACCCAGACAAGCAAGACGACCTCGCGTCCAAGCCATGGCAATGGCCACTGCTCAACGTCGGCCTTCGCATGTGCGGATGGGACGACAACATTGTCAAGTACTTCCTTCTTGGAAACCCCGCGGTTTACTGGGGTTCGACCTTTTCCGTCGCCTTCCTCCTCGGCATGATTGGCTGGTACGCCATTCGCTGGCAGCGTGGGTATGATGAGCTCACTTGGGCACAAATCGACCAGTTTCACTACGCGGGATTGTACCCCTTGATTGGATGGTTCTTGCACTACATGCCGTTCATCGCCATGGCACGAGTGACATATGTGCATCACTACTACCCCGCGCTTTATTTCGCCATCTTGACGAGCGGTTTCATCGTGGATTGGTACACGAGAAACTTGCACAAGGGTGTGCAGACGGGCATCTTCACGACATTGTACGTTGTGATTATCGGCTTGTTCTGGCTGTTCCGAGCATTCTGCTTTGGAATGGAGGGCAACAACCAGCAGTGGAAGCATCTGAAGTGGATGGATGCTTGGAGGATGGTGGATTAGTGAAGCAGAGTATGACATTTCCTTCACACAACCAGAATGGGAATGGATGATGATGGAGAGGGTCGAGAAAAGACGTGGCATTGCGGTGGCGTTCAGGAGCCAGCGGAATGAAACGAACAATAGCTGTGTATCATCTAGACAGTTCACTATGCTACAGACTTGTCTCCTTGCACGTTATTTATTTTGCCGGGATGACTGAATAGGAGTTTCTCTTGTTGATATCAGTAAGCCCGGTATGCCTATGTAAGCTGCGGGTAGGACCTCGGCGATGATGATTCCAGCTAGCTCTCCCAATGTCTGGGCGAGCTGGGTCATGGTAAAATGCACTTAATGACCGCAACATCATCTCGATTGTAGCTTCCGAACCCCCCAACCTGGATCTCATGCTGTTGCCACAGCGTTGAAGCTAAGATGAATACATTCCGACCACCTCTGCTAGAGGCAGCGTTGCAGTCGTGTACCAGGTCACCACGCTCYCCCGCCTTCCGCAGTGCCTTGCAACACCGAGCTCGTCTTCCGCGGCGACACTATTCCTCCCGACCGCCACTTCCACCCGGATCACTGCAAAAGACGGAGATATGGTATCCCAAAACGAGAATCGCCGTGGGGATCGTCTTCATTGGCACGTTGATTTACAACATGGTGAGCATTTTCAATGGCAACCACGACAATGGCCGTGAATGGCAGCTGATGGGGTACAACAGGCCACGGGCGACAAGGAGGTTCCATCATCAGAGGCTCCGGACTCACCACCTCCTCGCTCGGGACAACAGCTCGACTCTCCCTCAATAGCTGAGCGCGACAACCTCATCAAGCGGGAATCCGGCGTCGATGTCAGCTCTCCCATGCGTCTACGAATGGAGCAATACATCAAAGAAAAGCAAAAGGAGATTGTAGGAGCAATAGAAGCATTGGACGGGCAGAAGTTTCAAAAGGATGAGTGGACAAGACCCAGTGGTGGCGGTGGAATATCTTGCGTTCTGCAGGATGGAAACGTGTTCGAGAAGGCTGGGGTGAATATCAGTGTTGTCTACGGAACTCTCCCAAGACAAGCCATTTCCAAGATGCGTGTGAACCACAAAGCCTTGGACCCCGATGTTGAGAGTCTGGAATTCTTCGCCGCGGGATTGAGTCTGGTGTTGCATCCGATCAACCCCATGGCTCCGACGGTACATCTCAACTATCGATACTTTGAGACGGCGAAMAAGGATGGATCCACAAATGCATGGTGGTTTGGTGGTGGAACGGATCTGACACCTTCATATCTCTTCGACGAGGACGTGATACATTTCCACCGCGGCATCAAGGAAGCCTGTGACGCACACGATAAGACCTACTACTCCCGCTTCAAAAAATGGTGCGACGAGTACTTTTACGTCAAACACCGTGGCGAATCACGCGGTGTGGGAGGAATCTTCTTCGACGATTTAGATGAAACGGAGAAGGATCAGGAGAGTCTCTTTGCTTTCTGCCAGAGTTGTCTCGGAGCTTTCCTACCCAGCTACATTCCCATCATTCAAAAACGGAAAGACATGCCATATACGGAGAGGGAGAAGCAGTGGCAGCAATTACGACGAGGGAGATATGTGGAGTTTAATCTTGTGCATGATCGAGGGACGGCATTTGGGTTGAATACGCCCGGGGCGAGAATTGAGAGTATCTTGATGAGTTTGCCACTGACGGCGAGGTGGCAATATCAGCATGAGCCTGAGAAGGGGAGTCGGGAGGACCGATTGGTGAATGTTTTGAAGAACCCTGTAGAGTGGGTTTAGAGGAAGGTGGGTGTGGTTTGTAGGATTTGACAAGTGAATGTATGAATTTTGAGGAGGCCGGTTGTCTATTCGACAGTACCGTGACTGGAGTCTTGATCTAGAGTTGAATACCGGGAACTATGGAAAATCTGTCTGAGGCCTTGCATGCCTCGTTCGCGGAAACAGTGCAACCTGCTGTGTTGAATGCACGGAAATTGACCATCGTTCCGTGGAGCATTGATCATCGAATGCGACGGATCCCAGTACTTTCCCGTTCCTACCGCATCGTGTCGCAAGCTACCAGACATCAACATTGACTCTRTCAATCATCAATTTGATGGATAAATGAAATAGATTCTCTTGAGGAGAGCCCAGATGGAGTTCATCGAGACAAGGCGCTAGTCCCATACCAGAAATAGACTTCCCCGCGATCTCTGAACCGAGATGCGAGATGCTCCTCATCAATATCAACATCACCCGAGGTCAATAGCAAAGACAGGCATGGGTGTACTACATTACACAGGCCTCTCGTAGACGTAAGATACTTCTTTCATTCTTCTCTCACTTCCAAGTCGGCCCTTAAAAAATGAACTTCGAAGTACCCCAAGAATTGAAAGACTACCYCGCGAAGTTGGACGACTTCATAGAACGCGAGATCACTCCATTACAGAATGAGAACGACAACCAGCGCTTCTTCGATCACCGCCGAGAGCATGCTCGTACAGACTGGGATCGGGGCGGCCTTCCTCGCGAGGAATGGGAACAGCTCCTGAAGGAGGCGACGCGACGAGCAGACAAGGCTGGCTTCTACCGCTTCAGCTTGCCCAAGAAATATGGAGGCCAGAATGAGGAGACTGGCCGTGGTAGCAACCTATGGATGGCCGTGATTCGAGAGCATCTCGCAGCAAAGGGGTTGGGTCTGTTCAATGACCTGCAGAACGAACACTCTGTCTGTGGCAACTTCCCGGACGTGATTATGGTACAGCACTTTGGCAACGAACAGCAAAAGAAGGAGCTGATCGAAGGGAGATTACGGGGCGAGGTACGGATCACCTTTGGCTTGACGGAACCAGGACACGGCAGCGATGCCACCCACATGGACACCCGGGGAGAAAAGCAAGCAGATGGGAGCTACATCATCAACGGAGGAAAGATGTGGCAGACGGGGATACACAAGGCAACAAACTGCTTCATCTTCGCCCGTACGAGCGGCAAGAACGGTGACGCGAAGGGCATTTCTTGCTTCAATGTGCCACGACACACTCCCGGCCTCGAAGTTGAATCTTACGAGTGGACGCTCAACATGCCCACGGATCATGCGACAATCTCTCTGACAAATGTCAAGGTTCCCGCGTCTTCCATTATAGGTCCCGAGGGCGAGGGCCTTCAAGTGGCACAGGCCTTTGTACACGAGAACAGAATCAGGCAGGCAGCATCTTCCCTCGGTGCTGCTGTGTACTGTGTCCAACAATCCGTAGCATATGCCCGCAAGAGACAGCCTTTCGGGAAGCCATTGTCCTCGAACCAGGCGATTCAATTCCCTCTAGTAGAACTTGCCACCCAGTGTGAGATGCTCAGGCTGTTGATTCGAAAGACGGCTGTGGACATGGACACCATGCCTCATCGTGAAGTCGAGCAGAAGGTTAGCGACAAGGTCAGCATGTGCAATTACTGGGCGAATAGGCTATGCACACAAGCTGCCGATCAGGCTATCCAGACATTCGGGGGTTGGGGATATAGCCGGTGAGTCCACCGACTTCAAGTGCCCAAAAACATACTAACCTTGACAGACACTACCCATTCGAGCATATCTGGAGGCACCACCGTCGATACAGGATCACGGAAGGTTCAGAGGAAATCCAGATGCGGAAGGTGGCAGGATATCTATTCGGGTTCATGGGACCGAACAAGGCCAAGCTCTGAGGAACGCGTAGGTGATGTAAGGTGCAATCTTTTATGTGACATTGAGTCAAAGATCTGTGACCTTATCTGATGACCGTGGCTTGTTTCAACTCGGTTGTCGTCAGAGACGTTATTCATGTTTCGATTTCGCGTCATATTGAATAGTACAGCGATCGCATTTCAAAGGGTTTGAACTCGGGGAGAAGCCGAGACGCCATCTGGTCCCACGCACTCGATCGACATGACCGTCCCATCCAACGTCCGAAGCGACGAGAAACAAGTATGTGCACTACGGATTCGCACAATGAACAGCAGGGTTTGTGATTCACCGCCTGCCTCACCTGGTATCTAGGTTCAAGCTAACCGCGCTAATTTTTGAAACCGTCCCACTTTCAGGAAGGAAGGTCAAAATCCAAGATGTCCCCTGCTCTTCAACGTCACCCCGCTTCATTGTGATACGAAATACATAAAACAACACATCCCCCCATCTTGTAACCCAGACTCTCAACTCCCGCAGTTATGGCATCCTCGTCTCTCTACAACCAAATCTTCGACCTGGAAGAGCGAACATGGCAGGCGCTCAAACGGCAGGGAACTGATTTGTTGCCATTCCTGACCAAGGACGCCATCTTCATGTTTCCCATGGGAATGAAGATCACTGCAGAAACTGAACCATCCGTCCAGGACATTCTGCACTCCAAGGCCTTTGTTCCCTGGAAGACATTTGAGTTGTCAAAGGTCAATGTCACTCCCGTCGGGCCCGAAGGAGCAGTCATCTCATACCGGRCCATTGCTACACGAGTTTCGACAGGAAAGGAAGATGATCGCGAAACGCTCTTTGATGCGCTGTGCTCTAGTGTGTGGAGACTTGAAGATGGGAAATGGATGATGTGCCTCCACCAGCAGACATTGTCGAACTAGATATGATCCTCGCCAAGTACGAATCGAGGTAGCGAAACCTCTCCCGAATCACGGAAGCTCGACGAAGGGAATGTTTCGTCTCGCACGATCTACACGGGAAGCGGAAAACAATAAATGTTCTGCAGACAGGACTTAGTGTCGCTCACATTGAGCCGGGATGGAACCGACAATCGCGAGGTACCTCCTCATTTCTTTTGCTGCCATTTAATTAGCAAGGCACTTTTGAGCCTGCAGGAAACTGTTACAAAGACTGGATCAGTTTCGAGAGCAAGCATATCCAAAGCCTGGATCTATCGCTGGAAACGTGCACGGGGGACAGCCCCGACCGCTTAATTATGGGTTGATCGTCCTCCACGGCACAGACACGACGAGATGCGGCCGTACCTCGAAATCGTACTTCATCTACTCCCGGGATCTCTCGTGAAGCTTACGGCAGAGCTGTTAAGCCAAATTGAGTGACTGCGACCCGTCGCTACAAAAGAGCTTGCTTCTCGACATGCAGTAGATAATGAGAAGCTTGCCACGTCCACGGTAGTCAACAGTGCGTAACCGGGGCTGGAATGCTCGCGTGGTGTTTCGTAGAAAGTCCTCGCATGGCCCGGTCTATCATACCCAACCAAGGACAAGCAAACCACAGCTCAAAACGGCTGGCTCCCTCATTCAAGCATCCTTCCTTCGCTCAACAAACCGATCATGGAACCCAATCAAAACGCCGTGGTTGACGGATTTCAGTACGCAAACGCACGCCTTGTCGCGGAGAACGAGTCTCTGAAGAAGGCCAACGGCCAGTTTGGACAGAGGGTCGTCGACATGGTGTTGGAGAAGAATGATCTGAAGACTGAGAAGGGTGCTTTGAAAACTGAGGATGGCGCTCTGAAGACCGAGAATGAATCTCTGAAGGCGGAGATTGAAACTCTGAACACGGAGAATGCATCTTTGAAGACCGAAGACGATGGCCATGAAGCCTGTAAACGCAGCTTTTTGAGGCCTATCGCTTCACAATGGCACGAGCGAAGATGAGTGGATCAGGGAATGGGATAGATGAATAGCATTTCTGAAGCAGACGAATCGATTGATTTTAATGCGCCGCTATTGTTTAAGTAACCATAAGTCATCATCTTACCTCCCAGGGCTCGAAGAAAGTAATTGAAGACGTCTTTGTAAATTAAGATGCCCGTTGCTGTGGGGCGGGTGGTTGCTCTAGTAAGGTATCTTCCACGCTCTCGGGCTGCCTGCAAGCACCACAACTTCACCCAACATCCGTCGCGGTCATGCAAGAATCAGAGTTCGAAACCAATGGCTTGACCATGAAGCTACTCGGACTGGCGCACTATTGTGAAGGCAGAAGAGCCGCCGAGATCCAGGCCGTCATCGCCAGACTACCTGTCGCAGCTTACAACGAGCGCACCGCTGCGGAGAATGAGGTATCCATCGAAGTCCAGACGCTTTAGCATCAACCACGGCGACTCGCTAATCGAAACCAGATCGCGCGTCTTCGTCGGGAGAATGAAGAGCTCAAATATCGACTCTCCACCCGCGACATTGGCACACCCAGCAGCGTGCAGCGTCGCCCTGCGCAGTTTTCACGCGCTCCGCGTCGTGGTAACACGCCTGTTGATAGAACCAGCGGCCCTCACATCAAGGAAGAAGAACGCCTCTCAATCAGCTCATCAAGTACCTCGACTATGGCACGCAATCCACGCCTGACGCCTCCAGCACAGCACCAACGCGACATGGTCCCTGCCGATGCTAAACGCCAGCGTACCGACTCTGCACTATCGAGCAGACGTCCAGTCTGCACTGGCTGCTTCCAAGTCAACGGCCTCTGCGATGCCAAGGTCGAGTGTGACGTGTGTCGCGCTCGAGGCTATGGTTGTGAGTACCGGGAGTGCTGGGATGGTCTCACGTGCATCGACCTGGCCTGCACGAGGATTCATCCAGATCAGTGGGATCCTGTACGGGAGACCGGCCGGAAAGTCAATCAAAGCAGGAATGGTGTTGGGAGCTGGCGCTGAGATTGAGATTGAGAAGTTTCAAGCAGCAGTCTCTTTTGCAACTGGATTGGTTGTATCCCAACTGAGACTTGCGAGGGGAGAAATGACCTTGAAGGACCTACGAGAACAACTCACCGGCGAGGACTGGAGACAGTGGGGCTTATCGACTCTGCACGTAGTGAACCGAGGACCAAGGTCATGAACAGGTAGCTGCAATATCAAAACTAGCAGTCTCATGGAGAGTCAGGTCTCCGTTGTGTGATTTTGTCTTGGTCGTGCTGTCGATTCACAAGTAGGTAGGCAGTGAAGCAACCCTTCGTTTTCATCGGCCTTCGGCTCAGCATTATTATCGCCTTCATGCAAATCCTACACCTGTGTGTACACAGGCGTGACTTCGAAACGTATCTTCTGCGCATTTGCGCTGCCTGCATAGGGACTCCCGCTGTCGTGCCCGTCCGRGGGAAGCTGGAGCAAAGCATTCCATCCATACCTGGATGTCCCAGACGCATGACTGGACCGCGACCCCTGAATTCTTCATCTGACAACGGGGAAGTCGCCGGTGATGGAACGAAAGGTGTCCTTGCCGCAGTGGATGAAGTCGACTCCGCACAGACCAATCAAACCGTGTCGCACTCGCTTCTCACGTCACCCCCGGAGTTACGTCCACTTGTACAGTGCAAGCACCACGCCAGAAACGCCATGACGGAACGTTGCAGAGCATAAGGTCAATTAGCCCACGTGATAGTTCACGAACAGGAAACTGGGCGTTAGCTACGTCGTAGCGTAGCACAAGAATTGAAGATGGCCAACCTCTCGCCCACCCCATCATCCTCCCGCCCTGGCGCTGGTAATCGACAAGCGACCGCACCAGCACTCATGAACGGCCACTTTGCGACGGTGGGGGAAACTCCATCGCCAAAGGATTTCGAGCATGGCGTTCAGGTCATTGATGAGGACAAGAACTTCAATCCTCATCTGCCGCAGTACCTACAGCTCGAGAGCATCATTCGATCAGGCTTCAACTATCACATCATCTCCGTGTTTGGTAGCCAGAGTACCGGAAAGAGCACGCTTTTGAACTATTTATTCGGCACGCAGTTCGGGGTTATGAGTGAGCAGGAGCGACGGCAAACAACAAAAGGAATATGGATGTCCAAGAACAAGCGAGAGCACGCAGACGCGCAGGGTGTGGCCATGGCCGATAACATCCTGGTCATGGATGTGGAGGGTACAGATGGACGCGAGCGAGGAGAAGACCAGGACTTTGAGCGCAAGAGTGCACTATTTGCACTGGCAACTAGTGAGGTTCTGATTGTGAACATCTGGGAGCATCAGGTTGGTCTGTACCAAGGAGCGAACATGGGACTGTTGAAGACGGTCTTTGAGGTCAATCTCCAGCTCTTCTTGAAGGACTCGAAGAGTGTTCCACGCAGTCTGCTGTTCTTCGTCATTCGAGACCATATCGGGAACACACCCCTTGTCAACCTCAAGCAGACCCTGATCCAGGACTTGTCAAGGATATGGTCTTCGTTGTCAAAGCCACCTGGTTTGGAGAAGAGCTCGATCGACGACTACTTCGATTTTGCCTTCGTAGCACTGMCACACAAGATCCTCCAGCCACAGCAGTTCGAAACGGAAGTCAATCGATTGGGGAGTCGTTTCCGGGAAGGATTCAAAGATCCGAAGAAAGCTGGCTTGGTTGACGAGTCTACCGAACCCATCCTGCTCCCCGAGTATCACCGACGCATTCCCGCCGATGGGTTCCCGATGTACGCGCAGGGTGTATGGGAGCAGATCGACAGCAACAAGGATCTAGACTTGCCAACCCAGCAGGAACTACTTGCGCAATTCCGATGCGACGAGATCATGAAGGAGGTACTCATCATCTTCGACCAAGTGATTCTGCCATTGGAAGAATTTCAAACCGGTGCGATTGCAGCTGGCAAGCCAACGGTGCTTTCTGGACTTGGCGAGAAGATGCTCGTCTCAAGGAAGACTGTGCTCAGTGGGTTTGAGGTTGAGGCCAGTAGATACCACAAAGGTGTCTACAAGCGAAAGCAGGCAGAACTGGAGGAAAAGGTTGACGGCAGACTCAAGATGCTCTTCCAAAATCAAATGAGCGCTGCGCACAAGAGCGGAGTTCACGAATTTTCCGAGGCAGTCACGACCGCTGTGAAAGCTGGCCAGAAGAAGGGCGCAAACTACGATTTCCACAAGATTGTGCAGACCGAGAAGCAAAGTGCGCTGCAAAAGTACGAGGCCGAGGCCAAGGCATCGCTCATCGAGGGTACGCCTTGGAGTGACTACAAGCAGCAGCTTGCGTTATATCGCAAGGAGCTGGACACCGTCAGTTCTCGTCTGCGACAGGATGAGATGAGACGTCTAGCAACCAGAAGCGAGAGATGGGTCCGGAGCAAGCTCAGCGAGAGCGTTGGCGTCGAATTCAACACGCTCGGATCTGGCCGCGCTGGTTCTGGCGCACCCGCTGAAGGTCAAAAGCCGGCCGAGCATGACCTCTGGGATCGCATATGGAATGTCTTCACAGACACAGTCTCACACGCAGAAACACGTTTCACAGACCGCGCTCGTAGTTTCGATGCCAGCCCTGATGAGGTTGAAGTCGGGCTCTGGCGTCTGCGCAGGAAGTCCTGGGGAGCGTTGCGTGACAAGATCGACGAAGAACTTATGGAAGGTAACCTCCTCCTCAAGCTCCGCGAGAACTTCGAGGACAAGTTCCGATATGACCAAGAAGGTGTGCCTCGCATCTGGCGGCCCACCGACGACATTGAGGGACTGTACACTCGTGCCCGTGAAAGCACGCTGACTCTGATTCCTTTGCTTGMCAAGTTCCGCCTGTCGCGTACGTCTTCGACACCCCCATTGGATGCATGGATCGGCGAACCGCCCAGCACAGTGACCGGCGCTGATGAGGAGGACTTGCAGCCGATTGGGGGCATTGATGAAGATGAAGGCAAGACCCTGGAGGAGGAGATGACCGTACTCAGCGATGCAAAACAGCAAGATCTAACGACCAGATTTAAGAAGACTGCCGATGGCGTTTACGTCGAAGCCAAAAGAAGCGCCATTGGTGGCATGACCCAAATACCACTCTATTTCTACGGTCTCCTCCTCGCTTTGGGCTGGAACGAAATCGTTGCTGGTATGCCTCGCAATCTGGACACAGATCTGCTTCATCTTGCTAACAAAGTTTAACAGTGCTTCGAAACCCGGTCTACTTCATATTCCTCATCCTAGTTGGCGTCGGCGCCTACGTCACATACACTTTGAATCTTTGGGGACCCATGATACGCATGTCTACGGCCGCAAGCCAACAGGGCGTGGAGATCTTCCGAGAAAAACTTCGAGACTTCTTGGAGTCCAGCGAGACTGGGCGCCAGGCTATTGGAATGAGCGAGAGGGCTGGAATTCCCATGGACTCATTGCATAGCAATGGCACGAGGAAGGCGAAGGTCTCCGAGGAGGAAGATATTGATGAAATCTGATCTGCTGGCACTGTTACTGCTGCATTTGCATAGCGATTGGGGAAACCAACAAGTAACTCATCGGGGTGGAACAAGACGAGATTTTTGCATAGAATACATTCGATTATACATTTCTATCACCATACTTTATGTATGTTTCCAGCATGTGATGATTGTGCACAGATTTGTTGTCGCCGAACTGATCACCCACGTGGCTTATCGGAGATAAATCTCGCGAGCTCCATGAATCTTTGAAAGTTGAGGAGACCTTTCGACCTCACCATCATGACCATTGCCTGAACAACGTCCCCACCCCTTCAATATGCCTGATCAGGCTCCTCCCACCGGCGATGCCGTCGCCGCGCAGGCACCAGATGATTGGACCGCAAAGGCGTGGAGCATCGGCAAGAATGTCGCCTTCTTCATCGCCATTCAATTCGCGATGCGCCAGTTTATGGGCGGTGCTAAGACGCCAGCACCAACCCCAGATATGGCCGCTGCTCCAGGAGTACAATCGGTAGAAGTAGGAGAATACAGTGCGATTCCTCAAGGACTCTTCCCGCTCTGGCCGAGCAACACCTCTGTTGACATCAGCATGTACATTTCGCCCAGCGTCATTATGCCGGGGTTCAAAGCCATGCCGTATGAGAACCTGATAGTTCGTGAGACGGACTTCTCGTTGGACAGAGCAAAGAATGATCACCGAGAGGTGCAAAAGAGCTTCAAGGTTCCCCCGAGTGTACAGAAGAACGGAACATTATGGGCACACATCTTTGTCGGTATGACTGGTGCAGAGCTCGACCCTGCTGCTCCCTCGTACGATCCTTCGAAGGCGTACCGTATGATCAGACCGTTGACCCAATATCTCGGAAAGAAGAAAGTACGCAAAACGAGGAGTCTTCTGGGAGGCGCGGACGACACCGAAGAGGTTGAAGAGCCGGAAGTAGAGGACACGGCTACGATCGCATCTTACTACCACCCGAACTTCACGTTATCGTTCATCCCAGACACCGGCACTGTTCAATGGCCAACTCTTCATCCAGCAATGAGGCAGTTCTACACCTTGGAGCAGACGGGCCGCCGCGACGAGACTGGCAAGAACTCCTGGTACTACCCCGTGCTGTACTTGAACACCTTCTGGCAGTTGAGATCCCATATGACTGAGCTGAACACTACCCACCCTGTGGACCATCTGCCAATCAACGTCAACATTGGCACACTTCGCAATTGGCAATTCGGTGTCATGGCCAGCATGGACGAGGGAATGAAAGAAACTGCACGGAAGTCTGCTCGCGGCGAGACTACGCCAGGAGGTGGTGACGGGTCTGAGATGGAAATGATCAAGGAGACTCTGCTCGACACCAACCCATGGCTCCTTGGAACAACGGTCTTCGCTAGCGTGCTGCACATGATCTTCGAGCTGCTTGCCTTCAAGTCTGATGTCTCCCACTTCCGCAAGAAGAAGGACAATGTTGGAGTTTCTGTACGAACGATCCTGTCGAATGTGGTGATGCAGCTCATCATCTTCTTGTACCTCATGGATAACAATGAGTCTACCAGCTGGATGATTCTCTTCGGACAAGGCATGGGAATCGCGATCGAGGCTTGGAAGATCACCAAGACGGTCAACGTACGTGTTAGGCAGCCCGCTCCTGATAGCTACGCCCACAAGCTCGGCCTGCCTTACAGTGTGGTGTTCGAGGACAAGCACAAGCTCAGCGAGACTGAGGAGAAGACTGAGGAGTACGACAAGATTGCCTTCAAGTACATGGGTATCATCGCTGTTCCGCTTCTGCTTGCTTACGCCGCCTACTCGCTGGTCTACGATAMCCACAAGAGCTGGTACAGCTTCATCATCGCAACGCTGGTGGGCAGCGTGTACGCCTATGGTTTCCTGATGATGATACCAAGTCTGTACATCAACTACCGTCTCAAATCGGTTGCCCACATGCCTGCTAGGGCTATGATGTACAAGTCAGTGTTGCCTTGCCACATCACCATTGAGATTTGCTGACAGACGTCTAGGTTCCTCAACACCTTCATCGACGATCTCTTTGCTTTCACCATCAAGATGCCGCTTCTTCATCGTCTTGCGACTCTCCGTGACGATGTTATCTTCTTCTTCTACCTGTACCAAGCATGGGCTTACAAGGTTGACCACACTCGGGTAAGTTGCAATCCGTGCAACGACCAATGTCCATACAATGTGCTAATTTGGCTACAGGTCAATGAATTCGGTCAAGGTGGTGACGAAGAAGAGGTTGAGAGCAAGAAGGCTGCGAAGCCACTTTCAGCACCTGCAGGCGGGAAAATCACTGATAGTGACGGCAAACTCAAGGCAGACCTTGACAGCAAGGCCGAGGGAGCTGTGAGCAGCGCAAAGGAGAAGGCGAGCGCCAGAAAGCGCAAGGCATAAGACTATTCGCAGCGGCGGCTTTGTAACATTTACGATGTATGCATAGACCCAAGGGCAAGATGTCCTGTGTACATATGAGCAGTTCCTAGCATCCCTCGTCCTGCATGATAATCAACACCTCGAACGCAATGCTCAGCGATGGGCTTTTGTGAACTTGACGATTGGATTCTGACTGAGCTATCTCTGCGCCGCCGCAATTTTACGCGGCCCGCTGTAGCAAAACCCATGCATGACAGTACGCATAAGCCCTCTGCCGGATGTAGACGCCGTCCGTTCCCACCATCGTAGCACCATAGAAGCTTGTCTCGAACGCAACACAATCAACCCTTCTTCTTGCTGACACCGACGGTTCTGCCCCGACGGCCAGTGGTCTTGCTGTGCTGTCCACGGACACGCAGGCCCCAGTAGTGACGCAGACCTCTGTGGGCGCGGATCTTCTTCAGTCGCTCCAAGTCCTCACGAAGCTTGCTGTCCACACCGTTGGCCAAGACCTGGTAGTCCTTGCCGTCCACAATGTCGCGCTGTCTGTTGAGGAACCAGGCGGGGATCTTGTACTGGGTTGGGTTCTGGACGATGGTGACGATACGCTCGAGTTCTTCCGAGGTGAGCTCACCGGCGCTGCGGGATGATGTTAGTATGGGTTGCCTTCGCTTTCTCGCTCCGGATGATGGTGGGTGGAAATGTACCGCTTGTTGAGGTCGACATCGGCCTTCTTGCACACCAAGTTGCTGTATCGGCGACCAACACCCTTGATCTTGGTGAGGGCGTACATCACCTTCTCTTTGCCATCGACCTGTGGGATGTACTGTCAGTGACGGGTCCCGTGTTGCCTGACTTCCATCCGTTGCCGCCCATTTCTCCTCCTCGTGGCGCGCGCGGAATCGGTTTGCGGAGGATACGCACGTTGGTGTTGAGAAGACGCAAGATGAACTGAAAGTTCGATTTCTCGCCGGAGACGAGAGACATCTTTGCGGTTGCTTGAGGGGAATGTCGTGCGGTCGGCTGAACCTGATGAAGTTCAACTGGAGGTAGCAAATCCTCAATTTTGGAGCGTGCGACTAGCGCCGGGAAGTGCCGTCCTCCCGACTTCTCCAAGCTGCAAAGTTGGAGAAGGAAGACATTGACAACAACACCAATTGCGAACCGCAACCACGAGGTCTCTCATGTCGAGATGGGACTGAACGAAAACTGCTCAACAATGTCATCAGCATCATCATTCAGCACTTGAGGCGCAAATGGCAAGGTCCACAAGCCTGCACAATTCCCTAGGCTTGGCAACCTTTCTTTCTCATCTTGCTTTGGATCGAAAATGATTGCCTCGTCCTCAGGACTTGTAGCTCCGGAGCAGCGACGAGTCCTGACAGCGCTTCATGTGCTTTGTATCTGCCGCTTGTACCCTGCGGCAACGAAGGAGTAGCGCATTCACAGACTTAGGGCCTCTTCCAGTAAACGCCCTTGATTTACTTCTCCATTTTCTAAAGTCTCTGCATATTCATMATCAACACCGAGAAAAAGACTTTCGTATCTTTCAGGGCCGATTTCAATTTCTGGTCGACTCTGGCAACACATGAGCCGGTGCTCTGCATCCCGAAGGGGCTTCATTCAGGGTTGAACATATGAATCACATCGTCTCTTCATGTTTSAGCGCATCAATTTCCATCGTATCAGCTATGTGCTCGTCTCAAAATTTCTGATGTCACTCTGACCGGCGCACCCCTTGGTGGAAGTATCCTTGTGCTTTACAACGACCTACGCTGCGGAGAGGCTCGTGAAAGCTCGATCCCCCTTCCGGTCGCCCAATGTGGCTACAAGTATGTTGCGTGCCTGGCACTGCTACTGTATCCCACGCGGAAATTCGATTCGCGGTTCGCGTCCGCAAGGCCCATCATACAGCTGTCCTGACTGATTCTCCAGATCAGAACAGTGGTGCCTCGCCGCATGCCCGTGTCATCCTCACTCCTAGCTTTGGCGGAGCAAGATGAAGAATTCCGTCATCTTTATCATCTACGAGATTCGTTCAATTTCATCTCCACAGTCGTGTTGGTCTCGGTTGGGGACCCTCTACTTGGGTGAAACAGCCCAAATGTGCGAAGCTCCAATGCGCATGGCGTACATCTCTCTCTCAGGTGCTCCCCGGACCCTCGCCCAATGTTTGACTGCCAGAAATAGAAAGCCGCAGGGTATGCCCATGTTGCAAGTACCAAGCCTTTGTCAGTTGACAGTCGCAGACGTTTACGTGTATCGTCGCCCTCGCTTCACCAAAGCAGAGTAATTACGCCTCTGCTGGTAACACAGCCCCAACCTTGCACCACAGCGCCCTCTGGTTGGATGGACAGATGCGCCCTTGCCAAGTCGTGTTTGACGATTCCGGCGGCAATCACGAACGGTCGGTCCCATAAGCCTGACCCTGATGATACATCTCTTCTTCGGGGAGATGCGCAAACCACCCACAGACGCCGACATAACGTTTGCACTTTGAAGCTGTGGGAGCATAATTTGACGCTCACCAACCAATCCTAGTGCGTTGAACATACTTTTCGGTGGCAGCAGCCGTGAGATTGGATCTACGGTTTCCACCAAACCTTAATTCCCAGGGCAACGAGCTCCCAGAAAGCTGCGAAACCTGCTTCGTGCACCCACATCTCGAGGATCACGTTAGTCAATTGGCATTCGACGTTGACTGGGCGACTTTTTCGAATGTTGCGCGCCCTTCCTTTGCATCTACACCAACGCGAATAATTAATATCAACCACACTCGCTCTACACGACTCACACCTCCACGGACAGCGCGTAGCCTCGACACGTACCAAGCGGGTCAATCGCCGCCAACGACTCGGGATACTCGGGACACAATCATGAGCCGATACGGAAAATGGGACGACTTCTGTCGGGATAGTGGTAGTGGGTATGCGACAATTCCTGTATGCAACCTATTTGAGCAGGCGCGTGCAAGAGGTGGATCTGCACCGTACTTTGACGGCTGCGAACTTGAGGGCATATCGCTGGGAGGAGACCGACATCTTGCAAATCTAGGTACGTTTGGGAGGGATGCTCCGGGTATCTAGTAACGGGCATGATCTAACTATGGCATAGGGTCAATACTGATCGCAGGCATTGCGATTTTGGCGTCGTTCTTCCTGCTATGGAAGTCGGAACGGAAAAAGGCTGCTGTGGGCAGAAGGTGAGTGAACTCGAGGTGGAATGCTCTGCCTGACGTGAATCTTCCCTGACACCACGACTCCAGAGAAATGCAAATCTTCCTCATCGGCTACATAATAATCGAGATCTGCGAGATATTCACAGTCGGCGGCTTCCCACTCAACGGTGCTGTACGGAGGGTCTTTTCCGCAGTTCATATAGCCGCAGTGGTCGCTACTCTCTGGATCCTGATGATGAATGGCGCAGTCGGATATCAACTCATTGACGACGGCACGCCTCTCTCAATTGCCCTGATCTTTGGCTCCGCTGCCGCGCTCTTCGTTGGCACAGGATACATCGCACTTGATACTGCATTCAGCTGGACAGGCTACTTTGATGACACGCTCCCGGCACCGAACCAAGCGTACGCACTATACACGTTGTATCAGCTAGTACCTCTTGTCTTCTTGGTGGTGTACTTCATCCTGGAGAGTGTATTGGTGCTGAAGGTTCTCGGGGAGGTTCGACCAATGTGTATGTGCTTCTTGACCCCGATGCTGAATAGCCGTACTGACAGTCTATCTCGCAGACTTCCTCGTTGGCGCCGCGGTGCTTTTCGCAATCGGCCAAATCTTCCAATACGTGATCAGTGTTCACATCTGCAATGGCACGAATGGCGCGATCAACGGCGGCCTGTTCGAGACTCTTTTCACATTACTGGCGGTTATCACAATTTGGTTCTTCTGGTCTAGCATAACGGTAAGCACCTCTTCTACAGACGCACAATCTGGCTGTCTGGCGTCCACTCGCTTTGCCAAGTGAGAACGTCGCGATTTCACATGTAGCACAGCGTGATGATGCATTTGCATGTGCTGACCATCTCAACAGGAGGACGACTGGCCCATGCCACCATCGACAGGCAGCACGTACACGTAGGCCATCTCTCAGTGCAATGCATAGGGGTGAATGCGATCATTTGAATAGATTGGCTGTATGCYATATTGACAGCACTGCTGTCGTAAGGCAGACGGCGCAGGAAAAGCAAGAGGGCCGTCACCAGGGCCTCTTCTCATGAGTAATGTTTGTTTGTCCACAGCGGGACCGAGATACCTTTAGCATTTGTAATGACATTCATCCAATGTCTCCATTGGAGCAAACACTGAATCTGCGTCGAAAGCGATTGCCTACGGAGCTTGCCGTGGCTTCTCAGAATTGGAAGTGAGAGTGCCCCACTTTTCTGGCGACTTCCTAACTTGCATCCCTCACATTCACCCCCGAGCAAACAACAAGCAAACAACAACAGATTGACATGATTCGTCTGTCAATGGCACGTCAAACGCTCCAAATTCAACGTGTTGAACGCCCTGCAATGGACGTATTCTAGCCATGTCTCTATTCGTGGAACCTGCTAAGAAGTCGACGGTCGCATTTGACACTGATTCGGAAAGTGACTCCATTCAGACTGATTCAACCGCGAAAAGTGAGCTGCGCGACGAATATGAGGTGGAGAAAATCCTGATGGAGCAGGATGGTCTGTACCTAGTCAAGTGGGAAGGCTACAAATTGTGTCGCTCGACTTGGGAGCCGCGAGAAAGTCTTGTAGGTGAAGAGACGCTCGCAGAATGGGAACGTCAAAAGCAACGAATCGCAGCCGGACAGGCCAAACCGTTCGACTTTGATGAATACATGACAGCATATTCCAAGGCAGAGGCTGAAAGGAAGGATAAGCGACGACGACGAAATGCGAAGCGCCAGAAGCGTGGACTTCCAATCCGGACCTACACTCCGTCCGAGGATTCTGACGCTGACGATGAGGATTTGGATGATGGAGAGATCCCACATGAAGCCGAGCGTGCGAATGACCAAAGGTGGGTCTTCTGACTCGATATTGTCACGAGGTTACAAGACCAGTTAAGACATAGATCCACGGACATTCTTGAAGTCACAACTGCTAATGACAAACTTTAGCATGCCGATTGCTTCATCTAAGCGCCAGGCCAGCTCTTACAAGTCTCCTAGGGTCACAAAGAGATCGAAGCAGCTGGAAGTGACACGCAAGGGTGTGGCGAAAAAGATCACACGCAACCGCGTGGTCTCAGACACATCCTCGAGCGATGACGGTAGCAGCAGTGACCAGACTCGAAGTTCTAGTGTTGATTCTCTTCGAGAAGAGCTTGTAGCGAGGGCTACTGACCTGGGTACGAGAACAAGAAAAGCAGCCAAGTCGAGACAAGAATCTGCTCAGACACGAAAACCAGTTGCTACATCCTCTATCAAGGAAACAGGTCCGACAGAAGCACCACAGCGTGCATCCACAATAACTACCAACCTGAAAGAAGCCACCGCTGTAGAAAAGGTCAACGTCATCAATCAGGTTCCTCATAAGACCGGCCCCTCAGGCGCAGCTAGGAAAAGCGCCCCGAGTCATGTGGCAGCAGGTCCTGCGAGGAAACCCCATGATATTCTGGCAAATTGGAGCGCTCCAAAGCAGCGTAGGGAGCGACAACGGGTGTCTGGGGCTACCCCAAAAGATTCTACCGATCCCAAATTTACCGCCCTGTCTATACAAAGCAGATATCAAAAGTATGGCCGAGAGAACGAGAAACCGCCCGACTTTAACGCACTGACGGTCATCGATCCCAAGACTGGCAAAACGATCCCGCCAAGAGCTACTGTACAGGACGTACCCGCAAAGGAATCTTCCAGCGCATATCGTCGACGGACGCCTCCGCCCCAGGAGAGGAGAAGGTCATCGACTCCTCCACCAGTTCAAGTCCCAGCAGCGTCGAGAGACTCCGCACGTAACCATGCTGCCATTAACGTCAAGCCAATTTGTAGCAGATGGCTCACCAAAGGATGTCCAAAAGCCGCAGACAAATGTGACTTTGTCCATCCCGTCTCTAAAAATATCATTGATCATTCCGTCGACAAAAAGAATGTTACCTGCTGGTATTGGCTTTCCAAACATGCCTGTGCGTTTGGRTCAACTTGCCAGTTTGCGCACGTCGATACAAGGATATACAGTTCACCACCAAGCTCTGGCCAGGGCTACTTTACTGTAAACCTCCCGCGCGCAGACGTTTCGTTACCTCCGCCTCAACCGCAAATCGTCCAGTCGCCTCCACGACCAACCAGCGTTTCCGCACAACCAGTTGTTAGACCTCCGGGGGAACCTGCTTGTCGCGAGTGGCTGGAAGGAACTTGTTCAAAATCCGCAGAAAGATGTACTTGGGCTCACGCGCTCCCAACCGAGCCGTACAGAGGTGACTTCAACACTATTCCCAAATCTCAGGTTCTTTGCTACTATTGGGCAAAGGGGGGTTCCTGCAACAGAGGAAGGTCATGTGCATTCTCGCATGTTGACACCGGCATCCAAGCTGGCCCGCCCGGGTCAGGGTCTTCTGGGCGTATCAGCATAGTTCCGAAGACGTCGGAATATCGTCCTTCTGAGCCTTCTGAGCCGATCAGTCACGCCCGACAAACAACTTACGTCGCTCCAGACCCAAGCGAGAATTCGCGGCGAGACGGCAGTGTTAGTAAGGCTGATGCGATTACAAGGAACTTACCGCCGCGTGGGCTTACGTGCTTTTTCTGGCGCACGAGAGGTCAATGTGCGAAGCCAGACAAAATGTGTGAATACGCACATTTTGACACGGGCGTATGGGCTGCGCCGCCACCTGGATTTAATCACTCCAGGGAGGATACGCAGCACCCATCAGGCAACGCAAACATGATCCCGATTGCCGCTAACCGCGGCTTGTCATTGCATACACACGTTGACTCAGCTCTGATCGATGCCCAGGGGCTATCTTCACAGTCGCCCAGGGAGCTTGTCGGTTCTCCACTACAACTACAAGCCCCACCGATGGCCCCACCCGGACGGGAGGATGTATTGCAGCGGCAGAGCATTTCCACTCCTGCTGGATCGATGGCGACCACCTTGACAATCTACTACACGGACGATCATCAGCCAACACCGCTTCAAACGAAGCTCGAACTATCGGAACTCCACATATTCGGAAAACTTGCTGGAGCAGATCCACAACTCAATGTCGATCGCGTTGTTCTGGCCAGCGACTTCAAAACAATAGTTTGGGATGACTACATGCGCCGTTCCGAGAGCACAGTGGGTAGCATTGTCGTTTCGAATGCTGCCGCTGGACAAAGTCTTGTGGAGCTGTGCAAGCAGCATACCATTGGTCTGATCGCGACACAGCCGGGGAAGAAGTCGCGGATGCTCATATACCCTCCAAGCGACGATGTGTGGAAATTCCTCGACATCGGCTCGAACTGGAAGACCGATTCTGCTCTTCGATTCCATCTGTTCAGCGAAGTTCCGGGCATTGAAGACATCGCTCTTAGCGGAACATCCGCATTGGTGAATCCATCAAGAAAGCGCCCCCCTCCCGTCATTGCTGGGGAAGAACTCGTCAAGCTGGACTCGGCGAGGCTGCTACCAGTGAGTGGTAAATCGAGCCACGGGGCTCGGGCCGCCTTTCTCATGTTTCCACCGGGACATCACGTTGAGTTGGAATTCTATGCGAAGTTCCTTGGGGCGCAGAACTATCGTGTCTACCACTCAGGAGCTGCAGGAGCATGGCAGTACTTTTGCAAGACCAATGACAGGAAGGTTGTCATAGTCCACCCTGACGTTCCCATATGGCAGGTCCCCGACCTGAAGCATCTACTCTGGTCTGGAACGAGTATCTTCTCTGTTGGCCTCAATCACCTTGACCCCATGGAGGATGCGTTGTTTGGATKCGAGCGACTGTTCCCACATGCGACTGCCGTGTTGATCACTGATGATGTCTTCATCTACCACCCCGGGAAGGCTTTGGAGGTTTTGAACGGCTTCCTCAAGTCAATGAAGGGCAGGCTAGAGTACAAGATCGTCACGAGGCCTGGTGTGAAGCAGTGGCTGCTCCATTTGGCGGAAGGGAGCTTCACTGAGCGCGGAAGACAAGACAACCAGTGGATGTCCTTGTACGATGCGATCTGTCGCCTATGCCCTCCAGAAGATGAGGACCCATATGACCCGCCCAATCCTCGTGCAGACACTCAGTTGGTTTCGCTCTCACCGGAGGTATTTCCCAAGTACGAAGAAATGTGGGAGAGCAATGAGGCTGCAGCGACGGGGTTCCTGGTGGAATGGTTCGCTGGCTGGACGATCGAGAATATCACAAGGCTCCGCAAGCTGTACGTTCTCTACGAGCCCAAATCGGGGTTCCACAGTATATTGGACGCTGCTGGGAAGTGGCCGGCCGAGGATTCTCATGGCTGGGTGGAGAGATACCAGCACATCTGGTTTCAGCGGCCAGAAGACATCTTCGCAGCGAAGAAATGATAAGCAGCACCGAGCTACAGCTGCGCGGGCCTGGCCATGGAATGGCACGTCTTCCTCTCGAGGTAGAAGAAGAGAGAACAGCTGATCCAAAAAGCTTCAAGGTTTGAAGCTTCCCCATTCTTGAATGCGACGAGAGCAGCGGGTCCATTATGGCCGCCTCAGTGACCTACAGATAGGGTGGGGGCTTATGATAAATTTTATGCATCAAGTAGATCGACAGTGGACGACCGGGTCCACATTCTGCCGGTCATGTGCAAGTTCGCAGGGCTCGCTACGAGCATCAGGCAATCATGGCTTCTATCGTGTCCTCCAGCGCTGTATCAATGAAAACTTCATGACTGGGGCTTTGAGTCTCATCGTGAGCTCCTGCGCTCAGAGCAGAGAATATGATACAGGCGCTATATGTGTACATCGTAACGCAGAATCGGGCGCGCTGGAACCTTCAAGTTTCTCGTACCTTCATACTCTACAGCGCCGGTCTCGCGCCTGCCTGTCCAGCGGCTCCTGATGTGAGAAGCTACGCACGCACAAATGTTAGCCATCCCGTAATCAAACGCCTCCTCATGATTCAACAAAACATACCTCGTTCGCGCTTTGCTGCATGCGCATTTCCCTCTCCATCTCCAAAACTTGCTGCTCCTCGCTGAAAGCCAGCGCCCATGGCACACCCAACAACAGCGCACTGGTGCTGACAACCCAGAGCGTCTTGCCGCTGAAGCTCAATCCCGATGAAGCCCATGCGTAACCGGACTCGGCGGCCGCGTAGAGGCGCTTGCGGTATGTGGGTGGGACAATGTCTTTGAGCGCGTAGACTCGATCGAAGAGGGATTCGTCAAAGGCGTCATCGTCATCTACGTCGGAGACTTCTGAGTCTGGAAGGTGATCAGGTTAGATATTTGGGAGAAAGGATGGGCAGATGGGGGAAGGGAGATACCGCTGTCAGTGTCCCAGTCGTCTTCGTCCTCTTTCTGGCCGGGCTGCTGAGCGTAGAGCTCCTCGTCGGGTACTTCCTCGAGCTGAACCATTGTGCTGGTGGGGAGGAAGGTGTTAGGTGGAAATAGAGGTGGGTTGGCGAAGTCGTGGATGTGGGCGAATCGATGGATGAAGTTGATGTAGTTTACGTGATCGCCTTGCGACAAAATTTAAGGTTGGTACTAGGACTAGCTGAGACTTGGGCTAAGGTATGGACGAGCACTGCGTCACACGACAGCGGCAGGAAACACATGGAAGAAGGGAGGTTGTTTGACTTGTCGATAAGCTGAGCATGTCATGTATCCATCTTATGACCTCTACAGACCCACTCGCTGGTGAAGACTGGAGCTTCAGGACTGTGAATCTCGATCTCGTTGTGATTCGTGTGACGTCGTAAAGATAGGAGTACTCGATGCTCCGCTTCAAGCCAGTGAAGGTGCATGTGGTACATCCTTAAGAGCAGATGCGGGACACGGCGGTGATTGTGGCCTCTTTACCCAGTCTCGCGCCGTGGCCAGTCTGTGCTTCTTTCCAGCATACTTGTTGAATCCACAAACAACAATCCGCCGAACGCTTTCAAGCCATTSCAACTGCATCCACTGAGCGCACAGAGCCCCGCCGCTCCATCATTCAGTATGGTACAGACTGACAGACCCTCCTTATTCCACTGCAAACATACGCCATCTCGTCGTAAGGGTACCACATGCTTTAGAATTGGTCTGGCATCCTGTCAGTTTCATTCTTTCAAGTGGGCACAGCATCGACATACCCAGCGTCATACTCATGCTGACGTCCGTGTTCTCAACCATCTTCTGAAACTCCTCGAAGCTGATCTTTCCATCGTGGTCCAAATCTGCCTCCATGATGGTCTTGTCCACAATCTGTTGCAGCTGTTGGTCCTTCAAGTTGGAGCCCACCATCATCTTCAACACAATGAACAGCTCGCCATTGCTGATGTAGCCGTCCCGGTCAATGTCGTAGACCTTGAAGGCGAATTTGAGCTTCTCCTCCTTGTTTCCCTTGGAGCTGAAGGCACTGAGGCCAGAGACGAACTCTTGGAAATCGACGTCGCCGCCGCCATCCTCGTCAAATATGGCGATCATTCGTGTCGCAAGCGGGTTGGACGAGACTTGGGGGAGGGAGAGGAACTCATCGCGCTCGATCGTGCCGGAGTTGTCCTTGGATGTCGGTCAGATACCAGTGCTACCCAGCAGATTTACAGCGCATACTTTGTCCAGTTTCATGAACCGTTTCCTAAGGCGATCGACCTCATCTCTGTCAACTAGAGGCAGCATGAATCAGCTTCAGCTCCAGGTTTTGGTCGCGGAATCGGAATGGTGAAGTGGCAGACGCAGCAGACTCACAGTTGGTACCGCTGACGATATTTTCCAGCATTGCTGAATTTGCGTTACCCATATTGACGGTGCACCTTGTCTGTGTTGAAATATTGTTGTCGCCGGCTTGGGTTTCGACATGCCCTCTCCGACTTCACATCGGCCCCGCTAGCGGTAGCAGCGGCTCGGGTAGAACCGTGCGGAGATGATGATGTTGATCCCAGTTGGTACTCCGTAAAACGCATCTACCTCTACAACGCCTGAGCTATTCGATTCTTAACACACCGGGATAACGGAACCAGTTGCGAAAGAGCCAAATAACAGGAGGCCTTCTTTCCATCACCCCTCGTCGCCCGTTGTCTTCACAAACGCGACACCGCATCTATCCAAGCGGAAACTCCTGTGCTTCTCGACAGCGAGTACGGCCCATCGACCCAAGTCCCACGCATCACACCAGCTGCATTCTCTAAGATGGCGAATCTCGAGGACACCGCGATTCAGTTCGCAGAGACCATCCAGACAGGCTCGATCAATCCGAATCCATCTGTCGACCGCGATCTAGCTCCTGAGACCTCAATGGACAGCAAACAACCGGTGACTTTGGATCATTCCGCAGACATTGTGTCAGAAGCGGAGCGTGCAGATAAAGATGAGGTTCCACTTTCAATACTCCGGCCATTGCCCGAAAAGAAGAGACAGTCACCACATCTACAGCTGCCGGATCTGCGCTTTGAGCAGAGCTATCTGACGAGCATTCGTGACGCGAAGGGCTGGCAGGACATTGCATACATCACTATCAAAGATCAGGTGAGGGCTAGGAACCCGGGGTGAAGGGAAAGTTGAGAGTGCGACTAATGCATTGAGCAGGTTTTGATGCCCCTGCTTCAAGGATTGGGATGGGTATGTTGTTCTATGCTCGGTGGACTCGTCTTCGCTGGGGACTAATCCATGATAGACTCTTGTAGTAGCTGGCTGGCGGTACTCAAACTCGACAGCAAAGTTTACTGGGACAACCATGGGCGCGAAGCTCAGGCGGTGGTGGTAGGTCTGATCCACGTGTGATTGAGTGAGGGCATTCTTTGGTACAAGAAGCTGATACGACCAAGGTGGCAAACCAACAACTGGATTATTCCAGACCAGTCCAAGAGCAGTGGCCGGTGGAATGACGACAAGACCGCCAGCCAAGTGAGCGAATTCTACTCCAGTCAAGCAAATGCGGGATTCGACTGAGTACTTGCTAGCATTCCCGCAACTCTTTTTTTGCCAACAGGCGATGATATCGAGGCAATGATAATATTGCTTTGTCCGCGAAACAACTGTTTATGCATCAGCTTCGAGCGTCCAAGCGTGTACATTGATCCACGGCTACCAGACTTTGTTCCTGCTTCAAGACTAACCCTTTCACGAGCGACAACATACTGCATCGAAGATTCCACGAGCGACAATATGCTGCATCGGAGATAGCGAGACTTTGGTATCAGCGCGACTTGTTGTCTAGCACTGGCGGGCGGACAGTGCACCGCAAACGTTCTTATCCGCATGAGAAGCGGGATTTGACGGCTGGGACTGAACAACCAGTGACATGATCCGGAAGCAGTGGCTGGGACGACACAACCTCAACCGACCCTGACTTCCAGCCTTGGTACTTGTCACACTGTCTGCCGCATCCGCTTGCTACTCAATCAGCGAGGCATCAGATGGCGTGCTCATCGAAATCGATCTCTCCACATGGCTGCTAGCGGTGGTTCGAGGGAAATCGCAACGGACGACCCCGCACAGTCTTATCTCGACTACAACATCTGCTTTTGTTCGAGTAAAGCTGCCGTTCTCTACATTTGGAAGTCATGGTATCCCTCGGCGTTTGTGCCCGTTTCGACGCAATTCTTCTCGCCTCTGACAACATAGCTTCGAAATACTTGCCGGTGTACCGTAGCTTAGTGCGGCAAGTGGGGCAAAGCCGGAATTTCACGCATTTGAATGGATACAGTTAAAGTTGAAAGTCCACATGAACGACTATGGCTTGTTGCTGGACCAGGAAATGCAAGTACGACGGGAGAGAGCGACGCACGTTCGTGACCCTGCGGTTTCTTGAGTGGCTGCATGCCCCGGCGCCTTGCATGGGGTGCTTCTCAACCTGTGGATTCGAGACCTCTACGGCATTTGCGATCAGTAAAGGCATCGTTTCTCTGTGAAGAAAACATACCGGAGCATCATTCAGCAAGGAATATAATTTTCTTGCGAAATTGTATCCAACACACCTTCCTACATTCCTCTTACCAAGCGAGGAAAGCCTAAGTAGTGCTTGCCACTTCTCACTTCCCACCACACTCCATCTCACCACATCATTACCGAGGCCAAAAGCAGCAACATGTCCTCCAACAAACCAGTTTTCGTAGCAACCCATCCCCGGGCATGCTCGACAGCATTCGAGCGAGTGAGTTGGCGATGTCGAATCACTTCACGAAGCGAGGGCTAATACGCATCTGCAAGGTCTTCATGACTCGCCRCGACAGCATTCAAACAATCCATGAGCCTTTCGGCGATGCCTTCTATTATGGCCCAGAGAGGATGGGCACCCGCTTTGAAGATGACGAGCAAGCTCGCATTGAAAGCGGCTTTTCCGAGTCCACATTCAAGACCATCATGGACAGGATTGAGCGCGAATCCGCAGAGGTGAGACTCCATTATCTGTGCAGTCGCATGTCCTTACACCAGCCTCTATAATGCTTGCTATTGATTGCGTGATCTCTCGTCCTTGGATCATGTTTCCATGCAACACCGGGTGCCCTCTTTGTCCTGCTTCGATGGTGATGCGCGAATCGAGGGTGTCCACTTGAGGATTGGACTGCGACTGCGTTAATAGTCGATCAACCGTACTCACAAATCGCAGGGCAAACGTGTGTTTATCAAGGATATCACCCATTACCTCTTGCCCCCAAATAGCCAAGCCGCTGCCATCGCGCCCTCTCTCAGTCGGGTCAAGCGCGGCGTCGGCACGAACGGATTGCCGGTCTTCGAGGCCGACGATCCGTCGCGGGAGCAGAAGGATGTCGACAGCGACCACGATAGCGGCGTGTCCTTGACTCCTTCGGCTGGCAGTCCCTCTTCAAGCGCGAAGAGTCCGCCATTTCCGTACAAAGATGCGGTGGCAGAGGCTAGGAACCCGACTGTCATGCCCAAGGAAATCTTGGAAAAGTTCCACTTCACATTCTTGATCCGCCATCCCAAGAACTCCATTCCGAGCTATTATCGATGCTGCGTCCCTCCGCTAGTCGAGAGGACCAAGTTCAAGCCCTTCATGCCCGAGGAAGCCGGATATGACGAGCTCCGCCGCCTTTTCGACTACCTCAAGGATTCCGGCATGATCGGTCCTAAGATCTGCGGCCAGGAGAATGCAGAGGGTATCGAAACGAAGCCTGGCGGGGCCGAAATCTGCGTCCTCGATGCCGACGACATGTTGGATGATCCTGCAGGTGTCCTCAAGCAAYACTGCGCTTCGGTCAATCTTGACTTCGACGAAGCCATGTTGAAGTGGGACTCTCCCGAATCGCATGAGTTTGCCAAGGAGCAGTTCGAAAAGTGGAATGGCTTCCACGACGATGCGATCAAATCGACAGATCTGAAGCCTCGTGCTCAGGTAAGTTTCTCGCACCCTGTGCTGTCAGTTTTGCCTGTCCTTGAACATGTTGCTAACTCTCCCCCAGAGGAACGCCGTGAAGAGCGACGAACAGCTCTATGGCGAGTGGGWTAAGAGGTTCGGCCAGGAAGGCGCCGATGTGATCAAGAAGACCGTCGACGAGAATGTCGCGGACTATGAGTACCTCAAGCAGTTTGCTATCAAACTCTGAAGGTAGTGCTGTTGTCCTGACTAGTATAACGAAGACATGACTTTGGGAATGGGCGAATGCGATAGTTCGTGCTTCGGTCACAGTGTGACCATGGAGTAATTCAAGGGTGAAATGAATAAGTTGAAATGCCCAAAAAGACCATATGAGCAGTTGCGCACTTGATGTATTATTGTTGTTGCCATGGCCCCTCTGTATTGCGTGCTCGCGACGACCCGATGTGCGATGCGATGTCCCGAAAGCTCTACACCTTGGTACAATACATTCTACTGTTCTGCGTGCATCGCTACTACGGGACACATGCCGCRAAGTGTACGCCCCAAAGCATCACAATATGCTGTTTCGTGGCGTGATAGCCAATCCTTTACTTGGTAGACTTTTGAATTTATCATCGTTCCCGCAATCGGACGACGCACCCTGGCGATGACATGAGCAGGAAGCGCTGTGGAGAGGCGACGTCATCGCCAACGCCGACATACATGTAATGATTGATGTATCGACTGGTAGCAACACCAAGCCATTGTTCCAATATAATTCCTCCAATCACCCCATCGCTGAGGCAAAAAGAACCCAACAATGGCAAACACTCTCATCTTCGGTGCCTCCGGCAAAGTAGCAAGACACCTCACTCGCCAATTGGCGGCAGAGGGCCACAATGTCTTCGGCATCATCAGAAAGCCTGAGCAGCAAGGTAGTAATTTTTCCTGTATGTCTGTTCAACATGCCTCTAACCATCATACAGACGACGTGAAGTCCCTCGGTGGCAAGCCTATAGTCCAAAGCATCGAGGACTCCTCAGTGGACGACATGGTCAAGACCATCAAGTCCACCAACGCCAGCACCGTCATCTGGGCTGCTGGAGCTGGAGCTGGTAATCCAGATCGAACCAAAGCTGTCGACAATGAAGGAGCTATTCGTAGTATGGACGCAACTGCCAAAGCTGGCGTCAAGAGGTATATCATCATCTCAGCGGTCGATGTAAGGGATCGTGAGAACAAGCCCAAACCTGAATGGTATGATGATGATGATCTGGATCGATCTAATAAAGTCTGGAAAGCTATTGGGGTATGTAACCTCTTTCAAGATGAGACTCTTTGCTGACACTTATTTTCAAGCCATACATGGAGGCGAAATTCACGGCGGACCGCAGTTTAGTCACGGAGAATGACCGTAGAGGACTGGCATACAMCATTGTAAGACCAGGCGGTTTATCCGAGGACCCAGGAAAGGGCACAGTTGCTGCTGGCAAGGTGCACATCAACACCACTATTCCGCGAGAGGATGTTGCTTCGGTTGTTGTTGAAGCGATCAAGCAAGATGGTACCATAGGCCTTGCCATTGATATCGTGGGCGGATCGACACCGATCAAAGATGCAATTGCCGAGGTTGTAAAGGGCAAGGTTGATACATTTTCAGGCAGGTACTAGATATCAGCATCCTGGGGTTTGTAACCCTCGAGCAACGCACTGTGTAGGGCTACCGTAGTTGTATCGTAATACAGCGGCGCCGACATATCGATTACTATAAGTTCCTCTTCTTATTGTATGTGAGACCAGGAGCAGTAGCGGTATCTTCTTTTCATGACTCGTATCGTATGGCTGGGTGGGTATCTCGACGAAGCTAGGAAAGTTCAAGCAATACAATGCCATGTGAGACGGGGCTTTCTAAGCTCCCCATTTCCAGGGCACAAGCATGATCACCCAGAGCGCGAACCAGACCTTTCCACTCCACGCACTGCCGTCAATCAAAAGCCATCTCGCCGTGAAGGCGGATTTCGAGCTGGTTGAAGCAGAGCCTGAAGAGCCGACCCTGATATAGTCAGTAACTAGAAGAAAAACTTTTCGTGGCGTCACTATGACTTACTTGTCGTTGGAAGCTATGATGTTCGTACTCCTACCCCCGGGGCAGAAGATGACCTCAAACCTACCGCCCATCGGCACGATGAATGTGCTTGTTTGGTCGTCCTGCGCAAAAGAATAGGCATCGGGGCAGACACTCTTCGCGGCCTTGGCGAAGTAGTCGGGAGAGCAGGATCCTGCAGGACTATACTGTCCAGTACAGCAGTACTTAGCTTTGTTGTACTTTTTGCAAGCGGCAATACACGGATTAAATGCAGGTCGCACCACGTTGCTATCGGGGTAGGGATAGACGCCGTTACCAGGGGTAGTGGGAGGATTGATTTGTAGATCCCATGGGCACCAGTTTGCAACACTGCTGGCGGTATTCTTGGTGTCAAAGTCCATCGGGCTGGACGAGGTGGTGCCAAGGAATTGCTGGTTGTTGCTGTAAGGATTGAAGTTTTGTGGAGCTAAATTGCTGGCAGTTCCCACGCACGACGGGTYGGTGCTCTTCGCTGGGTAATTCTTGAGAGCGTCGACGCCTTCCGTATTCAGCACAATGGCCATGGGGAGATTGTAACCGTCAACCAAGGAGATGTCGTAAAAGGTTTGACCCTGACTGCCGGCCATTGTAAACTCTGCGAGCGTTGCTGGCGGATTTCCAGCTTGTCTGCAGTCTAGCTGACCGCATTCGCCGGTAGTGCATTGCCCTTGACTCTGGCCATTTGAGAAGGAACAATTTGTGCGTCCCCAGACGCGGCCTTGCCAATCGCTTGCGACGCTGATAGTCCTGCTGGACCCGGCATTCAAAGCGAAGCCTTGTGCTGTCGGTTCATCCCCTCCCTGGGTGACGATGCCTGGCCAGATTGTCTCTTTGCACTGGTTAGAGATGGTGATGCCGAAAGTTTGGTTACTATTCTGTCGTGGCTCCACGCGGCGCTGCATGTGGTGCTCAGCATTTGCAAAGGCGACGAGAACGCACAACGAGAGGAAGACCCGCATTCTTTGGCATGCGGTCAGGTTTTGCAGGCGACTCAAGGGCTAACAGGTAAGTGTGCGAGATAAGATGGGATGGGATGAGATGAAATGGAGATGGAGATGGATTGCTGCAAGGAAATGCGATGAGCTTTGGACGGCGGTGAAGATAAAAGTAAAAAGACATGGTAAAGGCAAGCGATCTGTCGCTTGGAGAAGGCGCGCTTGGACGCATGTTCCAAGTTCCTTCCGTCTGGCGGAGAGACTGCGGTATGGAGAAGTCGTTCGCCAAAATCTGAAACAACTGCTTATCGCTGCGACGCCTTTCCTATTAGAGTTTAGCGCGGTGAATTACTGGGACACTGAGCTGCTGCCGTCTGCTTCGCCCCAAGCCATCACATTGCCTACACGGTCCGCCATCGCTGGAGCTGAGAACAATGAATACCATGAATAGCCGGCTGGATTCCGGTCAAGATGAGATCCATGACCAGCTTTCTCTCAACGTTCGAGTCCAAGGCAGCGTTAACAAATACCCAGCGAAATCGCATGCACGGCGCATAGTGGAGAAGCTAGGAGTTTCTGATGGCCACATCATACTGGCGGCCACACGAGCAGCAAACTGGCCATTCTCTGATATGCCTGCATTCTTCCGGCAATCTCGTTACTTTTATTTTATGACGGGCTGTAATGAACCGGACTGTTATACTACCTACGACATCACAAAGGATGTGTTGACGCTATGGCTACCCCCAATCAATGAGGACAGAGTGGTCTGGTATGGGAGGGGCAGCACCGTCGAGGAAGCGCTAGAAAAGTACGACATCGACAGAGCTCGTTATATCAAAAAGTCAAAGGCCTGGTCGTCAGACGCCACTCGCAACTTTTGTCTCGGTTATATGACCGAAGATGACACGGGACGTTATGTCTTGCCAGGCTCGAACATATACCCACAAGGTCAGCAAGATCTTCGACAAGCCATAGACGCTTGTCGAGTCCTCAAGGACGAATACGAGATCGATCTTATCCGTCAAGCCAATGTGATTACAGGCGATGCTCATGTGGAAGTTATGAGAAATATGCACACCTTCAAGGGCGAATATGATGTTGAGGCTGCATATATGCAAGTGTGTATTGCAAGAAGGGCCAAATTACAAGCATACGATCCGATTGCAGGTTCAGGCACCAACGCGGCCGAGCTTCATTACTCTGCTAATGATGCCGACTTTTGCAAAGGACAGACGATAGTCCTTGATGCGGGCTGTGAAGTGGAGAGGTACGCCTCGGATGTTACCCGTACATTGCCAATAAATTCGAAGGCCCCAGGTTATTGGCCGTCCAAGGAGGCCGAAGAGATCTACAACTTAGTGGAACTTATCCAGGAGGCGTGCATTGAGCAGATGCAACCGGGGAAGCAGTTCATCGAAACGTTTTGGCATGCACATTACATGGTGATTGATGGCCTGCTGAAGCTTGGGATACTGAGGGGAGACCGCGACGAGATATTCCACACTGGTACGTCGCGAGCCTTTCTCCCGCACGGATTAGGCCATCACGTTGGCCTCGAGGTTCACGACCCTCCACCATTATCTTCATCATCTACAGAGCAGACTGAGACCGCCAAGGATCATCATGCCGAGAAGGCTTGCAATGCGTTTGCCAAATGGCGGCCAGAATCAGCCGAGAAAATGATGAGACTGCGGCAGCCAATGAATCCGTCCATCTACGAAACGTCACACTCCAGTTCCGTACTTGCGCCAGGAATGGTGGTCACCATCGAGCCGGGAATCTACTTTAATGATTTTCTCATCAAGAGATTCTTCCTCAATCAGGAAAAAMACAGAAAGTTCATCGATAAGAGTGCCCTAGATCGATACATGCAAGTTGGTGGAGTTCGCATCGAAGATGATATCCTGATTACGAAAACCGGCTACGAGRATCTCACCACGGCGCCGAAGGGGAGGAGGATGCTGGAAATCATGCGAGAGAGTGCCGGGAAGGCTTCTCGTGCGCATTGTTACGATGCCGCCGTCTAGTCGTATCAAGATAGCAGATGTTCGATCGATCGATYGTCACAATTCTGAAAGGTCACTCACGCTCCTGTGGTGTGTAATGCTTAAATTGCTGGTCAAGTCAAGCAAACGCAAATGAGCGAGTTTGCCTCGCGGATGAAAATTCCAATAACGCCAGTTCAATTTGTGTGCTTGCAAAAGGCCTGAAGTCTTTCATGTCGTGGCAGAGCGGGTCTTGCCAGACGTGATCAGATGTCACTGCCATAGGGGAGTGTGAAACAATAACAAACCCGACGCGTTCAAGAGACCAGACCCCGGTCCTTCGTATCCGCTCATCACCACAAAGTCTGGTCCCAAGCCAACAATCACTTTGGCGAACGGTGCAGTTCAGCCCATAGGGCCCACGTAGATAAAAGATGCTCGTGCTCGTCGGCACCATCTTCGTTTCAAAAGGCCGCAAGAAACGGCCGCAGTCGAGCTGCTTTCTGCCGTTCTTGCATTGAAGCGAGATAGCTCCAGACTTGTTGTTGATGGTGGAGCTGCTTCGATTTAGTTTGCGGACAAGGAACAAGGCCACTTCTCCTGAGACATGGTTTCAGAGTATTCATCAGATCGCTGTTGCACTTGAAAAGTTTTCACAGATCGGTGCAAATATAGATCATCAGCCGCCTTGACCATTTGGAGAGGTCGAGTTCTTGTTGTACTTGGACTGCGRAGTGCTCCACGTTCCACCACCGGCGCCGAACAAGAGTGGGCTTCCATAGGTCATGCTGTTGTCTGCAAGCACACGGGGTGCCGGGTCCCAAGCATCAGCCACATTCAGCGAAGCTCTGCTGCGAGCACTACTCGCAGAGTTTACGCGTGAGKGGCCGCGGAAGTGGTTCGTGGGTGGGGAACCGAAGGTACCAGTCGGTAAACCAGTAGGAAAGAAGGACGATGATGACTCGGGATGGTTCCAGATCTTGGAGAGCGAGTGTAGGCGTTCGTGATGTCCCGCCGCGGTGCTTGCCATGCTGCCAGGCGAACGTCCAGCCGGTGAAGTGAGAGTGACATTGGAATGACCGTTCGTCCCGGCCGATGACCCATTTGCCTGATGTGCGAACTTTGGCGCCGTAGCCGCCATGTCGTGAACACTGTCCTCGAGCGCAAACGACACTTCCCCATTTGGGACGACAGCAGGGTTGCTGACAAGCTGTTGTGGAGGAGTCGCAGGATGGTTTGCCTCGTCATCATCTACCAGGTCATCTACCATGCGACTCAATTGAGCATCACGAGACGGTGCCTTGACTGTCTTCGCTTTCTTCGCCAGCGGTTGTGTAGGAAGTGCCTGACGTTGTGTGACTGCGGTTGCAGCTATAGAAGCATAGCTGACAGGCTTGGGCTTTTCTTTGGTGGCCTTCTTAGAAGGAGCAATGGGAGCTGGGTGGTAGTCCACCGGACGTACGATCAACGGCTCAATGTTGGAAATATCACCAAAGAACACTCGCGTCCCGCGGAGATGGATGGGCACATCGGAACCATCGTCGTCGTTCGCCATATTGACACCGTCCGATAAGAAGTCTCTGATACGCTGAAGCATCTCGATATCGGGTGAGAAACGTACAACATTGCCGTCTGATATGCGGTCTTTCAAAACACCGGTCGTCTTAAGGTTCCACGTCTTCTGGACACTGGGAGGACTATCCTTGGTGAGTGGCAGGAACTCCAATGTGTTGGCATCTTCATCGAGCAGATAAGTGAGCTCAGGCAAATCTTCCAGATCCCATATTGGAAACGCTTGWGCAATCAAATCGATCACTCTCGCATAGCTCTTCCAGAATATCGGGATGAAYTCGTGAACAATAGGCTCATCAACAAGACCAGTGACCATCTTGATTGTGCTCATCAGCCAGTTGCTGAGGACACGCAGAGAAGGTAGGAGGCGGCGCCCGACCGTTGTCAGCTTTGCTGTCAACTCGACGTCCTGGTCGTTCATTCCGAGCAATGAGGTGCGCAAATCATCGTAGAATACGCTCAAGAGAGTTGTGAACATGCGAATGTTGGACCGAAGGTAGAAAATGTACGAGTCGCGGAGTGCATCGTTGAGATGGTCCTCTTCAAACCCATTAGCCAAGCGAAAGTTGGGACTGCTGGAAACTTACCTTTGTATCTTTCGCCAGCACAGTACTGAGCTGCGATCCCAATGRGCACCATGCGCATCAGAGTGCGGTCAAGCTCACGTTGCTTGATTACATTTGCCAGCTGGCTGAAGACCTCCTGCTCCAGCTCAGCGTGACTCGAAAGATGTCCGCCTTTGAAGCACGTGCTGTGCATACGGATGAACCAGCCGACCAAATTACGCTTCGAGGCATCAGGATCGTTTGGCAAGCCTTTTGGGATGAGCTCCTTCCTGTCCCATGCAGTGTTGGTCCTGTCGACCTCTATAGCAAGATTTTTTTGGGCGAGGGGAAATGGGTTGGCAATAGTAATGGAGCGGTACAGACTGTAGATCCCGTTCATGTGATCCTTAGTCTTGAGCGCAACAACAGCCTGTTGATGGTGGGCCAGGCCATTAGATGGGCGAAAAGTGACGGCCAAATCGTAGTAACCAAATGCATGTGCATAGCTCGGCTTGCTGTYGAGTTCACTTTCCACACGGTAACGAGACAAGTCTCCGAGGTAACAAAGCGTGCGATAGCAAGAATCATAAGCTCGAGGGATCAACTCGGAAGCGATTGGCGTATAGTGGCTTTCGCCGATACCATTCCCCTTCACATGACGTGCAACAGCCAGCAGATTTGTGTCACCTCCAGAAGCGGAAGCGAGGTGGTTGAGGTAGTTGCGATAGTGCTGTTCGCTGTCCTTGAGGAAGCGCAGATATGTCTTTGCCATGACCCGTGTCTCCACGGGCCGGTCGACGTGCTTCTTGCGCATATCCTTGAGCTGTTTGGCAAATGCTGTCCGGCAATCCAGGTGCGCCTGCCACAGCGCCGGTTGCGCTCGCTCGACTTGGTGAAAATCGGCGAAGATGACTTCCTCGCTCAACGGGCGGTAGCTGTTGAAGGCATCGAGGATCGCCTGCAGCGGCACATCGTGCTGCTTCACAAGTTTGAGGGCATTTTGTTCAGCAGAATGCTCGCGCGCGAGCAAGTCTTCCATGGTTCCGGAATCGTTCGGCGCGCATATGCGCTGTATTCGCCGTGTGACCACGGGTCGGTCAACGGACTGTGCGGAGGGTGGTCGTGGATGATAGATCAGCGCGGCAGCGATCCATCGAGCTCGGTCGGCGGATTCGAGGGTGTCTGTAGCGCCAGTGTGGTGGAAAAGTAAGCAATGTTGTTGCTCCGGAGTTGAGATCGAAGGTCGAGGACTAAGTTGTGGCTGAAGCCAACCTAAAATGTTGCCAAGAGCAGCCACGATTGACGTGAATCATGTGGAGCTACCAAGTCTTCTCACATGCTGCTGGACTACCTACTCCTACAGACTTGCAAAACTATCGACGCTTTGCTTGCAATCACTTCGGGTGACGCATACTTGAAAGCCTGACAAAGTACCACGCCTCACGTGCATGAGCCATTGAACGCTGACTCTAGGGGTCCGCCAGTATCGTCGTCTGATAGCGGCGGAGGACTGTCCGGAGCTTACATGCAGGTACTGTCTTAGCTTCACCGCGCGCTCACCGCATCCAGATCGCCATGGCCAAACGTCAACGAGAGAGCTCCATCTCGGAGCGGTCCCTACATTTGAAGCAGAGTRAGACGGAGGACAACGTCCACACCCCCAAGTTCACTCACTTGGAGATGCCAGACATCAAGGCTGTTAAGATGAAATGCTCCCTGCCTCCGCACAAGACACTCATATTCGACTCATACCCGGAGTACGAGACGCATTACAACAAGGCGCATACAAATCGCTGCAGTGAATGTGACAAAAACTTCCCGAGCTCTCACTTTCTCGGCCTCCATCAATCTGAAAATCACGATCCGATCATGTCCTTGAAGCGAGATCAGGGTGAGAAGACCCTTTCTTGCTTTGTTGAGGATTGCGACAAAATTTGCATGGACTGGCAGAAGCGACGCAGTCACTTGGTCGACAAGCACGGGTTCCCGAAGAACTACGATTTCTTCATCGTGGCAACCGGCATCGACGGCAGACGCAGCATGCTACGGGCTGGGGTAGATCCTCAGGGCCATCGCAGAAGCAGTCGTGAGCGACGAGCTTCTTCCGGCACCATAGATACGCAGACGACCGAGGCTACGTCCGTCAGTCAGCAGTCCGACGATTTTGCCGAGAGTCATGGTGGCGAATTGAAGTCCAAAAAACCTGCGGAAACAGAGGACCAATCAATAGACGCGGTCACCAAGTCGATGTCTTCTCTGCAATTCGTTCCGCGAAGCGTGACGTTCGGTAAACGCAAAGGGAAGTCAGGTTTTGCGAAAAGCTGAGACGTTGCCAAAAGTTTGCGCAAATGTCAAGGGGCTTTTGCCTGCTTTTGATGGACGTCTTGCACAAAGAATACGCATAACTTCGTACAATCATGGAAACCCTTGGTGGATGTGTGACGCGCCACACCATTGACATTGAAGAGTTAGTCACTGGTGGGAGTGTGCCAGACTTCAAAGCATGCTGGCGTCTCTCTACCTGAGGGAAGACGAACAGGTCTACCAAATCAGTCGCGCTATCCGTACGCAGCAGTGCCTTCATCGATGTTTGGCACCCAAGTACAAAGACACACGAGCTCTGAAGAACTAGGCCACCTGGATTGATGGCTGAGTGATGTCGCATCGCAGTCTGATGATGTTCGAGACGGTCGAGAGAAAAGGCGACCAGGTACTCTTGAACGAGGTGCGTACACCACCTTTGCAGTCATTACGTCCTTCTACTGTAATTCCTAGCGTCAAATCATCATTATCAGTGATTGTTGGATTCTCCCTCATCTCTTCTCTGTCTTACCAGGTATAGTTGGCACATATAGTCATCATCAATAAGGTTTGTGTCCACATATCCACGGTGCAGACCACACGCCAATAAACTCAAAATTTCACGAACTTCATCTTTGCTGTGATGACAACTTCCGTGAGCGTCGAGTCGAATTGATGAGAACTAGCCTGAAGGTCTACGCGAGAACTCTTGGCTCTGGGATTGGGATCCGGCGGACAAGACAGTTTTCGGCAATGTCTGCTCTTCGGGCAAAAACCACGGGTCTGCTCGTGAACTGCATCCCAGAGCAAGAACGCGTCACAGTTGTCCGGGATGTGACGCGATCTCTCGATGCACAAAGCAGCAATGCTGATATTGGATTGGCCGCCGCACTATGGAAACTCATTCCGGACCGAGAAATCCAGTCTGAGCTCGTGCTGCATCTTCGAAAGATGGTARAACAAAATGAATCGGATCGTGTCGCTGCAATTTGCAAGGATCACTCGGAATTGGAACGTGAGCTACTTCTCAGTACCATTCCACGCGTCGAAAATGCTGCGAACCTGMTGCGAAGGAACAGTCGACTATGCATTGTGTTTCCTGGGCTCGATTCTGATGGAGAGTCGATTTCTCATCACCTTGAGGAGCCTCAGGATGAAGCAGTCGGCGCCACTGTTGAGAAGATTAAGCAAACTCTCGGGTTCTTGAACCGCATCATTCACCCGGACATAGAGCCTCTCCAAGCTAGATGCCTCCTCCAGTCCTGTCTAGTGTTGATTGGAGCTGTGGACAAAGCGTTATCGCAGGTGGCGCGAGAAGCTCTATTTTCACTCATCGCTGTGCCGCGGAGTCTTGCTTCCGTGGATCAGGAGGCCATATGGAGACGCATCGAGAGCCTGGTGAAATCTGAGGATGCGTACTACAAATCGCTTGCGTTCTCACTATGGCTTCGTTGGCTTTCTAGCCAATCGATGGAGGCTTCCATCTTGCGAAGCTCGAATTACTGGGATTTGATTGTGGATGGACTCCGCAAAGGTGACTCGGAGCGCCGCAAAAGCGCGCTCCAGATTCTACGAGCTTCGATCAATGCTTCGCTCGCCGACCCTTTGCTGACTTCGATGATCGTTGCAGATTCGCAAACAACAACGCCGTGTGAGTATGCTATAGGCCTGAGTCTACGAAGTGCTGACAGCGAGATAGCGCCAGAATCAATTCAAAAGCAATACTACCGCTTCGCGAGCACCTTCGAAACGATCATTCTTGGTCGATACCTGAATCAAGTTGTCGAATGTGAAGCCGATCTAGACTTCCTCTCCTCTTCTCAATCGGTTGTTCGGCCTATATTCCTGTATACGCTCCTGTCTTCAGCGCTGGACCAGAAGCTGCAGGACTCCAACCGCAAATTCATTGGATCTTGGATCATGCGATCAAATCTCCGGACCGACGATGCGGACGAGTTTATGGGATTCTTCCGGAATGACTTCCTTCCATGGGTCAGTGCCGGGACACTTTTCACCTCGAGTTTGGGAAGGCAACATAGCCATATTCGAAGCCAACACGGGGACAGTTTGTCGCGCTACGTGGCGAACCTCTTGTCGAATTACCCCCAGCGTGCTAGTAGCATAATCGACTGTATTCTGGATAGCATCCTCGCTCGACACGGCAACAACTTTGCTTATGCAATGGTATATCTGGTCGAAGGTATTGGCAATGCTCTAGAGACCTCTGATGGTCTAAAGCTCAGTGCCGAGCAATTAGAGAAGCTCCTGAGAGTCGCTACTTACCCAGGTTTGCCAGAGGTGGTCCGCGATTACGCACTTGCTAGGTCTTGGAAACTGTGCTGCGAACACGTACGATCAAGCTCCAGTGGATCCGGCTCTAGTGATATCTTGGTATCAGCAGCAAGAGCATGGGAAGAACTGCGAGTAAAGTCCGACAATCTCGGCAACATGGCATACTCYCAGCGAGATGGAGACATTGCTTCAATCACCCTTCCACCTTCGAAACGAGAAGTCAACGAGCAAATCGCTCTCGAAAAATGTCGTGGAGCCATCAACGGTACGAGCGGCTCATTAGACAATGAGAAGCTTGAAGATGTCTGGAGCGACGTGGAATATCTAGAATATCCAAAAGGACTTCTGACTGCGCTGCCAGGGCTGATCCTGCACCCCAATGTGATTAAAAATGTCGTCGGGGCGCCTTCAGACAACGAAGCCTTGATAAGAACGTTGGTCAAGCGGACCAAAAATATGTTCAAACTTGCTGAGAGCAGGTCATATTTATTTCCTCCACTTGTGGAATCTCTCCGCACAGTGGTGCTACAGTTTCCGGAATCTGTATCTCTTCTGCACTTCGATGATTTGATCATACATTTGGCGGGCCATCCTCCAGCACCGACCATGGATGCACTACTCGAGGAGGCTACGATCAACCTTCTGCAACCTATCGATCCACGAACGGCAAAGCTCAGTCGTGAGTTCTACTCTGGCCGCCGTGAGAGCTACGGATTTGCAGCGCTAATAGACTTGGCGAGTCGCTTGAACGGGGAGCCTATGCGCCAGGTACTGAATGCATTGGTGCAAAGATGGACAGACCAAAAGACTCCGGCACCAGCTGTAAGCCATTGGAAGACCTCTTTGCAGCTGCAAATCATGCTTGTGTGCTCGGAAAGATTCTTCCCCACCGCAGACGTCTTAGATGCCGCCCGAGTGCTGCAAGATTTGCATCACATTCTGTCCGTTGAGCCAATGCCTACGTATCGATATCTCATTGAGTGGGTTATCGCCCGCGTCTACATTCACCACCCGTCGCTACGAGTAGAGTTTCTGGAGAAGCTGAGTACCAAAGATCATCATTCGAATCCCAAGTACCTGGCATCCTTGATGAAGCTAGGTGTCATGATGGTAAAGAGTGATGACTCGGCAGAGTCGTTTGCCCTGCGATTATGCACCGCATTCGTGCCTCTTGCTGCCTCTTCCAAAGTTGTCATCAGGCACGAAGCTCAGTGGCAAGTGCCGATCCTGTTCGAGCATGCCAGGAACAAGAAGTGGGCGTCTGTGACTAGCAACCCTGCATTTGAGGCTCTGGATGACTTCATCCGCAGCCTTGAACGATTCGACGATCCACCCCTTGAGCGACAGATCGATCGGCTGGATCCTATCAAAGATCACCATCTGACTCACCTTGTCTCGGGATCTTGGTGGGCTCTGGACCAGGTTGAGCAGCCATTGTGTAGCCACAGTGATTTTATCGACTTGTACGCCAATGATACAGCCCAGGGGGTCACTCTTCAACCGTCCTGTTTCCCACTAGGTCCATCTCCTTCAGCCGAAGTCACTGAACCGATTGCCACATCCATCTTCCAATCGCCTGCCAAGAGCAACCTCAAAACAGCGCAAAACGTTGCCTCGATCGATCAAGCACTCTCAAGCGAACCGACTCCAACGACTGCCCTCCAAACTAAAGGAGCAGCATACCTCTCCAACACTCGAGTTCGCCACTCTAACCTCTTCGTCATCGCCTCCCTAGTAGACAACCCCTACAACCTCGGCGGACTCTCCCGCGTCTCCGAGATCTTCGGCGCTGGCGCCCTCTACCTCACCAACCCCCAAGTCACATCCGCGAAAGACTTTGTCTCCGTAAGCGTTTCCTCGCACCATCACATCCCAATTCTCCCATTAGCTGCCGACGGGATAGCGGAATTTGTCGCGGCGAAGAAGAAGGCGGAAGGATTTAGCGTGGTTGGGATTGAACAGACTGATCGATCTGTCATCTTGGGTGAAGCAAACTGTGTTCTTCCAGAGAAGTGTATATTGGTGCTAGGGAGCGRGAGGGAGGGAATTCCGGCTGCAGTGCTGAGCGAATGCGATGTCTTGGTGGAGATTGCGCAGATTGGTTTGACGAGGAGTTTGAACGTGCAGACTGCGGCGGGAATTGTGCTGTGTGAGTATGCGAGGCAGCATAAGAAGTAGTCGATCATGTAGGGCTACGGTAAAATGAGCCCAGCTACACCGACGCTCAAACATGGAAAGAACTTCGAAGATGGCAGGAAAGTCTTGTTTCGAGAGCAGCGGTTGTCAGAAGGGCTGTGAACCTTTGTAGGACTAGTATGTACAGGGCATCAGTGCCAAAAGTGATAGTAAACATGGGGTATAAGGTAAGGTAGGTAACATCGTCATCACGTCGAAACACTCGGTTTCGTCTTCCGCTTCGAAAGTAAGCTCTTGAAAGCCCCCAGCCATTTCGCCAAACTTTCCTCATCGAAAGCACAAAACCGATAGTTGCGCTCCTCGCTAATGACCTGCATACAGGACCTCTTGCTCTTAGAGATGGCGTCAATCTCCACAGCATCGATTATACTAGCAAATGGGAGCACGATCATCGCCGTGTACTCTTCCTCAGTCTTGTAAACTACAAGGCCTTTGGGTCGGAGGACCATCCAAACTTTCTTCCATTGTCTCACTCCAGAGGTGGACTTTAATAGGTGTATCCAGCCGTGACACATTACGCGCTCATCGTCGGAAGCGCGAGAAGATTTCCGATTCTCACCCAGCTTGTGATCCTCCAAGCCGAGGGCAATGCCAGACAGCTGACTCGGGTTCCTGGTCCCTGCGGGAGGTCGACCAGCTGCTGAACCATAAACAGAGCTCGCGGGCGGTGGTGCTGGGCCGCCTGTTGGGGGTCGGGCGTCGGTATGTGAGAGGGAAAGAGCAGACATGCGAGCTGTCGGACCCAGGGCGGAGTCAGAGAAGTCTGAATATGAGCCATGCTCGGCACCGGAGTAGTCAGCGTGGGAAGCCTGACGATTGGCCATGGCCACACTGGCACGATGATTCCGTTTCGGCAGTGACTGGCTTTGCGAGTATGCGTCGGCATCGGAGGAGCTGTACCCTGCAGCCCGATCGTCGGCCAGAGGACTTATGTTGGCGTCGATGCTCCTCTCGAAGCCCCTGTAGGAAGCATTCGCACCGCCCGGACTTGCCAAAAACATCTCATCCTCTTGCATATCCATACGCGACTCCCTTCGAATCGCCTCTACCCATGCCTGCGCCTCTTCTTCCGACGCCGCTTCGAGATGGAAGTTGCGCGAGGGCGAGAACAGGCCAAAAACATGTTTGTCACGCCTCTTGGGATCTCTCTGGCGCGCAACGGCCGTCACGTCGCAGAGATTGAGTTGGTGACGCAGTTTGGACTCGTCTTGGTGTTTGTAGATGGAGATGATATTGGGGCGCAGGACGATGTAAACCGGCTTCCAGTTCTTCGTCTTGCGAGTGCGTTTGAGCAGTGGGCCGGCCTTGACAATCTTGTCGAAATCGTAGCTACCATTGACGCCCACCGGCGAGCGCACGTCCAGCGTTAAGCTCTGTGGCGGCGCGGTCGTCTGGACAATGGGTCGCGGCTGCGTGCGGGTCTGGGAGGCGTCCATTGTCGTTGATGTTGGGGAGGCTTGGATGCTGTGGTTTTGCATGTCGGTGGCGAGGCTATCGAGCAGACGGACCTCCCACTCGCACGCAACGCACCCTTATTCACCGGGGCCAAGCGAATGTCTCAAGGGTCAATCATGTCGTCTCCYTCAAGGTCCAGGAGCTCACATGAGCAGGGATGTGGTTCCAAGGGACGGCCGAAGCTTAAGGTAAGCTTTGGCATTATGCAGGGCTTCCCCACAAATCCACATGAATCCACGCTAGGCTTTTTTCAAGACTCACTGGACACAGATCAACCACGTTTGCTCCCAAATTACTTACTCTTACAATCTTCTCGCATACACTCTGTTGAATCACGAAAGATACCCTGGACCGCGCATGCTGGGTGAGAACAACAGTGACGTCACATCCAGCGATACACGTTCAGGATGCCTATGATACAGCCATCTCAGCTGGCAAAACTTCAGCAGGAAGGCGACTCCGTGCGAAACATATGTATACTTGCTCATGTAGACCATGGAAAGACATCTTTGACCGATGCTCTTCTCGCCACAAATGGCATCATCTCTCCCAAGCTCGCGGGCAAGATCCGCTATCTGGACTCCCGGCCCGATGAACAGTTGCGTGGAATCACAATGGAATCCTCTGCAATATCCCTCTACTTCTCATTACTGCGAAGAAACGCTCCCGATGCAGAGCCCGAGCACAAGGAATATCTCATCAATCTGATCGACTCGCCGGGACACATCGATTTCAGTTCCGAGGTTTCGACTGCCTCGCGACTTTGCGATGGCGCCGTCGTGCYGGTCGATGCTGTGGAGGGTGTCTGCTCGCAGACAGTCACTGTGTTACGGCAAGCATGGTCTGAGAAGCTCAGGCCACTGTTGGTAATCAACAAGATGGACCGCTTGATCACTGAGCTAAAGCTCAGTCCGGGCGAGGCTTACACTCATCTATCCAAGTTGTTGGAACAGGTAAATGCTGTCATGGGTAGCTTTGCATTGGGTGAGAGAATGGAAGATGATTTACGATGGAGAGAGCGGATCGAGGAGAAACGTACTGCTGCGAGCGCCGCAAAGGAGCAGGAAGATGGCACTAAGAGCCAGCGCGGCGGCAGCAAGACTCAGGATGATCTACTTGATGAGCTGAATGACTCTACCAATGAAGCTCCAGCAGAGTACCTCGAAAAGGAAGATGAGGACATCTACTTTGAGCCCGAGAAGAACAACGTGATTTTCAGTTCTGCTATCGACGGCTGGGCGTTCACCCCACGACAGTTCGCAAGTTTGTACGAAAAGAAATTGGGCATCAAACGGAAAGTACTGGAAAGGGTTCTTTGGGGAGACTTCTACCTGGATCCAAAAACAAAACGCATCCTGGGGCCGAAGCATCTCAAGGGTCGCAACCTGAAGCCCATGTTTGTTCAGCTTGTCCTCGAGCAAGTCTGGGCAGTATACGAAGCGACGACTGGAGGTTCCAACAACAAGGGCGACTCGGCATTATTGGAGAAAATCACGAAAGGTCTCAACCTGAAAATACCGGCTCACATCATGCGGTCAAGGGATCCCAAAGCTCTTCTCTCTGCCGTGTTCGCCGCTTGGCTTCCGCTGTCAACTGCACTCTTGGTCTCTGTCATCGAGACTTTACCGTCACCTAAAGCAGCGCAAGAGAGCAGGATGCCGGCACTTTTAAAGCAGTCGCCGGGCTCCGAGCAAATTGCTACTGACATTCGTGACGCTATGGTGCATTCCAACTCAAAGATTGGGCAGCCCACGGTCGCATATGTTAGCAAAATGATCTCGATACCGGAAAGCGAGCTACCGAACAACAAGCGGCGAGGTGGAGTGCTCACAGCGGAAGAGGCCCAGGCGCTTGGCCGTAAGAAAAGAGCTGAAATTGCCAAAGCACAAGCACTTGCCGGTGAGGAAGCCAACATCGACTCAGTGGCAGACGCATTGAGCACTGCTGCTATTGGTGACGAAGGCGACCTCGACAGCGCGACAAACGGCGAAGCAGAGCAGAACAATGATCCTGAGCATTTGATCGGCTTCGCGCGACTTTTCTCCGGTACTCTCACTGTAGGAGACGAAGTCTACGTCCTCCCTCCCAAGTTTACACCGGCACGACCTCACGCCCAGCCACAGCCGAAAAGAGTCACTATAACTGCTCTCTACTTGCTCATGGGCCGGAGTCTAGAGTCTCTGAACTCGGTTCCTGCTGGTAACATTGTTGGTATTGCCGGGCTGGAGGGCGCAGTTCTCAAGAACGGCACCATCTCGTCACACTTGGAGGGTGCACCAAACTTGTCGTCTACGACAGCAATCTCAACAAACGCGCCAATTGTGCGAGTAGCTTTGGAGCCCGCCTTCCCGGGAGACCTTGATAAGATGATCCGCGGTCTGCATCTCCTCGAACAAGCCGATCCTGCGGTGTCGTATGAACAGCTGGAAAGTGGAGAACATGTCATCCTCACAGCTGGAGAACTGCATCTGGAGCGCTGCCTTAAAGACTTGCGAGAGCGCTTCGCCAAGTGTGATATTCAAGCTGGCGAGGCGATTGTACCTTACAGGGAAGGCATCGTCAAAGCCGAGGAGATGAGTCCACCTCAGGATCCAAAGTTGGGTCGCGGCAGAGTCGAGGGTGTGACATCCAGCAAACAGGTGACTGTGCGTCTCAGGGTTGTTCCCTTGCCGGCGCCCGTTACTGAATTCCTAGTAAAGCACAGTAGTGCTGTAAAGCGACTGTATTCCGAACGCAAGGCGCAGGAGGAGGAACGAGCGACCGGGAAAGTCGATGACGAAAATGCTGAAGAGCAAGAACATGATATTGAAGCAGACGACGACGCAGGTGACGCTGGGCAACAACTTTCCACGGCAGAGTTCAAGCAGCGCCTCCTTGAGGCGTTCGGCGAAGAGAAAGCAGACAAGGAGCTGTGGAGTGACGCCGTTGAGAAGATCGCTTCTTTCGGACCTCGTCGTGTGGGTTCAAACATCCTCATCGATGCGACAGAAGGAGCTATCTGTGGCAGATTCCTCCACGAAGATGGAGACCAAGTCGACGCTGCTGAGGACAAGCACTTCTCTGCCCTCGCTGACAAGATTGCGTACGCATTTCAGCTTGCTACTTACCAAGGTCCAATGTGCAACGAGCCCATGCAAGGCGTCGCCGTCTTCCTGGAAAATTTATCGACTGAATTATCACCAGATGAGGTTAGTGCGAATATGGGCCGTCTAACGGGTGAAATCATCCGCACAGTCAGAGAGTCCATCCGTCAGGGTTTCCTGGATTGGAGCCCTCGAATCTTGCTGGCGATGTACAGTTGTGAAATTCAAGCTTCYGCAGAGGTTTTGGGCAGAGTATACTCCGTCATCACTCGTCGAAGAGGACGGATTGTCAGCGAATCGCTCTTGGAACCCTCGACAAACTTCACGATCCTTGCTTTGTTGCCCGTGGCGGAATCATTTGGTTTCTCCGATGAGATTAGACAACGCACCTCTGGTTTTGCGGCGCCGCAACTGGTCTTCGAAGGGTTTGAGATGCTGGATGAAGATCCATTCTGGGTACCTTTCACGGTAGATGAGTTGGAAGATCTTGGAGAGAAGGCAGATAGGGAGAACGTTGCGAGGAGGTATGTTGATGCCGTCAGGGGGAGGAAGGGCTTGGCAGTGAAGAAGAAGGTCGTGGAGAGTGCTGAGAAGCAGAAGACTTTGAAGCGGTAGATCATATAAAGGAGATATTTGTCAATCTCGATGGGTTCAGGTCGACAGCACTCATTTTGTTGCAGCAACGGGAATTCCCTCACTTCGTCGTCGAGAACAGTGTCCCATGTGAGTCGTCTTGGAGAGCCGAGGCCTGATCGGGTGACCGATACTTCGGCAGATCTCTTACCCCGAAGGCGAATTCACGTCGATGCTTCTGCCATCTCAACATCACCCGAAAAATTCTCAACCCGAGAAAGAGGCAGAAGAAGCCATGGGGTGGTTGGACGAAGTTCCCCGTGCAGGTGGTCTGTAAGTTGGACGACGTCGAACCGGAAAGAGAGGTTGAAAATTGACTTCAGACAGGTACATCGGCGGACTTCACGCACTATTTCAGAAGCAAGATCTCTTCAAGAAGGAGAGGATCACTCGTAAGATATTACGCACGAGACCTCTTGAGGAAGCTGTCCGTTGTTGTTACACCATACGGGCCATTTTTAACATGGCCATGGGTTCCCAACGCAACAGAATCTTCAGAAGCCACCATCATTGCTTCATTCAATTACTGACTGATGTTGTTAGACATCGTCTCCGTAATAGACTTCGACTTGTACGAGAACGATACCTTCAGCCATTACAAACGCATTCAAATCAAACTGGATGATGATCCCAACGAGAACCTCCTGGAACATTTCCCTGCCACGAACGCCTTCATCAGTGACGCTCTGAAAGACGGTACCGGACGTGTCTTCGTTCACTGTGCCATGGGTAAATCCCGTTCTGCGACTATCGTTTGTGCATACTTGATGTTCAAATACGGTGTTTCTCCAAGCAAGGCTTTGGAACAGCTATGCGAAGGACGGCCGGTCTGCGAACCCAATCCCGGATTCCAGGAGCAGTTGCGTGTGTATGAGAAAATGCTGAAAGCGAAGGACGAGAGTGAGAGAGACGGGGTCTATCAGCATTGGATCAAGAATCGATATACGGGGACTTGGTACTCTGGTGAGTTAATTTGTCGTTGTCGTTGTCGTTTCTTCTTGCTGTTTTGTGAAGAGATAACTGTTTTAATTTCTATGAGCTGTCACATGAGAGCTATGTTTGATGGTGCCGCCGTATCGTCTTCCAACCTGAGCACTCCTAAGATGTCAACACATGGACAGACCTGCTACCACAGGCATGCTGCAGTTGTCCGTCTATCAGAGCAGTCATCATGTCAACAGCCATCTTTGTGACCATCTCGCAACGTCCCTCGCAGGAGCAAGTGAGGATCTCCATTCACACACCATCGACTAACACTCTGACACAGATATGCGGCAACAAGCATGGAAATTGTAGCCAATGAGGATGCCGCGACAGCACTGGCGCCAATTCCAATGGTCCTCATGCAGGTCCAGTCAGCTGCCAACAAGAGTGAAGCATGTGCGGGAGAACAGAGTCGGAGATACAGCCAGAATTYTGGGAGGGCCTCCTAGCTTCATGGCTTCCAGAGCCCACCATATCACCACCATATTACCACCACAACACTCGCGACACTCTTCAATGAAGCAATGCAAAGCACCACTATGCCTATACAAGGGCCCTCAATTTTTTTGGACCTTGTATTGTTCATTTTCGACCATTGTCCGGCATGCAACAATCGACTTACCGCCAACTTCCCCGAAGCCACCCCCATCGATCCCCAGCTCACACCCACTGGAGCCTGGACACTCTCCCTTCACTCTCCCTTCCACCGCCCAAGCTCTCAAGCTCCGTGTTTCATGATGTCGCTGCCGCCTCCGACGACGACTACTTGAGCTACACTTCCACCAGCTCTTTAATCCTCTTCTCCTCCCATCAACATCCCAAGAAGCCATTGACCACTGCACATCTTCGCCTCATACAACAGTCTTGTGGTCAGCCATCTAACAAGCATCTCAGCCAACTACTGATCGTTCTATTGTCAACCTTCAAGGTTTCTGACAATAGCAATGGTATGTAGCGGATATCGCCGATTTTTTCCTCATTGTCGCACAATCTCGTACTAACTTATTTGCCCTTTCAGGATCGCTTCAACTCCAAGAAGCTCATGGAGAGCAGCAAGCGCATCACTCGGTTCAACATGAAGCAGTTCAAGAGCATCTTCCCGTTCCTGGAGCTGCCGGCGGAGTTGCGCAACAAGGTACATTCCAATATCAAGCCGTTCCCGTCAGATCGAGTATCTGGAGCATACAGCTGACCATCTTCTTCCTTCCAGGTATACGAGTACGCGACCACCGACCCGCAGCGGCTCGCCGACTTTTTCGACAAATACTACGAGCGTCTCCTCGCGGCTCGAGCCAAGCCTCTACCATGGGTCTGGCACGACGAGAACAACAGCCGTATGCTGGCACCAYCAACCAAGAAGGCACCCAACGTCTTCCTCATCAATAAGCAGATGTACCACGAGGCATCTTACATCTTCTACCACGTTCGCAGCGTCAGCTTCCACCACGGAATGCTCGAACTCCGCTCCGTCTACGAATTCATCTCCCCACACATTCTCAAGAACATCAGCGCCATCAACATCACCGACTCTGGCCACAACGAGATTATCCAGCTCGACAACCCAGGAAAAACCATCTCCCTTCCGTGCTCATGGAACGGATACATGCGCCTCATCTCCCAGCTCGGACGTGGTCTCTCCCGCGGCGGCCACAAGTTGAAGGAGTTTACCATCGACTTCAGCAACGACGAGCGGTTGGAGGAACACTTGGTTCGCTGCCAGAATTCAAGTCATGTCTGCGGCTTCCGTGACCAGGCCCGGACCGCGTTGGATACCCTCCGCGGCATTCGCGGAGTCGGCCGTGTTACGCTCAAGGGTCTCAACCCAGAGTATGCTGCCAATCTCAAGGCTCGCATGGAGAGCAAGGCAGTCGTCTTTGCCGACTTGCCCAAGAGTGTCCGCAACATCGTCTACCGCGAAGCTTTGGGATTCGCCAACATCTCCGACGCCATTATGCGGGCAGTTGATGGTCGGCCTCAGATGCGCAACAAGAGCTTCCCGTACCCACTCCTGACCACTCCAACCGTTCTGCTCATGAACAAGAAGTTTTCGGCTGAGGCGATGGAAGTGCTTGACGACTGCAAGCACGTTCTGAAGTTCGACCTTCCAGCCGCCCACCACATCAGACCGGCGGAAATGCCAAAGCTCAGCAGATTCGTCGGCCGCGAGACTCTCAAGTCTGTCCGCTCCGTCAACATCAACATGCAGTCCCGAGACTGGCTGGAGTCGCTCGATTGTCACTTGATCAGTGCTTTCACATCTCGTTCCAGCAAGCTTGTGTCCTTCGAGCTGACCTTCCTGGATGACAAGATCGGCCACCAGTGGCCCCAGTACCCAGACGCCTACCTGCTCGACCACCTCATCGGCTTGCGCAGCATCCGTGACCTTGACAGTGTCAAGATCTCTGGCACTCTCCCGCTGTGTTTCACTGATCCTCTCGCCTCCGCCATGACCACCCCCTACCGCTCCCGACTCCCGAAGTTGAGGGCCAAGTGCCGTGGCAAGATTGTCGAGCTCCGCCACGAGATCGACTACGATCACCACGTCGCCAAGTAGCTCGCCACATACCTAGAAGAGGGATCGCTGTACAGATGACCAACTTCCAAGGAGATGACGCTGTCGGAATGGCGACCCACAAGAGATGGTTCTCGGGCCTACGGCTTCTCTACTCACATTTTGCGGCATGCTTTGTTTGCATTTCGTTTTGTTTCTGTTCCAGTGCTGCAGGCAGTGTTTTTGGCACCACGTGTGCATGGGAAATGGTCTGCAACTTGCGCACACATGGGACGTGCTACTGTTGTTCTTTTCTGCGGGCKGATACATATGAGCGGCAACTCTCGGTGGCTTACGACAGGGAACAACTCAGGAAGGGCCGTATCTTCGTAAAGTTGCTCAATTAAACAAAGCTTCAAAATCAAGATCAGCGTTGTGGTTGTTGCCGTTATTGTTACTGTCGTCGCCGTCCATGCCCTCGAAATTTGCCAGGTCCATGAGATCGTCAAAGGTGGTGTCTCGCTGCTCTCCGGAAGCCTGCTGGTCCAATCCTGTATTTTGGCCACCGTCGCCGGTGTTGAAGAAGGAACTGAAATCCATCACGTCGGCAGCTGCATTCTGTTGGGTATTTGCGTAGTCTTCCAAGCCAGGCAATAGGGAGGAGATATTGTCATTATCCGCACCTGTGGAGTCAAAGCCAGCGCTGAAGGAGCCGAAGTCCAGCTCGTTGGAGTTGTTCTGATCGAAGTCAAAGGCATTAGCAGCAGCGGCATCTTCGGCGCTGATGGGATCGTTGAAGAGCGAGTCCATGTCTCCAGTGGCTGTGTCCGGTGCCTTCTCCTCTCCGGATTTGGAGTCTACTTTGGAATCCTGTTCGGCTGTTGCAGTCTCAATGGAAAGCCCGTCATGCTGAGGAGCGCCTTCCTCCTTGCTACTTCCGTTGGCAGCTCTAGGTACTGCTTCTCTACTCACATCCTCCGGACTCGGCTTCGCATCAGGACTCGGTTTGGTGACAGGCTTTTGATCGACTTCGGCAGCCGGCGGCACTGGCTTCTCCTCTATCACAGGGAAATCTGGTGCTGGATCATGCGACTGGTCTTGCATGGCAATGTCTTCCTTGAAGATCTCTTCTGCCTTCCCAAGGCCGACTTCTCCCAGATTTGAGGTACTCGCGACGGCCTTTGGTGTGGTGAGAGACTCACTCGGAACCTTGGGAGCTGCTTTGCTGTCTGTATTAGACTGTTCCCTGCACACTGCAAGATCGCGACGCATCACTAATGCCGCCATTTGCTAGAGCTTCTCGTTAGGTAACGGCAATACACCCTTCATCTGCCTAAACATACAAGTTCATTCTCGAGTTGATCCAAAGCTTGATGGAAGCGTTTTGAGGCAATCGGAATCGTATTCTGCAGCTTTGTGATATGTGCGACGGGCGGGACCTTTGGCGTCGAGTTCACAGCGGCGAACACCCTGCCTGTCTGCTCGAGCTGGCAGGGTGTTAATGCAGGCAGGCGGTCGGGACGGAAGCGTACATACCACGAGATTCACCTGTGCCTGCAGCTCGTCTAGCAAGGCGCCGTGGTCCGTATTGCTAGACATGACGAGATTGGAGAATGATGTGATGTGATGTGGTGGGAGACTCGAGAGACTAGGTATGTTTTTTATGCCACTTCTGTGTGACATTAAAGGTATGGTCAAAGATGTTGTTGAAGCACTGCAGGCAACATGCCTGCGTGCTGGGCTTAAACCTTGGAAGGAACGGCGCGTCGGCACTTTGGTTGAACCCTGTCACTCTCACTCAGCTTCAGCTTCAGCTTTCCTCTTCCAGCTTCCTTCACGACTCCAACAATCTCGAATTCGGTCTTCTCCCATCGCAGCGGAGAGACGAACAGATTTTCCTTTGTGATCTTCCTGATACACGATTCTTTTCTCTCTTCTCAGCGTCTGCCTCTGCGTCTGCTGCTGCTGCAAGTCTGAGCTCTCCTTTGTCAGTTCTCTCCAGCCGTCGGGGTCTTAACATCCCCCTCCAGCGGCCGCTTCGTCTGCTTCTCCCTTCTTTTCCCATTTCTAATCAATCTTTTAAGGCTTTTCTCCTTTTACGCGTCGTCTCCTGTCCTGCTATAAGTTCCGCACACAATGGCCGACCCGAACGCCATCGCCTCGCTTCCGCAGCCGCCCACGACCAGCGCTGCAGGCTTCGAAAATGGCTCCGGCAGCCATATGCCCCCGCCGCCGCTTGCAGTCAACACCAGCATGGCTGGCTTCAGCGTCGGTTCTCCGACCAGTGCTGGAGTGAGCCGCACTGCCCCAGAACCCGTAAGAACACAGCACACCATGGCCACATTCTGGCAGGGCGAATGCTGATAATGAGGAAAAGAACAAGCGAGCGCTGTACGTTGGCGGCTTGGATCCGCGTGTCACCGAGGACGTCCTAAAGCAGATATTCGAGACAACAGGGTAGGAATTGAGTAACATGTGCGAGCATTGGCCAATGCTGACTCGGCCGCGCTCCAGGCATGTGCAGAACGTGAAGATCATCCCGGACAAGAACGTACGTTGAATCCCACAACCCATATGACAGCCAGGCGCCAACCCGCTTGCTCCGCCCTCCACATGACCAAACACTCATATTGTACTCTTATCATTTGCCGAACACCTCCATTCATTCTATCCAAACACCAAACATCAAACATCCACACCTCACTTGACATCACCGTCCCTCACAATAGCAGTTCTCTGACCGGTGTAGTTCCAGTCAAAGGGGTTCAACTACGGATTTGTTGAATACGACGACCCAGGTGCCGCCGAGCGAGCCATGCAGACGCTCAACGGACGCCGTGTGCATCAGCAGGAAATTCGTGTTAACTGGGCCTATCAGTCCAACACCACTTCCAAAGAAGACACGTCCAATCACTTCCACATCTTCGTAGGCGATCTCTCAAACGAAGTCAACGATGAGGTGCTTCTGCAAGCGTTCTCTGCTTTTGGCACTGTCTCCGAAGCACGTGTCATGTGGGACATGAAGACCGGACGTTCGCGGGGCTATGGCTTCGTGGCTTTCCGTGATCGATCGGATGCAGAGAAGGCGCTCAGCTCTATGGACGGCGAATGGCTGGGATCACGTGCAATCCGCTGCAACTGGGCGAATCAGAAGGGCCAGCCCTCTTTCTCTCAGCAGCAGGCCATGGTCCAGATGGGCATGACTCCAACGACTCCCTATGGTCACCACTCTTTCCCAACTCAGGGAGCGCAATCGTACGAGATGGTGGTTCAGCAGACGCCACAGTGGCAGACCACTTGCTACGTTGGTAACCTCACTCCTTACACCACTCAGAACGATCTTGTGCCTCTGTTCCAAAACTTTGGCTATGTCACGGAGACTCGCTTCCAGTCGGACCGTGGTTTTGCATTCATCAAGATGGATACTCACGAGAACGCGGCAAATGCCATCTGTCAGCTGAGCGGGTATCAGGTGAATGGCCGTCCGCTCAAATGCAGCGTAAGTTCTCCCTTGCATTGTGTCGAGCGAATAATACTGATTATCTTCCAGTGGGGTAAGGACCGTCCTCCCACCGGTCAATTCGATGGTTTCTCCCCAACTCAGGCGCCACCTTCGGCCTACCCGCAGACCCCGCAGGCCTTCTTCCCGCAATATGCTCAGCCWACTGCTATGTCTCCACAAGGTGAGTTCATTCGTGCATAAAACAATTCGCTTGACTAATTGTACTAGCAGCAGCGACTCCAGCCGGCCAATTCCAACAACCGAGCCCGGGTGCATGGCCCGCCAACATGGCCCCACAGCCCATGCATCCTGGTCAGCCCGGATGGCCAGCCCAGCAGATGCCACCGCAGAGCGCGGGAGGCTACGGTGGTCAAACTCCTGGCGGCTACATGCCACAGCCCACTGCACAGCCTCCCGCTCCTTTCGGCCGCGGCGGCTACGGTGGCTACCAGGGCTGATTGGCGTCTCACCGAGAGGCCCAATCGCCCCGTCGAAGGCTCTCCACTCCGTACGGACAGCGATCCTCGTCTCATGATCAAGGGCTGTGATTTCGACCCTTTGCTACTACTTAGCGATGTGTTTTTGTCATTTCCTACCTCTTGGATACCCCGGCATCGATCGTGTATGAGGAAGCCTGCCTGCTTTCGGATAAGCAGAGCGGGACAAGGTTACTTTGCGTGTGATTGATAGGCATCATCTAAAATGGCGATTAAGTGAGATGGGGAATGTCATATCTAGGCCTTCAAAATGCTGTGATTGTTATTACTTATTGCTTTTTTCTCTCTTGTCGTGTGCAGATATGGCGTTGTCGACGGATCATGCGACGCTATTTCATTTGGTCAATCTGTCCTGGTGACATCTGACCAGCTTGCACAGCATCTTTGCAACACTAATTTGATTGCAAGGGTTTTGATGAAGCCCTGCTAGGTATGATTTCATTCAGTCGTCGACGCGTGTAACTTCTATCACGCTAGCGTCACGCCAAGAGTACTGCAACACCAAAAGATCCCCTCGTACCAGACATCATCTCTGCTGCAAACCACGGACTTCGGGATACACATGCCGGCGGTGATGAGCGCCACGAAAATTGATTCGAACAGCAAGCCGCCGCGGTTTCAAGAGCAGCGACGCAATTAATATTGCCCGCAGTGTACGGAGTAGCACCAATGCTTTGCTCGATCATCGAGAAGCGGGATGTGCACGCGATGATCCAACACGCAAAGGCACTCTGCTCACGGCATTAGCAGAAGAGCTCAACGCATCGCGCAAACGTACAATTTACGGCTTCAACACAACGCCTGGCAGTTGCTATCCCCCGCCTCCATGCTGCCACCGCCGTTGGCAACGCCGAGTCTGTTGTCGAACATGGCCCGCCACGCTACACAGCAATACTCCGGCGGACAATGGAAGTTTGCGTGTTGAGACCAAGTATCTGGGTCATGCTCTCAAGTGGTCTGTCCAAAGTATTGGAAATATGGTCTGCATCTATCTAACAAATGACGCGATCCACGCACATACTTTTGGGAACTTAACTTGTTACCAGGTGGCTCGCGTTGTCACCATCGCGAGACTCATTCGCGAGTGCTCGACGTGTTCTGCTCGTGGTATAGAAAGGCTGGTCAGCCGTTGCCCTTCCCATAGTCAGGAAAACGACCGTGCGCTTTCGCAAATTACTGTAGGGCCTTTACCATTACGGCTTTCATGTTCGTATTTCGTTTGGCGTAGGTGAGACAAGGAGGTGTGCGCAACGGTTTGGCCACGTTTGCCAACGTTCAGAAGTACAGCCACATCGCATTGCGCAGTTGAACTGATGGCACCGTTATTTTACTACCTGCCCTCTAATTTTCAATCTCGTTACCTCCAGCTTTTCCCTGTGCTTCTTCCACTTGTTTCTGTTGCATCAATTCAAGGACTTCCTCTATCCTCCCTCCTCCCTGTGTGCCTCGCAACTGGGTCGTTGTGTCGCCACCGTTGCCCTTCAACCTCGCCACCATGTCAAGCGGCACACCGAATCAACAAAGGCATCCTCTTGCGAAATCTTCCGTGCCCGACTATGGACCTCCAATGGCAGAGATCAACTATCAAAAACCTCGATCCACTTACAAATCACGACATATTTCACTGCAATCAAGGGTGGATTCCCTGGGGGAGAAGAGCATGTGGGATGATCGATGGTCAGGTCCAGATATCCCAAACACCTATGGCAACGGACGCAACGCATCAAACGAATACCTAGTGAATCCAATGGTGTCGGAAATATCAGGACGCGACTCGCAGGACGAGGAGTCCCGCTTCCTACCTTCCGCGGACGGCAAATCAGCGATAACTCCTCCACCTCCAGAGTCATACTCGCTGAACATTTCCACTCTCCACGAGGTATGTTTCGTTGGAGCGGTGATCATGGCGCAATTTATGGGGCTGGCAGGACTGGCCCAAGGAATCGCACCCATGAATATCATTGCAGAGAGTTTGAACGTCACCAATCCGGGTGAGAAGGCCTGGTTCGCAGCAGGCTTCTCCCTCACTGTTGGCACCTTCATTCTCATCTCAGGTCGGATAGGCGATATTCTCGGTCATAAGAGAGTCTTCGTTTTCGGGTACTTCTTCCTAGGATCCTGGTCCGCATTCGCTGGCTTCGGAGCATATGTTGGAAATCAAATCTTCTTCGATGTGTGTCGAGCATTCCAGGGAATTGGAGCCGCACTTCTCGCACCTAATGCGCTTGCCCTTCTTGGTCGAGCATATCCTCCGGGAATCAAGAAGAACATCATGTTCTCGCTATTCGGGGCCATGGCTCCCTGGGGATATGTCGTTGGTGCAGCTTCATCCAGTATGTTTGCTCAATTAGCATGGTGGCCCTGGGCGTACTGGAGTTATGGCATCGCCGCATGGGCTCTCTGCGCATTCGCTGTGGTGGTGGTACCCGTATCCCTTGGACACGATGCTCAATTCGCAGGTCGTTCAAAACCCGGCATGGACTGGACTGGATCCTTCCTCGGTGTTATCGGACTCATCCTTGTCAACGTGGCATGGAACAACGGTCCTCTTTTCGGCTGGGACCAACCACATGTCTACTTCATTCTGATCATTGGGCTCATCTGTCTTGTGGGATTTGTATGGGTTGAGGCGCAGGCCATCTCTCCACTGCTTCCGGTCAAGGTCATGACTAGTACAGTCACATACACCATGGCACTCGTTGGAATCGGCTGGGGTTCTTTCGGTATCTGGATCTTCTATACCTGGCGATTCCTGGAGGAAATTCGCGGATACACGCCTCTCAGTGTTTCTGCGCAATTCACGCCGGCTTTGATTTGCGGTCTGCTGGCGGCTGGAGCGACGGGATTCATGCTCACGCACACGCCTGTGCCTTTCACTATGATGATAGCTATGGCAGCCTTCTTCCTTGGACAATTGATAACTGCTACCCAGCCCGTCAAACAGACGTACTGGGCGCAGATGTTTGTTGCGATTTTGATCATGCCGTTTGGTGAGCACGTCGCCTTCCTCTCTCGATATCAGCTGCTAACAAGAACTTCACAGGCATGGACATGTCCTTCCCTGCAGGAACGGTCATTTTATCAAACCACATGCCTCGAGAACACCAAGGCCTGGCCGCCTCACTGGTGAACACAATGGTCAACTATTCCATTTCCATCGCGCTGGGAATCGCTGGGACAGTAGAGGTAAGTGTGAACAATCACGGCGCCACAGAAGCAGATCTGGTGTTGGGCATTCGCTCTGCGTGGTGGGTGGGAGTGGCACTTGCAGGATTCGGAGTCATTTTAGGGGCACTATTCTTCGGACGCACGTGGTTGAAGGAAGGGTGGAAAGTAGAGGAACATTAGGCTCGCTTGCAGCAATTTCCAGCATTTGTATCGTTTTAGCGAGAAAGAAGGCATACACAGGCACATATCCTGATTCAACGGCCGAAGCCATTAGAGAATACTAGCTCCTTCCATAGCGTACATTCTTTTCCAACCATTCGACGTTGCCTCCCTCAGGGCATCATCTTCCTCCATGGGAATGCCATACTCCAATATCACACATTCAAAGGGCAGATTACTCAATTCTTCGCCGCCATTCTCTTCGAGATTCCCCCACAGGAGAAAGAGCTTCTCGCGCAGTTCACGGAGTAAAGCACTGTTATGCTGCAGATCTTCTGGGTCCGCGAGGCGATTCAGGAGGAACTGTGCGCTCTGGTGGTGAACCTGTACCCATAACCGATGTCTCTCCTCGGCTGGCACGGATTGTGGTACGCTGGCGTCTTCCAAAAGTAATGAAAAATACCACTCGTAGGAGGGTGAAGCATTCATCCAGTCCATGCTGTCCGGATCATCTGAGTCATGTTCAAGCTCAGGGCGAATAGCAAAGTCCTCCAGATCCTTTGGCTCGTAATCCACGACACGGACCTTCGCTCGATACTTGACATTGATAAAGGGCAGAATGTAATCCCTCCCATCCGGTGCAGAATTGATGTGATTGGTGTTCTGCAGATCCAAGATATCCACAACTTTGGTAATAGGGATGTCTTCGTGTGTGCAGCGCACATGGCGATTCAAACTCTTCTTCTCCAACGCTGCTGCTTCATCCGCCCGTCGCGCGGCCTGGGCAGCCCTTCTCTCCTGCTTCTTGAGCTTCTTGGCGGCCTCCTTCTTCTTCGCCTTGCTTTCGGTTGCGTCGCCTTCACCTTGGGGGGGCTGTGCGCCGCTCGAAGCCCAATACTCTTCCTTGCGTTGTCGTAGTGCTCGAATCTCGGGTATGCTCGGATCTGTCAACTTCAAGATCTTGAGCTTCTCAGGGTTGTCATATTCGGCCCACAAATCGCCCTCCAAACGCGACGATCCATCTCTAGATATATTGCCCTTGACGTTCGAGAGCAGTACGTAATCTCCCTGTTTGACATATTTGCTGGCGTAGTCTGCATGAGGGTACTTGAGATTCACTTTCAGGACAAGCCATCCGTAGGGTCCGGGCCACTCTCTCTTGGGTGGACCCGTGTAGCCGAACGTATCGCCATCTCTCTCCTGGTCTGTCTCCTCATCCGGCTTGGGATAGTAACGCATTTGATCATTTGACGTGTAGTCTGTAATGTAAAAGTCGCAACCCCATTGAGCCGGATACATCTTCACAACCTCTCCGCATAGATCGGCAAAAGTCCTTGGCTGTAAGTTCTCGACCAGCTTGAACTTAGGACCGAAGCTGCGAGTGAGTCTAGGCCTCTTCACAGATGGCTGTACTGCTGAGCCAGATTCCTCGACGTATTTCTGTTTGTTCTGCTGTGCAGGCAGTTGACTCGCCATGCTCGCGGGTCCTGTGGGCATGAATCTGGACGACATACTCGCTGGGCCTGTTGGTGCAGGTCTTTGCATGCTCACTGGTCCGGTTGGAACAGGTGCGCTCGCTGGTCCCACCAAGGGATTCGACATGCGGGCAAGTCGCTCTTCTATGATGGATAACATGCCTGCAGAGTGCCGCAGGGCAATCATGTATGCCTGCTCCCGGAGGCCAAAGTCCTGCAGGGCCTGAGGTTTCCCGATGCCTTCAATCCGGTTCTTGTCCTGATAGCCAATGCTGAACGCAGGAGTTGGGATCGATGCAGAGGGTACTACGATGGTCCTGGTCTGGAAGTTAGACAAGCCGAGCCGCTGGCCGTTGATTGGCATGATCTTGATCTGTCGTAGCTGCACAACATCACCGACATTCTTGACCCTTGGGAGATCCTCTTCGTTGCGATCGAAGAACCGAATCGTGAAGCCCTCTCGCCCACCTATTGCATCGGCAAGCTTGAGGTCCATTAGCTTGAAAGTGATCATATACTGGCCCTTTCTGGTCGGGGCCGGGGGCATGACATCCACGACGACTCCAATAACATTCAAGAGGCTGTGCAGCGGGACGTCACGGGTGTCTGCAAGACTGATGAAGCCCGCGGGGATGTTATGCGCCATGTCTTGCAATTCGTCTCACAGTGAGACGGTCTCATGGATGGGTGTTATCGCACTGGAGGGCGAGAAGGTCGTTTCCTGTCGAGAAGAATGGAAGGAGGACTGGCAATGCAGGGTGTTTGCGATGTGTCATCACTGACAACAAGCCAATTTTGTGCATTTAACTCATTCCGTTGTCCGGCTCAAGTGCAGGTGATGTGTGGGACGCGTCGTAGGTTTTTTAGAGTTTGCAGCCTTGGGCCCTGCAGCAGGTGGGAATCAATGGCAGTCACTACGCGGTGCGGAAGAAGCAAAATGTTCAGTCGCACCGACATCTGACAGGAACGACCCGTTCGCTCCATCGAAGAAGAAGAAGTCCGTATGAACGACACGGAAGATTTCATTCACCTCCAATCGCACCAAGACTTCTGTCAAGCGAAACAAATCAGGGCACAGTTGACCCTCACATCTCGGTTTCGTGCGCTTTCCGAACGATTCTTTGCCCCCTCAGTGGACAACAAAGGCCCACAAACGCAGCCGAATTTGACATTTCACCATCACAAGCAATTTCCAGCATCTGGACAATGTCAGTAGCTTCTTGAAGACTCTTCGCCGTTGCTGAAGTCGCCATAGTAACCCCCCTTTCGCTTCGCTTATCAAGTGGGATTTTGAGTTTGCGGGACAGCTGCATCGCTTTCTTCTCAGAACTCCAAGCTGGTGCAACATCTTTCAGCGTTCTCACCACCGACACGAGACCACGCACGATTGCCATCACACTTTCTGCTCTTGCCACCACGTGCTATCAGCAAGACCACAGCAAGCATGGCGGAACGCTACATTCCCGAGCATCGTCGCACCAACTTCAAGGCGAAGAGCACATTCAAGCCTGATGAGCTGCGTCGCCGCCGCGAGGAGCAGCAGGTCGAGATCCGGAAGCAAAAGCGCGAGGAGAACCTTGCCAAGCGACGAGGCATTGGTGCCCGCGGTGAAGGCGCGCCGGGCGCCTCACTGGGTGCCGCACCAGACAGCGATGACGAAGGCGCGAACACAGAGGGACAGGTGAGCATTATTCCGCATACCCATGCCATACCGGCGGGGATCACAGGCACTTTCCAGTGCCGGCCTCTCTGGCCACAAGTTGAAGATTACTGACACGGTGCCACAGCTGAACGAGGACCTCCCACTTATGGTGCAGGGTGTCTTTTCCGACAAAATCGACGACCAGATCACCGCCACCACCCGCTTCCGTAAACTGCTCTCCAAGGAGCGTAACCCACCCATCGAGCGCGTCATCGAAACCGGCGTTGTCGGTCGCTTCGTCGAGTTCCTCCGCTCCCCGCATACGCTCGTGCAGTTCGAGGCCGCATGGGCCCTGACCAACATCGCCTCGGGCTCCGCGCAGCAGACCCAGGTGGTTATCGAGGCCGGCGCGGTCCCAATCTTCGTTGAGCTTCTCAGCAGCCCCGAGCCGGATGTGCGCGAGCAGGCAGTATGGGCACTCGGAAACATTGCTGGAGACAGCCCGCACTGCAGAGACTTTGTTCTCGCGTCCGGAGCTCTGGCTCCTCTTGTCCGCCTTCTGGGTGACAGCCGCAAACTCAGCATGCTGCGAAACGCAACATGGACTCTCAGCAACTTCTGCCGTGGAAAGACGCCGCAGCCTGATTGGAACACCATTGCCCCCGCTCTTCCCGTCCTCGCCAAACTCGTCTACTCCTTGGACGATGAGGTTCTCATTGACGCCTGCTGGGCTATCTCATACCTCTCCGATGGGTCCAACGATAAGATTCAAGCTGTAATCGAGGCTAACATCCCTCGCCGTCTCGTGGAGCTTCTCATGCACGCATCCACCTCCGTACAGACTCCAGCTCTCCGCTCTGTTGGCAACATCGTCACCGGTGATGATGTCCAGACTCAGCTTATCATCAACTGCGGTGCTCTGCCCGCTTTGCTATCCCTCCTCAGCTCCACCAAGGACGGCATCCGCAAGGAGGCATGCTGGACCATCTCCAACATCACCGCTGGCAACAGCACCCAGATTCAATCGGTCATCGACGCCAACATCATCACCCCGCTCATCCACCTGTTGAGCAATGGCGACTTCAAAACCCGCAAAGAGGCTTGCTGGGCGATCTCCAACGCAACCAGCGGCGGTTTGCAAAAGCCAGATCAGATCCGCCTTCTTGTGGCGCAGGGTGCCATTCGTCCTCTCTGTGATCTTTTGGCCTGCCCTGACAACAAGATCATCCAGGTTGCACTTGACGGCCTGGAAAACATCCTCAAGGTCGGTGACATRGACAAGGAGGCAGCCGACGGCAGCGCCGAGACACCTGTCAACAAGTACGCTTTGTTCATCGAGGACTGTGGTGGAATGGAGAAGATCCACGACTGCCAGAACAACAGCAACGAGGAGATCTACATGAAGGCATACACCATCATCGAGAAGTACTTCTCCGATGACGAGGGAGACGCTGATGTCACCGACCTTGCACCACAACAAGGCCAGGACGGCCAGTTCGGCTTTGGAGCTCAGCAACAACAGCAGAACTTCAACTTTGCCAGCGGCGGAGACAGCATGGACATGTAAGAAGCATCTTCAGTCAACGGAAAGCTTTCTTCTTTTGCAACATGCGCGCGACGCATCGAAGCGCGGGTCAGTCCCGTGCCGCATCATTCAATGACGGACGAGGACGCCAACGGTAAGTCCGGCAGCATCCGCAGGTTCAACAAGGCGCCACAAAACAAGACACCTCGAAACCGACGGACTGCAATCTCCCAAAATTCCAATCTCAACACGAGCCTAAGCATCGATTCCGACACCGAAAGCACGAACGCAGCACCGRCGATTATTCACCGCCCCATACTCGCTCCATCCCCTCACCAATCATCTACATCATCATCATCCTTTCACGACCCGATACCCCTTTTTTCTGGATCCCTTCGACGACCCCAAAGACGCTGCATGGACTTCAACGTGGTGGTGATCCCCGCCTAGATTGGCGTTCTGGCACATCCTCCCGATATCTAGCTGGTATGCTAGGCAGGTGGAGGAATTGCTTATGCGATTGCATGACGAGTGGCGTTATGAGACGCTTTGGCTACGTTGTGAGTTCATAGATCCCGAATGACTTGTCTGCATGAATTTTTCCAATCGTGTTGTTGGTGAGCTGTGGAGGCCGAGCTGTCTTGGCTTCCACTTCGCCCAGGGTTAGGGTTTGGGTACTGCACGCATGTCGATTGATGCAGGAGATTTCTTCCCCTCACTATTCACTCTAATTGATTGAACCACGTTTGATGAAGGAATTACGTGTGCCAGTAGTGCAGTAGGAGTAATTCGTGAAAGTAGCTACAAGGTGCGAAGAAGCAAGACCACAAGCGACTCGGCCACAGGTTCTGACATACACAAGCTCCAGCTCCAGCCTGACTAGGAGCATGGACACTACCAGGACGAGTAGGTATGGTGATTAGGTCGGCACGGGAGCTCTCGCTACTTTTCCCAGCGACTCAACAATGAACTCTTCGTCGACTTCAAAGATCCACCAGGTCTCGGCGCATACGATTCACTACGTACAGCGGATGCAACACAAGCAATCGTCAGATCCAATCCCTTTGCCACTCTCAGCAGATTCGGATCGATGATAGCCACGACCGGGGACACCGCAGTAGAGTCAAGGTGCAGCTCATTGCCCTTCAGCAGCATTTTCATGTCCTGTCCGTCCGGCTGATTCGTGAAGGCGAGGGTGATATTTTTGTTGCGGCGTTTCCAGCTCGACCTAACTCGGATTCCATGTTCTGAGCCGGTCTTGATGTACCTAGATGATAGGCACGTCAATAAGTACACACAGAAAGATTAGAAAAGTACGTGTGTACTCACCACTGCCTTGGCCGGCGAAATCTTCGCTTGTGTATACCGAAAAGGAACATGTTGGACCTGTCGCGGAGCTCTCTGTCTCCTAGTAAGCCTGGCCTACGATCCAGAGTGAAAATGTGAGTTCCCATCTTGTCTGCGAATGCATGGCTGCTGATGCTGGTGAGGCCTTCGTTGCGGAATATGACTTGCACATCGAGAGTCGTTTCTTCGCTGGCGAAGTATTGCGGAAAGATCCCTACGGCGTATTCCATCGCGTCCAGTTGCATGGAGCTCTCTGACGTGTCAATCTCTTCGACGCTGTGGAGAGGGCCTTGTGGGAGACCACGATCTCGCAGTTGAGTTTGCTCAGCAACATTGAGGCTTCGTTTCCTTTGCGCTGCTCGGTTTTCAGCCATCTTGACCCAGTCTACTCGTTTTGGAGGCTCGGGAACGTGCTGTCTCTTTAAGAAGGGATTGTCAGCCGCCTGAGTAGGCTGAACTACATCTCCTTTCTTCGCCACAGGGGTGACAGACTCAGACGGAAGAGTGGCTGGCTTGGTGGATTCCACGATTGGGTTGACCTTTACGGAACTGTCTTCAAACTCGATGTTGGTGTGACCAGCATCGGGAACAGTTGCAGGCATATCTTCATGCTTTGCGGAGGTTGGAAGCTCCGCAACGGTGACAGTCTCCCCAGCGTGTGTTGTAAAGGTTCTGGTAACTCCAGTAACAGGTTCTGGAGGCAGAGCGACGGGTGTGGCGGCATCTTTCGTAGCATCCTCCTTCATTTGCTGTTCTTTGGCGTCTTCTGCTTCCTTCACCTCCTTCACCTCCTTCGCCTTTGGAACATTGGCAACTGCAACTACAACTGCAGGAGTTCCTCTGGTTACAGTTCCGTGAGTTGTGGAGGTATCGGGAGGAGATAAAGCACCATGTGGCATAACCTGAGGTGCTGGCTCGGCCATGTTCGATCCTTCTGATGAATACGACAGTGACCACTGAGGGATGCGAGAAAGCCGGCCGCCAGGTCGGCCCACTGAACAAACGCGGGACTGGCGGAGAGCTAAAAAGAAATGAGGTATGGGTGGATGGTTGTTGATGTGAAATGTTGCGTTGCTACGAAGAACACATGGGAGATGGTGGTGAGATAATGGACGGATCGGCTCGTCGTAGCTACCTCGAGTGGATAAAGGCAAGTTCTATGGCAGAGATGGGTGCTCCTGACGTTTGTATAAGTTTCCGAAATTTGCACATAAGGGGTTGTGGTGCTGGGCCACCTGCAATCCGGGTGGAATTTCCTTCACTCAAGGTCGCGGGTTCAATRCCTGCATCGACTATAACTTTTACTTTTTTTTCTACGTCGCTGCGCAGATAGTAGACAGGTAGGTATCTGTGTACAGGCACTTTACTTCTGCATCGAAAGACCATAGACGGCACAGACGATCGAACGAGCTTTTGACTGACATCGCGACACGTTCCCGGCGCCTTTCCTCACATATCGAGAAGGAATCAACCCGGCTTTGTCAAACGTTTCCGCTCTTGAGTATCAAGAGTTTCGTGAGGTGCAACACCATTCACACCGGATCTGGTTTCTTGTCTTTCCGCATGGTTTTGCATGTACATGGTCAAGGGCCTTCCGATGCGAGCGCCAATGATGCAGAAGAAAGTGGCCCAGAAATGCCAGAATAGAACAAGAACGTGACCGATGCCCCAAGGAGCAACGAATCGCACACTATGAGACGATCGCATTAGCCATATACACCTCCGTACTGAAAAGTTGTGCTCGCTGCGGTGTTCGGAACCCAGGGAGTAACTTACAATTGGTCTACTTGGTACAGGTCATTCTGAGACTTGATGTGATATACTGTCGATCCAGTCGGTTTCGTGAGCTGCAAGACCGTCGTGAGTGTAACGGGCGCTCGGTAGAAGGGTATGAACCAAACGGCAAATACTTGACTGATTCCAACGTAGAGTATAAGGTTCTTCTCATCGAAAGCTGCCGAGAAACGTGATGTCAGCTTCGTAGATCATGACAAGCTCATTGGGTTCTACTCACCAATGGAATTGACACTCAATTCGATTCGAGGACTTAGGATCTTGTACCAGCGGAAGATGGCCAGGATAGACGCTCTTGAGCCATTGAAGGAACCTGTCCCGCAAAAGGGGTGGGTGAACTTGGCGTCATTGGTAAAGTACTTGGTGATGGCATCTTCCTGTCTCTTCGGAGTCCCTTGTGTCAGAGTGTGGACGATACCGGCAATATCCTCAACGGGATTCTCCATCGCATGTATATAGTTTGAGGCGTTGGCTCAAGTAGAAGGACGTTGATGAATAATACGTTGTTGTGGGATCCGATGGTCGTCCACGACTTTCACATGCGTTTTTCACATGCCAAACGCATGAGCTCTGACGTCATTCAACAGTCTTCTGGTACATCTCCACCAAAAGAGAGCGGCAAATGGAGACGCCGATGGTCAACAACGACGTTCTTGAACGAAGCCGCCACGACAAGGTAGAGATCAAGCGTTTCGAAAAGAATAGCATACTCTTCCATCTCGCAAGGAATCCTAAGGATGATGTTTGAACGTCCCAGCCTTGGCTTTCTTCCCGAGGAATGTTTCCAACAGAATTACGAACCGCTTAATTGGTATCTCCAAGAGTACGTTAAGCAACGCATGCCTTGTGGACCTTTCTAGCTCTTTAGAGGGTTTCCGTCGACCATTCCATGCAATGGTAGATTTACGCCTGCTCTTATGTACAATTRTCTGCACAGACATCCATATGTCATTGCCGTTAATAAGTCGATGCAGAAGCTCATGTGCAATTTTTGATACTCGTCCTAATCCTAGGAGCAGATTACTAATCATCTCACTGTCAAATTGTTCTAAAATGGATGAACTCTAATTGAATCTACTTAAGGGAAAATTCCTCGGCTATATAGTCCTACTTAAGTTATGTAGCTACTTAAGCCTTAGGTATATATACTTAGTTCTTAAGTAGAGACTTTAAGAATATTCTCCCCTACTAAGTCGTTTTGCCCTTAAAACTATAGGAGTTACTTAAGAGATCTAAGGGGTCCCTATAGGTTATTTTATAGAGCCCTATCGCTTAAGTAAAAGGCTTAAACGTAGGGTTTACTTCTACCTTACTATAAGCTATATCCTTTATATAGCTAGTAGCTTAGAGTAGTACGTATATAGCGTATACGATTAGCTACTTCGGCTTAAGTAGGTAGTTATAGCGTAGCGGAGCGGGAGTAGTATACGGGGTACGAGAGCGTCGAGGCGTAATATATATCCGGCAGCTTAAGAGCTACTAAGGTATATATTAACTCGCTCTCTTAATCTACTAACCTTCTCCTCCGTATCTATATCTATCTTCCCCTTCCCTAATTAAGTTCCTTAATTAATACTTCCCCTTTTTCTATCTATTATATACGTCTTCTCTTATACTAGTTATATATATTAAGAAGCTATAGGCGATAGGCGTATAACTCGTAGCTAGGCGGAGGGATCTAAGAAAAGCGACGACGGCGATAAGGGTAAGAAGGGTAACGGTTAAGACCCGCTAGTTACTCTAAGCGCGAAATTACTTAGAAAGCGACCTACGGCGAATACTAGCGATATCGTTATAAGCTTAAGGCGTTCTCTACGCTCTTATAACTTAGGCGCTACTTTAGGCTTATTTCTAGGTAAGGCAACTTCTAAGCTACGTCTAAGTCTCTCTAAGGCGGATCTTCGGAAGGAGAGGGAACTATAGGTAATTAAGGAAGCTTTAAGTCCTTAATCTCCTAGTTACGGTACTTTAAGCCGTAGTATAAGCGTTTAGTAGAAGCTAGTACCTATAATTCTAGTAGTAGCGATAGCTACTCGTATAGAATACGAGAAGTTCGGGTTCGATTAAGTAGGCGGTCTAGTAAGTAAGGCGAGCCTTCGCTAGGGAAATAATAAGATATCGTCCTTTAATCCCCTTTTAAACCGCTTCTTAGAGAACTTCCCCCGAAGCTTTTATAGGTAATACGATAGTCTCTTAGTCTTTCGGCCTCGTAGTTAAGGCGGTTTTAATCTAGTAGCTACCTCGGAGCGGCTACTTATACGGTTAGTAACTCTCTTAGAGCCGAGTATAATAAGCTTAGATAGTATCCTAGGCTTCTTACGTATTACCGATACTTAGATGCGTAAGGTAATATTTATCCTAATCCTTCTTAATAGGCGCGTTAGGCTATAAGAGCGCCTTAAGAAGTACGAAATCTATAAGCTAGGCGCTATTATTAAGGCCTTATACTAATATTAGCTAGACGACCTTCGCCCTATCGAATAGAATACGAATATCGGCTATATACCTAACTACTTACTATAATAGCATTTAGGCTCTCTTTTTTCTTAAGCGCTAGGCGGAGCGCCTAAGTAGGCTTATAGATACCGTCGTAAGACCCGCACAATTAGCCCGTTTAAGGAGTGTCGTTACGGAGGACTTAAGTAGGGAGCTTACGGTAATTGTCTCTAAGGCAATTATTAGTAGAAGTATAACTTAGCTAACTAAACTATAGTTAAGAGTAGGAAAATATAGACTCTTAAGAAGAAGCCTTAAGCTAGCCCTTCTATTACTCTAGTATCTCGGCGTCGTTAGCTTAATAATGCTAGGAGTAGAGAGGTATCGATTATCTCTATCTCTTCTACTAAGACGAGATTATCTAGTGCTTCTAGTTCCTCTTAGAATAGCAGTCTAAGCTAGTAGCTATTATAAGGCATCTAAGAAGCTAAGATCCTAGACTTAACTAAGAAGGATAAGGAGGAACGATTATAGTAGGCAATTGCCCTCTCTCTTAAGATTGCTCGCTCCGGCCCTAGTAGAATCTATCCGCTAGATTAAGCGAACGCTCCTTAATTAAGTAAGGTTATTCCGCTAGTCGGCCGTTCTTAGGGCCTAACGGTTTTTAGCTTAAGCAACCTCTTCTCTCGTACTATCGGACTAAGCGCTAACTAAGTGCTACTAGTTAATAGTCCTAGCGATAAGTATATAGGGCCTAAGGGTCCCGTTACTTCGAGTAATATCTAAGAGCGTATAACGACGTTCTAGCGCTACTTAACGAGTGTTTATATAGCGAATACTAATCCTACGCGATCGCTTTAGGATACTATTAACCGCTTATATATAAGGGCGTAGGCGGCCTTAGACGACTATTAGGATCCGAATACGCCTTAGATCCGGTTCTTATAGATATAGGCGGCGGCCTTAATAGTAGATTTTAAGAAGAACGCTTAGTAGTTCGGTAGATATAAGCTAAAGAAGTAAGATTAGGTAGCTTAATAAAATTTCCTTATAGTTAGGCATTACTTAGAGCGTTAGCTGTCCTTTTAAGCTAGAACGTTTTTTCTAAGGCTCTATAAAATAACCTCTATTATCTAGCTATCTTATTTGCGAGCGTTGCTTAATCGATAGGAAAATAGAATAAAAATAACAAAACAGTRCTTAAATAATRCAACYGTCTTAATCCTTCCTTAATTTCGTAACTTAGCTATAACCTTACGACTTAATCGCAAGCTATAGCCTATATTAGCTAACTTCCTCTATACTACCCGAGTAGGATCCCCGCTTAGGTAGTTAGTAGTAGTTGTCTTATATAGTAGAGGTGTCTTAGTCTTAGTCGCTAGAGGAGTTGCCTTAGGCGGTCTCCCTCTTCGTCGTAGGAT